TATAGTTCATGGATTTTACACATTTTCATGCCAAAGACTATAGTTCATGGATTTTACACATTTCATGCCAAAGACATATTTTACATTTTTGCATTTTTACACATTTTCATGCCAAAGACTATAGTTCATGCATTTTACACATTTTCATGCCAAAGACTATAGTTCATGATTTTACACATTTTCATGCCAAAGACTATAGTTCATGCATTTTCACACATTTTCATGCCAAAGACTATAGTTCATGCATTTTACATTTTCATGCCAAAGACTATAGTTCATGCATTTTCACATTTTCATGCCAAAGACTATAGTTCATGATTTTGACACATTTTCATGCCAAAGACTATAGTTCATGATTTTACACATTTTCATGCCAAAGACTATAGTTCATGCATTTTACACATTTTCATGCCAAAGACTATAGTTCATGATTTTCACATTTTCATGCCAAAGACTATAGTTCATGCATTTTACATTTTCATGCCAAAGACTATAGTTCATGCATTTTACACATTTTCATGCCAAAGACTATAGTTCATGGATTTTGACACATTTTCATGCCAAAGACTATAGTTCATGGATTTTACACATTTTCATGCCAAAGACTATAGTTCATGCATTTTACACATTTTCATGCCAAAGACTATAGTTCATGATTTTACACATTTTCATGCCAAAGACTATAGTTCATGATTTTACACATTTTCATGCCAAAGACTATAGTTCATGCATTTTACACATTTTCATGCCAAAGACTATAGTTCATGCATTTTACACATTTTCATGCCAAAGACTATAGTTCATGCATTTTACACATTTTCATGCCAAAGACTATAGTTCATGCATTTTTACATTTTCATGCCAAAGACTATAGTTCATGATTTTCACACATTTTCATGCCAAAGACTATAGTTCATGCATTTTACACATTTTCATGCCAAAGACTATAGTTCATGCATTTTACACATTTTCATGCCAAAGACTATAGTTCATGCATTTTACACATTTTCATGCCAAAGACTATAGTTCATGCATTTTACACATTTTCATGCCTAAGACTATAGTCTTTGTATTTTCACACATTTTTCATGCCAAAGACTGTAGTTCATGCAATTTTACACATTTTCATGCCAAAGACTATAGTTCATGCATTTTCACACATTTTCATGCCAAAGACTATAGTTCATGCATTTTGACACATTTTCATGCCAAAGACTATAGTTCATGCATTTTGACACATTTTCATGCCAAAGACTATAGTTCATGCATTTTTACACATTTTTATGCCAAAGACTATAGTTCATGCATTTTTACACATTTTCATGCCAAAGACTATAGTTCATGGATTTTTACACATTTTCATGCCAAAGACATATTTTTACATTTTTGATGCATTTTTACACATTTTCATACCAAAGACGCATTTTTACATTTTTGATACATTTTTACACATTTTCATGCCAAAGTTTATAGTTCATGCATTTTTACACATTTTTATGCCAAAGACTACAGTTCATGCATTTTCACACATTTCTATGCCAAAGACTATAGTTCATAGATTTTGACACATTTTCATGCCAAAGACTATAGTTGATGCATTTTACACATTTTCATGCCAAAGACTATAGTTCATGGATTTTACACATTTTCATGCCAAAGACTATAGTTCATGCATTTTACACATTTTCATGCCAAAGACTATAGTTCATGCATTTTTACACATTTTTATGCCAAAGACTATAGTTCATGATTTTGACACATTTTCATGCCAAAGACTATAGTTCATGCATTTTTACACATTTTCATGCCAAAGACTATAGTTCATGGATTTTGACACATTTTCATGCCAAAGACTATAGTTCATGGATTTTGACACATTTTCATGCCAAAGACTATAGTTCATGCATTTTTACACATTTTCATGCCAAAGACTATAGTTCATGATTTTCACGCATTTTCATGCCAAAACTATAGTTCATGATTTTACACATTTTCATGCCAAAGACTATAGTTCATGCATTTTCACATTTTCATGCCAAAGACTATAGTTCATGCATTTTACACATTTTCATGCCAAAGACTATAGTTCATGGATTTTGACACATTTTCATGCCAAAGACTATAGTTCATGCATTTTTACAAATTTTCATGCCAAAGACTATAGTTCATGCTTTTCACTCGTTTTCATGCCAAAGACTATAGTTCATGCATTTTGACACATTTTCATGCCAAAGACTATAGTTCATGCATTTTGACACATTTTCATGCCAAAGACTATAGTTCATGCATTTTGACACATTTTCATGCCAAAGACTATAGTTCATGCATTTTGACACATTTCTATGCCAAAGACTATAGTTCATGGATTTTGACACATTTTAATGCCAAAGTCTATAGTTCATGCATTTTTACACATTTTCATGCCAAAGACTATAGTTCATGGATTTTGACAAATTTTCATGCCAAAGAATATAGTTCATGGATTTTGACATTTTCATGCCAAAGACATATTTTACATTTTGATGCATTTTACACATTTTCATGCCAAAGTCTATAGTTCATGCATTTTTACACATTTTTATGCCAAAGACTATAGTTCATGCATTTTTACACATTTTCATAACAAAGACTATAGTTCATGATTTTAACGCATTTCCATGCCAAAAATATAGTTCATGCATTTTTACACATTTTCATGCCAAAGACTATAGTTCATGCATTTTTACACGTTTTCATGCCAAAGACGATAGTTCATGGATTTTGACAAATTTTCATGCCAAAGACGCATTTTTACATTTTTGATGCATTTTTACACATTTTCATGCCAAAGACGCATTTTTACATTTTTGATGCATTTTTACACATTTTCATGCCAAAGTCTATAGTTCATGCATTTTTACACATTTTTATGCCAAAGACTATAGTTCATGCATTTTTACACATTTTCATAACAAAGACTATAGTTCATGCATTTTTACACATTTTCATGCCAAATATTATAGTTCATGATTTTCACGCATTTTCATGTCAAAACTATAGTTCATGGATTTTTACACATTTTCATGCCAAATACTATAGTTCATGATTTTCACGCATTTCCATGCCAAAACTATACTTCATGCATTTTTACACATTTTCACGCCAAATACTATAGTTCATGATTTTCACGCATTTTCATGCAAAAGACTATAGTTCATGCATTTTTACACATTTTTATGCCAAAGATTACAGTTCATGCACTTTCACACATTTCTATGCCAAAGACTATAGATTTTGACACATTTTAATGCCAAAGTCTATAGTTCATGCATTTTTACACATTTTCATGCAAAAGACTATAGTTCATGGATTTTGACAAATTTTCATGCCAAAGAATATAGTTCATGGATTTTGACACATTTTCATGCCAAAGACATATTTTTACATTTTTGATGCATTTTTACACATTTTCATACCAAAGACGCATTTTTACATTTTTGATACATTTTTACACATTTTCATGCCAAAGACTATAGTTCATGCATTTTGACACATTTTCATGCCAAAGACTATAGTTGATGCATTTTTACAAATTTTCATGACAAAGACTATAGTTCACGTATTTTTACACATTTTCATGCCAAAGTCTATAGTTCATGGATTTTCACACATTTTCATGACAAAGACTATAGTTGAAGCATTTTTACACATTTTCATGACAAAGACTATAGTTCATGTATTTTTACACATTTTCATGCCAAAGTCTATAGTTCATGGATTTTGACACATTTTCATGTCAAAGACTATATTAGATGCATTTTTACACATTTTCATGACAAAGACTATAGTTCATGGATTTTCACACATTTTCATGACAAAGACTATATGCTCGATATGCTCGACATGTTTTCGAGCATGTGCGACCATCGACGTTGGGTCTTGGGCTTTCACTGATCTCGTGTCGAGTTCTCCCAAAGGTCTTTTCAGTTTGCATAAACCCGTTCAAACACAGTAACACCATTTTTCTTAATTGATACTCTCTTTTTCATACCATTTACCTATTGAGAATTATTTAATTTTGACCATGAATTTTTATATGTTATTTTCAATCCAAGAGTTTGAGCTGTAGGCCGTAATATACCGACATGGAGCGACGCGAGGAAGCGCAATGCATTATGGGTCTACAAAGTAAATTTGTCTGGACACCACAAGTCGAAACCTTTACTTGTGCCTCTCCAGAGCAGAAGTAATAAAAATCTTTAACTTTACGAATTTACGTTCGATTCGTGCTGCTAATATAAATTAATGACGATTCTAGTTTTCACGACTATCTTATAGAATTATTGTCAAAAAATAACATGTACTTGTAATGACTCTTTAGCTTATTTGTTTAATTTTATGATGGCCGTTTAGAAGTATAACGACGCCACTGGACTTCATTGGCTATCAGTATAATAAACTTGTATTAATTACATTTTATCTTTACCTCTCCTCTACCTACTGTCTTTAATAAAATAACGACTTTTTTATATGATCAAGCGATTACATGAAATAACAACTTTTTGAAATGATTTGACGACTACGCGATACCTTTTTATGTCTACCTTCATGATTACCATTGTTTTTACATTTTTCACATACCATTGTGTCTACTTTCTTGTAAACTTTCTTGTAAACCTTTATTTCTATCCTTGTGTCTACATTTATGTCCACCTTTATGTTTACCTTTATTTCTAAATTTTTTACATAGCTTTGTGTCAACCTTTTTGTGGTTCCTTAGATCATTCATTAAGCAGACGCAGACTGCACCACGATGTACTTGGCTAGTTTAAGGTAATGTAGAAAGAATTGTAAGATTTCCTCATGGATTCGTCAAAAAAGCTTCAAGAGTATTCTTGCATAACTGCTCTGTTTCAATTTTTTTGTTAAATACACACAAGAAACGTCAATCAAAATCAACACGAACAGTCCTTCACAGAGTTCTTCCACCCTGGACGATATACAAACATCTAACGAGCATCCCGCGTTCAAATCATTCACTTTATTTAAATATTATAATTCAAAAACGATCATATCATAGAAATTTTCGAACATTACAAATGTCCAAGTGATTTGTTTCATTTTACAAAATTGTGACTTAATAATAATACATATTATCTTTTCTACTTTAAGCCGCACAAGGAAATATGTTTGTGAGTTCGTCATGCATATTAAAGATTTTATATTTATACATCAGGTCTTTCAAGCTTGTTGATGAAATTATTCTTTTAAATCCGTTGATTCTCTTTGGATATATTTCGTAGAAATGATTGAGTTGATCAAGGTTGTGTTCTTGGTAAATTCCAAGATGTCAACCAATCATCATAATCCACAGTTGAAAGATTCACGACATTTTCACGCACAAACTGTCAATGTAAACAAACCAATTTTTATTAACTATAAAACTTGTGTGCTTTGTAAGTATACAGAGATACAAAGCGCAATTTGTAAATAGTTTATAAAAATTTAGTGAATTCATTGTGCTTTTTCGTTAGACAAATCTTGCTACACTGACCTCTATAGCAGCTGCTATTTCTGGAAAGCGCAGTTCCCAAGGTCTCAATATTGCCAAGATTTTTAAAAAATGTTGAGAACTTACTTTCCTTCCTTCTAACTATAAAAATAAAGAGTAAATAAGCAAGAGGGCTAATCTGCTTTGAATCTGTTTTGAATCTCGCGTTATGAAAGTGTTATTACCTTTTTTTAAAAAGTATGAATTATATGTTTTATATTCATGAACGCACATTTAGTAATTTTTTTAAATTTTTATGTTTCAATGTAAAAGTGCAATGTAATACTCAATTGAAAATGGTGGTAGTATAAAATATGTAATTCTCTTTGAAATGAGAAGTTCTACCTTTGCTTAGTTTTGCTGTAAAATTTCATAGCCTCTAATACTTCTATATCATTTCAAAATACGCAATAACATTTTAAGACTTTTCTTGGGGGTGCTAGAGAATTTTTTGTGTGGAGTGCGTACACCTCTGCACCCCTCCCAGAAAATCTGCCCCTGCCAGACATGCCCTCTCAACCTCCCCCTCAATGAACAAGTGTTTTAAACACAGTAGCACAGAATAGACATCTAACAGAAAGCCCACTCTACTAAAATCGTGGCGTATTTTTCACTACGCATGCGTGACATCCCAGCAAGATGCTTTCACAAAATCATTATGGAATAGTATTGTGCACGAGAATGCTATTTTACTAATAATTCTCGTTTAAAGTAAAAGTTTGCCGAAATTTTTACAAAATGTTATCATCTTGCGAAGACGATAAGGTTCCGAGCTTTTGTAGTGCAAAACGATATATTTGTAAAAACATGTATATTTTCTATTGCGATATAGCTGCAGTATCTTGCTGGAAGGTGTGTCTCCTTAGAATTTGCCTCAGAAAAGTAGGGGAAACCAACATCAAAGGTTTCGACACGAGTGGACCTTCAGTTAAGATATCTATACTGTGACAGTAGTCTAAAGTTTCCTGCTCAATTATAGGGAAGATTGAAAAAAGTTGCGGGCCGAGATATAAGCGAATGTAGAACATACCGAGCCGTATTGAGCTATTTTGTTAAGGATAATACCAATGGATCGATCATTTTTTACATTCTCTGGAAATATATTTACAAGGCCTTGGTACCTAAACATAAAAATAACATTGGTATTTCTCTTATTCATCATTAATGTTTAAAAAACAACAGTGTGATAAACAGGAAACATTATTTATTTAAAAAAAACACACTCCAAAAAACATCATCTTGTAAACTCAAGATTCGACTTATAAAAGCAAGAGACAATATTTAAAGCAATATTTCGACTTTATTTCAAAGTCATTACAATAAAGTTAGAACAAACTCAAAATATTGCTTTATAACTCGAATGTTGAGTTTACAAGATGATGTTTTTTGGAGTGTGTTTTTTCTTTTATTTTTTGAAATTGTCGACTGGAAAAGGATTATTCATTTTTTAAAAAGTCTATAAATAAAAACACCTACCAAGCACACTCCTTGCTAACACGTTCTCTCATCTCGGCCCCAGTCTCTACGAGCTCATCTGAATAACTGTCATGACGTATAACATCTAGAGCCTTTTGTATATGATCCGATCCATGAAGTCTGATAAACTTTCGTCTTAAAACGTGCCATCGTCTTCTTTTCTCACGTAGAAATAAAAATACCATTATTGTGTTTCACGAGAAATAACATTAAAAGGAATAAAAAAATATTTGAATAAATGTATGACGATACTTGATGTTTTTCTCAAGTTTATCATGTAACATGATATTTCTTTCTTCATTTACTTCACTGAACTTTCGTCTCATTTCTGAAGGAGTTTCGTCAATATTATTGCTCAGACGAATAACACCAAATGTTCCCAAAGCTGCCGTAAGAAATCGCCTTTGTAAAAAAGTAATTTCGTACTTGGCAAAGTTTCTTCTTTCACAACAAATAAATACAATTAATAAATTAATTAACTAAGGCCTTGACCACACGCATCCGAATATTCGAGCGGGTTATCCCGAAACTTTTGAATCCGCTCTCTGGAGTGAAAATTTTCGTATCTGCAAACAATTTGGATGCGTGTGGACGGTAAATTTGGATATTTTTGACCAAGATTGCCTAGCAACTATTATAGCGCGTTTAAATGGTCGTCAAATTTGCTTCCAATCTATTCCAATCGACTTTCTACATAGCGTTGGATATTTTAAATTCTAGTGTGACTTTCAGTAAGAGTTCAACCTCATCATCAGTCTAAACGAAGGAGTCCGTCTTGCTCTTTTTTTTATTTCTGTCCCAATTATGACATATACATTCAAACAAAGCCGAACAACGTTTGCACACACCGACCAAATTCAAAATTGCTAACCAATTTACTGCAAATTTGCAACAATTTCAAAATATGCGAGTGAAACGGAAAGCGCGAAGTCCTGGGAACTATAGTAAATCCGGATAATATCAAGCTACGTTTGGACGCAAAAACATTTTTATGCGCAACATGGTGCGCAACAAAAAGTTTACGAATAGAATTATATCCGGATACGTGTGGATGGGGCCTAATCCAACCAACCACTTTATTACTAAAAGTATTATGATTTCAAACTTACATTTTTGAGCTACGCTGATCTGTGAATAAAAAAATGCAGTTCAATTGACAATCAGCTTTTTTTAAAATGCCTCAAAAACTCAATGCCTCAAACATGTAGACCACAACCTGTTTCTCGAACCCAGTCCCTCACACGAGTCTCAGGCTTTTTCGAAACAACATCTGTTTCTTGTGTCGCAAGTTTTGTCACTTGTTCGCGCTGTAACGCAAAAAAATTGAAAGCAAGTTTTATTTTAAGTAAAATTGTCTTTTATAGAAAAATTGGCTGCGTAATGTTCAAAAGCAGCAATAAAAGTGATGAGGATGAATAATTTACTTACAGATAAAAAGGTTTTCCCTTCGTTTACTGATTTTTGTTCATTTGAATTCATCGCTTTAAGTGACTTTATACATGAAAATCGTTTCTCATTATCTGACATAGCTTTTTTTTCTTGGAAAATAACTAAAATTTATTAAATCAAGAGTGACAAAATAAAAGAAGAGTGAACATCTGTCTCAGCGATTAAAATAATAAAAAAGTAAATTGATTTCTAAATTGTTAAGTTACCACCATGAAAGGTACGTAACACCCTTCATTATAGACTTAAAATAACATATATATATTATTGTTCATTAAAATTTGCCTTTCAATTATTTTCAGTTCTTTGGTTAGAAGAAATGCCTTCAATTAAATTTTCAATTTAGTTTACCTTTTCCTTTTAATTCCTCAGTATTGTCAGCTGTACCTTTTTCTTGACCGACACCACTTGATGACGTAGTTGGAGCATCAATAGCATCAGCACTGGATAAACTGCCTACTTTCTGTTCAATAGGTGAAATGGATCGTTTCATTAAGTTCGCGTTTGATGATGAATTTGTAACTCCAGAAAGTCGTTGAATATGCTGCGGATGAACCGATATACGCCGCCTAACTTTACGATGACTTCGCTTGAAACATCGATTAAAGTTACAAGTAAAAAATGAAATGTTAAAAAGATGATACAAAGTTTGGAGCAAACATAAACTGATAACAATTAATTTGTAATTCTTGGAAATTGATCGATTGATTACAATCGTCAAACTAATCAAAAATACTATTCAATATATATAAATTGTTGTGTCATGTAAAAAATAACGAGAAATGCATTAAATACCTGTGAAAAACGAGCTGGATTTACTAGAAGTGTTTGCCAATTATTTTCAGATTGTTTTTTCTTCTCAAGTTTTTTGCGTGAGGTTCGAACTTCTTCTTCTAAATATCTTAAAAAAAATACACGTTAACTATTATTGCAAATTCAAAGAACGCTACGAACAAAACTGTAAATTGTTGAACATGAATTTTGAAACATATAATTCGTACTTCACAAAAAGTCATAACGTAGTTTAAAGTCACTTTAATGTTTTGAAACACTTGTCTTAAAATATATTAACACTTACTTTAAATTCCAACAATTAGCAATTGGTTGAACAGCTGGTGGAAAAACATCTTGAGACATAGCGTCAAGAATCCAATTTAAGGCACACAGTTGACGAAATACACATTGTCTTCAAAAATAAATTAACAAATAACAATAAATTGACCGACCCAATGAAGTAAAAATTAATAGCAAAAGTCAGACAAACAAGCATATCAAACATTTACATTTCATTGTATGTATGTGTCACACCAAAAAACAAATTTTTTAATTGATGGTAAATTATTTAAAGTGAATTGTTTGACTGTGAATTGTTTGACCTTAGCAATAGTCATCTTCAGAGTCAAGTGTGGAGTAAACGTCTGTTTAGTCGTTAGTAATGGTTGCTTCATTTAATTCTTTCCAGTAACATTTTGCTAATTTGTGTTGAAATCATCTTTATAATAGCAATACAGATCGTACAGATTTAAAAATTTAGCAATGGTATTTTCAGATATAAATCAAATCATTATTACAACATTTATGTCAATACCTCGAATCCAAAACAGAATAGTTAATGTTGGAATATACTGGAGAATATGGTCGTAAAGATGAGCTGCGTGGTTTTTTTCTTGAAATAACTCTTTCTGAAGTTCTTGACTTGGGAGAACTACAAGCAGTTAATCTGAATTTTTTTCATAGCAAACACTTTTAACAATGATGAAAACTTTATAAAGCTAAAATATTAATTTAAAAAATGTTCATGAGTAAAGGTTATGATTTTTAATGTCTTATAGCTATATGTCTTACAATGAATGAACACAACTTGTCTCTTCAGTATTTTTGTCCAAATCTACAAAATGAATAAAATTCTTTATCAATGTGTATTCATAGGCAGTCCAGAAGTCTGTTTAGGTTTACTCAAACAATCTATTTACTATCTACATAAATCGATTAAATAAAAAAACTTAAACAAGTTTCTGGGCCGCGTAGGGTGTGTTCTACTTTACATGTAGTTTGGATAAAATACTCAAAAAATCTTTGCAGTCTTCATCTTTACGAGTTGTCGTTCCGTCGGCACTACAAAATGACATAACTAATATTTAAGATAACTTTAATCTAAAGCTATTTGTATTTTGGAACTTGTATAAAATACATTGAGAGAATGAACAAATAATACAAATTTTCGCAAGACATACAAATTTTCATTTTCTTCAAATTCAGATTCATCAGAAGTCTCACAAGGAGATATAATCTGCATGCTATTCTTGACTTTTTCTAGTTTACGTTGTCTTTCAATCTCAGAAATTTTTGCCTGAAACATAGAAAACAGTGAAAGTGATTTTTTACTGTCACCGATCTGCATAAGTCCAAGGGTAAAGAAGACCTTTCGTTCTTGTTCTTCTTTGATAAAACGAAACAAATTGAAACCCAAGCGAACAGCATTCATCATTTTTCTAAGTCAAATAAGATAAATTTAATTTAATGAAAATTATCATACAATTACAACCTGGAATCTCCGGGATAAAAAAATATTTTGACTATTTTTCCGAGGTCTCATAACGAGCCAAAACCGTGCGTAGGCGATTGTCGTTTTGACTTTTGAGGTCGAGAGGAAATATTTTTCCCTCCTCAACCACCTTAATGGTGCATAAAGTATAGTTTTTTCCATAAAAACACAGCTTTCAATACAAATTCAAACTCAAGCCTAATCGTTAAAAATATTATGTGGACTTCTGAGTTAAACAATCATAATTCACTAACATAAAACTTCTATCAACCAAACAAAACATTTATTTGTGCATCCATTCCATCTCTACCTTCCTTTCGACAGCTGGGTTTGAATATTTTCAAGTTTTTCCTTTGGCGCATAGAAACATGGTGCTTGTGAATCCTACGTACAAAGGAGGGCAACACAAAAATAATTGAGATGGATTATAGCAAAATTTCTTATACATGTTATGTTGTATTGTGTTCAACCTATTTATTTGTGCCAGTTTTGATAAAAACTGAAATGTCAAAAAATACATACATTTTTTAACTTCAATTCAATGTTTATATCAATTGCAGCAGGATTTTTCTCAACATCGCAGCCCGATAGTTTGTTCTCTTCCACAGAATTTATGTTTGATTCCTAATGCAAATAGAATGACAGATTAAAATTTGTTAATATTCTCTGCAGTGCAATCAAATCAGATTCAAGATTAAGATACAAAATCACAGAAATCTAAATTTATTTTGCACACAAAAAGATGTCAGGTGACAAATAAAAGTCTGGGGCCAGTTGTACGAAGGCTGAACAGCGCTATCCACTGCATAGCAAATCTTTTCTGAAAGCTGAAAAAATCTCTTACAAGAGAAAAATATATGATTTGAAAAGAGTAAACACTAAAATAATATATATTTTTTGAAAGATTACAAAATTTTTTTGTTGTAAGAAAAACATAAACACCTTTCTTACAATCCAATGGATAACCAGTGGATAATGCTATCGAACACTCATGCAACCGACCAATGATGGATAATAAATGGTAATCTGAAATATATGACAAGCAGGCAAATATCATAAGCAGGTAAAGTAAATGACGTTGAAGAGATAGTAAATAAAAATTAGTTGGGACTGATTTGCAACAAAAAAGAAAGACAGCTAAGAACAAAGAGCTTGTGGTAGAGAAAGTCTTGAGTTAAAATTATGTGCAAGTAACTATGATCTAGCCTAGTGGTATAGAAAGTACAAAAACGGAAATTGACAACTAGTCGCTCAAGCAGTAATGGTTAAACAACTTTGTCACGATCAATGAAAAGCATAGACAAGCTAACCTGCTAGAGAGAGTGGCTTTTATATAGATAAGCTGGAAATTGTATCAATGGTTGTTAGGTTTGTGTACAAAGAATAAATGGCATTGAAAATAGAAATGAAAAAGATGAAAAAGAAATGTATTAGTGGAGTCAATTTCTCAGATCAAAACATTGTATAAGTGCACGATCCATAGAGTTTAAGGAAATGAGATGTCTACTAAAGAAGAGGAATAGTCTAGGCAATTGCTATATTACATTGGTATGAATTTATTTACTCCTGTTAACAATAAATAAAATCTGGATCCAAAAAAATTTGATAGATTGTTTTAAAGTGCCAAACACAAAGTTATGTCAACGTATGTATGTATGGTAACCAAGGTCACTTATAAAACAAATAAAGTGAGATTTATGGCTAGTTAACGCAGGCTTTTTTACAATTTTTGTTTCAATGTTGGTCATACTTAATGCTTGTCATAAATTGACTACTAATCAACGGAGAGGGCTAAAATTGTTGCAAATGATGAATTAGAATTGGAAAAACTCGAAATATACAGTCGACATTTGTCTTAATTAGACAATTATATTTTAAATTAGCATTGATATTCGACAATACCTTAAGTGGAGATTCGCCCTGTTTCTGACCAAGTGTGACTAAAATAAGATCTTTATCATCAAGGAACACTTTGCCAACAGTTTGGTACGGCTTATGTGGTAGGGAATTGTAACCACATTTTTTCATTTGATAACTTCGTCGAAAATAATTCTGTTGAGCAACCTGATGTCTGTCAGGAACACAAGCAGTGTAAACAACATCGCTTCGAGCTGTAATACGAAGTCCTTTGTGTGAAATTTGCGATACAGGTTTTGGCAAAACATAGGTTCGTGGATCTTCTAAGGCAGTCATGTTTAATTTAGAAAACCTTTATCAGTCGATAATGTAAACACTTGGCAAAAATCAAAATGAATTAGATTAAGTACACGTTACCTTGGTTGCAGTAATTTAAGTAACGCTAAATTAACTCTTTATTAAACATTACTTTATTCATTAACTTATTTATCTCAAGTTACAATATTCATTATTCTGTATTAACAAATCCATTTTTCGATTGACATTTCGAAAATGGAAAATGCAGAAAATAAGAACTTTTAGCGCATGATGTTGTATTTAAATCATTAGAGAACGTGCGGACATTCAAAAGCTAACATTCTTATAACATATACATACTTTGAAAGATGAATAAGTGTGATGTTGCAGACTTGCAGTTTGTAACAGAATTAAGCGATGGACTATTTCTGTTACTATAGAGTATGTGTCGTACATAGCATACGTATAAAATGTTTATTTGAATGTCTGCTTTATCTTAACGATACTCTCAATGAAATGATAAACGTCACATAAAAATACAATTTTATGGGAGCTGTTTAATCTTGTTTGGATCATAAATAAGCAGACAATTTGATAAAAAAATATATACAACTTATTGTACACAACGTTGTTGGTAACTTTTTGAACACATTATATTTTCTCACGCATGAGAAAATACGCACTTCTTACTTCTTTGGCATTCACCATATGGCAGGTATAAATTATTTCCTTGACAATTTCCGGGCTTTTAATGTCTGTAGACAAAAATGAAACCCGAAAGATTTATTGGTGTCAATAGTTTATGTTACTTTCTAAACTTTTGTTCATGGAAATCTGACACTGCATGGACTTTAACATGATTGGTATCAAGACAGGCTTCCCACTGACTGGTTGTCGGCGAAGCTGGAGAGATATCACAATTAGGTATTCTGCTTCCCAAACTGGTATCTTGTGTAATGTAAATATCCCATCCTTGCCTAAACGTGAGTATATTTAGAAATAGTGAAATTATGAGAAAGACACAGTCGTAATGTTTTTAAGTCATATATACCTGACTTGAAGAAGATGCTGTAGACTAATGTCGGCTTGTTCATAATAACGGCTAAACTCTGCCATCTGATCATTCTCTAATTTTTATATTTTGAATGATAATTAAGTTATTTAATACTGACATTATCCTTAAAAAAGTCATATTACAGTACCTTGAGCGAGATTAAGCAATGCTTTCTGCTGTAATCGTTCTAATTTCTCTTTTTCTTCTTGTTCGTCTTTTTCTTCTGCTATCATAACTTGTAAAGTTTTTTCTTCTTCTTCATAACTTTCTTTTCTTTCTTTCAACATTAAACTTATTCTCTCACATTTTGATTTTAAACATTCATCATCAACAGAAGTTGTCTTTGGGTAGACACCTGTGCAACAAGCAAAATTCAAGAGAAATGAGATACACAAATTTGTCAGTCAGAAAAACAATAAATTAATACGTAAACAATAAAAGCAATTTAACACATGCATCAACTTTTATGTGTAAGTGTTAACTTAAACAATACTGAAAACGTTTCACGAACCTTTTTTTTCTCCTTCGTCTTTTCTCAACTGTCGTAATTTAACGAGAGCTTGAATCAAGTCTTCCAGCTTACGACAATCTTGAAGTTTGCGACGAACTTCATCTAAAACTCCACCAGCTTCATGTTTTAGTGAGGCTGCCTAATCAGAAAATGGAATACATTAGGAAACAACATTGATAATTGGGGGGAGGGGGTTATATTCATATACTCATATGTTGTAATCCGTAAACACAATTGATTTTAATAAAAAGTAATAAAGTAAAACATGCATACATGAATAATATCCCCTCCCCCTCCCAATTATCAATGTTCTGCCGCCTTTTTAGAAAAATGTAGTTTCAATTTACTCTCACCTCTCACAACATTAGAGTACCTTAAGCAATGAAATTAGTAAATTAGAGTTCATCAAAGTACATTAGAGTACCTTTCTAGCATTGATATCTTTTTGTTTTAGATCTTTCTGCCAAGCATCAATTTTTTCATGTAATTTGCATGTTTTTTCTTCATCTTCTAATCTTTGAAGATATCGACGATGTTGTCGACGTCTCCACCAATGCTGTTGAAAAATGAAATTTATGAATTTCAATTCAAAATAAAATAAAAAAAATGAAGCCATTTTACTTATATAACCCAAATTTTTTAACTAACGCGTTTCTCTTGGCGTTTTTCAATTTTCACTTGAAGATCTTTAATAAGTTGCTGGTCAGAAAAAACATTTTCCACTGATGACAGCTCATCCTAAAAACATATAATTAAACTAGTGACATGATATACTTTACTAGTATATAATATACACAATTTCAGTATCTTTCTTATTATATGATAAAGGTATTATAAACATTTATGCTAAAAACAAAGTAAATTATATTTTATTGTACCTTGGTTTTTTCAACATCAGCCAAAATACAATTCCATTTCCTTTCTTCACCCTCAATATTGCTGTTGAGTTGCTGAATCTGCTGTTTTAAATCAGTATTAAGTTTCAAATAACGATCAAAGAGTATCCTTGCTTCACTGATCTATGAAATAAAGGTACAGAATTCATTAAATATAACTGATATGAAAGTACATCAATATTTTCAACCTGAATTATTTCATTTTCAAATCTGCAATTATCTAAATGACTGACAATAAAGTTTTTAAGGTAAAAAAGTTTTTTAAATTTGTTTTCAAATTAGAAATGAAAGGATACTATAAATATTCATTCATTCATCCAGGAATATGATTTTAGATGCCACATTTAGAAGTCGTGGATGTATTTTCATCATTTTCTCATTTGAAAGAATTTAGCTACAGTAAATAACAATCAGACATAAATAATAAACAATATAAAGAATAGTTTACATGTTTATTAGATGGTTAAACAAATATAGGGAAGATTAAAGGTTGGTAGCCAACCTTCAAAATTCAAGAATTTTTACTTTGACAAAGATGGCAACTTTCCTCAAGGCAAAAACATCAAAATTGTACAAGAGAAATTTGGGAGGTTTGTGGATCCTGCATTTTGCAAAGTGTAATTAATCATAACTAGCTTAGAGATACATCTTGAAGAATGATGCTGTACTTCATTGGTCAGAAATAGTTCCACTTAACCTTATCCAACATGATGCAAATTATAACAGAAAAATTGTTTAAAACAATATTAAGAAATACAATAATGACAAAGCTTTTTTATTGCTTACTTATTACACAAATTTAAACAAACTACTTTCAAAAACATTACTTTATTGGTAATGATAAATTTCAAACTTTACAAATAAAACAAATTTCAAACTGACCTTCAATGATTTTTTACAATCTTTGCCATTTTCCAGTTTAAACTGATGCTGTTCTAACCATTGATTTAACCAAAAGGCATCATCATTATTTGTATGAGAGCCATTCTTATCTTTCGCTTCGTATTGCAAAAGTGAAGGATACAAAGTAACTGTATTTGTTGCATAATCCACTGGATGATTGATTGGATATTGTGAAATATTGATAGGTGTGAAATTTTTCTTCAATGATGAATTTACTTCATTTTTATACCCACTATACATCAAAGGATGGTAAAGATTATTTTGATAATTATACATGACATTAGGAGGATAATAGTTGAATGGTTGTATGTTGTTTGTATTCATAACATGAGCAAATGGTGGAGTGAACAAAGGATATCCAGAAACGTTCATTTGACCAACTTTATCAGGACCTTGGTGATCCAAACTACTCCTGAAAGAATCTTTATTTTTATCATCAATCATTGGCTGAGACGATATATCTCGATTTCCATTGAAACATTTATTTGGCTTTAAATTTCCTTGCATTGCAGAAATTCTGACTACCTTCAACATTAGATTTCAAAATTTCATTGAAGGTTAAATCGAGTAAATTGAAATCGTTTTCAGTTTTTATTAACAAATACGCAGGCACAAGGCTGGCCTGTTGCCTGCTGAAAACTTTACACCCGACAGTTTTTAATATGGCGACACATGCCAGTAGGGGAAGAGCTTCTGGGTTGATAATATTTCGTCGTATTTTCAACAATCCAATAGAATATCTTCTTCTCCAAACATCTTATGGAAGTCACCATTGGACGCCACCAAAAGGACATGTTGAGGAAGGTGAAACGGATGAACAAACTGCTTTGAGAGAAACCGAGGAAGAAGCTGGCATTGTTGCTGAATCTTTAAAGATCATTAAAGATTTTAAAGTTGTCTTGAAATATCCAGTAAAAGGTGTTTTGAAAACGGTAATTTATTGGCTTGCAGAGTTAAGAGACCAAGACTTCAAAATTAAACTATCAAATGAACATCAACATTATGAATGGGCAAATATCGACAGAGCTTGTGAATTAGTTCAATATCATGACACACAAAGCGCTCTGAAATCAGCAGAAAAATATCTCGAAGAGAATTGTGATCATAGATAATCTCCACAATTATAAAACAACTGATATATTTTAAGTTTCTAATCAAATCTAGTTGAATAACATTCATGTTTTTGCATTCCTTGTTAACTAACCTAAAAAGTCTGTGCCAAGCTAGTTGTAACAGTTGTTATAAATCTCAAATACTTGAACACAAAGTATTAAATATTTGCAATAAAAAAATACGTATTTAAAGAAGTTTAATAAAACTCAACTGCATGAGCAAAAAAAATATGCAGATTTACAAAAAATGTGCGAAACGTCCCTAAGATAACATTATTTAATTAAAAGTGAAGAGTTGAGAAAGCTGTGATGAAATAACCAGAATTATTTCATCAAAGTAAAGTCTTTACACGATATTTTCTGCAAGTCTCTGTAACTATTCTTCCATTAACTTATGTAAAGTCTTTATAAGTTATCACGTTGTCTAGCACGACCTCGTCGTATCAAGCCTCGAGCTGATTGACCACGACCTACAGTTAGATAAACATACTTCAAAATGAAGCGGAGGAAGAATTTGATTGTCGAAAATTGCTATTTGAGAGTGAATTATCTGAGTTTTTTCCATACCTTGATTTCTCCGTATTTGTCGACGTCCACGTACGGCCGGTCGAACGTCGTCTTTAAAAAGAAAGTCGTAACATGCTTAAAAAACATCTTGTTGTATTTTTGGATAGAAAAACAATTATTAAATCAAATATTACAAAACATGAAGCGAATTTGAAAATGGCTTAATTAACTTAGCAATAAAACATAAGACATTTAAACCTGCTGAAGATGTTTGAGGAAGTGGTCTTCTTAGTTGAACGACTGTTGACTTAGCTCGAGCTAAAATAACAAAACGATTTTAATTGTAGCTTGATGCAAACTTGAACAAAGACCAGCACAAGTCTATTCTCGTTGGTCAATACTTAATCAGGTTTTTTACGACAAGCACTCAAAAGAATGAGGAAACATTTTTTCATTTGTTACTATAACATAGTTATTGTAACATACGGGTTATATAATGTTTATCGTAATAACGATGTCGTAAAACTACCTTGTGTGATCGTTGTTGCTTTGCCTCTAGATGTCGAAGGTTCAAATACTGTAGTTGATTGTCGTTCCTCCGTTTCTTTTGTACCAGATTCTAAAACAAACTCATTCGTTTTACATGATAATAATAATAATGATATTTTAACTACTGGGATTCATATCTTTCTAAGTTCAACTGAACTTTTTCCGAAACTTCCATTAAAATTAAAATATAAACAAGTTAACGAGAAACTTTAATAAAGCCCGTTTTTGACCTTATGTTAACACTGTATAAATTTCTCTTCTTAAAATAAAACACGAAGGCAACCTTGGTGTTTAGCCACAACTTGATTAAATATACTTATCTTCTCACAATTAAATATTGTGACATAGTATAATGATATTGACGAAATTCTTATGTATACGTAATGTTTACCCTGACTATCTAATGATGCTGAGTTACTACTGGACGAGCTTGCCTCCTCGGGTTCTTTTATTTCACTGAAATAAAAAAAAGGTTTTTATAATTATAAAAATTGCGAGCTCTTGAAGTTCATCCTTCACAACTTAAACACTGTAAAAACTTTTTTCAGTTAAATTATCCGGCGTTCAAGCTATAATATTACAGTTGTCATTCTGCACGAAATGAAAAAGGCAAAATGATAGCATAATTATGTTATACGTTTTTTGCTCAGGTATTGAAGACGCTATTTGCTCATCCTTAGTTCCCTCTGTTCCAGACTCCACTATATCTGTACATTCAAACTTCTCCCCAGTCTCTGGCACATTTTGTTCAGAAATATCAGTATTTGTTATAGCAGTAATCACAGAAGATTCTCCAGCATCATCTAAAGTAATAATATATTTGCTAAGGATATTTACATTCATATCACAGTAAGAAAAAGATGTAGGAATAGTTTCATTCATTTAAATGACAGTAAAATTGTAGACAACTGCTCCTAAATGAAATAAAGTTACTCTAACATAAAGTAACACAAATCATCTGACGTCAACTGCTCCTAAATGAAATAAAGTTACTCTAGAATAAAGTAACAAAATCATCTGACGTCAACTGCTCCTAAATGAAATAAATTTACTCTAACATAAAGTAACACAAATCATCTGACGTCAAAAGCTCCTAAATGAAATAAAGTTACTCTAACATAAAGTAACACAAATCATCTGACGTCAACTGCTCCTAAATGAAATAAAGTTACTCTAACATAAAGTAACACAAATCATCTGACGTCAACTGCTCCTAAATGAAATAAAGTTACTCTAACATAAAGTAACACAAATCATCTGACGTCAACTGCTCCTAAATGAAATAAAGTTACTCTAACATAAAGTAACACTAACCATCTGACGTCAACTGGACGGCAGTTGCTTCATCTAAATCAGGGACAACATTATCTAAGAAAAGAAATAACATAAAAAATAACTACGCAAGTCACAAGATTCGCCTCTTATACCTTGAAATGTAGTTTAATTCAACAAAAGTATCGTAATATTACCAAGAATAAGATCACTATCTTCGTTTTCGCCTGATGAAGCCATAATATCAAATCTCGTATCATCCACACGAAGACCTGTAATATACAATGATGTTTATTTGCAATATTGTAGACTGACATTCTTAATACAAACCTTCTTCTGACATTCCCATAGCAAGACCGTCAGATTGGTTGCTCTCACTTGTCGAGCCAAACAAAAATGAAGGATGGTGAACACGTGGAGAACTGGAAATAAACACACACAGTTATGTAGATGATGGATGGTGAACACGTGGAGAATTGGAAATAAACACAGACAGTTATGTAGATGAAGGATGGTGAACACGTGGAGAATTGGAAATAAACACAGACAGTTATGTAGATGATGGATGGTGAACACGTGGAGAACTGGAAATAAACACACACAGTTATGTAGATGATGGATGGTGAACACGTGGAGAACTGGAAATAAACACAGACAGTTATGTAGATGATGGATGGTGAACACATGGAGAACTGGATATAAACACAGACAGTTATGTAGATGATGGATGGTGAACACATGGAGAACTGGATATAAACACAGACAGTTATGTAGATGATGGATGGTGAACACATGGAGAACTGGATATAAACACAGACAGTTATGTAGATGATGGATGGTGAACACATGGAGAACTGGAAATAAACACACACAGTTATGTAGATGATGGATGGTGAACACGTGGAGAACTGGAAATAAACACAGACAGTTATGTAGATGATGGATGGTGAACACATGGAGAACTGGAAATAAACACAGACAGTTATGTAGATGATGGATGGTGAACACGTGGAGAACTGGAAATAAACACAGACAGTTATGTAGATGATGGATGGTGAACACGTGGAGAACTGGAAATAAACACAGACAGTCACCACGACAAATTCTCTAACTGTGATGTTTTGTAAAGTAAAGTATACCTACCTTATCATTTCACCAAAACCATCAGTTCGTTTTGGTATAAATAACGTTGGAGTACTAGGAACCGTACAATCATCAGTTTCATCAAAACCTCCAGAACTTGACTGAGCCTGCAAAGTCCAGTGATAAATTGTTGTCAAAGGGAAAATATTCAAATATTCTGGAACAATATGATAAGGAGATTAACGAACCTGCGTTAATGAGAAAGGTGCAAGATGAGACTGGGAACGAATAAATGGTTGTTGTGTTATAATAGATACACTTTGAGTTGTTATCACAACATCTCGTATTCTCTGACTTTGTGATGGCCTTTCACCAAGACAGCTAGTACTTTCGACATTTTCTACAATAATAATATTCATATTTGCACCTTTACTTATGAACAGATGTCCGTAGAAGAATATTTAGGTACAAAAACCAAAAACTAAAACGTGATTTACATATATTTATAAGTTGAGTTCTTGTTAGATTTACTAGAACAGGCAGAATTAGGCAGACTATATCGAGCTCTACCGTTATCGTATGAAACATGATTAGCCCCAAAACCAGACGACTAAAATCATCCTCAAAACGCATCAATACATCATTACAATTCATGAATATCCATGCACATCCATACATATATAATTATTATACACTTTATACCATGAAATATCGATGAAAGTACAAACCGGTGTGTAATAATGTTCTGTCACATTCTTCTTCAGTGACTTCTCTTGCTTCGTTTGTATCTTCATCAGCAAGTTCTTCTGAAGAAAAATTATTACGTGTTTGTCAGTGAATGTTATGAAAACATAATGATAAATAAATTTCTAACCTTTAATATCTATATCATCAACGTCATCACAATCATCATCAATAACTTCAACAACTTCATCTTCATCAATGTCAATCTGTTGATCAATATCATCTTTTCTATCATCATCATCAGCTTCGTCTCCATTATTACTTTCATCATCTTCTTCACTTTCATCATCGATAAATACAACCTACACATTATAAGTCAAGATAAATAATTAATCTCGCACTGAAGTGAAAATAATAAAAAATAATAAATAATGAATAATTAATCTCGCACTGAAGTGAAAATAATAAATAATAATAAATAATGAATAATTAATCTCGCACTGAAGTTAACTTTCTTAATTTATAGCAAATGATGTTATAATTGTCGAACTAAAATAAAAATGACATTTCTACAAACTTCTCTTTTTTCTTCAACTTCGTGAGGTTTGAGCTCTCCGACAACATGTTTTGACATTTCCCCTTCTTCAATAGGATCATCGTCGTCTGCCATTACATCAAGTACATCCTCTTCATCGATAACGTCAGACACTTCAGGAACCTTAAATATAAAATTTTCACAACAACAGTGAGCTCGAAGATATTGAAAAGTTGTCAATTTATGTAGACATACAATACAAACAACTTATGCAACTTATGATATATAAAATATTTTGGTAGAGGTATAAAATGTTTCTTTTCTTAATTTTTACAATGATTTCATCCGTGAACACAGTACATTCCTGACTGTAGATCAAGAGATCGTATACATTGGACAGTTTTTATTCTGTGTTTAAAAAATTACAGGTAGTTCAAATTTATCAATATTATTTGCCAAACAGTTGCAATCACAATAATTTGTACCTTAAAAAATGATTGATTTCAATATTCTCAATAACTTATTTAAAAACTGCCAACAATTCAACACTACGAACTGCGAAGTGAAGTGTTGTTTTACAGCATGCAAGTGGTGTTTAATTGTATGTAGCTGAGAGTCTCTTACAGTTTCTCTTTTTGACTTTTTGGCTTCTTGAACTCCGAGTGAAGACTCTGATGAGCTGAATATTCCAATAACACACGTAAGATAACACAATTAACAATATATTTACAATCAACTAACATATGATCTGTGAAATATCTCCAACATTTATGTTTATATATAATTTATTTTGTTATTTCATCTTTATATTTAGCAATCTCAACAAAAATTACCTTTCATAGTCACGTGATCGCTTATTTGCAACTCTAACATCTTTGCTTGTCTTGGAGATAGCACCTTCATCAGAACTGTAAAAAATATCAAAATCAACATCACTATTAAAGAAAAAACATTGCTGAAACAATAAGGAAATCCATCGTTTCGAGATTGAAAAGTACAAAACCTAAGGACAAATCAGCCACCATAGAAAACATAAACATCGTTTACCTCAACTCAGTAACGGTAAGTTGACTTTCACCAGAAGTCGATGGACGTTCATCACTAACGATTTCAAATGTTCTGTCTTCAATGTTTTGTGTTGATGTCATAGTTACCATAACAGAAGAGGCCATCGGTCTGACAGGTGTTGTCAAAAGTTCTGTTGCAGACGACGTTACAACAGTGGAGACAGAAGGTAATGGATGGACAATAGGGGTACTCGTAGATTGCGATATGATATTCAAGGATGGAGTGGCTTGTGTTGTGACAGTAACAGAAACCGCAGATTGTGTTGTGACAGACGTTGGTGAAGTTACTAATGATTGTGACGTCATGTTAAATGGTAGAGCAACTTGAGTACTTGCACTAGTGGCTACTGCGACATGTGTAGCGATAGTAGGGGATATCGTTGACTGTGTATTGACAATAGGGGAAACTGAAGGTTGTGCAGTTACAGTTGGAGGTACTGTTGCTCTTGGTGTAGCTTGCACTGTAGCTGAAGTCATTGGACGAATACTAGCAGTGGGAGTAACAATGGATCGTACAGAAGAAGGTGTAGAGGATGTTGCAGTAGGTTTGACGGCAGCAGTAGGAGGTAAAGTAGTATTCACTTGAGTCGTATCCTCACTTACACCCGTGTTTCCCCCAGCACAAGATGCTGTCCCAGATGATTGTAAAGCAGTCAATGTAGCAATTGTGGTAGCTTGGGATTTAATTTTCTGTTGAGCCTGACGATTAACACGTTCAAATTGCTGAAGTCGCTTCTTTTGTTTTTCCAGTTCACTAAAACAAGAAAAAATAAGTAGGTATAACATAAAATAATTGATTACAACAGTAACACTTACAGTTGAATAAAGCTAGAAATTTTTCACGCAGTGTTTAGCTGTTACAGGAGAGGATACAAAGATATGACTACATAAACCAACATGAAAACATTCTATCTTAAATAACTATATACCTATCTTTTTCCTTTTCTCTCTCATCCATCTTTGCTTTTTCTTCTTTGTATTTTTCAATAAGTTCATTCTTCTCTTTAAGTTCTTTCTCCATTCGCGATTGTTTACCTTCAAACTGTGTTGATAAAGCACTTAAACGCATTTCACGTTCGCTGCTTGCAGCTTCACTTTCTTCTCGAACTTTTTCCATTGATTTCTTTAACTCATCAACTTCATTTGTTAATTTTTCTTTCGCAGCTAAACAAAAAAACACAAAGGTAATCATTCCATTCATGAATTTAATATTTATACTGCGATAAAACCTACACCAATCAAGCAATTTAATGTTATATTTACAAAAAACCTACTCATTAACTGACGAATGCGCTTTGTGGCTGAACTCAAAGTTTTCTTAGATTTGTCTTCATTTTCCTATAATAAAGAATAAATTCTCAAAGTCTTTTTAAAAATGTAAACAAGTTTCCAGCATATTTCATATACCTTGAATGTTGTCAAGTTCTGATTTAATTTTTCTATTTCTTGTTGTAATGAAATTTTCTCTGAGTTCAAAGTTTGGATTGTTTCATCTTGTTTTAAAACATCTGACTCAGGTTTTTCTTCTGATAATTTTTTGTTCAATACTTCTTTCTCCGCTACAACTTCGTCATATTGTGTTTTGTAACGCTTTGCGAGTTTCTTTAACTACAAAGACATTTCACAAAAACCAAAAATAACAAACGTATGTACTTATGTAGAAAGATGTATTTTTTACTACAATCTATGAACAAAAGGCATTAGACAATAAACAAAAAACTAAGTTTTGAAATTACCAAACAAACGTTGAAAATTACCTGTAGAATAAACTTTGCTTTCTCCTGTAATTCTTCCATTTTTGTTTTCACTTCTTTTTCCAACTTTTCTTTTTCCTCAGACAGACTTGCTAAAGCGGCTGTGCTCGTCGATTTTGAATTCTTCAATTCTTCTTGAGTTTTGCTGTTTTCCGTCTAATGTAAAAAAAAATGAACTTTATCTTGTCCATTATATTTTACAGACGAACGAGTTTTCCACCTTTATCTTATTTCAACAAAAAAAATTTATTCCAACTGTCAACATACCTTCATCACATTTATTTCAGCCTGTAGCCTTGTGATTTCATTACGCATAGCTTCCATCCTTGCTTTGGATTTCTCTACTTCATCTAAAGCAGATTTATGTTGAGATGCCATTTGCTTTTTTTCTTCTTGTAATTTCTTAATCTCATCTGGATCTCCTTGATTTTTAGTTTGTTCTGTCAACTGATTCACACGATTTCGCCAGCGTTGGATCTTAAACACAAATAAAAATAACAACTCGATAACACAAACGTCTAGCGACTGATAATTATCATGAGAACAATACATGCTTGTATCTACCGCAAAGATATTTACACTTTTCATTCAAAATAGAATCCGGAATTTAAGAAAAAAACAAATTCCCGGAAATACAACAATTCATTGACCGTTTAGCAAATTTTAATTCCGTAAGAATAACATTTATTATAAGCAAATTGATCCTGTCAAGTAGTAAAATAAAATGCATTATCGTCAATTTACACCTTTTCACGTCATCTCACTTCTTACTTACAACAGATTTAACTCTTAAGATAATTTATAATGGGTATTTCAAAAGCAGAAACACTCATATTTTCTTTCTATTTAAAAAAATAGATAAAATGCTTAGTCTTTCGTGAGTTTTACAAAAATTATCGATTTTCAATCCTAAAAAATTGCTTATTGCTTATGATTTTATAAAGATTTTCCTTAAGGACTTAAGGTTTTCTTTACTATGAAAATAAAACAATTGTAATTAACAAAACAATTTTCATATATTCTACCTCATTTTTCATTCCAGTTTTTTCACCAACCAAAGTGTCCTTTTGTTCCGTTAAATTCTTCAAATTTTGCTCCAAAGAAATCATTTTACTTTCTGACTTTTTCATCTAAAATCAATCATTTCATCATTATTTGATTGCAAACATTCTACATGACATGTCGCCTTGCTTAGCAAAACTTGTTTTTGAAAACAATATATAATTTACCCGATCTTCAATTTCTTCCACTTTATTTTGTAAAGTTTCCTTTTCACTGCATAAAATTTTATTTGTTTCCTCCACTTCAGTGAACATTTTTACTTTCTTCATGATCTCTTCGTACTCTGCGTCATCAACAGGCAACGATTTCGTTCTTTCTTTTTCTTTCTCAAGTAATGATTCAGTATCGCGAAGTTGCTTCTCAATAAATTGAAGTCTTTGTTCGTTTCTAACACATTCTGATTGCAGCAGTTCACTTTTTGTCTCCGCTATATCTTTCTCTTTACGGACAAACCTGAAAAATAATTAATTGAAAATATTTTTACGTATATTTTAATGTGACATAGTTAAAAAAGAAAAAATTGAAGTATATTTAAAAGCAAATGTTATCAAAATAAAATCAATAAAGAATTAATGAAAATATAAATACCTGATCACCTCCCATAAATCGTTGACAGTTCGATTATCTGACTGTTGAGCTGATTCAAGCATCTTACTTTCGACATTTCCATCATTCATGGAGCGATTTTGGGCCGCCAAGACTTGCCGTGAAAGCTTTTCAACAAACGACACAAAAATTTAAGGTTGTACAAGAATAAACCATGACATGTTTTATAAAAATATTTTCATTTTAAAATAACTATTTGAATAAAGTTGTTGATCAAAGAACAAAATTATCAATGTTTTGACAAGACACATTTTACCTTTTCTCCTTGTTCATGAAGTAATGCGTTCTGATTGGTTAGTTCTTCACAACGACTAACAATATTACTAAGTTCTTGAGCTTGAAGTCGGTATTTCTCTTCCCAAGATGCTTTACATTCATTTAAACTGCTTTCTGCCCTCTTGTTATTCATTTCAGCTTCCGCAAGACGCAACTCAACATCTTCTAACTAAGGTTACAAATACAAGAGATCAAAAAAGTGCTTATCGAAAAAGGTTAAAACTATAGACAGCATACGGCATAAACAAATTGTAGAATATATGATGTATAGAATAAGCGGGAAAAGTAAGTGTTTATTGTAACCTGTTGTTTTGCTGTTGTCAAGGCTTGCACGTCTGAAGCATGATGCAACAACTCGTTTTGATATTTCCCTTGCGTCTAAATAAATTACGAAATTTTAACAATTGACATAATGAGAACTGAAGATTGCTGCAAAAACGGAAGTATAGTTAATGAAAAACATTTAGTTTTAAGAGTTTGAAGTTGAATCTTTTGAAAGACAAAAAAAACAAACATAATTTATACTTTAACAAGAAAAAATCTTTAACGCAAATAAAAAATATAATAATTCCATTTATATCCTGAACATCAACACAATTCATATACACATTAATGACTACAGAAAAATCACGACAAAAAATTCATTACACGTTACGCAGTACTCACCTCAGCCGCTAATGCTTTCTGTTCTTCACAAATTTCCGAAGTTCTTTTCTCTTGCTCAAGTGAAAGCTCTGCTCTCTTTACAGCTTCTTTGGCTTCTGATGTTAAAATATCGATAGTTTTATGTAAGCTCTCTGTTTCTTTCATTAATTGTTCCTTCAATTTTTCATTTTCTGTTGTTAAGATTGTGATTCTTTCTTGTGAAGACGTTAGTGACTTCATCAAAGATGCAACTTCTTTCTCTTTCTCTTTTTGTTCATTTTCACATTTTTCTTCGAATAATTTACTTGTCTAAAAACGAAATTTAAAGCTGAATGAATCAACCAGAACATTCGTTCGTACAGCCACTAAAAACAAAAAATACTACAACAAATCATATGTATAGCAAAATGTATAAACAAGGATAAGGTATAATGCTTGTTTTAATAACTTTTATCATAGGCAGAGACACGGTGTATTGACCAAGCGACATAAACATAACCAAAATAAACGTAATACCACAAGTAAACAAGTGTATATACATATGAAAAAACAATAACAAAGTAATTACTGTAATAATTAAAGGATTTTTTAACATGAAGAGCCTTCCCCAGTATACTTTTAGAAACCACATGAATTTTAAAACTGTCCTTACATTATTGAGCTCCGTCAATGCTTCTTCATTCGCAGACAACATAGATTTATACTGCTCCAAATGTTTTTTCGAAAGCGTTATTTGATTCTCTAAAACTGTAGTATAAATATAAAATAGTCATGAAAGTCAGACGGGGGGGGAAGCGTTATTTGATTCTCCAATTCTCCAGAACTGCAATATAAAACAGTCATGAAGGATGAAGGATAGTTTAGGGGGGGGGGCGGTGTATCACATGTAAGCTACCAGTTTTGTGTAAATTTAAATAATTATTTTTATTACTAATGGCGATATTCGTATCATATTTTGAACTCATCAATTAATGTCATAGTTTACACAGCGACATTAATACGTAAAGCAATATCTACCGCTATTCCTGGCTTCCGCTTCGTTAAATTTGTTTGTCATTTTCTCCATCTCTATAGCATGTTCTTCTTCCTTGTCTTTTAAAGTTTGAAGATACGGGTCATCTAAAATGTTAACTCACGAATAGAACACGAAATTCCAAGAATTTCACACTATGAACAATTAAAGATAACTGAATCCAAAAGATCAAGATATTCAAGTACCTTGATTTTCACTAGCATTTCGATTTAAAATTTCATTCAGTCTTGCCTCGCTTGCAGACAGCAAAGATTCTTTTTCTGATAACTAAAATACATACAATACACTAAGAGAAACGCAATTTGGTTAAGATGTTTACAAAACACATACCCGGGCGTTTACATCGTTTAAGTCAGATTTCAGTGTTTCCACAAGATTTTCTGCTTCCTTCTGTAAAATACTTCCATTCTCTACCTTTCGTTTTTCTTCAGCAATTTCACCCTAAAAAATATCATTTAATCAACATCTTAAAGTTTACCTTACTGTACCAACACTGCTATTGTTGACTGCTTCCAACAACTCGTGCTTACTTGCAGTTCCCTATGACACGCCCATAAGCCATGAACTGATTTCCTGGGGGATACAGGGGGGTGTCACCGCCAAAATATCAGATTTCACTCCTCTAAGCAACATTTTAACTTCCCCAATTTTTAGCAAAACAAATCAGTAGTAAAGTTGAACTGCGTTTTTCTGGGAAATATTTGAGCTTTCCATACTACCTTCGGTGGCTACCCTACTCGACTCCAGACAGTTCCAAAAATCCTTACTCCCTTACTTCGTCTTACGTCACTTCTTTACCAGCTCACCCCCCTGAAATTGTCAGCACCACCCCTGTGGCAAATATAAAAATGCGTTCATGCCATAAACCCATACCTTTAGCAATCCTTATTGCTCCCCTGATCTACAGAACTAATTGATCTGTCTATCGTGAAAACCAAACATGAATAAGCGAAACGAATTACTGGCAACAGACCTTCAACGATGTAATCAGGTCGTCATTCTGTTCTTTTTCGTGTTTCAAATTCTGTTTAAGAACGACAATTTCTTGTTCAAGCCTATCAATTTGACTAGTAAGACGAGATCGTGTATCGTACTCTTGTCGTTCAAGATTGTTCTAAAGAAATTATAAGTCGGTATAAAATTCATATATTCATAATCGCATAAGAACAAAAGTGAAAGTTTTAGATTTAACATTCCAGATGCAGTAGCGGCTTAGGGGGAGTGACTGGGCTACAGCCAGGGGACAGTATTTTTTTTAGTTTTAGGGGGGGCGCAGCCGCTGTAGTATTTTTAAAATAATATAGTAGAAAGTAGTCATGATTGTCAAAAAGAGGTAATGCTAGAGTTGAATTGAAAATTTCAATCCTACGTTAATACACAAAATCAGAGTAATGTACGATCTGCATCAAAGATACACATCATAGATTAACGTAACATTTAGGAGGTGTAATTTGTCTGTTTTCACAAAAGTTGTATAAATACACATAATGTGGAGGCGCCCTATCTGAAAATATACGTAACCAGGGGCCCAAGACACCTTTAATCCGCCACTGTTCAGATGTGACACAATTAATAAAACAATGTGGTGAATAAATGTTGATCAACAAAAGACCAACTTTACAATGGTTAATTATGGTTCGAACAGTCAGTAATGAGAAGCCTGCAATCAGGTAGGCAATCAAGTACGTAACCAATCATTGAGTTACAGTAAATCAAGTAGCCAATCATTGACTAACAGTAACTCAAGTAACCAATCATTTAGTTACTGTAAATCAAGTAACCAATCATTGAGTAACAGTAAATCAAGTAACCAATCATTGAGTAACAGTAAATCAAGTAACCAATCATTGAGTAACAGTAAATCAAGTAACCAATCATTTAGTTACAGTAAATCAAATAACCAATCATTGAGTAACAGTAAATCAAGTAACCAATCATTGAATATCAGTAAATCAAATAGCCAATCCTTGAGTAACAGTAAATCAAATAGCCAATCATTGAGTAACAATAAATGAAGTAACCAATCATTGAGTAACAGTAAATCAAGTAACCAATCATTGAGTAACAGTAAATCAAGTAGCCAATCATTGAGTAACAGTAAATCAAGTAGCCAATCATTGAGTAACAATAAATGAAGTAACCAATCATTGAGTAACAATAAATGAAGTAACCAATCATTTAGTTACAGTAAATCAAGCAGCAAAAGACACATAGATAATCGCACAGTTTATTGTGGTAAAACAAACCTGTATTGTTTGAAGATTGGTCAACAAAACATTCTGTCCTTTTTGTTGCTTCACTAAAGATTTATTCTCTTCTAAAAGTCTTGCCTCCGCTTGCTTTAGAATATTTTTTTCTTCCGTTAAATTCTCATACATCACCTAAATGTTAGGATGTATATTTCAATAAACAATAACAAATGTCGTGTGACTCAATTCATTTTTGCTACTTTTAAACTTACAATAAAAACAAAGATTACATTTACAACTTATTCATTGTAACTACCGTATGTTAGATCTTATATTTCGAGCTGTTATTCTCAAAAAATGGGTGGTATTTGATGACGTAATATTTCGCTCACCTCACTTCTCATTAATCTTTCTTTCGTTTCCATCATTTCCTGTTTGCTGTTCTCACACGAAACCTCCATTTTGGCGCAGCTCAAAGACATCTTCTCGCATTTATCTCGTAAAGCGTCTGCCTCACGCTTCAAACTGACATTATTATTGTCCAGCAGCTTGCAACGGTCATTGGCGTGTTCAAGCTGGGGAAAATCATAGATAATAAGGGGTACGTAAGAACAATCATTGATAATTGATGGCTTGTGATTAGAGGATTGGGATGTAATAAATAAGTCTACCTGTGAAATGATTTGGGCATTTTTAATGTTCAATTGAGCAATAGTACTCTGTAGTTCTTCATTCTTTTCCTTTATTTCCCTGATCATAAAGCAACAAGAACTCATATTTCAAACAAAGACATTATCATAGCTAAAGAAGAGTAAAAATGAATAAAAACCTTAACATTTAACAAACGATATAATTAAGTAGGTTCGCCTTACGTTTCATTGGCTAATCTCTCATTTTTGTAAGCCTCAAATTGTTTTTGCAATTCCCTCAAAGCATTGCCAGTTTCGTCCGTTTTTGAAGATTCTCCGTAATTCTGACTTTCATCCAACAATTGCCGAGGTTTAATCTAAAATGTAATCAAACAACGGAAGAAGACATTACTGATCACAGTCTACATGATATTACGAAGGCTTTGCGTATGCTGAAGATACTGCTTTGGATTCAATTCCAACAGAAATCTGAGATAGCAAAAATATGTCACTTTTTCAAATAAAATTGCTTCTTGCATTTTTTGATTTAGTTTAGTTTGTATTTAAGGATAGATCTAAACTTTGTAAATATCTGATTATCTAAACCTATCTTTTGCCTTTACAATTATTTCATAGTTTGGTGATTTATGTAATTCTAGTTGTACAAAAGAACGTCCCTTGTGAATATCAAAGTCGATTGAGGGGACCAGCGTGTTAAAATAAAGATTTTCATTTGTTCATAAAAAAATTATTCCATTTTCGTAAAGACCTCGTTCCTTTATCGCTTGGACTGTATGAAACACCTCAGGCCATAATCTCCCATACACACCTCAGGCTCTGTTATAAATCATCAATAACAAAACTTTTACACAGTTTAAAAAACAAGCGTAAAGAACTGACCGAAGTGTGACCAAGGCTCCGTTATAAGTCATTAAAAACAAACTTTTACACAGTTTAAAAAACAAGCGTAAAGAGCTGACCGAAGTGTGACCAAGGCTCCGTTATAAGTCATTAAAAACAAACTTTTACACAGTTTAAAAAACAAGCGTAAAGAACTGACCGAAGTGTGACCAAGGCTCCGTTATAAGTCATTAAAAACAAACTTTTACACAGTTTAAAAAACAAGCGTAAAGAACTGACCGGAGTGTGACCAAGGGTCCGTTATAAATCATCAATAACAAAACTTTTACACAGTTTAAAAAACAAGCGTAAAGAACTGACCAGAGTGTGACCAAGGCTCCGTTATAAATCATCAATAACAAAACTTTTACACAGTTTAAAAAACAAGCCTAAAGAACTGACCGGAGTGTGACCAAGGCTCCGTTATAAATCATCAATAACAAAACTTTTACACAGTTTAAAAAACAAGCGTAAAGAACTGACCGAAGTGTGACCAAGGCTCCGTTATAAATCATCAATAACAAAACTTTTACACAGTTTAAAAAACAAGCGTAAAGAACTGACCGAAGTGTGACCAAGGCTCCGTTATAAATCATCAATAACAAAACTTTTACACAGTTTAAAAAACAAGCGTAAAGAACTGACCGGAGTGTGACCAGGCTCCGTTATAAATCATCAATAACAAAACTTTTACACAGTTTAAAAAACAAGCGTAAAGAACTGACCGGAGTGTGACCATTATTTGCCAGTAAAACACGATACATATCTCGTTGTCTCACAACAGCTTCAACCTAAAGAAATAAATGAATTTATGGTATTAAATTTTTCTATCTGAAAAAATTTACCACATGTTATAAATATATGTTTACAAGATGGGATTTTTAATTTTTGTAAAGACAACAGCATTTCATACGACCCGCAATTTACCATTGATGTTTGTCTTTGACGACTATCTTTCAATTCTTCAAGTTCTTGTAATGCTTCATCCAGTTTACGTTTCATATCAATTTGACTGTAAACAAAGATTTATTTCAAATAGCACTTTCAAAACATCAAATTAATCTCAGTCGCGGCCTTCTTTCAAAGTTTGTTAAAATGTGTTCGTTAATGATCAATGATATGTGACATATCCAAGACATAAATTACATTTTATTATCCTTCTCTCTTTGTTCTTCTTTTTCTTTCTCTTCACTGAGTTCTCGAATCACTGTCAACAATCTTTGATTTTGTTCTTGAAGTTCTTCAATATTTCTAGAAATGCATACAATCATTTTTACCAATCAATAACTGAGAAGGTTAACTGTATAAGATGATTTACAAATTACAAATTCACCAATTTTTAAAAACTGTGTTCAATGTAAAAAAAACGTGTTCAATGTAAAAACAAACGTGTTCAATGTAAAAACATTGTGTTCAATGTAAAAAACGTGTTCAATGTAAAAACAAACGTGTTCAATGTAAAAACAAACGTGTTCAATGTAAAAACATTGTGTTCAATGTAAAAAACGTGTTCAATGTAAAAAACGTGTTCAATGTAAAAACAAACGTGTTCAATGTAAAAACATTGTGTTCAATGTAAAAAAAACGTGTTCAATGTAAAAACAAACGTGTTCAATGTAAAAAAAACGTGTTTAATGTAAAAAAAAAGTGTTCAATGTAAAAAAAACGTGTTCAATAAATAAAATAATTATGATTTTTAGCATTTAATGATTATCAAAAATTACTAACCTGAATGTAACAAGTCTTTTGGAAATAACTTCTGAAGAGCTGGATACTTCGTTGTAAGATTGAGTAAGTTCATCTAAGCCCATACTTGATGTAGTGCTAACAACAGAGCCTCTTGCTTCTTCACATTCTTTAAGCAACACCTTAACCTGAAAAAATCACAACTGCTCTAACAAAAAACTAAAATGAACTAAATACGTAAATCTATAAGTAGCATAAGCACCTGTGAAGCAAGATCTGCCGTCAGAATTTTCATTCTTTCATTTTCACGTCGTAAATGTTCAGATTTCTGAACTGCTTCACTTGTTTCCATGCTGAAATTTTCCATCTCCTGAAAAGCAAAAAAATTATTCGCACTTTTCTATGCACGCATAAAGGCGTGATGAACTCATTTATTAATTTTTGACATTACGTCATTATTTTTTTAACATTACGTCACCTTCATTGCATTCTCAAGTTTTGTCGTTAATTTATCGATGGTAATGAGAGCAGCTTCGTAATCTTTTTTTTGTTCTTGAAGTAATGGGGCTTTCTCTTCAATATCCTGGAACATAAATTATATTTTACTCAACATATAAGAACTGCATTTCACCAACATTCCTTATACTTATTGTGAAAAGTAAATACGTCAATCATCAATCTATTTACGTATCATTCATTTTTAACCATTTCTTTTGTTTTAAAAAAACCCATAATACCTTCAATATATCATCAAGATAGCCTTTCAAACGACCATTCTCGACCTTTTCAATTTCCAGAGAATCAAGAGTCTCTATGTATTGGTTATAAATCTGAAAATAAGAAAACGAAAATAGGAACAAGATACATATTAACGGAGGTCATCAGAGAAGATAGTATGGATAAGGTTGACACCAAAGAGTTACCATAGAACATAGGATGGTACATTACCTGCGTTAATGTCATTCCCGACTTTAAGAAAGCGCTAGATGGTACATTACCTGCGTTAATGTCATTCCTGACTTTAAGAAAGCGCTAGTAGCAGCTGCTGTAGGAGAGAGAGCCGCTAGAGTTTCTGCTGACATTGGAGCCATTCCTGTGAAAGAAAGAACAAATAAATGATAAACTTTCAATATTGTTCAATCATTTATTTTTGCCATATTAACCTCGTTGGCGAGCTGCTTCTAGTAAATCATTGGCGTTTTTTAATTCATTCTCCAGCGTTTGTATTTTCTCATCTAAATTAAAGAGATGGTGACATATGAAAGCAATAAATCATAAAATCGTTTATAAAAAAAGTGGAAAAACAAACCATATTCTTTAACAATATTTTCTTGATTGGCTTCACTTTCAGAAAATTTTCCTTCAACTTCAACACGATCTATATAATAATTACATTAGCAAACCACATTCCGCAGTAGTAATTACTCTACATGTAGTCAGTACATTCGTATGAAGGACTCAATCACTAGCTAAAGCTAGGGATGTCAAAACGTTAGTCAACATCAAATTCAAGACTCAAACCATTCAGTAAAATAAATATCATTGGTAGTAATATGTAAATAGATAAAAGCAAAATTTCCCAGGAATCTGTAACATGAAACGTTTGTGCAAATATTTAACACTAAACATAAAAAGTCTTACTTTCATTTGCTTCATTTAATAACTTTTGAAGTTCTTCCACTGCGCTCACAAGTTCATCACATTTTGACTTTGACGATTCAGAAGAATCCTAAACAACACATGATCTTGTATACAAACAAAGTTTTTGAGTAATACATATGTTCAGAACGAATGATCGTAGTTTAACATCTAAATACGTATGTACGTAGCCTCGTTCTCATGTTGAAGCGTTTGTTAACCTTGTATAATAGAGCAAGTTTACTCTGAGAGGCCAGTTCCAGTTTATAATGTTCCTCCGTCTTTGCATAGTGGTCACGTGTCTAAGAACGATTAAATGAAAACGGGACTAAGAAAGTCGAAGTGGCCACGTTTCTAAGAAAAATGAAACCATCACGTCGTTCAAATCACAAAAAATTCATACTTCTTTTAACTTATCAACAAAAGTGTTAAGGTTAGTCTTTAAGTCCTCATTCTCTTTTTTCAAGTTCTCGTTTAAAGTCTCTAATTTGTTTGCCTGAACCACAAAAAAAAACGAAGAAAAAATAAAAAAATGAAATTTCAAATAAAAAAGAAAAAAATGTAAAAATATAAATGAGATTTTACAACGTATCAACATAAGTAGGACAAAAAGATAATTCAAAGTTTACCTCATCAATTTTTGCATCTAATGATGTTTGCAGCTGGGCAATAGTTAAGCTCTGAACAACAATAAACAAGATTCATAAATTACATAAATCTGTTCAGTAATGATAGTTTTTGCCAGTTATCATACAAATTCTCAATAGAAATATTAGAGCCCAAAAAATAATTTTAAACATAATCATAAACAATTTGGTTTTTGGTTTTATGTTTATGACTATGTTTAAAATTATTTGTTGCGCTCTAATATTTATATTGAGAATCCGTTTCCTGCCTGGCACTTCATTGGCAACAATATTGATAAATAGTTATTATACAAGTCTATTCAGTCAAAGACTTGTTTATCAATTTATACGTCAGGTCTACTTAAAATGTAAACAACATAACTAGAGAAATGTTACAAAAATTTTGCCTCACCTTTTCTTTCCTCAAAGTGAAATAAGCTTCAGACTTTTCTTTTAATTGTGTTTCAAACCAGTCTTTTTGTTTCATCAAAAGTTCTTTCTCCTCAACTAGTCTTCTTTCTTTAAGCTACACAACAAAAAAGATCTTTATGTTTTACTGGAGTATCAACAAGGTTTTCCACAAGGGGAGACAATGGTACACAAAATGCAAATTTTTGAGCTAAAAGCTTTGACATCAGAAAATCAAATGACAAAGGAAATTAATCGACAATTCAGTTGCTATTAATTTAATGGAAACACTTAATAAATTCAGTTTAATTTTTTCTCCAACAAGTAAACATGCAATTCAACACAACAAAAACAGGAAGACATTAGCATTTGAATCACTACAGGTCAAAAATGCCCATGAATAGAGCAGATTTGTGTCATATAAAGTTTATTTATTGTATGACTTACAATACATATATAATGGGAATCTACATCAAATGAAATCAAAAATATATTTGCAGAAGTTACTTTCTTAAATCAAACCTGATAAGATGTTTCTTTACTAGTAAGTTCATCCAATTTGACCTGCCAGCAGATTGACAAGAGTTAAATCAAACAAAAAACAGACAAAATAAAGTAATATGCTGCCAAAATCATTTGACTATTTGGGAAAAAATGATCCACAAACCTTTGCCTCACATTGTAGATTATTTGCATGGCTCACTTTTTCAAACATTGTTTTCCATTCCTCTAAATATTTGAATAATAAATTATAACTTAATTGACAATGTACATGAGACTGAAAATGTCACCAACTAATATTTGCAATATCATCCTATTCCTAAGAAGATGAAAACATCCTTACCATTGAGTCTGTCAATTTCCTGATTTTTTCTCTGCAATGTGGTCACAAAGTTTATTTTCTCCCCTTCCAGACTTTCATTTTGGAGTGAGACTTTGGACTAAAATAACATGAAGAAAAATTTTCATTCACAATAGAATGACCAATCTTTTGACCAATGTTCAACATTAACAACTAATAACTTTTATAAAACATACAAGATTTGTAAGTGCTTCGTCTTTTGATGACTCTACTTCACTTAAATGTCTGGATTTCAATGCCAATGCTTCAACTAATCAAACGACAAGTTAAAAAGTAATGTGATATTATATCTATTGAAAGGAAAGATCCTTTTTGTCCTACTTTGCATTGTGCAACCAAGTTCTTTGTGTGTCCTAGCTACCTTGTGCTAAAAAACAAACTCCCTACATACGTAGTGCTCCATATGGAATCATCCAATCAACTTCTGTAGCATTTTAAAATAAAGTTCCACTGTGTCATACCTAACATTCTATAACAATGAACTATTTTATATGCCATCATGCATAGACACAACCACATATGCCTTCCCTGAAAAAATTTCCCCACCTTTCAAATTAGTAAGTTTATGCAAAATTACAAGCCTTTTTAAAAATATGTGAAATATGACACAATAACAATAGTTCAAAACTTTGTGATGTTGCAAAGGTTAATATGCAGCTGTTGAATGTTCCATCTTCGATTATTTATTCTTCAATATACAATAAAGAAATTTTTAAAAAAAATATACATAACAACTTATTGACAATATAATTTGAAAACATGCAATAAGGAATTAGTAATTAATAATTGTATTTTTAGAGCCTACCTGTCTCTTCCAAACGTTTCTTTAAATCTTCATTTGATTTTGTTTCTTGTTCCAATTTACTATTGCATGAAATCAATTGCTTTTCAAGTTGATTAAATTGTTGATCTGAAATCATAATTATTAATTGATCTGAAATAATAATTTAATCAATGCAAAAAACATAAGGATAAACCATCAAATCTTGCTATAGATGTACGTAAGTGCTATAAAAATCATGGTTATAAATACGTCCGAAACAATTTTCTTACAATATGTTTCATTTGTCATTATAAAATAAACATAATGAAACGCTTGCGCTGATTGGTCTAGAGAGCTGTGTTTGCATTAGCCTGTGCAAAACACATCTAAGCTCAACCAATCAAATCAATCAATCAATCACAACAATCAATCAGTCAAAGAGAATTTGCAAATCGATCATGAATACATTTTAGAGGAGGAATTAAAAACATTTACTTTTAATTTGTCTGTTTCACATTATTGTTGCATTATAAAAGAAATAAAAGATGTTTTTCGTGTTTGCACTGGCTTATGTAAACCTCGGAGATGTTTGTGAGAACTCTCGATAATGTGCAACCTTTGGTCTAGGGCTTGCACTGATCTGCTCTCGATTTCTCCCAAAGGTCTCCTCAATTTGCATAAGCTGTGCAAACACAGTAAACATCTTTTATTTCTTAATTGAATTTTATTAAGGAACAAAGAAGATTTTTTACAAAAAGTGCAAGTCACAAATAAAAAGAATGAGCAAATAAAGATTGCATTTATTCAAAATTTCCCATTAACGCATTAATGGTTGAAGATGCTAAGATGGAAAAAACTCATAAATAAGATACTTACAAACATTCAGTGTTTAAACGAGTTAAAACTAAAACATCAAAAAATCAATAAAACTATGAATCACAATATCAAACATTTCATTGAAGCAAAGTAAGTGGACTGTCTTTCTCTGGTGAAAACAACAGACATCATTGGACAATCATTATGAAAATTTTAACTATGGCAGCAATGTGAATTCCATTTGACTAACAAGGTGTACTCATATAAATTATGTCTTTAGACTAAAACTTTCACGTCTAATACTGTTGCATGCAAAAACTAAAAGTTTAAAAACTGAAGTTAGGTTTTTTTGAACTTCCTTGTACGGAAAAATATAGTACGACTTTCTTTGGGTGATATTCATAGTGTCAGTCAGTGTCCTACACGTTCTGTATAATAAAAATTTGAGACGATTGACATCAGTGAAATTAGTGATTACTAAGATACGTATACTCAAAATCAAATACGCCATATATTTACATAACACAAAAGAACGAAAATAAACAAAAATAACGAGTCATCATTTACATTACTTAACGAAAAATTAAACTCTACGAGCAAAACATGCATTCATAAGTGTTTATTTCATTATACCTGCATTGACACGTGAACGACGAAGATTCTGAAGATTTGAGACTAATTTCTCTTTGTTAAATTTTTCTCGTGATACATAATCACTGATTTCTTTCAATGCCAACTTCCCTTCCTCGCTACTATCTGCAATACTGGACAAGACTGTCCTGGAAAGTCGTGTTTCATCGCACAACATTTCCCAATTTTCTGTAGCTACATTCGCCATCTTTGAAGGTTCAATGATCTAGAGTCGAGAGAGAAGACTAAGTTCGAACGAAGGGGCATTCGTAGAAAAGCATCTATGCTTGCCATCTGGAAACAGATTTTAAAGATTTAAAATCTTATAAAAGATTTTAAAGTAGACTAATTTAAATCAAAAGTTAAGTCTTCAATTGGGTAAGTCTTTAAAACTACATGATGTAATTTTAAAGACTTGGTCAGTTATTCCATAAGTACAAAATAATGTAGCAGTTTATAATTTCTTCTTCTCGCCAGATTTACTTATTTGTAAATCAGTAGTCACATGCCATACTCAAAACTTTCCAGTATGTTTTTTTCTGAGGTATCTTGTATATTAAATAGTTTTTTGGCTCAGTTAGTTGGTGCAACTTTTTATTATACACTACAATTCTCACACCCATTCTTGGTGACTTCTTTGCCAAAGCAATACGACCTTAAATCGTGAAGAATGTCACAATGCATTTGATAAAACTTTGTACGTTGTTCTCTCCAATTGTAGTTTCAATATATTTTCCCAAATTATGTGGCAAACATCTGCTCAAAAAATTGTTCATATTCCTCACAAATGTCACTAAAAAATTGATAAAAATCCCCGAAACTCCTTCTTATTAACAACAAATATTTTACTAACATGTACAAGGCACAAACTGACCAAGTAGTCTAATATCATGTATTTTTGAAGACTTACCCAAATAAAGTCGTCATTTTCGCTTCTGATAATACAAATGGTTGATTGAACCTAATTTCTACCTAAATTTTGTCTGCGATCATTAATTCTACATTCGAATCAATTTTGAAGTAAAAATCCTTCCTCTTAAAGTTATTTTGAAACTATGTGTGTTTTGTAGGGTTGTTTACTCCTTCGAATTTGCGAATCAAGATTCACTGTAACATACCTTCATCTACAGTAATCTACTGCTATCCAATGTAACATACTGTCATCTACAGTAATCTACTGCTATCCACTGTAACATACCGTCATCTACAGTAATCTACTGCTATCCACTGTCACATACCGTCATCTACAGTAATCTACTGCTATCCAATGTAACATACCGTCATCTACAGTAATCTACTGCTATCCACTGTAACATACCGTCATCTACAGTAATCTACTGCTATCCACTGTAACATACCGTCATCTACAGTAATCTACTGCTATCCACTGTAACATACCGTCATCTACAGTAATCTACTGCTATCCAATGTAACATACCGTCATCTACAGTAATCTACTGCTATCCACTGTCACATACCGTCTCTACAGTAATCTACTGCTATCCACTGTAACATACCGTCATCTACAGTAATCTACTGCTATCCACTGTAACATACCGTCATCTACAGTAATCTACTGCTATCCACTGTCACATACCATCATCTACTGTAATCTACTGCTATCCACTGTCACATACCGTCATCTACAGTAATCTACTGCTATCCACTGTCACATACCGTCATCTACAGTAATCTACTGCTATCCACTGTCACATACCGTCATCTACAGTAATCTACTGCTATCCACTGTCACATACCGTCATCTACAGTAATCTACTGCTATCCACTGTCACATATCGTCATCTACAGTAATCTACTGCTATCCACTGTCACATACCGTCATCTACAGTAATCTACTGCTATCCACTGTCACATACCGTCATCTACAGTAATCTACTGCTATCCACTGTCACATACCGTCATCTACAGTAATCTACTGCTATCCACTGTCACATACCGTCATCTACAGTAATCTACTGCTATCCACTGTCACATACCGTCATCTACAGTAATCTACTGCTATCCACTGTCACATACCGTCATCTACAGTAATCTACTGCTATCCACTGTCACATACCGTCATCTACTGTAATCTACTGCTATCCACTGTCACATACCGTCATCTACAGTAATCTACTGCTATCCACTGTCACATACCGTCATCTACAGTAATCTACTGCTATCCACTGTAACATACCGTCATCTACAGTAATCTACTGCTATCCACTGTAACATACCGTCATCTACAGTAATCTACTGCTATCCACTGTCACATACCGTCATCTACAGTAATCTACTGCTATCCACTGTAACATACCGTCATCTACAGTAATCTACTGCTATCCACTGTAACATACCGTCATCTACAGTAATCTACTGCTATCCACTGTCACATACCGTCATCTTCTGTAATCTACTGGTATCCACTGTCACATACCGTCATCTACTGTAATCTACTGCTATCCACTGTCACATACCGTCATCTACAGTAATCTACTGCTATCCACTGTCACATACCGTCATCTACAGTAATCTACTGCTATCCACTGTAACATACCGTCATCTACAGTAATCTACTGCTATCCACTGTAACATACCGTCATCTACAGTAATCTACTGCTATCCACTGTCACATACCGTCATCTACAGTAATCTGCTGCTATCCACTGTAACATACCGTCATCTTCTGTAATCTACTGCTATCCACTGTCACATACCGTCATCTTCTGTAATCTGCTGCTATCCACTGTAACATACCGTCATCTACAGTAATCTACTGCTATCCACTGTAACATACCGTCATCTACAGTAATCTACTGCTATCCACTGTAACATACCGTTATCTACTGTAATCTACTGCTATCCACTGTCACATACCGTCATCTACAGTAATCTGCTGCTATCCACTGTCACATACCGTCATCTACAGTAATCTACTGCTATCCACTGTCACATACCGTTATCTACTGTAATCTACTGCTATCCACTGTCACATACCGTCATCTACAGTAATCTACTGCTATCCACTGTCACATACCGTCATCTACAGTAATCTACTGCTATCCACTGTAACATACCGTCATCTACTGTAATCTACTGCTATCCACTGTAACATACCGTCATCTACAGCAATCTACTGCTATCCACTGTAACATACCGTCATCTACAGTAATCTACTGCTATCCACTGTCACATACCGTCATCTACAGTAATCTACTGCTATCCACTGTAACATACCGTCATCTTCTGTAATCTACTGCTATCCACTGTCACATACCGTCATCTTCTGTAATCTACTGCTATCCACTGTAACATACCGTCATCTACAGTAATCTACTGCTATCCACTGTAACATACCGTCATCTACAGTAATCTACTGCTATCCACTGTAACATACCGTCATCTACAGTAATCTAATGCTATCCAATGTAACATACCGTCATGTACAGTAATCTACTGCTATCCACTGTAACATACCGTCATCTACAGTAATCTACTGCTATCCACTGTCACATACCGTCATCTACTGTAATCTACTGCAATCCACTGTAACATACCTTCATCTACTGTAATCTACTGCTATCCAATGTCACATACCGTAATCTACTTTTTCGTACCGCTACCAAACGTCAACTACTGTAACATTAAGTCATCAAACGATTGTGCTATCATTGATCGTTTGTTCTGTGATTGTGCTACTAAAGGTAATAATGACAAAGTCATTTTATGTTGATTGTGCCATGTTGACGTACGTAAAACATCGAATTATTCGTACAAGGATAGAAAATGGTAATGAAGGATTAGTGATTATAAAAACATATTTGTATTGGGTGTAAAATAAAAAGACAAGCCTATTTTACAATTCCAATGCTCCCATCACTAACTATGCTAAGATTATGGACATGCATACATTAAATATCTTTGTCACAAGCATATAAACTGACACAAGCTTCTCTGCTCCTGGGAATTCACACCACATCTATTTGCAAAATGAAACATCGTAATTGAGGCAATCAACGATTTATGTAGTTACAACGAATGACTGACTCAGTAAAAATTCATTAATTATAACGCATAAAAATTTTGGTTTACTTATGAAAAACGTGAAGTTTGTATATCATGTACATTACACAATTCCCTCAGTCTTTTCTGTCCAGGAAATCAATTTTTTAAATATAAAAGAAGATTATAACAGGAAAAACGAAAAGATAGATGGAGGTTGAATTGTTTTGGTGATCATTATCGAGATATTTAACTAGATATCTCGACTCTTGTCAAAGGCCATTATTGGTTCATTTTCATTCTGTATCTCTCTACATCCTTTGTTATAATCCACAATTTATACAAACATTGGTGATCAATCAATCTGCATAAGATATCCCGTATCATGAAACATTTCCAGGGGCTTCATCTTGTTAACTCCATGTGACACCTCAATCCTTTCTTAAAATCTCTGCTCGTTTAGTTTCACTGCCTATTACAGATACAAGCTGGCAGCAAATACAATGTCCCTTTTGATCTTCGTTATCCCTGTAACGTAATGAATGTATTCTATGTTTAACTTATCTTTTTTGACCTTATAGAAAATTTCTTTACCTTCAGCAAATTTATTTTCTAATTCAGTGTTTCCAATTGCTTTAGCAGCTTGACACATCTGTCTTAGAAGTTCTTCCAATCGTCTCATACAACGAATTACACTTCCTATTAAGGTACAAACAGTTGATTACGTCACAAATATATATGTTATTCACAGGCTGGGAGGTCCGTGTGAAAAAAATATTTTCACGAGCCACGAGGCCGAGGGACGTATTTGAAGCCCAGTGGAAATATTTTTTAAGTTTGGACCGACCTAAACGGTAAAATAAGATAATTATTTTTAATTTTTATAACGAAGAAATTCGCGTTGTAAAATGAACAATATGCGGCTTGTTTATACTTGCATTAATTTTGTACAAAATTCACTTTCGCTATGAAAACTACCATATGAATACACTTTGTTTTCTCTTTAAATAATTTACATCGCTTTTAAATCAATTTTAAACATTTATATTTCACTTCGTAAACGAACACTTTGCCAAAAAAATATCACTTTTAAACCACGGTCAAGATATCGTAAAAAGCTGCCCGCAGCTGCAGCCAGTCAGATTGCAGGAAACCAAAAAAAATCACTTCGCATGCATAAATGAAAATAAAATATAATTATTTAATGTTGAATGTCATCGTAGTCATACCTTCAAAAACATCTGTCATTTTACAAATTTGTGAGAATGAAGCGCCTTTACTCCATGAGTAAACAACATCCATTATTTGTGGTTTAAATGACTCGACATAATCTTCAATTTCGACATCAAGTTTAGCTTCTTGAGAAACTTTTGCAATTCTTCTGGCAGTTTCCTGAAGTTGCCGTAATGGTCCTGATAATTGCTCGCTCATTTTTGGCATCTCTGAACTCTACATGACGTAAATAAATGAATAAATTATGGTGAGCAAAAGCAAAATCAAGCAGTCGTTTAAATATATTTTAAAGTAGTATTATTATTATTTATTAATATATTATAAAACAGTAATACCTTTTCTTGAAAAATAAAACAGCTAAGTAAAGCAGTACATTGTTCAACAGTAAGATCATTAAAGACCCCATTGAAAATCATTTCAGTCAAAACGAGTTCATCAGCACTATAGCATTAAAAAAGAAACGTTGTATAAAAATATACACGACAAATAAAACATACATAAAAATAATTCTTAAAAAATATGAACGAAAAGCAACTTTGGAAGGCCATAACATTAAATTAAGAAGTCATAATAAATAAAATTATATGACCTGCTAATTTCACACGCTACTCTTCCTTTAAGCTCAATAACGTCAGCTGATGTTGAATAACCCAATCTAAAATATTCGAAAATTAATTCATTTAGTAAAATAACACTTGGAGTAAAATAAATTTTACGTCAAGAGAAACTCACTTCGCTCTGATTTCAAAAACACAAAAATTTTCATACCTTCGTAAAACTCTTTTTCTGCACTTTAGTTCGTCCATTTGTAAAACTGTTCGACATTTTTTTATCTCCTTTTGGCTTGCTTTATATCTTCATCAAACTGCAATAACACAATTTAAGTCAGTAAACACAAAGAAAAAGATTTTTTTCTATGCATTGTACAAATAAAATTGTGATAAATAAATAAACAATGAAGTATGTATGTGAGTGTTGACGTTAAAATGCTGCGTAACAATTACTTTGGATTTCTGCTCGCACAACTGATAAAGAGATTCACGATCTGGATCTTTTTGCATCGGATGAGTGTACAGTTTATGTTCTAGTGCTTCAATTTTCTGAAAAACATTTCAATCAATATCTTCATTACATACGTAGATAAAGTTTATGTTTCGCAACTTCAACTGTAAAAATCAGTTAACAGAAAAGCAAAAAAAAAACATGAGGTCTTACCCTAACTATTGATTTAAGACCTTCGTCTTTAATTCCCATGTCATCGATAGGATCCAATAAAGGTAGACCATCTTTAAAGCGTTTTTTTACTTCCTAAAAAAAATAAAAACCGGACAATAGCTGTTAGACAGTCATGGTTATAACAATGTTAGATAGTTATAAGCTTTGTTTGAAGATCAGCTCCAGCATTTAAAAAATCCGATAAATACTTGATATCATTCAAAAACTAAAAACTTCGCTAGCAATATTTAAAAACTTTTGTATTAAAAGCTCCAAGATGACAGCTAACCTGTATAGATTTTCCAACATTCTGTCTCGCATCAAGAGATCGAATATCTTTAGGAATATATAATCTTACACTACTTATAGCTTGAATTAACTTTAATAAGACAGGAATAACCTAATGTAAAGAGAAAAATGTTAGAGACAAATAAAAAATAAATTTCAGTCTATCGTAATTGTGAGCGGATTATCTTTGATAAAAAATATGAAATCATTGTTGTTGAAGTTTACACCATGCTGGAAAACAGTTGAATATTACATATACGTAAACGGCCGGATGGTTCGGTTTAGAAAAATATTTTCCCAAGGTCTAAAAAAATAGCTCAAGGCCGCATGTCGAGGGAATTATTTGAGACCAAGGAGAAGTGTTTTTCCATCCACACCGACCTAAACAGTAAATAACGTATTTATTTTTTTATTGAAGGCAACAATCTCACTAGATTGCTTAATCAGATTCAATAATGGCGGCCAAGTAAACAATCAAAACTTTCCTCCTCGTTTTACTTCAAAATTTAAAATAGGTTATTACAATCAAAAGTTGGTTGATAACTTCTTTTTTAAAACAAAACGGAACAAACAAAATAAAAAGAAGCAAGTTTTTGCTCAAGTTTTTAGCTACAGGATTCCGGACCGCAGTCAAGATATTGTAAAAAACCGCCCCCTGCTGCAGCCAATCAGATTGCAGAAAAGGTTAGGATTCACACGACACAATGGTAAGTCGTTACCTGCATTTCGCCTTTCTCTCCCGGTGGACAAGGATTAGGAATGTTTCCACTTGCTGTCTTAGTTGGTTTCAATGAACAGTTAACCAAAACTTCCAACACGTAAAGGGTTTCATCACTAACATTTCCCGACTAAATTATTTTCAATTTCAGAAAAATAGAGCTCATGGAAAACAAATTTATTTCTAATTACACTATGATTAAATGGATTACGCAGTTATAAATTTTACCTTGTGCTTTGCCTTTTTCTGAAAATTTATGACAACTCCCCAATCAAAATCCATATCTTCATGTTTTACCTGTTTCAAAATCAACAATTCAACTTGTTTATAGACCAAAGTTTCTTTTACATAATCTTAACAACATAACTACGAGCATCATCAACTAAACTCTAAAGGAACAACAACGCTTTTATATCATTAATTATAAATAAAAAAAGGGAACTTACGTGAACCAGACGTCCAGGTTGCATGAAAGGCAAACAATATTTTGGTCGATGAATAAATCCCTTGAAAAGAAGAACTGTTCATCACACATCTATAAAGTGATTGAACTGAAATATCCCGACTTACCACCATCTAGGATATTCTTACTACAACATACCACCATCTAGGATATTCTTACTACAACATACCACCATCAAGGATATTCTTACTACAACATACTACCATCTAGGATATTCTTACTACAACATACCACCATCTAGGATATTCTTACTACAACATACCACCATCAAGGATATTCTTACTACAACATACTACCATCTAGGATATTCTTACTACAACATACTACCATCTAGGATATTCTTACTACAACATACTACCATCTAGGATATTCTTACTACAACATACTACCATCTAGGATATTCTTACTACAACATACTACCATCTAGGATATTCTTACTACAACATACCACCATCTAGGATATTCTTACTACAACATACTACCATCTAGGATATTCTTACTACAACATACCACCATCTAGGATATTCTTACTACAACATACCACCATCTAGGATATTCTTACTACAACATACTACCATCTAGGATATCCTTACTACAACATACTACCATCTAGGATATTCTTACTACAACATACTACCATCAAGGATATTCTTACTACAACATACTACCATCTAGGATATTCTTACTACAACATACCACCATCTAGGATATTCTTACTACAACATACTACCATCTAGGATATTCTTACTACAACATACTACCATCTAGGATATTCTTACTACAACATACTACCATCTAGGATATTCTTACTACAACATACCACCATCTAGGATATTCTTACTACAACATACCAACATATCATCACCAAGTTTCTTCAGTTGGTGTCGGATTTTATAAAATGATGCAATGGATTCTTCATTATGAATAACAATGGCGTCACGCTTTGTCTCTAAATCCTTTAACTCTTCAATGAAATATAATCGTAAATAAATCGAATGCATTTTCATCATAAAATAAAATGAATATAGTTGCATTACAAAACAATATGACGTATAATTATGCACTGATAGTAGATAGAAATATAGAATACCAAAAATTACAACAAAAAATAACATTAATTTCTGCTAAATTTATGAAGGATTTAGAAAGGTTTCAAATGCTCTAATTGCAAGATTGTGTTCCATAAACATGTGTCATATTTACTTTGTATCATTTCAGGAATAGTAGCGTAGTTTTGATATTGATAAAATGATCGTTCCAACATTATCTCCGGGTTCACCTCCTCAACACGCAGTAAATTCAAAACCATGTTGTAAGTAAGGCGAAATGCACTGTTTAATGGATCTGCACTACCCTACAAAAACAGCCAACAAAGAATTTATAGCGTATTTCAATAAAAGTCAATAAAATCATCAAGATATGAAATGAAAGCACGCTGACATAGAAAAATGAAATAACAATGACGAATAATTTGAAGAAAAGACATTGGGAATGAAAAAAGGTTAAAAAGAAAAAAATCTTACTTTCAATAACCCTTTTCCAATATCTGATCCCATTTTTTCATCAATTATAAGAATAACGATCCCACGATCATCCAACCCACGACGTCCAGCACGACCTGACATTTGTATATATTCCCCGGATGTTATCTACATATATAAATTACGACTTTACGCACTTATCATCTTGATCATTGACTATGGTTTATACTGACCATCTTGATCATTGACTATGGTTTATACTGACCATCTTGATTATTGACTATGGTTTATACTGACCATCTTGATCATTGACTATGGTTTATACTGACCATCCTGGTCATTGACTATGGTTTATACTGACCATTCTGCTCATTGACTATGGTTTATACTGACCATCCTGGTCATTGACTATGGTTTATACTGACCATCCTGGTCATTGACTATGGTTTATACTGACCATCCTGGTCATTGACTATGGTTTATACTGACCATTCTGCTCATTGACTATGGTTAATACTGACCATCCTGGTCATTGACTATGGTATATACTGACCATTCTGCTCATTGACTATGCTTTATACTGACCATCTTGATCATTGACTATGGTATATACTGACCATTCTGCTCATTGACTATGGTTCATACTGACCATTCTGCTCATTGACTATGGTTTATACTGACCATCCTGGTCATTGACTATGGTTTATACTGACCATTCTGCTCATTGACTATGGTTTATACTGACCACTCTGCTCATTGACTATGGTTTATACTGACCATTCTGCTCATTGACTATGGTTTATACTGACCATTCTGGTCATTGACTATGGTTTATACTGACCATCTTGATCATTGACTATGGTATATACTGACCATTCTGCTCATTGACTATGGTTTATACTGACCATTCTGCTCATTGACTATGGTTTATACTGACCATCCTGGTCATTGACTATGGTTTATACTGACCATTCTGCTCATTGACTATGGTTTATACTGACCACTCTGCTCATTGACTATGGTTTATACTGACCATTCTGCTCATTGACTATGGTTTATACTGACCATCCTGGTCATTGACTATGGTTTATACTGACCATTCTGCTCATTGACTATGGTTTATACTGACCATCCTGGTCATTGACTATGGTTTATACTGACCATTCTGCTCATTGACTATGGTTTATACTGACCATTCTGCTCATTGACTATGGTTTATACTGACCCATCTAAAGTCTTTGCCATCAAATTTTCGTGGATTAGTAAAGACAACAGTCCTTGCTGGCATGTTTAAGCCAAGAGCAAATGTTTCTGTAGCAAATAAAGCCTAAATGATAAAGAGGCGACAATGATTAATATGTACATACAAGTACTCACAGGATCCAGCGATGTGTATTCATACAAAATATAGGAAAATCATCAATGATTTGCAATGATTATTTGCTCAATATCCGTACCTTTATCAATCCTTCAGAAAACAATATTTCAATGGTTTCTTTTAATATTGGTAACAACCCAGAATGATGAATTCCAATGCCTCGTTTTAACAAAGGTAAAACATGTTCAACCTTTAAGAAATGTTCATGAAAACATAAAATACATCATTCAATGTAATTTTTCCGACACATCATTGGAAAACATAAGATAAAAAAATATTAACCTGAGGAAGTTTTTTATCGTCATCAGACAAACAGTCAATAGCGTTATTAAAAACCTCTTCGACTAATTTCCGTTCCTCGTCTACATCAAAAAAACTATTCATTTACTAAATTCTTTAGGCTAGGGCAGGAAGCATTTTCTCATATACATCTGACTCATAATTGTATAGCGATTTGCAAGTTATTCTACAACAGAAATTAATACATCTACATGTAACTCTACCATGCAGATTTCTACAAACTATAACCTTACACCTAAGCTTTCATCACGTGACATTCTTCAGAATATATTAGTATTACCTGTATTAAAGTCTAATTTCGACATTTGTAAAGCATATGCTTCACATTCTTTCTTACTGAAGCTAAATACAATGACAGGTTGAAACTTTCTCTCCATAATCATCTTTACTATCTTAAATGTATTCGATGGTCCTAAAGAGAAATATTAAATTTATTTAAAAAGCTCTCAAATAAAATGATTTTAACATTTACGTATGCTGACGATGTCAACATCTACTAACCTTTAGTTCCTCCTTTTCTTCCTCTCTGTTGACTAGACCCAGGGCCTTCCTGAATCACGGCCATGGATTTCTGGAAATTATCTTCCCTGAAAGCACCCTATAAAAAAGTTATCACCTGTAATCTTCAACACTAAAAAAGAGCGGGCAAAATACAGAGACGCGGTTGGAGAGGGGGAAAATACAGAGACGCGGGTGGAGAGGGGGAAAAATACAGAGACGCGGGTGGAGAGCGAACAAAATACAGACAGGCGGGTGGAGAGGGCAAAATACAGAGGTGGGTGGAGAGCGAACGAAATACAAAGAGGCGGGTGGAGAGGGGCAAAATACAGAGGTGGGTGGAGAGCGAACGAAATACAAAGAGGCGGGTGGAGAGGGGGCAAAATACAGAATAAGGAAAATCAACAATGGTAACAATAGAACGTGAAGTGGAGAGATAATATTCTCAAAATATTCATGTACAGTACTTACATTTTCATCAACAACAAGAAACAGACCATCACCCCCAGCAGGGTAAATATAATGTTGTAAAGGAGTAGGACGGTATTCCGTATAAACAGCATGACAAGGCTAAATTAGAAAATTATTCAAATAAAAAAGAAAAAGGGCGATGAAAACAAGTCTTTAACAAACCTGTCTATGAAGATGGGCAATCCATGCAGTAAATTGACTTGCATTAGGTATTGTTGCCGATAAAAAAACGTAGTGCACATTATCAGGTAGTAAAATGATCGTCTCCTCCCAAACTACACCACGCTCTGCAATTTAAAAAATATAGTCTACATAGTTTTCTCCTGAGAAAAACTGGATGTTTTGAAATTTATTAAGCAACAGAAAACATGAATCATTCTGAATATTTCTACATAGATCTCTAGTACAATGTAAATTTTTATAAAAACAACCTTTATCTCTCATGTAGTGAATCTCATCAAAAACAACCCACGCAACTTCTCTCATAACCTTAAAAGAAATAAATGACAATGGAAGATAAAGTTATGCACCAAGGGGAAATTTTGAAGTGTAATTATAAAAAACTGCAAGTAAAATAACAGTCCAGTTACCTCTGAGCCGCGGTACAACATGCTTCGTAAAATCTGTAAATTAAAAAAACAAAATAAGAAAAACTACTAATTAAGATAAGTAAAAACTTGTAAATTTCTAACCTCTGTCGTCATGACAAGAGCACTGGCACTAGGATTAATAGTGACGTCACCAGTCATCAGTCCGACATCTTGAAACTCCTCATAAAGTTCGCGATATTTCTGATTACTTAAGGCCTAAATTTCAAGTATGAAAAAAATGCTAGAGAGGATGAAATTTAAAGTTTAATTCAAACCTTTAGATGACAAATTTTTGCAAAAGTTTGTTCTCATTTCGTTTGGTGATTGTTACAGATTTGCTGCACTACCACTTAAAGGAATGATTTAGATTAAAGAATATTATTAAAAAGATAAAAGCAAAACCTTGATTGGTGTTGTATAAATTACTCTCTGTTTGTTTCTTAATGATAAAGCTATCGCGTATCTATAAAACAAAACTTTTTTAAAAAAATTCAAATCTTTTAAAATTTGTCAGTTAAAGAAATACTATAATTAATTAATAACACAATGCCAGTTTCATATGTCGCATTTTACATGAGGCGAATGCATTTGAAACAAAAGATAATAAGGAATTTTATCTCATTTTCTTTTGTCTTTCATGCATTCGGCGCATGTAAAATGCGAAGTTTGAAAGGTCAAACATACTCAGCCACAACTGTTTTTCCAGCCGAAGTATGTGCAGAGACTAAAACTGAATGATTATTTTCTATACAACTTAAAGCTTCTTTCTGAAATGGGTCCAGAATAAATGGATATTCCTACAAAAATAATGCAAAATAAACTTGAGATTTTACTTTATATGCAAAAATATTACCAATTTACACAAACAATGATTACCATGGATATAACGGATTATTAAAGGTTTCGTTTACAGGGACAATGATTACCATGGATATAACGGATCATTAAAGGTTTCGTTTACAGGGACAATGATTACCATGGATATAACGGATCATTAAAGGTTTCGTTTACAGGGACAATGATTACCATGGATATAACGGATCATTAAAGGTTTCGTTTACAGGGCAATGATTACCATGGATATAACGGATCATTAAAGGTTTCGTTTACAGGGGCAATGATTATCATGGATATAACGGATCATTAAAGGGTTCAGTTTATAGAAATGGTTATAAAATATGATAAAAGTGATCTTTACAAATTTTCTTTTTAATAATAATAAAAAGATAAGAACGGATGTAACTAACTGACCTTGGCAGGTTTTGTGGTTGGTACTTTTAATTCATTATAAACTATGCCTTGTGGAACAGCAACCTGCGAATAATAATATATTCAAACATCAAGACTTTCATAAAATAACGAGTTTTAATAAATTTGACACTTTCAATTTTCTTTTCTTATTTTTAGAAGAAAAAATATAACTGTTCATATTTAATTAGAAAAGTCGTTTTCAAGCGCTCCATATTTTATGAAAAAATACAAATGATTGTTATAATTTGAACCTACTTCATGTGTACAAGCTTCAAATGTTTCTACTGTAATGATGTCAACAATGGGAACGGAATCAATTATCGAACTAAAATGGAAAAATAGTTTGGTTTCTAAAAAAACTACTTCTTGATTATGTTTCTCCTGAATATCAGTTACAGAATACATATGGAGACAAAAAGACACGTAATTTCATTGTTCATATTTGAAGCCATGAAATAATTTATTTAAAAGGAATTATGTCATCAATTGTACATTGATAATTATTAATCAACGCTTTAACTTATTTTAGTGTTACACCATAATCACTTAAAAATCAAAAACATTTCTTTTGAATAGTGATATAAATTAATAAGAAGGAGAAGAAAGAAAAAAGAAGAATTTTATCATAACATAGATGTCATCTGCTAAAAGTAAAAAAATAATGAAATGACAAAGAGGTAAGGGATTCTTATGTCCTTCATAGGATAAAGCAAGTAGAAATGCAGAGGTACGGGAACATTGTGTCATTCATAGGATAAAGTAAGTTGAAATGTAGAGGTAAGGGAACATTGTGTCATTCATAGGATAAAGCAAGTTGAATAACATCAATATGTCTTTAATCATGTAAGTTACTTATAGAGTCATGAATAACAATCTTCACTGTCAATGTTTACATTTGGAATAACAACACATTAAATAAACCATCTTTGTTTACTTTTGGATAATTTACATCACATTTTACTCCTCAATAATGTACTAAAAAGATGGAATCTGGAAAGTTCAAGAGAGATCCTTGTCATTAAGAATGAAAGGTTGAATAAATAAACATTGTATATAGAAACAGTACAGTTAGTATTCAATAAAATGACCCTAAATCACTCCAAAAAATAAACATTACAATGGATGTACATGTTTTTTAAGCTAAAACAAATAATCAGTCACTTTTTGGTATCTATATTTCTACAAAGAAAGTTGTGGTAAGTTTGTGTTACTTCAATGTAAATAGTAATGTAACAACACAATTGTGAATTACAAACAAGAAGTCAATAAAAACTACAAAATAGTTCTCATGAACACTTAACTATTTGTCGATGGTGCAAGTATTGTGACATTTTATTAACTTCAATGATTTATTTCAGAATGTAAAAGTTTTAGGTATCAGGAAGGGATACATTTGAATCAGAATAATGATCAAATATTAAGCATTAATTGGATATAACTTCATTGCAAAGCATGCTGCTGAGGCCATAAACATACAAAAAACATCCAATTTCTCCAAGATTTATGGAGAAAACTCCAAATCTTAAAATGAGATATAAGAACTGTAGTTGGCGAAGAAAAAAATAACTTTTTCAAAATTGAAAAAATTTTCCAATATTTGGCAAAAGTATCATGGTCTAATACCTTACACAGCACTTATGTAAAAATTGTTCACCAGAGGTTGAAACTACAAGATTAAGAAATTAATTTCAAAAGTTGCGTGAAGATGTATAATTAACAAAAGGTTTCCTACACAGATGGAGATTTTCAGGTAGCACAGCTATAATAGTAAGTGAAATAACTGCTGAACAAGAGGTTGGTAAAAAAATGATTGAACAAAGGTAGTGAAGACTGAAAGCATGTCAGAGTTGAACGTGGATAAAAATTGAAAATGAAAATAAGAATGATGAAAGTAGTCATCATTTTCAATTCTTGAAACTATCATATCTAAATAGGATGGACTATACTTGATTTTATTTGAGTGAGGATCTAGTAAATAGACTAAAAATCATATCTCCCTAAGCAGAAAATGCTTATAAATATAGATATCAATAATTATTCAAGAATTCATACAATGAAAATCCTGTAAATTGGTAAAAAAACAAGTTCTATTCCCTGGACATCTCTTGGCAAACTAACACCCAGATCCAAAATCAAACATTAAAAATTTTACTTCTAATTATGAAATCTAGTCATTCTACAAACTACAGACTACAGTAAGAGAGTACAGTAAAGGCTGCTTTTCAGCTTTTTCTGCACAGGTTCACTAATGGTTCAGTCACTGATAGTGATGCTTTAAAACATATTATTTTCAAGTAAACGAAATACGAGAGAGAGTAGAAATAATATGAAAGAGAAACGAGCAAATTTAAAAAAATATTAAAAGCTTTCATTACCTTTCATCGTCCTGTCTTTTAACTTTCTTTAAATTCTCGTCATTTTGTGTCGTTGATAATAAATTACCATCCACACACTCGCCATGCAGTCGTTTTTCACCACGCTGGGAAAAAATACGCTTCAAAGAATCTTTATCATCGTAATCTGTAACTTCTACGGTTTTTCCATCTTTCTTGCTTCTATCAACATCATTAAAAACTGAAAAGAGGTCTTCTTCGAAATCAGCCATCTTGAAATTGACAGGGAGGAATCACGAGGAACAGACAGGGACACTAATTGATCTTCGAACTGCAGTATTTAGGATGCGGAAGGATATCCAATAATATCGAAAAAATATTTTGTTTTAATTTGCTTCTTGAGTAGCTGGACGTTCAAATACATTCGTTTGCTTGCTTCTGCCTATAATTGTATCTTTTTAAATCCCATTAAGTAATCCAATGAATTCAGATGAATTCAGTATTGAAGATTTAAGTTTGGTGTACAGTAGGGATGAAAATGGAATACTTCATGCACCTCCAGGATACAAGAGGTTCAAAGATCATAAGAAAAAAAATGAGAATGCAAAGTTGCAAGAACTTGAAGCTGGTGGTTGTGTATCAATAATATTTATTAACAATTATAGCGTAGCTTACAAGCTATAGCTAACAATACCTTCCATGTTTGTGGAGGAGAGTGAATTAAATTATTAGTTTCAGGCCTCCAAAATTCTCTATATATTCATACTCTATTTTTTATGTTTCAGGTGCCTTAACTGCCATGAATGCTCAGCAGATTGATATAAACACTCAAATCTCATGCAGTTTGTTTGAAATCTGTAAAAGTTTTGTTGTAAAAAATCTTCATTTGCTGGAGTCACTTGAACACTTTCCTGAGATCATTGGTTTCCAACTCTTCCTTGAAGCAATAAGGGAAAAATCATTTCATAAAGACTCAAATAATTTAAAGATTTTCTGCCTGGCATACAAGGACCTAATTTTAAAACAACTGTCTTTGCAAGAATCAGCTGTACTAATTAATGAATACATTCATTATTTTGAATGTTTTGAACATCTGCACTCTTTAAACTTGAGCCACTGTCGACTTGGAGATTCTCATCAATACTTGACATTCACTGGACAAATAAAAAGGTGATTTGTTTTACTATGAATTGAACATTTATTTGCATATCCTTTTGAAAATTTATTTGTTTTATTTAGTTTAAAATATTTTAACCTTAAAGACAACTGTCTTACTGACCATGGTCTTGCTAAATGGTCCCTACCATACAGAATGTTTGAGAACGGACCAAAATTTCTACAAGTGCTAGATCTTTCCTGTAATCCTGTGCTGACAGTTGCCTGTTTGAAATCTTTATTGAAGTTTGTTCATTTGAAAAGACTAAATCTCTCAGGAACAGGAGTATGTCACCATGACGAAATCCAAAGATTTAATGACAGAATGAACTTATGCATGGTATGTAGTTTTTGTACGGTAAATGCATCGTAACCCCGGCGAACTTGTAATCATTTTGTAGCATGAATGTTAACTTACTTAAATTTCAGTGGAAAGAAAAATCACTCATAAGAAAATTAGTAACAAAATGCTTTCTAAACGTGTCTCAAATTGTCTTACCACTCGCAGTTATTGAAGAGCGTTGTTTTCAAGTCATCAGGCCATGCGACAATGTTGATTGTTGTATAGCTCAGTTTGATTTTAGAAATTGTCAAAATCTGCCAAATTTATCAACTTTATTATTGCAGATGAAAGAACTCGATGAATATGAAAGAATAGTCACTGAAGGTTGGGCTGAGCCCTTTATAACGGAATTGAATTGCAACCTGGCTATAAAAAGTTTAAGACAGAAAGATAAGCATTGTTATGGTAAAAGTGCTAGTTTTTACAGAAAACCCAAGACATGCACACCTAGCATGAACAAAAATGGCTATCCTGTAATATTGTTGCACTCGCTAGACAGCATTAAACCTGGGACAATTCGTGCATTAACAACGTCTGATAATTACGGTAAAAGACGTCGTATGTCGAGCCATGATAACGAGTCTTTAAAACGCCGAAAGATACTTATGAGGAAAGAATGGACGATTTACAGTTTAAAATTCGTATCTTTAATATATAGCTAGTTTTCATTAAGGATATTATGATAAATGATGATAAATGAAGAAAAAATACATACAAATCCTATTTACAAATATAGTTTGTTCAACAATTGTCAAATTAATATACCCATCCATTACTATTTCCCAGTGATACATCGTAAATGTTTTAAAACTCTAAGTCTTAAACTGTAGGAAAGTCTGTCGTTTATTTTTCTGGTTTTAAGTTTATATATCCGTGGTTTATATATCCGCTATAAAAAAGATTTCGTCAAAATCGTGATAAAATATATGTTCGATAGATATGTTATCCTAACTATTGAAAATTACTGGTTTTAAAGTGTCGACAAAATTTGGTATTATCAAATCTTTTTCTCCGAATGTAGCTTCGCTGAACTTAAAAACATTAGCATTTGAAATATTGTTAAAGTCAAAGGGATAAGCTGTAGTTGTTTCTGGTAAACTATTGTTCAATAAATCTCCATTAGTCTCGGTACTAAGTGGAATCATTGATGAAGGAAATGTTACTCCTGCAGCTAACAGCTCTTTTTTGTTTTTAGTAGTTTTGCTTCGTGCTTTTCTCCCTCCCTAGGGTAAAGACTTTCATGTGAGTACAAGAACAAACATAAAATGATAAAGAAACTTTTAGCTATGTATAAATTCATACAATTCTTATCAACTACATTTTGTTTCCAAAAAAACTCACTCTTTTTCCTGGAGTTCTAGTTTTGTCATTGTGTTGTTTAACATGTTTTCTTAACGAACTTGGATCGGTATATCTTTTAAGACAACCAGGAAACTGACAAGCGTAAGGTTTCTGAAAAAAATTTTAGTCTGTGATAAACTGTCTGTGATAAACTGCTAAAATATGCTAGTCATAAAGATAACATCTTATCTAAAACTTTCTTCAACTTACCATCTTCGTGAATTACTAACAACTTGCATATTTATCATTTTAATATTTCTTGACATTATTCTTAAAGTTTTCATTAAAAATATATACGCAAAATTGATTCATAATACTTGTCATCCTTATAATGCCGTGAAACGCATATATTTGTTTTATTTGTTTTGAGTTTAACATAAATTGTATAGGTTGTTTTATTTACCGTGTCTATGTGTGTCCGTTGATGTTTAGCTCGATCAGAGGAATTTGAAAATGCTTTAGGACATCCACGATATGTACATAAATAAGGTTTCTCTCCGGTGTGTGAACGAAGATGTATCTTCAAATTTTCTAATCTTGAAAATGCTTTATTGCATCCCAAAAACTATTAAAGAAACCAAAACGCATTAAAATATCAATAAAACACAACGCTAAAACTAATGTTTGCCATCAGAAGGAAGACATATTCTAATAGAAATAAACGCTCTTCAACTTGAAATTTTTGTTGACTTTGGACATTAGCCAGTGGAGAAACCAACAAAGACGTTTTTCAAGGGCTATATTATACTTCGTAGGCAACACAGTGTATATGTAAGTTTTACAATATAGTGAGCACCACTATATTTAGTTTTAGATTATGAAATCATATATGTTTTCTCGTAAGAAAAAAAAGGTTGTTGAAAATACACAAAAGTATATTTAATGCAATTAATATCACAGCTAAGCTTGTTATTCTTGCTGTATGATAAGGAAGTAACTCTTCAAAATTTCAACAGCATATCTTAATAAAACTCGATAAAAGCATCAATAAAATTGGAAATTTTACTTTCACAAGTTGCTATGGATTTTTAAATCGCCAATCATTACATGTAATTACACGAGACAAAGAAGAAACCGTCACGAAAACATTTTAAACAACCAAGCCATATTTTATGATTTTTACAAGGAAATTATCGCATGTTTTATTTTATCATTCCTAATCAAGCAAGCAAGTGATGTGTGAAAATTTAACAAAATTAAACTTTGCGTGATTAATGCGATCCATTTAGCACGACACCAATCATTCATTCATGTGAGCTGTGTCGTTAAATCTGTATTTAATGATTAGCCTTTCCTTGGCTCACAGAAGGAAAGGCACAGATAGATAGGAATTACAATTATGTCCAAACGCTTTTTTCATGACAAAATAATATCATACATTTGGATTGAAGTTCTGAAATATTGACAGGGAGAATAGTCAATTACTGCTATTTATCTTTGTAATTGCTGTTTTATGTTTACTATTGTTGTAAAAAATATTAACAATCAATGTTCTAAATCAAAGTAAACTAAATCATCATTTTCAAATTTTACATTTTATAAGCATTCATAGTTACTTTTCTTTGTTTTTCCACATTTTCTTTCAATAGTCACATGCACAAAAGAAATCATTAACCTTGGCACTTGGATCGTCAAGGAAAGGAAAAATAACTTAAAATAACTTTGACTTTGCTTAACCGCGAACTCCAATATAATTGAAATTGAAATGTTAATTGGGTTCCCAGGGAAATAACACATCATATAGAAGATGTATACATTAAAAAATTAAAGTAGAAAAGTCTTTATTTGAAATAAATTAACAACTCCATCAAACGTAACCCAATTATGGCTACTTATGAAAATACATGCATAATGTACATACCGTGCAACGATTTGGTCTTTCTCCGCTATGAACTCTCATGTGAATGACCAGCTTATATCTTGCGTTAAATGGTTTCTGTTTGCGAACGCAATTTTCCCAATAACAAACAAACGAATCGTCTGCTTTCCTATGATCAATATGAACTTTTTCAATATGTCGAACTAAATCGTCTTGTTCGTTGAAAACGTTACCGCAGTTTGACCATTCACATTTATAAATCTGTTGTTCTTTTTCTGTAGATTTTTTGCTCTCACTGTTCACAGTGTTTGCTACGTCAGGATAGAGAGTTGAACGCCAAATTTTCGCTTCATTCATAGATGCTAAATGTTCTTCCATGATTCGTTGCGATTCGCTCTTCTGAACAATCCAGTTATTTGTAAATGGGTTATCATCATGGAAAGGGTTGTTATAACAGCTATTTTTAACAACTTCATTCGTTTTCGAGGATTTTCCAAACTTTAACCCGTGTGCACGTTTTGCAGGAACTGGTCGATCAAAACCTTCCTCGACCTTTACTACAGGTGGCGCAATCTTTTCTGCACGTTTTTGATTTTTGAAATATTCAAACGAACGATTGGCAGAGCTTTGCATAGAGCGAATGACAGTGTTTTGTGTGAATTCATGACCTGAATATTCGTACGGATTGAGTGAGTTCACAGAAGCGATGTTTAGATTTGGAATATCAGCAACTACATTAGTCAAAACCTGAGGATTACTTATTATTCCCGCATGGCCATCTCCGCACAAATCGCTCATGAAACTCTGACAGCCGATATTTGTACTATTTGCAGTTGCGTGCCTTTGGTTAGTCCAGGAAGGCATTTCCTGATTCAACGTAAAATGATTATATAGTTTCGTAGGATGCTTACATTTATTTGGTAAATTATATTCTTGTGTTGACATAGCTTCTTTTCCTACATGATAAAATGTTGAGCGATCATTCAAATTGTGGCCATAACCGTAACTGTAAGTGTTCTCGCCAAGGTTATCTTCCGAAGCAAACGAAGCGATTTTTGTCTGTGTATTGCCAACAGAGTTGCCGGCAAAACTCTCGTACTTGTTGACATTTTGTGTTTTCCAACTGTCCATGTTCATCAAATCAAATTGACTTTGGTATGTTGTATTCTGGTGGGCATACTGTCCACCATAATCTTCGCTCAACTGGGAACTGTACATCGTCACTTGAATCTAGAGAAAAGAAAAAAGTAAAGACAACATATCACTAAAGATAAAGTACAAATGCATGAATAAATAAGATAATGTGAAATATTAATCAGACGAGTGTCATTGCTTTACAAGATAGAAAATTTAGCTTTACACAGTTAATGCGCGTTGTTACTTACCGTTCCCTTTTTGTTAATTAGCCTAGCAAATAAAAAATGGCGTGAATTTTGAAACTGCCGATAAATATTTATGTGTTTGAACGTTTTATATAAACGAGATCGCTGTATGTTCAAAGCAAAGCAAACCAGTATCTTATAACTTGATCAGCGGGATATCTCAGTTTGAGAGCCTTATTGAGAATTCTTGACAGCCGCAAACATTATTTTATTCACAAAACAACCAATCACAACGCAATATGGCTAAGTGGGGTCAACGTTTAAACATGTGACCGATATACGCCTGCGCAAAGCGATTCTATGCTAGGGTGCAATATTTTATCGATAAAATAATTTTTACAAAGACGAAGGCAGACTTTGCCACATTTTTCCTGTCTATTTGAATTTTTCCATTAAAACCTTTTTGTGTTTTGTTGTCATTGTTTTGATTCTCAAAGTGAAATTCAAAGCATACACAGCATGAGCTAGGCAATAGAGCACGACATATTGCAAGAATTTGAGTCTGCAGTTTTATTATGTCGGATATTTGTGCGGACAGTTAAACAGTCAGAACTAACAATGTGACATCTGAAATAATGTCGGGAAGATTGCATTGCTTAAATAAGGAATTAAGTCATTCATTTATAGAGAAAGCATTAGAGTATTTTTAATCCTTGTTAATATAGCAAGCAAATACAATATTAATTTGGTTTTTTCATTAAATGACTTACACATTAAACGAGTCGACGTTCATTGTAATGTTTATATTATCGTATAGAAATGCAATATACTAATATCATAACTTTCAATCAAATTGCCAAAAACAACGAAGTTATCTATACCCTCTTAAGACGTTATAGTTCTCGCCACAACAAACACAGCAGTACTCACTATCAAACAAAATATTGCTACGCAAACTAAAAACTGAAAAGTAGTTCGATTTGTTATAGCGCAAGAGGAGTATGTAAACTAAACATCAAAAGTATTTGTGAAAATAGGTAATGCGAATGTTCTTGAAAAATGGTATTTATAGCTTGAAAAAGCCCTTAATTAATGTATGTAGACAATAAGATTAGATTTCATTTATCCGTTGTGTTTAATGACAAGCAAAGTAGCAGGAACACCATTTTATTTATTAGAAAACAATAACTCCTGGTGATAATTATCTCATTTGTTTTCTGCTGGATACCAATATTTTCTTGCACAAACACACTTTGTCTAGATCTTCCAAAACATTACAATCTTTGAAAATCTTCATAAGATGCATATAGCATACTTATATGAAAACGAGAGTTTTCAATTTTTATCTCGATTGTATGAATGTTCATTTTGATTAAGACGTTAAGAACGCTTTAGAATATTTTCAGTACCGATTTAACCAAAGAACAGATTTTGTATATTACAAAATATAAAATAAAAAAATTTGTCGCTGTTATAGAATTGAAATTTGTACTTAAACACTTTGTCAGCTTTTTGTACTTGGATTTAATTGTAAACGAACTCGATTACTTGATTTTTTTTAATCAAAAATCTCTTCCATTAAAAAAAACTTTATGGCAATAAAAGCAGCCATGTCAGATAATTCGCACAGACCTCGTTGTCGAGTAATGAACATTGTGGTTTTTAAGTACCTTCAACAGTCAACAATAATTTGTTACAGAATGACGTCAAACCAACAACGAGGGTACTTGAAACAAGCGATGTTATTCAATGATGAAAAAATAATAACCTTTCAAAGCACGCAAACGATTCGTATGTTTTATACAAGGCTAGATATTAGGAAAAAACACAGGAATTGAGAAAAGTATAAATTGCTACCTGATTCAAGCAATGAACATTGTTTGGATGTAATTGTTTATTAATCAATTTGACAATAAATAAATGTTGAAATGACTATTTAATTGTTATTAAAAGAAATGAATAGAACTGGTCTATAAACATAATAAACAGTACGATTAAGAAAGTATTAAAATATTTTTTCAAGTTTCTGCAGACTATATCTCTAACTCTTCGAAATAGAATATTTATTCAATTATCAGAAGTCATTAAATATAATCAACACAAACAGATAAATTATGACTCCTGGCCAGTTACCACAAGAATGTAGCTACTTTCTTTTCTCGATCATTGAACTAAATCTCCGGTTCTTAAGTGTTCATTATGCTTCTTTCAATGCAAATATTCTCTACATGTTTTATACTTAAAGTAATACACATATTTTTCATTGATTGCAGCATCAAAAAAGCCAACTACTGAGAAATATTAAAATATATTAATGCAATTTGTATAAACCTCAAACTCTAAAATGTTTGTAGCATAGGAAAAAGCGCGCTGAAAGGTAAAATTTCTCTTTGTGAAACTCACTATCATTAAAAGACCATTAATTACATAGCTATAGCTACATAACTATACTGTTAAGCCAGACCAAAATTGCCATTTATATCTTCCGAAAACTAAGTTTTAAATTTTTTCAGCAACAAAAAATATTTACATAATATGACAAAACAAACTGCACTGGCATTGCAAATTTGTCTATAATATTGAATGCATTAGCTCCTCATATTTTGATGGATTTACTCAAAATCAGTGGCTTAAAAACAATATTTCATTCATTTTCATTTTTCAATCGTAGACTGAACTTATAATCTTGAAGATTTTTAACTATTTAAAAAATTGAACGTATTTAAAAGTATTTAACCATTTAAATGATATTGAAAGCCCTCCTTCGATCGTCGCAAATATTTTCCGGTACGACTTGCCACAATTGCAAGAAGAATTCAACATAATAATTATGAGACGTACTTAAAGCATAAGATCTTCCGGAAAACTTGTACAAATGTCGGTGTGACGTCAAACAGTCACGCTATGAACAATTTATGACAGCATTTTTTGTTAAATGATGAAAAGACGTGCGAAGCAATATCATTAGTAATCAAAAATATTGAAATACATTGTTATAACAAAGTAGATAGTATTTATGTTTAAACTAACACAAGAAATACTATAAGATAGTAAGTTTATTTTACGAACAAACAATTTTAATTTACACCCTCACATCCGAGGATGAAAGTGGATAAAGAATATCATTTCTTTCAAAGGCCTTATGGGAAGGTTTATCTACTTAAGGAATGATCGAGTGTAATAAAAAACAAGAAAATGTTCACATCTTTACGACATTGTAAGCTGATTAAATATTTTTATAAACTTATTTTACCCGAGGAAGGAATGAAATTTATTAAAAACTACTCAGAAATAAAATATACAAATTATAAAGCTAAAACCATGGAGAAACGGAAAACACTCTTCAAAGATTTTTTCTTTTTCCGTTGAAAGAACACGATTAACAAATAAAGATTTCTCGAACAATTTATCAATAACTATCGCTTTTTGTTAAAACCTCTTTAATCTATGTACATATCTGTACCATAAAATTTAAAATCAAAATCTCAACAAAGTTATGGATATCAAACCATTCAACATGGCGATTATAGCACACAAGAAAAGCCCTGTAAAAAGGCAGGTGTCACATATTGTTAAATATTAGATTTTTATTGAAATAACGTGTCATAATTAGAAATAAAATGAAGTGATATTGACAGTGGGAAATTATTTATAAATAAAATATAAATGGTAGGTGTGACATATGACCATAGCCTTGCAACATGGTAGGTGTGACATATGACCATAGCCTTGCAACATGGTAGGTGTGACATATGACCATAGCCTTGCAACATGGTAGGGGTAACATATGGCCATAGCCTTGCAACATGGTAGGTGTGACATATGACCATAGCCTTGCAACATGGTAGGGGTAACATATGGCCATAGCCTTGCAACATGGTAGGGGTAACATATGGCCATAGCCTTGCAACATGGTAGGGGTAACATATGACCATAGCCTTGCAACATGGTAGGTGTAACATATGGCCATAGCCTTGCAACATGGTAGGTGTGACATATGACCATAGCCTTGCAACATGGTAGGGGTAACATATATAGCCATAGCCTTGCAACATGGTAGGTGTGACATATGACCATAGCCTTGCAACATGGTAGGTGTGACATATGACCATAGCCTTGCAACATTGTACGGGTGACATATGGATATAGTCTTGCAAGCATGGTAGGTGTGACATATGACCATAGCCTGGCAACATGGTAGGTGTGACATATGACCATAGCCTTGCAACATGGTAGGAGTGACATACGACCATAGCTTTGCAACATGGTGGGGTGACATATGCCCATAGCTTTTCAACATGGTAGGAGTGACATATGACCATAGCCTTGCAACATGGTGGAGGTGACATATTGCCATAGCCTTGCAACATAGTGGGGGTGACATATGACCATAGCCTTGCAACATGGTGGGGGTGACATATGACCATAGCCTTCAACATGGTGGGGTGACATATGACCATAGCCTTGCAACATGGTAGGAGTGACATATGACCATAGCCTTCAACATGGTGGGGTGACATATGACCATAGCCTTGCAACATGGTAGGTGTGATATATGACCATAGCATTGCAACATGGTAGGGGTGACATATGACAATAGCCTTGCAACATGGTAGGGGTGACATATGACCATAGCCTTGCAACATGGTAGGGGTGACATATGACCATAGCCTTACACTTTGTCATTGTCATAACAGCTCTTGTGTTGAAAAGTTATAAAATTAATTTCTACATGATTTAAAAATGACAATCACAGCTATGATTATAAAAATGACAAAATCATGATTCTATACAAAAGTTGTTTGATGAACAAAAGGTCAGCCCAACAACATAGCGGATTTTTATCTTTGAGTAATATGCTATGTGTCGTCGATAAAAATCATACAAACATAAATGGTTTTGCACACGATTTACTAAAAAAACCGTTCGTGAAACGGCTATGTCGTGAGCGAAATAATATTAAACGAAATAGTTGCTTTGTTCTTGAACAACTTACCAAGATAATATAGTAACTTCCTCACAAAACACGCTGCTGTATTGCCATTTAAAATCACAGAACTATATCCCACAACCAACGCATCTAAGACGCATGTGTTTTGTTGGTTTCATGAGTAGTAATTTTCCACAATGAATATTATTACTTCTTTAACCTGATGCTCCTTTATAAATTGTCAGCTAACAGCATAATTTCCGATGTTTAGTTTCCACGATATTCAGTACTTTTTATGCCATTTTCCGGCGATTTTGCAAGTTCAAGTTTCTCAAATTGTTGTACATAAATCATGAAGAAACCAGATTATTCTAAAGAATTGGATTACGTAATAATTACATAAGCACCATCATTCCGCGCATTTTTGTTTCAAGGTTCATATTTCTATTCCTGTTTACAAAGGTTTTCATAGCGAGCGGTCACTGGCCATTTCTCTTTGCTTGGACACGTTCAGATATACTAATTTTATTTATAGAATCATAGATAATTCCCCCGAGTGACACAAGTTTACAAAAATCTTCCTCTTTGTAGAAATGAGATCTCCCATGGCGCTACAAACCTGAAGTTTTTTCATACAACACCACGAACAATGAATTATTCAATTGAAAAAAAATAAAATCAATTTAGCTCGATGTTGTGGATATTGAAGAACCGCCATGCCATGCAAACATTCAAGAAGCGACAGTAAAAAGATTTATGTAGTTGTACTGCATTAAGTGACAATAAATATGATTTATTTATACTTATTTACTTATGAATTTGCGCCATTCATGTCCAGGACAAAAGCAGTGTGTAGTGGTGTAATCCATGGGATGAAACGTTCTCCACGATTTACATGTTGTTTCAGTGGCGGGATTTAGAGATGGTTCAAATAAATTATGCAAGCTCATTTAAAAATTTATAGCTTTTTTAACAACGTTGTTGGGGTTGTTGGTTGGAAATTTCTAGAGAATATTTAACTACAACACTCCTAATAGGATTTGCTCTGAAGCATTTTAATATGAAAATATACTTTCAGCATTGTATTCTGACCTACCTTGAATCCAGTACTGCGTATTTTTTCTCAAAGAATATTTCTTTTTTGTCAAACGCCACCATTAGTGTAACGATCCTTTTTATTTATTTCTGGTACACGAATTTTTCTGTATTCACTCAAAATGAATGCAAATAGCATTACGGCATTGGAAAAACCAAAACTTTGATAAATAGATAAGGAAATGTAATTGCAGATGACAACACTCAATTTTTGAAACAACTAATTTTCTAATATTTACTTCTACAATTGAAAACTATCAACGGCCTTACGACTACAAGTAAAAAACAAGATTTCAAACAAAATCCGCGAATGATAATCAAAATCCGACAACCCAAATTTCAGGTCAGGATAGAACTTAGCAATAAAATCGTCGAAAGTAAAACTACGAAAAGCAAGAGCAATACGTATTTATGAATTTTATGAATAACTGTGACCATTCATGTTACTGTACCAATTGAGAGTAGTTGAAAGCAACACAGTTCCACAAAATACATCACGAAAAGATGAAACTATAGGGCAGAATGCTGAACAAACAGCAATGAATGATGTTGATGTAATATTTTACAATGTTACTAGTTCGTCTTCTGTTTTTTCTTGTCTGGTTCATCAGTTGTAGGAAGATCACCCGACCGCATAAGATCACTGCAATCATTATCTGAAGGTACTTCTGATTCACTACCAGCAAGGCCGTCTGATTAAAAAATTGTGAAAATTACGTCATTGTGTCATTTAAAAAAAAACTTTAAACCAGGAAACATACTTTGTCTGAGTTGATCAAGAGGATTTAATGACAAAGCCAGTTTATTGCCAAAACCGACAAACTAGAAAAAATATTTATGTTTTAATGTTAATGAACTATTTTGTAAGTGACTTCTAGCTGTAACCTTGTCCTTTACCATAAAAAATAAGTGGTTATAAATGATTTATATAGAATGGAGATGTTAGCTAAACTTAAATAAGAACTTCACATATGCTGTCGCGAAAGAGATGTTTCGTAACGATATATGCTTAAAAAATAGCAACAAGTTTGAATGATTAAACCAAGAAATAGCAATATTACCTCGCCCATGACTGCGATAGGTGATTTTCCAGTAGCTGCGGCTACTTTATGTTCAATCAAATAAAACATATACTCATCATAGAGAAGACGAATTAAATGAAATGATCCAAAACTAGCAGCACTACGTAAAGTAAGATCACGAATGACCATTGAACTATTAAGAAAAAAACAACCCATGTAAACCTTAAGGATGTTGAAAACTATATAACTTAATGATGCTACTTTTATAAAAATTTACTGACCTATAAAATGACCATTTTAATAAAAACTGTCGAGCAGCTTTAGGATATGAAGGTGTGCCTTCCGTAGAAGCAAGCACTTTATTCACAACACTTTCGAGCCATTCTGCCCATTTCTCAAGAGAGTTCTACAAAAATGAACAAAAACTTGTACGATAAATGAGTCTTGGTTAGCAAATCTTCACTCTGTTAGCGCAAGATCATCGCTTATATGTGTGCATATGAACGTCAAAGACAGCAACTTCACAAAAAATTCAGATGAATCGGTTTCAAACATTTCAACGAAGACAGACAGACTTGAGCCAAGAGAAATTATTGCTGGGCACTGGAGTATCGGATTAGGTCGGAGCTCAGGAAATTTTTGTCTGCCAGAGCCAGAGTTTGTTCATCTCCGGCAAAAACTCCGGCTGCAGTTGTTTGTGCTGCAAAATATTGTCAGACTTTGCTAAACGTATCCAAAATTTTTGTACCACATTTTTGTATCAACAAACGATAACTATCGGCTAAAATCGAAAAACTTCAATGAAAATAAAACGTTTGATGCATGAAACAACATGACGCTAGATTACGTTGTCACATGCTAATTTATGATTGAAAGTCGGAGTGTACAAATATATAAAAATTTTCCTTCCTGATGTGTTTTTGTTGGTTTTTTTTTCATGACTGACTAGAGTCAACAAACATTTTGTTCGATATAGCAACAACGTTGGCTAACATCCCTATTATTTGACTTTTTTCAAAACCGGCTTTTAATGGCGTCAATAATTGTAGGAACTATTATTTGTAGATATGACGTCATACCTACAAATATTGAGAATTATTTGTAAATATGACGTCAGAATTATAGATATTGAGAGTTATTAGCATGTAGTTGACCAATCAAAACATAGTGAATGATAATACACCTTAAACTGTTATACAGTGAATCGAGTTATAATGTAGCCGGAGCCGGAGTTTGAAACCGGAGTTCTGAATTGAAAAGAAGCCGGAGCCGGAGAAAAAAAACCAGAGTTTGCACAGCTCTAAGAGAAAAATGGACGTGCATTGTGCATACTATCACAGAGAATATATGCCTGCTCAAATGAGCGAAAGGATCATCAATATGAATATTATTTTTTTACTTGTTCAGACAAAGTTTCTTTAAAATCAGCTTCCAACTGATTGACAACGTCATCATCACATTGGCAAACCCAAGACGCTTGCTCCTACCGATTAATCAAAAACATCACTTTAAAAATTATACTTTTGCATTGCTACATGGTTAAATACCATGCATTACCTGAACATTGACAAAATCTACACGATTCAAATCAGCCAACATTTGACTGATCTGTTGTGGGTTTTGAAGTACAGCGCGAGCAGCTTGAGCAAGATGGTTTAGCGACGTATACCGTCGTAAAGTTTGAGAGAATGCACTGCATGTTGAAATCTAACAAAAAAGTAAGTATAGACACACGTTATACTAAACAACATTGGCGAGGTCAAGTATGGTTTCACTTCCATTACAATTTATATAGAAAAATGAATAGAATAATAATTGGAAAATTAGAATTTGAAAGGAACAATTTAAAAAATTGAAGATAACAATTCGTTAGGAGATTGACCACACTTAAAGGCAACTTAAATGAAATCGAGTTAAAATATATATATTTATCCCCACCCAAGTAAAACATTGCCAGCAGTAAAATAACTATCAAATACCTTAAGTTCAACCATTTTATGGGGTACATCTGCAAGACCACCACCAAGCCACGATTCGAGACATTTTGCGTAGTTTCTAATGGCTGACGTTAACGAACCTATAGAGTTTTAATTAATAATTGATTAAGTACACGCGGAGTATCATAATTGGGTAGGAGTAAAAAACGAAATTAAGTTTATCTACATATGTAAATGACATGGACTATTAACTTACCTGGTATTGGTCGTAATACATTTGGTATCAAAGTTTCAACCAAAATCTGATATAGAACATGATCAGCGTTTTTAACGAATTCCAACACAGGTTCATAATTACACAGTAATGTTAACTTGCTTTTAGGAAGTCGTTCTTCCATATCTTGACTGGAATCACAAACATCATGAAACATTTACAATCTTAAGCATGTTGCTGTCATTTATCTTTATGTTGAACAGTTTACAAACCATGGAGTTTGTGAATCCTGTTTTGATTCATCTTCCAATAAGGGAGCACGCCAAAATGTATGCCATAACGCTTCGACCATTGAAAATTGTAAATTAACAACGACGTCCAAAATTGCCTTTAAAATAGTAAAATAATCAAAGTGATGAACACAAATATGAGCGATCATTTTCGTAAACTAGTATAAAAACAACAAAAAACACTTCATGTCACATTTAATTGTTATGGGTAACAAATCTATGGATATTCAGCTGTAATGTGTTTAAAACTCGATGAAAAATTCCTCGATAATGAGTACCTGACAGTGTTCATGATACATTTGAGAAAAGATGTCTATATCTGAACTGCTTATTCCATCTAAAGAATTCAAAATAAAAATATACGACGTGAAACACCACAGTGTTTAATATCCCAACTCATGTTAATGTAGCACTTTCTCTGGATGAATAATATATCGATCATTTACTTGCACTAAAATCACGATAAAGCCTAATGTACTCTCTACGATTTTAAAGTATCCCTATCTATCTCGAACACTCTAATCCATCCTTAATAGTAGCTACAATATTTAAATCTCTTTACTTTCTTAATTGAAGTCGTTGAAAATATCAACTGAAGAGAAAGAACGTTTTTTTAAAAGTTGTACCAGGTAAAGGCTCTGTAATTTCAACTGGTTTAAAATGAGGCAGGCCTTGCGAAGTATCACCCAAATATTGTTGATGTTGTTCTTGTTGATTTTTGTTTTGTTGTGAGTCATCCGTAACTTTAGTCTGTTCTTCTCCAAATGAATCATTCTCAATTTTCGCAGTTAGTTTCAACTTACTAAATAATATGAATAAAATAACACTACATATACATATAACTAAATTGAAATCAATTATGATGTCACATAACAAAATAATTTTTTTGTTCGTCAATAATATATATTTTTTAATATCGTATTTTAAAAAAATTCGTTCGTTTTACGCATAATTAAAGAGAAATAACTCACTCAGGCGCCAATTCGACAATTTCAGTTTTTATAAAAGATTATAAACTAGACATTTATTGTCAAACATTTCACGTGTGGCAACTTGAAATAAAATTACAAACTATTCAAAAATCAAGACAATCTTGTGTTTCTTATGTATATAAATACATTTGTAGGTAAAACAGCGATGTTCACAATCCAAGAGACACATATCAGAAATTACGTATTTTATAGTTTGCAGTTTTCATGTCATACTTGGATGAACAAATCAAGATATACACACTTTATAAACACTGTTGTGTACCTTTTATGAGTAGACGGTGATTGACGCATGGCTCCAGGAATATCATTATCAACAAGAGCGTTGAGTGGAGAGTTTAGTTTAATGCGTATACCGTAGTAATGATACTTTGAGTTGCCCCTAAATATAAATAAAACTAAAGGTAAAGAAATGTCTTTAAAAACTCAGGAAAGTCATCTGTTTTTGAGAAGGGCTTGAAAAATAATTAATTATTCATAGTACTTCATTATAAAATATGGAGTGAAGTCAAAACATAAAATATGAAAGTATTAAATTTAGTTCACATATGGTTTATAGATGCAGATACATATACAGGTGTATAATTATGTGATGTTAAAACATACATTCCTACATTTAAACTAATACTAAAGTCTTACAATTTGTTTGCGTGTTTTAACAAAGAACTTCACAAAAAGAAGTATATGATAAGGAAAAATTCGCAACCATTCAAATATTAAAGTTAAATTAATTTTACGTAAACGGAAGGAGTTTTCTAAATAACTGACAAGTTTGATGTACGGTCGAATAAGAAAAATAAAAAGTATTTACTTTTGATAATTCTTTAAATTACATGGGGTTTAGTAAAGATGTGTAAAAAGAGCTCAGGTATAGTTAATGTAAGGAGATCGTACATTTTTTTTATGTATCAGGCGTACGTCAAGACCTGTGGACAAATTTCTTCCGTAGAATTGGAATGGATATTGTATTACTTGCATACGCAATAATCACATAAAAAATAAATACTTTAATACCTAGTTCCCAGTCTTCGTGTTTTAAGACCGACAAACACGGAACGTATGAGTTTGCCAAAACTTGCAGCATTTACAGCATCAAGTTTGTTGACCTGACAATGTTGTAAATAATGATTGTAGAGTGTACTCCGAGGTAAACTAACACCTTCTGAAGTCTCGTAATTCTCCAGTAACCACGAAACCTGAAACATAACATACGTATGATGGAAAGCAATACATAGTTATCTAAGTAACAGTTTAAATATTTAACTGCTATAAATTGGATTATTACGTTGAAAATAAATAAATTGAATCTTGAGATAAGGTCATGCATTTATTTAACAAAACCACATGTACATAGACATTTAGTATTTTGTAAACAATCAAGTTTCCTCATCAAGAGTAAAGGATGTAAAAATGTTTTATCAATAATACCGTTGCAGGTGAAGTTCTAGTTGTATGGGTTAGTGGAGTCCGACTGGCCATTTGAGGAGTTAGACCAGTAGCATGTTGATATGTGATAACTTGTCCTTGACTACCAGGTACCATGGTAGGAGATTCAATAGTAGAAGTTGTATAGGTTGCTTGATGTTGGTTACCATCCATGTAAGCGGTAGCAGGAGGTCCTTGTTGTCCAAACATGCTATTATCAGCATATGAGAATGAACTACAAAAAAAACAATTACCAATGTTTGCAAAACCAAACCAATATATGGAAGTCTTAAGTAGAAAGAAATTTGTGACCTTTGTGAAAGTCATTAAACCGACTGATTTTCATATCACCGTTGCAAATAAGGCAGGCAGATTGTAACAGTTCTTGTTGAAATCGTTAGTAATGAAACATTTCACTTTTGTTAAATACTGGAACGCATTTAGCAGCAATATTTAAATCTAGGGTTTTTTGGTTCATTTTATTGGGCAAAAATCTTCGCGCTACAAATTTCCATATTGCTTTATTCCGCGTTAGCGAAAATATTTGCGCAAGTGGTAATTTTGTCCTAAAAAGACAAACAATAGTTCTTAATAAAATATTACCATTATTTGTTTTTCAGATCTTTTCTTAATAATATATGATCAAATTATAAACGGAACAGGTAAATTTCAACTTGAAGCTGCATTGAAAAACGAAAATAATAAATTATGTAAAAATTTATGAGTGATTGACACACCTGTACATTTTGGAGTATAAATAGAAAAAGATTTAAAACTTACGAATATGTTCGAGTTGGCATAGTCAACTTTGTCGGAATAAAGCAAGCTGGATGTAAAAATGAGTCATTTTTTAATACAATGAAATTAAGGCCTAGCTTTTTACAAGCTCAAATATCGCCATGAGCATTTACCATTGTCATGGAAATGAATAGATAAATATCTTTTTATTAAAACCTGTTGCCTCAGCAACGCGAGATTACCACTTTAAAAATATCTCATTGTACAAAAGAAGTCAAAAGAACGATTCCACCATAGAAAAATCATCAGCAAAACAAAATAAAATTTAGTAAAGAAAATTACACTCGAGTAGACTAAAGACATGAATGAAAAACACAATTCTCGGGACAAGTCAATTGGTTTTCTTGTATTCATGAAAAATGAATATTGTTGCCTTGAATGCATTTAGTGGACACACTGAAGACATCTGAACCTTCGAATCAAATGCTCACATCGGTTAGCTGCTTTTGTTTTAAAAAATATTCACATAGTTTCGTCAAGTGCAATATCATACATGCCCTCCTTTCTGCAGGTGTTTAGAATTTCCATATTTAAGCTCATTAATAATATTCTTTGTGTTTTTGCTAAGCCTGAATGATCATAGTGAAAAGGATATTTTTAACCTAAACGAAAAGTAAAGACCAGAAGCTCTTCTGTGAGTAGATTCTTACCCTGGACCATTCGAGTACATTGTTGATTGGTCCCCTTCAACAAAGTGGACGTCCGAGTTTGGAAATGCTAAATGAAATAAAAATAGTTTTAAAAAGATTTAACCACATTTTATAAGTATGCATACTCTAAGTGATACTTGTGAAGTAAGCGCACGAGTGAGTGTTCTCGTGAACTTTTCTTAACAGATTTTGCCGAGGAAATAAAGAGGAACGAACGAAAGAATCGAGCAAGAGTAAATGCTTGTTGTTCTGCCTTTCTTTATTATACCTTTGCTCTTTATCAAATTATTCGAAGTTAAATTATCGGGGGTAAGAGAATGAAGTATGGATTGTTGATTAGTTTGCTGATTGAAAGTCTTTTGTTGTTGATCTCCTTGATTTGTAACATGCTCTGTAGTCGTAATAAAGCCATGATTATCTGCTACACTTTCAGCAGTAGCAGCGACAACAGTCATTTCTGTAAGACTGCCTTGCGCTGCTACTCCGCAAACTACTAAACTTTGACTCGCCATTTGGCGTAGATCTAGAGAAAGGATTCAAAGACGTGATCCTATTCATTGCCGACGTACCAGTCCCACACCACTAAAAGCAGTCAGTAAATACAGATGAATTCGTCTCATTGCATTCTCAATATTCCCAAAGCTTGTCTATTCATTGCCGATGTATTAGAATACATAATTGTTACATTCCTCAAATAACCTCAACGTCATTTACACCAACAAAATCATTTGCAAAATAATAAAAGAACAAGTTCGAAAGGATAACGATAGAGCTTACTCTAAGGACCAGTAAAATTTACCGCTACTATAAATGACGCAACATAGTAGAGCGTCGTTTACGACAACCGATATATATTTAAATAAGAAGTTTATTCATCAATGTTAAAACCAATTTTACGACGAAAAGACGTAGATGAGGTATATATATGGCATAAAGAAAACACAGATAATGATTTCGAACTTATAAAAGAGTTGCACAATTAATATGTTTCCAAATAGTCTGCCAGTCAACCATATTTACAATTAACAATGTGGAGCGTACAAGAAGTAAATTCTACGCATCACAGTTAATGTCTTAAGACAATGTAAAAGAAATGTGGTTATATTCATACTTTCTTACGCTTGTGTATACGATAGCACGCTAAATTTCTTGTATCCTTGGCTACAGTGGTCGCCTTGGAGCTTATTCTTTGCAAGTTTCCTCACCAAGCAACAATTCAACTACACGACTACATACAACGAACTGAGAATGACGATGACGACGACGTGCCGTCAAACTACCTGTTTGCGGGGAGCACGATAATTACTGCAGGGCATGCAGTATCATTAATAATTAACCAAGTATTTTTAAATAAATACAAATTTCGCGACAGCTTTTAAAAATTGTCAACTTCAATTTAAATTACAAAAAAAAGTAAAAATATAACCAGATGCTTTGATAAACATTTTTTCATGGAAGCATGTTGAACTTAAAGAATCTGTGGTAAAATGTTTCAAGTATGCTAAAGTTCATATACTAATCATTATAACCACCAAAATCTTTGGTAAAGGAAGGATATGAAGAAAAAGAGGAAATAATAATCATAATAATAATAATAATAAATTTATAATACTGGCAACAACAATAATAAATTGTAATAAATTAAAAGAAATTTTCTCAGCTTAATAATTTGAAATACACGACTTAAACTACGCTAGTTTCATTCTAACATTTTCATTTTGTTAAAATTTTCGATAGCACTTCAAGGTTATATTAATATATTAACGTCGGGCACACGTTAACGATATTTTAAACATCGTTCTAGAAATGAAAGAACGTTCTTATGGCAACCCAGAAATAACATCAAGCATTTTAAGGTTGTATTTTCTATGCATATTTCATAGTAAGAATTGTTGCTGTACAACTGATACTGACAAATCAAAAGTTGAAATTCGTGTAGATAGAAATTTACGCAGGTATCTTCCATAAAAATAAATGATAGTGGTTTCCTTAAAATATTTTGCTCCTCTTTATGAAAGAACACCTTAAATACAACTCTTTATCATATTGGCAATGAAGAAATGTATTATGCAAGACAAAAATTTGAATTCGTCCTCTCTGTGAAATTTTTACTTGTTGAAAATGGTTAAGACTCAATTGGCTTTAATATATAAGGACTAACGATCATCCATGTTTTTGAATGAAAAAAACCGTTTACATTTATGTAATAATATAGTAGGAAACTCAACTGTGATTAAGGCACAATTTGCACAATTCTGTTGTGATATATTTTACTGATAGCGATGGCATGTTGCTCAAACTTTAAAAGATATCATAGCCTTTTAGAAAAGAACTAGATGTCTTGAAATTAAGAATGTTTGAGCAAATTAACTCGATCAGTTTGTATTCCTTGCAATGAATAACTAACAGCTTTAGTAAATTGTTTGGTGCTTTATCAATTGTGCAACAATTTAAAAAGACGACTATCCAATCATCTCATGATACTGGCAAATAAATACAATATTGCTTCAGTATTGAGAACTGATATATTATATAACGACTTATTTTCAATACTTTACAATTCCAAAGCCTTATTAAGCCTTATTTTATGGACGTTTGACATTCATGCACGTTGCTGTCGTAATAATAATAAAGACAAACATAACAAAAATGTATTGTATTATTATTGAAAGGGATTTTAATTTAAAGTAAAACTAGTCCTTGCTGGATGGTAATCAATTTTATTGTGTCCATGGTTTTAGTAAAAGACGCCGTAGATAAGGCAACTGTTAAATTCTTTTATATATTCTAAGTTAAATTATTACTAAGATAGCGACAAGTTTATTCTAAGATTTGAATTCCGTGACACGATATCCAAAAACTGGTTAATACAACATAAGCGATGTGTTTAAATTTGTTATATTGTACAAATATTTGACCAAATGTACAACTGACCAAAGGAATAATTTCATTGTTATTAAAAACTCAACATAAAAATTAAAGAAATATCTAAATAAGATATGTAGCTTCTCTAATATTTTTGTTTATGGCCTATTTCATCTATTTCTTAAGTTAGTAAAAAACTAACCGAGATGAGTATCAAACATCTTGATTTCAAGAACATCGTGTAAATATTTCTTAAAGAATGCCAATCATACTGTATCACGAAATAAACACAATACATTGACCATGTATTATTGCTACATTGACTGTAATTTTTGCAGTATTTAACGATTAACATCTGTTATACAAACAATGTCCGGCATAGTAAGTGTTTACTTAACAAATTTTTCTGGCTTACGGCTACATCGCACCAGCCAAAATCAGTGGTTGATTTAAAAATTTTAAATGCTCATTAAATGCAACTTAGTGAGTTTAAAAGTGTAGGAGAATTTTTCGATTTTTACCAGGTGTATTGAATGAAAGAAATTAAAACTTAAAACTAACAACAGTTTGATACAAACCTTGAACACTGCCAGGACGATTGTATGTTGGTGTTGGTCTATCCATGAAGTCGTGACATACTCGAGATAATATTGAAAGATTTTGTAACATACTGATGTGGCCGATGTGGCTTAATTGATCGCTTACAACGATCAAAATCGATAAGAAAAATAAAACAGCCAAGCAAGAATGTTTACGAATCTTCGGTCGACAAAATAATGTTTTATAATTATCTGATGTCTTCTTGTGTTCAATTTACCATCGCAACTACAAGAGGTTTTAGTCTGGGTGTTAAACCATATTTTTCATCAGGCGAATATCGCCCACGTCGCTTAACGCCTGCCGTTATAGTTGAATAATTTTCCTTTGTAGGAGGTCATCGTTAAAAAACTTTTTTCGTTTTATGCTTGCAAATATGCTCTTTGACTGCAGTATATGAGTCGATTATCTTTTTGCAATTCAGTTATTTTGCGTGACGAAAGTAGCAGCGTTTTGTTCTATTCAACACACGAAATACATAGAGATTACGTCATGCATTCATAAGCGTCTAGATATTTGCTTGAAACAGATAAAAAAAACAAGTGTCATTAGAAAAAGTTTAGATAGTTCTGTATTTGTTATAAGTAATATTTATTATAGAAATCTGCAATTACTTCTGAAGCAAGCAACACTAGAAATGAATAGTGTTAAGTCATTGATAATTAAAAACCAAAATTGAAATCTTCAAAGGTTGCCTACCTGGACTGGATGTTTCATCTAATCTTTGCTGGTGTGCTTCAAGTAACTGTAAATAGTCAGGATCATCAGACGTTGATTTTTCACTTGAAGTTTTTAATACCACTTCATGTCCTTCAACCACATCAATGGATGACTCTGATTCTTCATCAGATGAAATGTCTGTAAAAATATTAGCAATGACACAGACCCCAAGAAAGCAAATAATAAATTTGTTGCATGAAATGTGTGAGCAATAAAAGATTATCAGAATATTTTTCTCACACATTTTAAAAGAGTTAACTGATTGTGAATTTATATTCATCCGATTCTAAATAGTGGAAATTAAACAAACCGGCTTCATTTGGACCGCTTTTTGAACGAAACATTTGTGCCTCGTCGACAAATCTTGATTTCTTGTTTTCTTTAGTTGAGATTTTATGAACTCCATTTCTATCATTTTTTTCGTCCACAAGAAATATGTATCGTCCAAGTAATTCGCTATCACTGACGGCTTTTGAAGAGCAGTTGGTTGAAGAATCTTCATTAAAAAGAATAAAATGTATAAACATAATAATATAATAACGAATTGACCTTCACAGACCATAATATTAATCATTCTCAGGCAGTGTATGGAACAGATCTGCAATAATCACCAAACGAAATGACAAACAACTTTTGAAAAAAATTCGCCATCTTAAAGAGTTAAGAAACGCTGCACTACCGGGAATAACCTGTAAGCTATAAATTCCAATAGTTGCAAGTTGCAAACAAATACTTCAATTTTCTTTATCTGGCTGCAAGAATTCACAAATATAACTTGAAGACTGAATAAATCCAAGTCACTTTGGCACAAAATTTATGACAAAACATTTCAGCGCTGTACTTTTTCACGTACAAATTAAGTATTAAAAAATGGCTATAACTTGAAGAAAACAGAACTTTGTTATCTTTCAAGTATACTTTTTTATTTCAATTACTATCCAGCTTATGTGCTAACTATTTGCCTTTGAAAAGATTTTAGAAACAATCAACATAATTGTTATCCGTGAAATCCAAACCTTGATGAACATTGTGAAATGAAAATAGTATAAAATAGCCCTCTGAAAGTATTTTAATAAGATGTTTAATAAAGAGCTTACTCTACGCTTTCTGTTTTAAAAATACTACAAAAGAAATAGCACCGAAGTATCGTGTATTTACCTTTTCTAAAGTTGATTTGTTCCGTGTTGTCCTTCGACAAAACTTGAACACTGACTTTCATTTGCTTCTTGTTAGAAATGAAATCATCGTTGATTACACGAATCAGCTTATTCTCAGCCATCATTTGATGTTGTGGTACTTTACGGCATAAAGATGTTTGAATCATCTCTCGATAATCACTTCAAAACGGTTTTTACAACTCACGACGTGAATTTGTGAGTTCAAAACTGTGAAGATGGAAAACGGCAAAAAAATTGGGAAAAAACAATAAAAAAAACGATTAAAAATCGCCGAATTAAACCATATTAATCACACAAGGTTTAGCTCACTAGTTTTAGCTACTTGCCTTAGCAAAAAGCCTAAAGAAAACATTTATATTTACGACGAAATAAAACTTCGACTTGTTGACGCCATGGACGATGATGCATCCACAAATAAATGCTCTTTACCAGACTCTAACTCAATGACCGCGCGAACGAGAGTGAAAAATGACTTTAGGTGAAGTCTCGTAAGTTGACTTTTTTTTTCGTTTAAGCGGATTAGAAAAAACTCATCCTATATTTAGCTGGTCGCAACCAATTTTTATACTTTGATACATATAAACACAAAACTTAATTAAATTATGTTAAAGCAGAATGGGCTTTGCGAAGTAAAGTTTGCACGTGCCATTAAAAATCACGAAAATTGAATACAGCGTTGACTGTCATAAACATTGGCAATAGAAATTCAGGAGACTGAGTTTAAAAGTACCATAGCATGCATATTAAAACAGGTGTGTAATAATGACAAATCCAAATTTTTTATAACAAAACTTTTAAAAGCGTTATCGTCTCTCGAGTACTGAAATAGCTAGAAACGCCTGTTAGATATATCAAATATATTTTCCTATCGTTTTACATTCATCTTTACTATTTCTTACAAAACAGACAAAGATGAAAGAATTGCTATCCATAGACTAATGCTGTCATCAGCCGCCATGCTGTGTTCAATTAAACTTAAAACTATGTTCAATGGTGATATTTAGGTACAAGCTGATAAGTAGAATAATATATTATATCAGAAATCACTGCACAAATAACATAGAGTAGCTACACATAAAGCAATTACATATTTGCGTATGACCAATTCTATAATGATTTAGGCAGAGTTAAACTTGAAGACTAGAAAAAACAATCTTTCAGAACTCTTTCAAAAAATACGTTTTGGCTTGTTTTATCCTTCAGGAAGGAACTCATACAAATCTTCTTGGGCTAAAAATAACATGACGTAAATCAATTGACTTATTATAACCACTCAACAATTGGTAATGAGCATCTATGAGTCTATATGACTTTGAATTTTATGAACAGATACATACACAATAAGTAAATTAAATAACAGAGTAATTCTCTCAATGTTTGAGTCTACGGATAATTAAAATATTTTAAATCATGTTCAAATTATTCAAAGGAATGCTAGTACTTAGTATAACGAGACAGAAGTTTTAACCATTCATGAAAGATATGATCTTAAGCTACTCTCTTATAAGTGATATTAATACGTAGTATAAATGTATCGTAAATTACACAAATACCTGAAACATCATCATAAATATCTTGATTTTCTACAAAAATAAAGTTGACAAATAAATTTTTATTGAACATTGTAGTAATTACGTATTTTTAAGGAAAGTGATCATGCTTATAAATACCTGCAGGGGGTCTGGGTGCATTTTGAACAGGGGGAGGGGGTGCTGATTGTGTTGGTGGGCTAGGTAGGTTCGATTCATCTGTGTGGATACTCTGATGTAATCCACCTGTTGGAACTACTTCATATAAATCTTCACTATCATTACTTGACGTTATTTTATTAACATCAATATAACCATCTACAGAACAGAAAGGAAATTATTAATGCAGACAAATTTTAACATTTAGTTAAGGTTCGTTCTACATTGATTCAAAACTTACACAGTCCTTGTTTGTTTCTCACCAGCCATTTATTGGATGGATTCGGCTTTCCTTTTCGTATTATTTCAAGTTCGTCCCCAACACACACAGTTATATCGTTACGATTTCCTTGAATATCCTCAGATGGCGAACAATTTCCTAAAGATTTCTCATTTCCTTTTATCTAGCAATGAAAGACGACAAATAATTAGAAAACATAAAACAAAATTTTCCCATTTGAAAGCTCAAGTCTTACACCGAATCGTTTCTTCATTTCGTTAATTTTCTTTTCTTTCTCTTTTTCCAATTTCTTGCGTTCTTTTTGTTCTCTTTCTCTCTCAAGTTTTGCTTCTTTTTCTTTCTGCTTCCTCTCTTTTTCCTTTTTCTTTCTGTCTTCCTTACTGCTGTCTTTGGCCGGTAAAGATGGTGGATTTCTGAACACAAATATTTTTATACTTTCAAACATATTTTTCTAAGGAGTATTTTCGAAAGCAAATGAGTATAATTATTCCTCTCCTGGAGGATTTCTCGAGTGGGTTTTGAATGTTTGAAACAATTTTATTCATACCAACAACAAAGCTATAACTTCAATAACATAAAGGAAGCAACAAAAAATAATTATTTCTCAAGGTGTAACTCCAAATTTGCCAAGGCTTATTCACTGGCAACACATCTCATGCTGTCAGTGTTTACAACTTCGTCTTTAAACAACAATAGAACTAAAATATAAAAGCTTTACGTCATACATGTCTGCAGGTTGTGATAAAGAAAAATCATTCTGAGCTCCAATAGGCTCATAGATATCATCACCGAATTGATTATCTTGAGCTTCATCTGTTGTAAAATCATTCTAAATGTATTTGGATTGAATTGGATTGGATTAAAGACAATGAAGTTTACATAACTATATGAAGAAGATGATTTATACGACAAAAAAATTTGGGAGTTTTTACACAAATATGATGATGTTTGTTTTTTAACTGTATTTTTTGAAAGAGAACCTACCCCATTTACAGTATCATCATAAATATCTCCAGATTGAGTCTAAAATAAATAAAGGATGAACTTTATGAACTTTGGGGAAATGACAAAATAACAACACAAAATGAAATTCAGATGTTTCACAATGTTCTAAAGAAAATTTACCGGGTTGACAGTGTCATCATAAATATCTCCAGATTGAGATTCATTCTACATTGTACAAAAGTTTTAAATGAAAGAACTAAGCAAACTTATGAACAAAGCAACTAATGCTAAAGGCAAACATCATGCAATGTTTTGCCAACATTTGCCAAAGAAAACTTACTGAGTTAACAGTATCATCATAAATTTCTTCAGATTGAGTCTGCAATTTAAAAAGGATTCAAATTAAGAATAGAAAATAGAAAAATAACAATAGTGGAAACTGGACTTACAATAGGAGTAGTATCATCATAAATTTCTCCAGACTGAGTCTACAATTTAAATAGGATTCAAATTAAGAATAGAAAATAGAAAAATAACAATAGTGGAAACTGGACTTACAATAGGAGTAGTATCATCATAAATTTCTCCAGACTGAGTCTACAATTTAAATAGGATTCAAATTAAGAATAGAAAATAGAAAAATAACAATATTGGAAACTGGACTTACAATAGGAGTAGTATCATCATAAATTTCTCCAGACTGAGTCTACAATTTAAATAGAATTCAAGTTAAGAATAGAAAATAGAAAAATAACAATAGTGGAAACTGGACTTACAATAGGCGTAGTATCATCATAAATTTCTCCAGACTGGGCCTGCAATTTAAATAGGATTCAAATTAAGAATAGAAAATAGAAAAATAACAATAGTGGAAACTGGACTTACAATAGGAGTAGTATCATCATAAATTTCTCCAGACTGGGCCTACAATTTAAATAGGATTCAAATTAAGAATAGAAAATAGAAAAATAACAATAGTGGAAACTGGACTTACAATAGGAGTAGTATCATCATAAATTTCTTAAGGTATATCACCATTCTAGGGTTCATATTGCACACGTTTGATTTTAACAAGGCAAAAAGGATATTACTATGTTTATATATATCCTGAAGGTTCTGCTCACATATGGTATTGTTAATGTTACCTACCGTACACACAGTGTCATCATAAATGTCATCACATATGGTATTGTTAATGTTACCTACCATACACACAGTGTCATCATAAATGTCATCACATATGGTATTGTTAATGTTACCTACCATACACACAGTGTCATCATAAATGTCATCTGCTATGCTGCAAGATAATAATATATTAATGACATTTCAAATGCAATGAATGACAATGTAAAATAGTTTCAATCATTCTTTACAACTTAACACACAAACCTGTTTCTTGAAGATTGTATGCTGTTATTAGAGATGTTGTCTCCAGACATCCTTGGCACAGAATCTATAAAACAAGTTTTTAATATAAAAACAATTGATACTGATATTTGATTGAAATCTTATGCTATTCCACACATTGTGAGAGCAACAGATAGCTCTAGCAATATGTAGTAAACAGAAAGAGGTGGCAAAAAACTTTTGAGTCTAGAGAATAATAACTACATTTAAGAGTTTAAACCTGGCTTTTTTGGAATATCTGGAGGCAATGTTTCTATAACAAAAACATAATTTTTTACAATACCATTACAACAACAACTTTATTCAATAATCTGCATTTTCAGCATCATTATTGAATGATAAAACAAGAATAAATTTATGTAAAATTTATTTTTCAATATCAAAATAAGTTAAATAGCTAACACAAAACATCACCCTTCATGAATATTTATATACTTTACATTTTCATGAACAACAGTTTATTCACATTTAAAAATAATTTTATTGCATCTAGTCGAAAAATCAATACCTGGTGTTCCATTGGCATGAAATGGTCTTTCTGGATGACTAGTTCCTAAATATGAGATGTTTACAACGTTTAGCAAATCATTCATCATTACTTGTAACAAAATGGATGAATTCTATAATTCAAAATATTCATGACTTTAACACATGCATATTTTAGAGTAATACATATGTACCAAGATATTTTTCTAACACAGTCTTCAAAAAACCAAGCTTTGGAGGTTTAACTGGACATGCACCAATAGCTGACTCTGAAGGCAATGGCATTAGTTCTGGTGTACAACCAAATGATGACCCATTTTCATGGATTGTAGGACTGAAATTTATAGACAAAAACATAGAAAAATACAAAATTTTTTCATTAAAACATACATTATGTCTACCCCTGCCCCCCCCCAAAAAAAACCACTTAGAGAGCAAATACTGTATAAGTCTCTTCAATAAAGAAATCAATTAACAGCTTAATAATACTGGACGTCCACAATCAGAAAACTAAAACACATTTTTCCTGCATGTGTAGATTTTAACTAAAAAGTTTGGCCTGCTTGTAAACAGCTGATTTAGCTGATGAATTGACCTTACAATAATAAAATTTTACATTCATCTTACTCAGGTTTGTTAACAACACTTGGCGGTCGGTTGCAATCGCTTGGTTTTCTTGGTACATTTGGCTTAACTGGCTTAACTGGAATGACAAGTTGCCTCTTCTCTTCTACTTTTGTTTTAGGTGGAATGGGAGATTTGCTAACAGAATTATTTTCAAACATTTGAGAAAGTTTCTTAACCCCATCATTATTTTCATTCACTGTGTCATCCGTCTTTTCATGCTGTTTTGTTAATGACTGATTAGTTGGTCTTAATCTCATCCTTAAAAAGGCAACATCACTTGGCTTGTCATCTGAATTCTGTTTTGGAGTGTTTGGTGGAGGAGTTCTTTTTAAACTTGAAAGTTTACTTTGTAAATCAGAAGTACACACAGCCATTTTAATTACTGTTTCAAAGCTTCACTGACAACATCACGTCAAAAATCTGTTGAGACCAAAGATGTATCTTGATATTTTAATGAGAAACCTGAAAGTAATATATTCATTCTTCTAAGAATGAAGATGGACATAAAATACTTTATTAAAATAGATCATAAAATAAAACATTAAAGCTTGTTTTGTCAAAAACACACCACTTCATACAGCAGGATTTAAAGTTGGGAGTAAAAAATTCTGTGCACATCATATAAATATGCGGAAGTCCAAACTGGTATCTTAGACAGTCTACTGGAATATATATTTTTAAGAAAAATAAATACTAGAAAACATATAACAAACCTTGTCTTAATCAGATATATTTAAATACTGTGTAAATAGAATATGATGTTCACCTCGGTATATAAACGAAACGTTCCACTGATTATTTAGGAAATGTTCACAGAGAGAATATACTAGACTTCCGTACAACACTGGGCGGAAGTATTTTAATAATTGTGCTTTAATTTGCATTTTGGTCATGCATTTTCGCTCAGCAACGACGATATTACGGTGGCCGGTATGGTTCACCAGAAAAATAATTTAAAAAACATAACAGAGAATAAGAAAACATCACTCAAAGTCATACTACACATTTCAAAATACTCACTACACATTTCAAAATACTACACATTCCTCCCAGTCTTACCCTGGTCTGGCCTGCCCACAGTCGTCATTAGTTTCCAAAAACGAAATTGACGTGACGTCAGAAAGCTAATATAAATATATGCTTCCGATATTACAAAAAGTTCATGAACGCGTGTATTGCATATTTTGATGCTATTGTGGCGATATGTTTGTCTATGAGCCGAATTCCACATTGACATTAGTTGACTTTTTAAAAAAAAAACACCAAAAAAATGTAACAATAGAAAACCAAAATAATACCCTATTGCCAAAAATCAGCGAAAAAAGCAAATAATAAATCTTTATATATATATTTATTGAGCTAAACGAAAAATTTTCACATTGTTTTTCTACCTGTGAATGAACGTGAACTAATCCTTCAACACTCCAACGGAGAATCCGCCATATTCTCTCAGTCCTTGTACTATCCCTCGTCAATAACATTGCTTTGAGTACTTTTCTCACAATACTCCATCTGTATATACAAAGTTTGCAGTGTACACTTTATATCTTCTTGCAAATCTTTTGTGGTGATTGCTTCCTCTTCACTTTAGAAATCAGATTCCTCGTCCTAAATGAAAGACGCGGGTAGTTATTTTTACATATCTTCAGCAACATCATGAAGAGTTCCCACGACTATATACCACGTAAGCCAACGAGCCTTCAAACTGTATATGCCCTTCATCGATATTTCTTTTGGACATATCTTTAGTACACTCCGTGTTATTAATGGATTGTTTTTGTATAGGAATCTCGTCCTTGCTAAAGCTTTTTTCGTCGTCAACATGCTTGGAATCATGAGTGTTTTCTTTGGTCAACGAGTCATCATCCAAAATTCTCCAGCATGCGCCAGGTGCTTGAACTACGTTCAATTTCATCAAGCTATCTTAAATCTGGCGTTGTTGTTTCTCCTCTGTCACGCAAGATTTTGATTCATAGTTGGAAGCTTCATTTTCAAGTATTTCTTCTACCTCAATCCACATATTACAATATTTGTCATGAATATTAGAGCATTGTTCATGCACAAAATATGCAGATTCAAAGTTATGAAGAAAAATAAAAATATGTCTATCATTGTCACAGATATTACGTGTGGCGTAACGAAGTGTTGATGATTTTGATATTCATTTGTAAAAACAAGCTAAAGAGCGTGCCAAAAATATATGATTGAAAATTTGCTATGCGCATATACAAGCACCATATTCAGAGCTTTCTCCGTCACAAATTAATTGAGAATTAATATGAGCATGCAAAGTCAACTGCAGCAACTCTCCAAGTTCATGGTCATGGCAACGACCAACTGTATGTACTAGTAACAATTATGGAGCAATTAGCTCGCTCAGTCACAAATTTTCAGATAAATCATCTGCGCTTGCGCAGTCTGCTTGAGGATGCACAGTCGACATGAGCAGCTGCCCAAGTTTATGGTCATCGCAACGACCAATTACATCTAAGTAAAAAGTAAAAAGCATGCTTAGTAACAATTTAATAGAGAAATTATCTGAGCACGCGCAGTAACGATGTCAATCATACTAAAACTTTCGTAAGCCTTTAAATTTACGTAAATATATATAAAGTAAATACTTTCTATAGTAGATGTCAACTAGCAGTGGAAGCTGGGTGCGATTTGGTATGCAGTGGCTTAGGAGCCCAGACTTCGGTCGCGACCGCACTCTCCTCGAAGCATGGACGGAAAACGGGATTTTTTGCTTTCGACTTTAATCTTTTTTTCGCCACAGGAGCACTTTAATGGCTGCCGCAAAATTGCAGGTTTGAATACCAAAAAAAAAACCCGGATAATGATGGAATTTTTCGTTAAAATTTGGCAAGTGTGTTTAATCAATATTTTCTACAAAATGCAATAAAATGATGACTACATTTTTTTGTAACAGGGGCACCGTTCATCAATTACAAAACGCACGCTACGAACTGTGCTCGAACACCTGCTCGAGTCTACCACAATGGTTTGGGGGGCAACCACTGTGGGCAACAGATTGCTGCATTGCTGGCTCGCCTACGCAACGACGCAATTTAAAAAAATAATAACATGAAGTATTTGTTACATATTATTTTTCATGGCGGACTTCGAATAGTAAATGTAGTCGAAATATCAGTAAAGATGGTTTGAAGTTCCCCTTGTGGGCAGCAAAAAGTATGAACGGTGTTTCTGTTTGTCTTGAAGAAATAGCTTTGGAAGGTTTGGACGGTATTACATTATCGACATTATGGCGAAGAATGAAATCTGCCATGTTGTTTTCTGTTGTTGATGATACTTATAAGGAATTTTTATGGCGATGTGTAACGTCTTGTAAAGATATTGAGAGTTTTCTACTGCCAGAACCACGTCCAGAAATCAACTGTGTAGATGATGAGAAAAAGGCTTATCCTTATCATTGTATTAAAGGAGAAAGTGTTCGGGGCTCTTGTGCCACATTCAAAACACGGTCAAAGATCGATGTTAGCAATAAAAGTCTTAAAAATGCTGCAGTAACATACGGAAATCGGCTTGTGCTTGTTGCTTCACAACTGTTGCGAAATCAAGTATTGTTTGGTGAGGAGTTTGAAGTTAATGTAAATATATCAGAAATGTGTTATTGTTTGTTGGAAATTATTGCACGTTCAAGGAAACTTGGCTGTTTGCATTCAGATCTTGGTATAAACACAAAGACAGACAGCAAAAATTTGTTCTACGCTGTAAAAGTATTGGCAAAATTAGATCTTATAACAAAGCAATCTGTTCTAGCTCGACGATCTCTAGCCACTTCAATACTTTACTTGAAGAAATTTCACATTGAACATAGTTTTGACTCAATTAAGTCCAAACTGTCTGCAGCATTGAATAAAGCTCCAAGTGCAAGTTGCACAATTGAAAGTCTTTGTAAAGAGCTTGGTGAATCACATGATGATGTAAAAAAGGTTATTGATGAATTGGCAAAATCTGGTCACGTTTGTTACATTACTAAGGAACCAAATAACACTGAGATTTTAGATTTTGTACAAGAACAAAAGGATAATAGAATTGTGAAGTCTGTTTGTACATTCTATAATCTCTCAGCTGAAGAAATGGATGAGTATGAAGATGAAGAGTGGATGCAGTCAGAATATCAAGATTTATCCATGAATATTCCCGCAGAAATTCCCATATTACATGTTGTTTATGCATACATTGCAAAAAAAGGAGAAACAGGAGCAAGTCTAACAGAGTGTTGTCAAGCATTAAGTTTTCCCTATTTTATCATGAGAAAAACATTGTACGATATGGAATGTCTTCAGATGATTTATTGTAAGTTTGTTGATTGTGGAAAAACAAAAATGAATGTTTACTTTATAAGAAATGACCAAATTTTTCCAGGAAAACAACCATCAGACGTTAAAAGGGGTTCTCTCATAAATAATATGGCTATGGAAAACTCTCATGTTTCAGCTATATTTTCACCAACAGATGTAAATCCTTTTCACGAAAGCTTCAGTGGATCAACTGAGGCTACAGTTAGTGAGATAAATAACATCTCTCAAAGTCAACCATCTACGTCGAAAGAATTGAAATCAACTTCTGCTGAAGATTGTACTCAAGCAAAAAATGAAAGAATTTTGAAATGTCAACAACATAATATCAGTTCATCTATAACTACATCTGAGTCATTGACAGTGAAAAACGGCAACACAGGTGGTCGAACCCGGACTCGAGCTGAAAAAACATTGGAGTGTGAATCTTTTCTCAGACGCAAACAACTTATTCTTAATATGATAAAAAATTTAAAAGTTGTTGCTACATTTCTTCCAATAAAACAATTTGTAACCTCAGAAGAAAGAAAGATGGGTGTTGAAGTTACAGTTGATCGCCGAAGTGTTATATCACTTCTACAAGTTTTGATTGAAGATAATCTAGTGAAGAAGATTAATGTGAAAGTTCAAATTGATAATGATGAGAATTCTGTTGACTTCTATTGTGACAGCGATATTGGAGAACATTGTAAGGAATTCATTTCTTGTTTACAACAATTTAAAGACAAAATCATCGTTAAGAATGCAAACGGGGTGAATGTTTTTTCAAATAATCAAAGTTTTGAAACCAGCGTTCTTCCCAAATGTGCAAGAGTTGAAATTTTACATATGTTTTTATATTACATAACCTACTCGATTGCAGATTCGAAGGACAATCTTACAGAGCTACGAAAGAAATATGATTGGACCGAGTTTCTGTCACGTGAGCATACACTTACGTACTTAGGAAAAGGATGGTTTACTCCTTATTCTGCTTTGATGCTTCTCCCGGTGTCTCTATATGTGAAACTTGTTAAATCACCATTGTACAATGTTATTATTAAAAAGTACTATGACGATCCATCGACACGAAATATGCTGCTGAAAGATCTACCGCCATTGGCAAGGTACGTTCTATATAATCAGAGAAACGATTTCCTGTTTGGATGTTTCGAATTTCTTGTGTATTTTGGTCTCATGACACCTAGTAACAAGAGTATTTTTTTGCATGAGAGAGATGTTGCTTGCTATCTTCATCCCTGTGCAATATTGAAAAACACACGAGACTCTGAACCAGGTTACGATGAAGTAAAACACCCAAATGACGAGGAATTCGTCGAAGAAAAAATTGTTTTTGACAAAATAGCCAATGTTGAGTATTATTGGGAATCACTGAGAAAGATTTGCTTCGAAACTCCTTTAAATAGAAGAAGTGGACCTGGGAAAAAGCCTCGCCCTCGTACTCACCCAAAAAATCTCGTGAATTATGTCGTTGATGAGAAGGAGATTTCTGAGTATGCTAAACTTCCAGGTGATGGTCTAGGTGCTGCTGGTTTTGATTCACAAATTTATGTTCATCTTCATTCAAAATGGAAATTTTCATTGCTTGAAAAACGAGAGAGAGTAAAAAAGACGAATATTGACGACGACTTGAATTGGCAAAATTCTTTCCCAAATGATGTGGTGAATGTTGACTTGAAAAATGCTCCTGCGAAACGTAAACGACCGAGTAAACACGTGGGTGTGACTAAGAAACAAAAGATTGTGGAGAATCAAGTCAATCATTCTAACTGCCAGATTGAAGTCATCAAAAACCAGAAGATTGGTAAAGGTCCAATTAATCATTCCCACCGCAGTAAAGAAGTTATTAAAAACATGAAGTTTAGAGAAAGTCGAATGGATCATCCTGATTGTAGGAATAAAGTCTTAAAAAATGACATGACGGCTTGTGTAGAGAAAAGAAAATGTGAAAAAGTAGTTGAAAGGGCCGAAACGTCTGCGAAAACAACTGTGCAAGACAAGAAGCAAAAGAAAAAGAAGAATTCTAAAACTGTTCCTCATAAAAAACATGGACACTGGCACACACAGGTCCACGACGCGAGAGACGTTGAAGCTCTGAAAATGAAGGAAGCTCGAACAAAATTTTCCCCGCAGCAAATGAAGCTGCTGTTTATATGTTGTGTTGCGATGCGTATTATTGGTAGAAAGTCCACTGATACCGGTTATAAAGATTGGTTGTGGACTAGAGATGTTTTGTACAAAGAGGATTATGAATCTTCCAAGACTAAGACTGCATTGTCTATCAGCCGTAAATACACGACGATGTTTAAAAATGCTCAAACCAAAAAAAACCTTGAAATTTGTGTTGCCGAATGTCTTCAAGAGAAAGAATTTGAACCGTATGTTAACATCGGAAAGAACTGTGAAGAAACAACATTTAATGAATGTGTTGAATTGCTTAAGAAAAAATATAGCATGCAAAATATTGTTAGCAACAGTATATCACTACCTTCGACAACCCAAGAGTTTCAATGTCAAAAGAATTCACAGTTAAACAGTCTTGAAGTTGAGATTGATGACAAGTGTGATTCAGACATTCTCACGTTAGAGTCTCGGGAAGCCTCAATTGCTGATATTCGTCAACGAATCATTCGAGACGCAATTGTGTCTGCGTTATTGTTAAACAAGACCTGCTACAAGTCACATATCGCTTTCAGATTTCTCAGCCAGTTCAGTGAAGAAGAGTTAATCATTGCTGTTGCGTTATTGAAGAACGCTCGTATTGTTGTTCGTAAACAACTGCGACATGCCAAAAATGGTTATGACTTGGCATCTTGTGCCTTTAGTCAAATGTTATCAACTCATGGTCAGTACATCATCGACCATCACTTTTCCTCAGAACTTGTGCAGGAGGCTAGCTTGTTTTATGATGAAATATCTAACGCTTGCAACTCTAGTGACAGTCATCAAAATTTTCTACCATTGAAACTTTCAGATAGTTCTATTTCTGGAGGAAAAGTTCATTGCATTTTTTCTTTGTTAGCCTCTCGAAGGTTAGGGGTAAATATGCATGTACCAAACTGCTTTCTTGCGCTTGCTGGGAAACCAACAAAAGACACATCGTCCTGTGGAAATAAAAGTAATTCTGATAAAAAAGAGAACGAAGGAGTGCGTACAGGTGATGTTACAAAAAAATCTGCCGGAAGATTAACATGCAATGTCGACGAATCGATAAATGAGGGTTTGTTCACAAAGGAGATTACAAATGAATCAACCGATAATTGTGCTAAACTTGTGGACCAAAGAATGTTGAAAGAAAGCATTGATGAATCACTAAATAAGAATTTCACCAAGCCCGTAGATGAAGAATCTTTTTCGAAAGAAATTGTGGATGAATCAACTGGAGGTGAAAATTCAACTGAACGAATTGACAAAGAAATGGTTTCACACGATTTAAGAGTTAAATCAAATGCAAAACTGGTTGAGAACACTACCGAATCCGTAGATGAAGGAATAATGTTCAAGGACATTATTGATACATCAAAAGACAATAATACAGTTTCTGATGAAGAAGGGCGAGTGATACCTGGAAATGTTAATCGTAAACACCGCAATGATATGTTACTTGATGTTCTTTGTGGCATTGAAGATCATTTATTTGGCTCTCTGCATTTGGAAAGTGAAACTCCCATTTATAATGTTGCTCTTCAGCCATCGCCGTCTTTCAAATGTATGCTGAAAACATCCGCTGCTGATATTGGAAGCATCAACAATGGCAATCACGTCGTTATCGGGGAAGCAGAGAAGTCAAGTTTGCAGGATAGACTTATTCATGAAGCTTATCTTAAAAGATTTGCTCAGTTCCAACGTACTGGAGATTCTAATAAAATATACTTTAGTATCAACCCATGCAAAGTTGAAGTTAGTCTATTGAGAGATATTGAGATAAACCTTCCAAATAATACTAAAAATCTTGGCCAGAGCGTAAAACGTCACTTCATGTTGCAAGGTTTAAGAATGCCACAGACTATTGAAGAATGTACTATGACTTGTTCAACAATGTTCGGTTACAGTTTGGCTGACTGCAAAGCATTGACTGTTGTATATGAAACAATATGTCGCAGCAAAGAAATTGGAGTTTCCTCTGATGACGTAAAAAAATCTATTTTGGCTGGAAGAAACGATTTGAAAACTATGTCTATTGACGGCTTGATTAAAGTGCTAGAGGCATTTTGTCTTGTTTATAAAGTTGGTTTTATTGATGTGTGTTACGTTGCAAAAACCTTTAAATATCATTGGTTTTTAAATATTCAGGAAAGTCAAGAAGAATCATCAAGTGCTTCAAAGAAGAGAGACAAAGTTGTAAGTTCAGTCGAACAAGTGTCTTCTGTTTTGCCAGAATCCCCTGACAAAGATACATCCACGATCGATTTCAACTCGGAAAGTCTTGATTATTCCGAGAATAATCGTTGTAGAAGCCAAGTATCTTCCGAGACACAAACCGAAAATTACTCTGACAAATTATGTCGACCTTGGATTACAATGTCAGGAGATGTGAACAAAAATGCTTATAACGTGTTTCATCGCAGTGTGTTAGCTTACATTATAAGATATCCTGGTGTCCAAAAATACACCATATGCAAACACTTTCTCAATGTTTTATATCCTATTGCCATTGACGACATTCTTACAAAGCTAGAGGAGTGTGACTGCGTTGAACGGAATGTTTGTTTCGTTGAACGATCCAGTTTGTTTTCTTCAAATGTGAAAAAGAAGTCAACTTATTATCATTCCAAACCTGATGCTTTGTGTAAAATGTTTCGACGTATTTTTATAAGAGAGTAAAACATGGTGTAAAATCTTTGGAAGTGTATAACAGTGTACTGCTGGAGTTTTCTTCTTTTGTTATGTAATTTGAAAATCCATCGTCTATTTGGAATGTTTGATGTATGAAAGAAAAGTCTGAATAATTACAATAGAGATGAAGAATAAAGAGTGAAAATAACGATAAAATATACAATCCACAAGTTGCATTGACTCATGATGTTATATCATGCACTATTGTACTTTATGCAATGGGGACGTTAGTTGTTTGTGTATAATGTTGTAAGTTACATATTATTACAGAGTAAAAATATACAATCATTTTGTTCAGTTTACAATATCTCAAAGCAAAATGGATGAATGTTGTAGTTATATTTTCACTGGTGATATTTGACTCGTTCAAACGAATTATTGGGAGAATTTTTTCACGATAATGTATGGATTTACATCACAAAATCAGCATCCACCTCCCAAAACTTTGCAATTTTTGGCGTTTCGCACATCATAAGTACCATACGATCGATTAAAATGTACACAAAATGTATTCAGTACGAGTTCAGATAGAGCAATATAACTTTATAATGAAAAAACAGGATTTTGATATGATCCATTACTCTGTATTTCACTGTTTTTCCACTGTGGATCATATCAAAATATTTTCTAATACACAAATAATTAAAAACTTTGATGTTTCATTCGCGTGAACATTACTATTTTCAATACAAGTACAGTCTTTCGAATAATCATATTGAATACGTAAAACAATTTTGTAAATGATATTTTATACAGTATTGGTGGGTTGCAACCATCCTCCTGGGAGTTAAGTACAATGAAATACTCGCCATGTTGGATAAAATTTGCATTGTAAATGAGGAAAATCTTTTGTTAAAATCATCCAACATGGCGACTATGACATAGCTTGCAACCCAAGTATAGAAGTAACTTGATAAAGCCGCTCTCTCAAGGATTAATTATTGCACACTGTTGTACACATAACTTGGGCAATCACAATGTTTTTAATCACCGAGAAGGTATTTAATTTTATTCAAACATTCTCATGCACGGGAGCGTTTTCGAAATGTTTTTGGTTAAATTTGGAATTGGCCTAAAGTTTAAACAAAATGTTACTCAATAGGTAAAACCATAAGCAAGATATTTTCCATTTCTCGTACTTTCAAATCTCACATTCTACAAAAAGATTCGAACGAGGAAATGATTTGTGTATTTAGAAACGCCACAGCATAGAACGTAGTTGATGTTTGAGTAAAATGTTATGAAATGAACCAAATTTACAGTTTACGAAGCGTTAAAAGCAGGCATCATACTGTACTGGCTTGTATACTTTTTACATTCACCGTGAGACAAAATACATTGACTAAGCAAATTTAAAGAGATGTACCTGTGAACATAGCAATGCGGCTTGAAAGAGAAATTTTGATTGACTCTTTGACGTCCACGTTCGCATTTGGTATAATTTACTCGTAAGTTTGCCCAATGAAGTTTTCATCTACTTTGTAGTTTATATTAAACACAGGCAGCACGTTACTTAAGAAGTAAAACAAAAGTCCTCTCTCCTTGAGAGGAAGACACTTCTGTTTCGTCAGTGCGGTGATGCAAGAGTTTCAGTCAATAAACATGATGAATAATTAAAAGCGCATATTCAGATAACGAATTGTTAAATACGTATAAAATTAAAATCACTAGCAGTATTAAAAACATGCAACACATTATTTATGACTAAAAATTGTTTAGCTACAAATCAAAACGACGAGTATACGACGTTTTAAAAAAGAGCAAGCTGTCGCTGACGTAGTTGTACTTTCGTAGGAAGGATAAACTTCACCTCCTTTTTGGAAAAAAACTCTAAATGTCGTATAATTTATGCCAATGGAATTCCATTTGGCTTTACTTGAAGTATTGTCACTTTAGCCACATGACGTAAGCCTGTCCCAGTCTCCCCAAAACTACTCGTTATTTTAAGAGCAGATTTGTAAGGTGAAGGATTTAAAATAGATAGTATGATTGGCAGAAATACTAGACCATGAAATAGACCAAAGATGACAACACCAGACAAAACCTAGAAGAAACACAAAGAATGTATGTCATGACTGATGTACATTAAATTTCAAGGTTGAGTGTTCACTTTCTTCTATATTTTTCATGTTACCTTAGTAATAAATCACAGAAAGCTTCCACTCCCCTTAATCATCAAAAATAAACTGCACTCATCTTAGAGCAAAACTAGCGAACACACCATTGTTTTTACATTCATTGCATTTTTCTTTTAAAGCTGTTAACTATAATAGCTCTGCTTTTCTACACCTTCTTGTTCAAAGACCAAAATTATTTTCTCTCACTTTCCTTACCGTCCTATCTTTCTCAGCACAACGTCTTTATATTTGCAATACAGTTTTATCTTTTGTCATGTACCGACTTATCCCTTCTCATACATTATTTTCTCTAACGCCCTAAATCATCCTAGTCTTGTTGAAATTTTCCTTGTTTTATTTAATATAAGTTTCAGTTTTCAATATGGCAAAAAAACTCACTTTAAAGAAAGTCATAAAGATATACGACTCAGATGAAGGAAGTAAAACAATCGCAAGGAATGTGCTAAATCCACCATTCCAAACAGCTGGTCCAATGTACTGTAATGCTTTCGTTGCTCTTTCTGTAGAATGAATTGAGACAAACGATCAACAAAATTTGAGATTATAAAGATTTTATTAATCAAGTACCTTTGGAGTTTCCCGTTTGCATAAGATAAGCATGACCAACATGAGAGGCATAATCAACAGATAAACCCACTCCAATAACTAAAACTATTGCTGATACAACGTCGATGGTCAGATTCCAGTAATACATAAGACCTGCGACATCTACCTATCATAAAAATACTAAATATTAAGCAAAGACATCTTTAGTGATATATATTTGGTACGTAATTTAGTAGCTAGAATCCATATTTATATTTATGAGGACTGTATATTTTAGAATCAGAATCAATAAAATGGAAAATGTCATAATTTATTTATACTAACCACAGTAAAAGCAACACAAAGAAAGACAAGAAAGGATGTCATGGGATTTGCAATGATAAAAAATGTGACAATAAAAACCACCAGCATTGCAAGAAGAATATTTCGATATAGTTCAGTTCCTATAACCTGCAATAGAAAAAAATTAAAAACAACGTGTTGTAGAAAACACAATGACCGTTAAAAACCGTGATATTTTACATTACTTTGTAACTTTCAGCCCATAAATACGAGAAACCATACACTCTAGCACCAGGAGACACGTTCTTTACTAGTTCCCTTAGAGAGTCCATCGCTTGCACTTCCTTCACAGAATCAGCGAAATTAGGTTGAAGAGCAGAGAAACGAGAAGCCTAGCAAAAATATGTATATAGCTCAATGTTGTTCTGATAAAGAAAGAAGTAAAAAAATATTTTACATACTTCAATTCTATTACCAGATTTGTTCCATTTAACATGACTGGCAAATTTTCGTCCTTCAGATCCATCGAGGAAAATTTTAAGATTAAAATAAAACGCTTTTTCATTGTTTATAGCTGAAATAAACGAAAAATTAGTTGAAAAGTTTCGCGTAAGAAAATTTTTGTTGACTTTAGGGCTATATAAATTTGATTGATTAGTTTTTACAACGCTACAATTTGTGCCTTAAATCTCTTTTACAAATACAGTTTTATAGTTTAGACTGTTGGAAAATAGCCCTTATAGCCCTTGCCTGCTGCTCAATTATTTTAATTTAATTCATCAACTAACAGACAATCAAGAAATGCCCAAAACAAAATAATCAGATAAAGCTAAATGACAAATTCAAATGGACTTACTGGAATTATTAAAATAGACATATTCAGGATGATGTTTTTTCATCCACATCACATAAGATTCGTACCAGCTCTCTAAGCTGTTACTAGATAATCGTTCTGTGTCATTCTGTAATTTCTCGTACAAACGATGCAACCGCATTTGTTCTGCATAGTAATCCATTGGTCCTTGACAAAACAATTGATAGCTAGGTCAAAATGGTCATAGCAGAGTCAAATGTAGTGATCCCTTATTGATTCAAATTAGTCACCTAGATAGATAGCGATAGGATGGCCATTAAAAGGAAACTCCTAAAATAAAAAATTAATTGGAAATTAAGGATCTATGAACGCGGGTTGAAAAAGAGGAAAGTCAAGCATTTTATTCTTACTAATATTTATCCAGAAAAAATTTCTCATTAACTCATTGTAAAATACTAGTTTAGGCATGAGAGATGGTTCAATTGTATTTAAAAATCATCATACTCTAGAGTCGATCTCAATATATCTTCGAATGACCGAATCACGCGGCAAAATCCACTTCGGTTCAAAATGCTGACGTAATAGCAAGCTTCCTCTAACGCTGATGGCAAGAAAAACAGCAACTGATATCAGAACAATCACCTAAATAAAATATAAATTTTTAATATTCTATGTGACAAATTGGTGCAAGTATTTAACTGAATAGCAATATAAATTATTGACATGATTTTACCTTTACAGGTACTTTTAACAATATCTTGCTATAGATCTTTTCAAAGAAAATTTGAGTAAACTGAAGATTAAAAAACTTGTTCGGAGTATAGTTTTCGGGCAAAACGAGGCAGCTTAAGCATCCATCGCGATTGGCACTTTGTCTAAAGACATTAAAGTTTTAAAATTCAGGCCAGCAAAACAAAAGTAAATGAATAGAAATACCTTCTGGCATCAATTGTCAACCATCCGACAAAAAACGTCAGCTGAAATATATAACCTGAAAGAATACCTAGTTAAAAAAGATATATGGTTGTTAGAATATATGGTTGGCCATTGCGTTTAGAAATCGAGGTGCACACTTAATTATTAAGGTGACACTTAAGGTTTAGACCGAGGTGATACATTAATGTTAATGGCGACACATTAGTGTTAACAAATTAACTTTTAGCGTTAACGGTGAGTTTTTAGGGGTAGCTGTAACACTTTATGAGGTTAGTGGTCACTCTTGACTTATTGTGTTAAAATTTTAGTGCTATGAAAATCCGGAAGAGAAGAATCTTTCAATTCCTACATCTTGAATAAAAGACTCACCAACAGCAGCATACAAGCAAAAAGATTTTAATCCTGGTAATATCTATAAAAATTTAGAGTAAAAATTATAAAACGTAATGGTTAGTGTATTTAAATAAAATGATGGAGTATATTCACCTCATCATGCACGCAAAATAAAATTATCAATTTCGACTTATAAAAAATTAATTCCACCCAATAAAATAATTAAATAAAGTACTTACAGTTGTTCCTCCAACCAAAAATGCTAAAACGTCAGTGACTGTCGTAACTGTTATTGATGTTCCCTGTAGAGTTAAATATAACTTCAGCTACGAAAAAGTCGAGGGAAAAAGGTTTTGTCTGCTTTATAAATACGTCACATACAATGATACATGCAAAGAAATGTTAATAAAAACAGTAGTAAAATGAATGGGAAAATTATCATAAAATAACACACAGAATGTTTTAAAGCAAGGCCAATTCTTTCTTCAATGGTGTTATGACGATGAACAGCTGGTGAAATATTTGACCAAGATTGGACAATAACGAATAAATCATCCACTCCAATCCCTAAAACATGTTGAAGAAAGTTCATTTATTTTGAAAACATGTCAAGGAAAGTTTCATTAATAAAACACGTTCAATAAAAATAAAAATTACCAAGTAAAAGAAATGGCAGGGTCAAATGTGCCGTCCCAAAGAGAAGCCCTATGGCACTACACAAACCAATGGAAACACCAATACTCATAGCAACACCAATAACACCAACAGTCGCTAACCACATCTGAAATACAAAAATAAAGAAATATTTTGTTCTATTTGTCGAGAGAAAATATGGAGAAAACTATATATTGCAAACGAAACATGTCTTTCTAACATTATGCATGCATGGTCTTATCATGAAAAAGTCTAAACTGAAAAAAATATTTCATTGTTACGAAAGGTACATAATATCAAACACTAGGCACAACAGTTGCTAACACGAAACACGTAACAAACTTTTTGATTATTTCATCATGAATCACGGGCAACAGCACAGAGTTTTAAGCCACGTGACACAATTTGTGGCAAAGCGAATGGTTTGAACCCGAATGTTACATGTTTGCATGTAGGTGTAGATTGCCAAGGTTTGTAAAGACCTGAGAAGGACAGTTGATGTTTGTTTCGACTAACGTTTCGACAACATCAATGGTAGACATTTTCAGAGTCAAAGTCAGACTTAAACAACCGCTATGGTTGTCGTAACGTCAATCAACATCAACACCAACAATCCTCTTAAGACTTGTTCAAACAACCCGAGTTGTCGGATCCGATAATATCGCATCATAAAAACAAATCGTGTCAACACATATTAAGTGAACTTCCCATATTTGGATTCGTCAGTTTCATGAATCGTATGGAAATAAAACTTGCTCAGTTTTCATTACGACTAGATAGAGAGGAAGCCGACTGCTCTCGGACGTTTCACTCTTCATACTTCCCAAATTTGATTTCGTGAGAGAAATTACGTTTGTAAAAGATTTGAAAACAAGAATAAAAATACGTAAATATATTGATAAATATACTGGATGACACAAATGGCTGCTCTCAAGACTATAAAAATTTAAACGAGTATAAATGTCAACAAAACTATCGGATTGTTTCAACAAGCAACCAAAAGTCCGAACCGAAACAATCGGATCTTGTGAACAGGCCTTTAGGACTTTACTAACCTGGACGATCACGTAACAAACCATCAGACCTTACTTTAACAATTACATGAAATACCTTAACTTCGAGGCGATTCAACTTCCCAATGACAAAAGCGACATAGAAAATAAGAAGAGCATAACCTGTACTCAACAATTTAATATCACTTTTGATTGAATTCTGTGAGGTAGAGTGAAATCTGGTAAAAAAAGAAACATTTCAAAATTCATGGCTGAGTTATGAAGTCAGTCTTTGATGATAAAATGAAATCATTTTGCAAAAAGTTTGCTGCATGGTTGATTGCAGTTGATAGCAAAACTATAGAATGGTGAAGAAAAACAAAACTTCATTGAAAGTTATGTTTGTGGATGAAGATCGTCCAGATTAGTAGAGTCCTGAGAAGGACTGTTGATATTGATAACACTGACGTTTCGACAACCTTAGCGGTAGTAGCAAAGTCGAAACGTCAGTCATCACTAATACCAACAGTCCTTCTCAGGACTCTACTAACCTGGAGGATCTTCATCCAAAAACATGTTACGATACTCCCGGGTTCAAACCATTTACTTTATTAAAAGTTATATCATGCTTCACAAATAATAATTTAATTTTTTGCTTCAGCTAAAAATAAAGCTAAAACTTTCAATTTAGTGTTTAATGCTGTGTCATACATTCATAAGATGTTCACTTTATAGATTGCTATCTTCCGCGAGTTATGTATATCTATGAATGAAACTTACTCTGTGTTTGTGTAATAAACAATATTATCATATTCATCCAAGATTTTTGCAAACTCTTTTTCCCAAAGTCTTGCTCTGCGGTCAATCTTAAAAACAATTATTTTCTTTATTATAATCAGTAAGAGAACAAAGAGCAAAAAAATTTCCCTTAGTCTTTAAAAAATTTAAATGGTCTAAAATTGACTAATCAAGCACTACTTTTCAAAAAAATAAACAATATGAATATACCACGTGATCATAACATAACACGTGATCATGCATAACATCACCTCTTCGCCAGATGATTTATCCAACTGAAGATTTGACTTTAATGCATAAGAAACTTTAAATGCACGAGCACCAGAAATGTTTCCATCTTCGTAGGTTATTCCACCAACCGTTCTCTCCAAACTAAATACTCGACCAGAATAAGGACTGTGAAGACAATATATAAACACATATTGACTTCGGTACACTTGGAAGTAAACTTTGTCATAAGTACAAAATAGTCATTTAACGGAATTAATGCTTTCTGTTGTACCTAAACGTTGGTCTTTTCCCGATGTCAGAAAGTATTTTATCTTTCTTTAAGCTCTCAATAATTGTTTTATTAAATAACCACAGTTCTAGTATTCCATGAATTGCGCATTGTCCTCCAACCCTTAAAATATTAAAGATCATATCATCACTTCTGCATTTCGTACATTTTACATCATATTTTAAGAATGGGAAGATTGAGACATTTTATTTTCTCGTGAAAATTAAAAAGAATTATTACAACTCATCTCTACAACAAGCAAGGTAAACCGATGTACACAAGCTTTTAAAGGCACAAGATTAACATTGTGTTTGTCAACCGAAAGAAGAACTTCCTGGTACAGATGAAAAGTCCAAAGTCACTTTGAGCTTGGACTAATGAACAAGACATAACATTTTTGAAAATTGTTGTGAACGATGACAATAGAAGACTGGTTGTGAATGGCATATATGCAAGACTTGACCTGTAAATTTGGTATCTACATTATTTAGATATCTAAAACAACCACGAACACTTTTGTTTCCAACTTAATCTATGTTCAATAATTGTTTAATATCTGTTGATACTGTTTTGAGCTTTATACACATTTTTCCATTTAACGTGCATTTAGTGCACAAACTGTTTTCAAAGCCACAATCTTTCTTTTCACTCTGCCCTTTATAGAGGATGAAACCAAAATATTTTCGTCTAGTTAACAGTGCTTAAATTGGGGGAATTTGAGTGGACCGTGTTTTATGAGTGCAAATTTTATCGTATTGAACTTTCATGTAAACATACTCACCCCAAAGAATACATCTAAGCTGTATTCTATAAATAAAATAGACCAAAACATAATAAAACATTACCTGAAACAAAGATCATTCCAAGATAAACTTTTACCATCGAACATTATTTTCATGTTAACAATCCTCTCATGAATTTCCAACATCTAATTAAATATATTTTATTGATGTTATTCGTTTCACAACGCTAACATTACTTACAGAGATCATAACGTGCATAACATACTATGGCAGCGCTAGAAGGGCAAGGGGGCTCTCACAAGCTTTCCAAAGACCAACATATTTTCATCTTGCTATTGCCTCATAAAAACCTAAAGGGCTATCTTAAAGTTACGAACTGCAAGTCCAAAAATTGACCATGCAAAAGAGATCTTCCCAAAAAAAACACTTCGTCTCCTCAATATTGCACGCCATTCATTTTGATCTAACGCCTTCACTGTCAGGTATTATTACCTTACGTATACTTTGGACATCGAGAACGTTGTCTTGATAAAAAATGAACAAAGAGCTGTGAAATTTTTCTGGAAATCTCGCTTCAACCCAGACTTTGTCTTGCAAAGCCTGTGATCGTTCAGGAACCCACATTTTCTCAATTCTACCCTCTCTTTGAAAGTTGAGTAAACCCAATAAACATAAAGAACTAATGAGCAACGTAGCAAATATAACCAACCATGGTTTAGAACCGACTAACTTGCCTAATCTACATGAAAACGATAAGATTTTCAAAAAATGAATGTTAGTGTATCTATAGAGAATAAAGAAAATTATTAATCATTAACACTGCCACAATACTTTGGTAAAACATTCTTAAAGAGTGCAAAATAAATTTATCAGAAAATAAAATTGAAGCAGAATTGTTTGAGTTTTGGTTGACGAGATTAATCGTTGGAGACAAATATAACATGGCACCGTCACGTGAAGAGCAAATTACAAGACATCAACCAGCTTTACCGCGCACAACAAATCAAAGTCATCACTGATATCTGATTCCACTTCGTTGGCATTGGCACAAAATTTCATACTGCCAAAGAATCAATGTCTTAGCCAGCTCAATAATTTGTGAGGGCAATACTCCTATATTTATGTTCTACTTATTTAAAATCAATTGCTTTCTGTGAATTATAATATGCTTATTATGACAATATATTTATTGCTCCCCCTTCCTGTAATTATGAAGGCTAGCTACGCCATTACAAAGTATACGTCAAGTTCATATTTTGTAATTCTACCTCATCGCTAACATTTGCAATATTTACACAACAATAACATGATGAATGAAATGAGCAGGGGAGCTTATGACACGTTACATGCATGAGGTTAACCATACTGGCGTATAAACTGTTCCAAGGATGAGAATTAGCATATTTATGAAATAAACGATGAATTATAATTGTTCTAGATTACTTTTACTTGATTTTTAGCAATGTTAAAAAATACCGAATAAAATGGCAAGTAAAATGTCATGATGAAAACGCCACAGGCCAAGGGAACAATTAACATTTCATGTATCACTCATCGTGTAATTGATACACATACGTTATTACCATTTTAGACTTTGCTTGGAACACGAACATCATGAAACAAATATTTACATGATATTGCTTCTGCACATTGCATGCAAAACAATGGAACGAGATAAGCATGCATAAAATAACACATTTGCAAATGTTAAACGCACAAAAAAATAAATACCTGTAGAAAGTTCTCTCTAGACTAGTTGATATTTTGTCGTTTATTCTTTGAAAAAAAGGAACCTTAGTTTCACGCGCAGTAGTAATGGTCTGGTTTTCGTTTAAACTCAATGCTTTGATGGAATTCTCAGGAAAACATGCGTTGTTTGTCTGAGCCATAACTTTTTAGAATAAAGCATTTGGAACAGGTTGACCAAGGTGAAGTAATGATTTCATTGACCTTATTTGTCACTATGTTGGTCAGTCCCGTGATTCAACGCGGTATCTTTCATAGATATAAAAAATTCCAGACAACGTACACATACAGTTCGTCACGTGACTTCAGTTACTATAAAAACATTTAAAAGCAACCATTTTTTATTTACCTCGTCTACTTTATCGAAAAAAAACGACGGCCATAACTATACATGACTGATAATGCTCGTTTATTAGACTTGATACAGCTGTTATTTGGTACAATGAACACAACTATCAAATCATATTTTGTTGTATAGCACTCACAGAAAAGAGTGCAAACATAATGTTACCAGCTATAAAAAATGAACTTACCAGTCATACGTTTTTAAAATATATCCCTGCGCAGTCCATTCAATTTTGTACGGCCACACACATTCGAGCACATTTCTTTACTATGACGTCATTAATTAGATGGGTAAACCTTGAATGACATTAACATTCATTAATGGCAATAATGTCAATTATTGGACATGAATAAACGCAATTCTCATAATCCAGTTTAAACTGAGATATACAGTTCGTTTTCAGAAAGGTTAAATGTGTTTGTGTAATATGGATGAATTGTTTACCAAAATAAGTTATTAACTGTGAATAATATTGAGTTTCATATTTCAATATTGAGAGTGAGATTTGACAAGGGTCTTAATTTGTAACTTACATGGAACATGCTCGAAGTTCAACGACTATTTCAAACCTCAAGTAATTTTTAAAACAATTTTGCGTATACACCTTTTCTAGGAATACGAAATATAATCTTTGTTGCTAATTCTCCCCGAAACAAAATATGTTGTAATTAAGAAATAAAAGATGTTTTCTGCGTTTGCACAGGCTTATGCAAACCGAGGAGACCTTTGGGAGAACTCGCACTAAACACAAGCCAGTGTAAAAACAAAAACCATCATTTTTTATTTTACAAAATAACAAAAATGGAAAAACAGAAAAATTATTGTCTTGGAACTCCATGAGTGTGAGAAAGATGCCATCACGCATTGAATAAATTCTTGTCAGAATCATCGGTTTTTCATTTTGAATTAATTCATTTGAACCCGCGTATTTGCCGCGAAAAATGCCCTGACGATGAAGAAAATCCACTCTGAAAACTGATTTCAAAACTATCTAGCTCGAGATGGAGAGTTTAATTTAACGTTAGAGTGATTGTCACTGTAAAGAATGAGAATATTATTTTGTTTTTATAACTTTAACAGGATAATTTTTAAGCTAAAATATATATATTTATATATCTTGCCTGAGCTCAAATGATAATTCATCCAGTGTTCAGCAATAGATCCAATTCGTGATAATTCTAAATCGATATGGATATATCGGTTTTTTATTCACGGATCAAAGTCCGCGAACTTTTGTGGCAACAGTTAAATTCGAAAGGGTCATATGACAGTAAGATTGTCGAGAATATAAAAACCACTTTTAAAGAGAACATTTTGTCACCGAGAAATTTGAAAAAGCTTGCGCAAAAAATAACATAAATAAAGAAAAAGGAAGACAAAGGTGATTTTAAACACATAAATGTCCATCAAGATTTTATTAAGTAAATTGCGATATCAACTCCAGTAATGTTGTCCTTGCTAGTTTTGATGTCGTATCCCTATTTACTAACATACCTGTTGACGAAACCATTCGCATAATATCCAATAGCATTTTTAACAACCACCAGTACTTCAACGAGCTCACTGCAACAGAATTTGAAAAACTACTCTCTCTAGCTGTTAAGAACTGTCATTTTATCTTTAACGGGAAAATGTACCAACAAATTGATGGTGTGGCTATGGGCAGTCCATTGGGCCCTCTCTTTGCTGATATATTCATGTCCTTTCACGAACAATCCTGGCTTAATAAATGTCCTTCTTCATTCAAAACACTACTTTACCGACGCTACGTTGACGACTGTTTTTTACTTTTTCATTCCTCCGATCAAGTCCCTCTCTTTCTTGACTATCTGAACCGACAACACCCTAACATCACATTCACAGCTGAAGTCGAACAAAACAGAAAGCTCTCATTTCTTGACATTGATATCTCTCGTACTAATGGAAAATTCACCACTTCCGTCTACCGCAAACCTACTTTCACTGGCCTCTTCACCAACTTCCACAGCTTCATCCCACTTACTTACAAATTTTCACTAGTCTCCTGCTTACTTCACCGCATCTTCAACCTTTGTTCTACTTACGAAAATTTTCATACACAACTCGAATTTACCAGAAAGTCACTCACCAAAAACGGTTTTCCTTCACGTATAATTGACCAAATCACACGTCGCTTCCTTAACAACACCTTTGCCCCTAAACCACCTGTCTTGACTGCTCACAAAATGCCCATCTATTTCTGTCTTCCTTTCACCGGCATACACTCCCTTCAAATTCGCACACAAATCAATAGCCTTTGTGCTGCAGCCTTCCCACATATATCTATTAAATTTGTTTTCCGCCCTTCCCAACGTATCTCTTCTTTCTTCCCCTTTAAGGACAAAATTCCCAAACCTCTGAGATCTGGTGTAGTCTATTTATTCAAGTGTCGAAGCTGCAACGCCTCGTATGTGGGTCAAACCACACGTCATCTACACTCCAGATTTTCGGAGCACTTGGGAATATCTCCCCTTGTGTGAATATCCTAAACCAAGTTTCTCACCCTGCGTTATTAAGCATTCTTGGACACACCCCCAACTTAGACGACTTTAAAATAGTCTCCTGTTCTAACGATTCTTATGAACTCTCCATTCATGAGAGTCTTCTAATCAATAAATACAAGCCTTCACTTATTGTGCAAGGAAACTCCATTCCACTTAACCTCTTTTAATTTCTCCTTATTTTACTTCCTAACTTCCTTATCATATATCCATTTGACACCGCCTCCTTTAGTAGTAATTTAACACCTTTTTGTAAATATAATATCTTGTCTTAACATCCTATTTATTATTTGTCTGAAAATGTCTTGAGTAAAGACGAAACGTTACAATAAATTTAATTTTACAATTTGTTTTTTTGGTCTATTTCTATGGCTCTAATCAGAACTTTATGTTGGGCATTAATTTTTATTACACGAATCCGATTTCCGCTCGGCAAGTCTCTCGCTACTATTTTAATGTCAAGTTTTCTTTCTCATAGTAACCCTGCTTCGCCAGACGATTTTAAAATCATCTCATCCTGCTCCGACACATTCGACCTCATGATCCACGAAAGCCTCCTCATCTCCAAACTAAAACCTTCACTTAACACCCACGGCAGCTCCATCCTTCTTAAGCTTTTCTAGTCTCAACACCTCACCCTAACTATACATCACAACACACTTACACAGCCACAGTAGTATGATACCTCAAACTATGTAAATAACTCTAAATATATCTATAATTCTTGTTAACTTCCTTATTAGTCTGAAGATGTCTTGAGTCAAGACGAAACGTGTACTATTTTAAAAAATTTCACAAAACCAAATTGCTTATGACTATGTTCAAAATTATTTGTTGGACTCTAATATTTATATTGAGAATCCGTTTCCCGCCTGGCACTTCATTGGCAACAAGATTTCATATTTTCAGAATATTTTTTTCTGGGAATTTGGAAAATTGGCACGCAAATGCTTAGCTTTCAAATCGCGGACATCAAGTACTTCACAATGAACGGGACATTTGAGGTTGACAAGGAACAACAATATGAATACAGGTCACAGGTGTATATCACAAACAGTCGTAATGAATTTATTAGTATGATTAAACAGCTTCTTCAAATTATACGTATTGCATTTTAAATTAGAAAATTTCTTTGCTTTGATAAAATAAACTTTCTAACCTGTATGCATGTGTTAACAAATGGTAATTTGTATTCATGAGTTGTATCTGATAGTTTATAGGATACTACAGCTCATTCTATTGTAAATTTTCATCCACCCATATTCCAGGATAATATGATGCAAGTTAAAGAACACAGTATGCATTGTTACAACTTAAAAAATCTTGAGATACATGTGCGGTGATGTTTTGTACGTTAAATAGAGACCTATTCTTGTGGCAAGAAATCATTATCTGCTGTATGTTGCTCGTAATTCAAAGGACGTCTCTGTAAACACTAAATATAAAATAAAATATATTCGTATCATAAAAATAATAACAGATGAAAAGTTACAAACAAAGTATCCTTACTTTAATTTTGTCAAGAAATTTAAATTCCAAGGCATAGTAGAACTAAATAATAAAACATGTAATATGTCTGCAAAAGTTAAGTATTATGAATTATATAAATATTAGTACGTGCATGACTGTACATTTAACTAAGCTACTTCAAGAAACAAAAAGAAAAAATCCATTAAATCAAAATACACACATGGAGAAAGGAGAAATTAAGTTTTTAGAAAATAACAGAAACACTTACCAACAAAAACACAAACCCACAATACAGAACAACCAAAAATGATACAAAAAGCAGCAAACCGACATTCTTTGGCAAACTTGCCTGAAAAAAATTTCGAAAAAATAAAATAAAACAAAATAAAACACAAAGACAAAGTTTAACAAAATCTTAACTTACTATAGTATCACCAACGAAATAAAAATTTATTCCTAAGATAATAATAGAGATGACCCAAGAAAATACTTTCATCAATCTACAATAAATTGCATATAAACAAGCAACGTTCATTACACAATATATTTAATTGCTCGATCAGTTCAGTGAATCACCAACATACTCAGGATTGAGAAAATGAGAAAAAGTAGCTCAAGTTTAACCTCAAAAACAACTTGTATAATAAATAACAATATACCTTCCCTGTAGTTAAGTCTAGGGTATAATCAATGTCATTACATAAAAAAATTACACAGCAAAGAAAACATGTACAAGTCTTCTTTTTGCAGAAATTTTGGCTGAAGGTTAATGTTCTTGAAGAGGCCGATTTAAAACTTTTTGAACAAATTAAACAAGGAAATTCAACTTCGCTAACATGCTGATTCGAATCCAGGAGGTTATAAAGTTCATTTCTAGTATAAAAAGAAATTGTGCCTTGATATGGTAAGAAAACATGCATTTTGGTATTTCCTTGATAGTAACAAGCGATGAATTAAAACCGTTGGGAAACAGGTTGAAGCTAACAGTACGCCTACGAGATGTTCAATCATCACATAGAATGATTGACGGTTTACAAATAAAACCAAAATGTTACAGTTTAAATTGTCTTGATTATAACTTAAATTTGAGTCAACAGGATATCGTTTTCAGGGATTATGTTCTATTTTATAAAGTTATCTACCTTCCATTCACAAAACTTCCCATGATTTCTACTTTGTTTGTAAAATACAAAATTGGCAACAAGGCAAATGGAAGCTGTAATTAAATAATAAATCACGAAATTTTTGAGTAAAAATCGAAACACTAAAACAACAATCATAGTTAAATATTGTAAAAACAACAATCATAGCTAAATATTGTAAAAACAACAATCATAGCTAAATATTGTAAAAACAACATAGACAGATCGATCGTCTTGAGGAATGTTAGTCATATCTAACTTAGAAGTTGGAACTTTATGATTCTTGTTTGAACAACATGTAGCATGTTCAAACAAAACAAACCTGCAAGCTTTGTAATATATTTAAAGCATCATTCATTCCCGTAAGATTTTCAATTCCCAGAAAGCCAGCAACGGCAAGTGTCGGTCCAATAGCAATTGATCGTGTAAAAAGAACTCGTTTCCAACGAGTCCACGATAATTTAAGGAAACCCTAGAAAAAGCAGTAATGAAGTTGATTTTTTAAATTATAATTTTTCTTCTGCACATAAGTGACTATACCTCCATGGCAAACTGTCCAGCATATGTGCCCTACAAAGTATAAACAAAACAGCTAACGTAAGAAAATTTTACAACAAACAGAAAAAATAAGAAAGAAAGACAGGCATATACCGTATATTTGTGTTGAAAATGTTTAAGGTATTTTATCATTACTACGTATAAAACATACTTACAGTCATAGTGGAGCTTTGTCCAGCAGCAAGAATGCCAATGGCCCATATATACATCGCTGCTGCACCATATTCACAACCAAGATATATTCCCTAAACAATACATAAATAGTTTATTTAAATACAAACATTAATATACTTTGAACTAATTATTCAATAATCACATAATGCACTATATAATTGTTCATTATTGTCTCGAGATAATGGCAAACCAATTTACTTTGGTGTTAATGTGTTATTACTGTAACAATAATTTAACATTTAATATATAATTAACAAATAATGAATAATTAACAGATAATGAATAATTGTCCAAAAGAAACATACGCCTTTGTAGAGATCTCCGTCAACTGATTTATTATCATTCTGAAGAAAAGAAACAAAAAGAGACAAACTTAAAGTTTGACTTAAAGTAAATAGTTTGAAACAACTGACACTTACGTACATGAAAAACATTGTCGTAAGGAATATTCGGTTTCTTGTTTTCACAAAGGATTTTCTAAAAGATAAAAAATACATTATACTCAAGAAAGGACCTTCGTGAATTTATAATTTTCTTTTTATCAATTCATTATTTAAAACAATAGTAAAATTTCAAGGGTATAATTATATTATCATCTTATTTTCAATGTGAATTATTCACTCACCAATTCTAAATCGGTCTTGCCGTAAAATCCCTAAAAAAACAATTTATACATAAATAAGAAAAAAGTTGAAAAAAAATCAGTTTACATAAGCTGTTTACATCCAAGAAAAAAACAGATGGAAATATTTCGAATTTGGCAAATTTAGTTAAGTAGTTTCTAAAAATGTCGTTAATAATAAGTGAAACAAGAGAACTTAGAGAAGTAGCCTACGTCATATAGTAGCCTACGTCACATGTCATATAGTAGCCTACGTCAGAAGTAGCCTACGTCATATGTCATATAGTAGCCTACGTCAGTAGTAGCCTACGACATATGTTATATAGTAGCCTACGTCATATGTCATATAGCAGCCTACGTCATATGTCATATAGTAGCCTACGTCAGACGTAGCCTAAGTCATATGTCATATAGCGGCCTACGTCATATGTCATATAGTAGCCTACGTCATATGTCATATAGTAGCCTACGTCAGAAGTAGCCTACGTCATATGTCATATAGCGGCCTACGTCAGTAGTAGCCTACGTCATATGTCATATAGTAGCCTACGTCATATGTCATATAGTAGCCTAAGTCAGAAGTAGCCTACGTCATATGTCATATAGCGGCCTACGTCATATGTCATATAGTAGCCTACGTCATATGTCATATAGTACCCTACGTCAGAAGTAGCCTACGTCATATGTCATATAGCGGCCTACGTCAGTAGTAGCCTACGTCATATGTCATATAGTAGCCTACGTCATATGTCATATAGTAGCCTACGTCAGAAGTAGCCTACGTCAGAAGTAGCCTACGTCATATGTCATATAGCGGCCTACGTCATATGTCATGTAGCGGCCTACGTCAGTAGTAGCCTACGTCATATGTCATATAGTAGCCTACGTCATATACGTCATGTACTTTGCTTAATACTGCATACGTCACATTTCTTTGAGCTGTCACATAAATTATACCTACGTATACTGCTTTCATAAAAAATTAATTAACTTTGGAATTTGAATTCGCATATCCCTTATCTTCAAAAAACTTTATAAGAGATAATAAGAAAACAGAGATGAAAGTCGTTAGTGTGAATATAAATAAAACATTATAATTTATGCAACATCTCAAACGTAACGTGACGTATTCGGGGGCAAGCTTTTCTTCTTTATGACGTAGCTACGTACCAAAGAAGTATAATTTTACATCATAATGCAGACACTAATAATATATTTAACAAAGACACTGATTGCCCACAATATAAACTCATAACTACACATACGAGAAATAAACAAATCATTTTATAAATACAAACCTTTGCAAAGACAGCAACGACACATAAGTTGATCAAAAAAGACACGAACAATGCAATTCCTATGATATCAAAAGCAGTCATTCATACACATTTGAACATATTAAAACAAAAATCACAGCAATACATGATTTACCAGATTCTATTGTATAAAACATATTTGCTTCTTTAATTTCTTGATGTTTACTTCTTTCTATCTTTCGTGACTAAAAATAATGACAACATGGAATGGGAATGAATCGTAAAGTTTGTTTTAAATAATTAACAATTTAAATTATTACCAAAATCAAATAATAATTACATTCTAAAGAGTGTACATGAAAAAGAATATACAATGCTAAGTCCACAAGTGCATAACATATGGTCAGCTATGTACGTGATACTAACATATGGTCAGTTATGTACGTGATACTAACATATGGTCAGCTATGTACGTGATACTAACATATGGTCAGCTATGTACGTGATACTAACATATGGTCAGCTACGTACGTGATACTAACATATGGTCAGCTACGTACGTGATACTAACATATGGTCAGCTATGTACGTGATACTAACATATGGTCAGTTATGTACGTGATACTAACATATGGTCAGCTATGTACGTGATACTAACATATGGTCAGCTATGTACGTGATACTAACATATGGTCAGCTATGTACGTGATACTAACATATGGTCAGCTATGTACGTGATACTAACATATGGTCAGTTATGTACGTGATACTAACATATGGTCAGCTATGTACGTGATACTAACATATGGTCAGTTATGTACGTGATACTAACATATGGTCAGTTATGTACGTGATACTAACATATGGTCAGTTATGTACGTGATACTAACATATGGTCAGCTATGTACGTGATACTAACATATGGTCAGTTATGTACGTGATACTAACATATGGTCAGCTATGTACGTGATACTAACATATGGTCAGTTATGTACGTGATACTAACATATGGTCAGTTATGTACGTGATACTAACATATGGTCAGCTATGTACGTGATACTAACATATGGTCAGTTATGTACGTGATACTAACATATGGTCAGTTATGTACGTGATACTAACATATGGTCAGCTATGTACGTGATACTAATATATGGTCAGCTATGTACGTGATACTAACATATGGTCAGCTATGTACGTGATACTAACATATGGTCAGCTATGTACGTGATACTAACATATGGTCAGTTATGTACGTGATACTAACATATGGTCAGCTATGTACGTGATACTAATATATGGTCAGCTATGTACGTGATACTAATATATGGTCAGCTATGTACGTGATACTAATATATGGTCAGCTATGTACGTGATACTAACATATGGTCAGCTATGTACGTGATACTAACATATGGTCAGCTATGTACGTGATACTAACATATGGTCAGCTACGTACGTGATACTAACATATGGTCAGCTATGTACGTGATACTAACATGTGGTCAGCTATGTACGTGATACTAACATATGGTCAGCTATGTACGTGATACTAACATATGGTCAGCTATGTACGTGATACTAACATATGGTCAGTTATGTACGTGATACTAACATATGGTCAGCTATGTACGTGATACTAACATATGGTCAGTTATGTACGTGATACTAACATATGGTCAGCTATGTACGTGATACTAACATATGGTCAGCTATGAACGTGATACTAACATATGGTCAGTTATGTACGTGATACTAACATATGGTCAGCTATGTACGTGATACTAACATATGGTCAGCTATGAACGTGATACTAACATATGGTCAGCTACGTACGTGATACTAACATATGGTCAGCTACGTACGTGATACTAACATATGGTCAGCTATGTACGTGATACTAACATATGGTCAGCTATGTACGTGATACTAACATATGGTCAGTTATGTACGTGATACTAACATATGGTCAGCTATGTACGTGATACTAACATATGGTCAGCTATGTACGTGATACTAACATATGGTCAGCTATGTACGTGATACTAACATATGGTCAGCTATGTACGTGATACTAACATATGGTCAGCTATGTACGTGATACTAACATATGGTCAGCTACGTACGTGATACTAACATATGGTCAGCTACGTACGTGATACTAACATGTGGTCAGCTATGTACGTGATACTAACATATGGTCAGCTACGTACGTGATACTAACATGTGGTCAGCTACGTACGTGATACTAACATGTGGTCAGCTATGTACGTGATACTAATATATGGTCAGCTACGTACGTGATACTAACATATGGTCAGCTATGTACGTGATACTAATATATGGTCAGCTACGTACGTGATACATTACAAATCTTTGTTACAAACACAAAAACTTTTCTCCTTCTTTAACATACGTAACTTCTAACCGTAAAACATGTAAAGTAATGAACCAGCATTGGGATTAGCATAGTGAACATAGGCATTGAAATTTCACAAATTACTTTGCAAAGTTTTCTTTTCATTGAAACACCCCGTAGATGTACACGTGATGTACCAACGTGAAATAATAAGTACATTCTAGACGTACACGTGATGTACAAATGTCAAATAATAAGTACATTCTAGACGTACACGTGATGTACAAATGTCAAATAATAAGTACATTCTAGACGTACACGTGATGTACAAATGTCAAATAATAAGTACATTCTAGATGTACACGTGATGTACAAATGTCAAATAATAAGTACATTCTAGATGTACACGTGATGTACAAATGTCAAATAATAAGTACATTCTAGACGTACACGTGATGTACAAATGTCAAATAATAAGTACATTCTAGACGTACACGTGATGTACAAATGTCAAATAATAAGTACATTCTAGATGTACACGTGATGTACAAATGTCAAATAATAAGTACATTCTAGATGTACACGTGATGTACAAATGTCAAATAATAGCAAAATACCTTGACTAAAGCTGAATGTAAATAAAAATTATGTGGCATAATCACAGCTCCAACAATGCCAACAGCTTGACTTCTTGCTTTTGCTGAACAATCTTTACACCAGGGAATAACAAGACCTTTCACTATTCCCACCCCATCTGGTTGAACAATAGCACTCTATATAAAAAACAATGAACAAAGATGACGACATTGTATCAATTTTTTTACAACTTCACTAAGGTCAATCAAATATAAATAAAATGAGAACAACAATTTACACATTAGCAAATAAAAACGGTTATCAGAAAGTGTCAAGAATTATGTCATACATTGAATATCATTATTCACAAGCGTTTGTTCCAATCACTCATATTCCTAAGAAAGTGTAAATAAGCAATCGCCCATAACAAACCTCATATCCAAATGTGACAGCCATTATTGTAATTAAGCAACAAAAGAAAAGCTCTAGCTTTCGTAAGCCTAATATAAAAAAAACGGTTTACGTAAATCTTAAGTATGAAACATAAAGTTTAAATAAATCTGAAGTAAAAAAATACAGTCTACATAAATCTAAAATGTGAAACGTTTTCTCAGACAAACGCTGATAAACATTACGCATAAAAAAAGAATATAAAGAAAAGATAAAACTTTATGATGCTTTATTACCATATTTATCCAAAAAAAGAAACACGAATGTATCTAAAATTGTAATCAGTACGCCACCATACAGAGGAATTCTAAAATAAAACAATAAACAACCATACAAGAAACCATTAACCATTCAATAACGAAAAAATTTCTTCACGAAAAACATATTTCACTTACTTTCCATTAGAAAGAAGATAAAAAGCGATGGAGGTCCCTATGACTTCCTAAACATCGACGATGAAAATTATTTATGTAAACTTGTAATAGAAAAGAAACCATAAACTAACAAAAACATCAATTCTATTATTTATGAAATGATAAGTTTAACCGTCATTATATAATCATCAAATGTCGTTTATTCAACTTTATCAGAAAGGTTCACAATATTTAAACACAAGAACAACAGTAGAAATTCATACGTACAAACATGTATGAAACTACAATTTCTATAATAATGCAGTAAATGATGTTAGGAAATCAGTTATTTTTTTGATAGTTTCCCATGCTATTGTCCTCTCAACTTTGAGATTTTCTTACAAATTTAGCAAGTCAAACAACAAAACTGAGTTGTTAGTTAAATGCAACATGTTGGCAAATCCCTCCTTGGTTATTTTCAACATTATTTCACCATGACAAAGACCAACTCAACTTGAAATAGTAAACATCAAACACTACATAATATGAGCACTTGATCATTACTACTTGACCATCACTTGTTAACATACCATTACCAAATGACCAATACCACTGACTAACATTATAGACCATAACAAAACAACAACAAAACAACAACAAAATTCAACTTGATAAACCATAACCACAAATATTTAAGAAATAAAAGATGTTTACTGTGTTTACAAAGGCTTATGCAAACCAAGGAGACCTTTGGGAGAACTTGAGAAGTAATCAATGCAAGCCTGAGACCGAAGGTCAAAGATTGCACCGGCTCGAGAGTTCTCACAAACATCTCCAAGGTTTGCATAAAGAACGTAAAACACGAAAAACATCTTTTATTTCTTATGTAAAATAACAATAATGCAAAACAGACAAATTGAAAACAAACATTTTAATTTTTTCTCTGAAATGTGTTCATGATCGATTTGCAAATTCTCTTTGACTGATTGATTGTTTTGATTGATTTAATTGCTTGAGCTCAGATGTGTTTTGCACAGGCTAATGCAAACATGGCTCTAGACAAATAGCTGCACACATTTTATTGTTTTTATTTTATAATTACAAATAATAAAGATTACCTGCATATCGCTACCAATAATGGCAATCTCAACCATTATCCACAAGATGATTCTAGGTATGCGAGGATATTTGTCATAACATATTTCGGCTAAATGTTGCCCTGAAAATTTATGGATAGTTATTGTAAAAACAGTGGCATTAAAAAATTAATTAAAACAATTAAATACAAAAAATACTAACCAGTAACGGTACCAAGTCGAGCTGATAACCTCTAAAGAAATTGCGTAGAATTATAAAAATTAAAATGAACAATTTATGAATAATTGGCATGGCCAATTAGAGGTATTCAGTATTCATGTTGAATTGTTGTGCAATTAAGAATGTACATGACAATCGTGATGTAAAAATATTCATAAAATCTTGCCTGCATTAAAAATCCAATAAATGTTGACAACATGAGAACCCAGAGCAACTACAAAGAATGCAAAAAATACAATCTCAAGCAAACATTTCAACAATGCATTACATACATTTCACTTCAGATTTCACTAACAGAATAGAACCTGGATACACATTACAGCATTTGTAAATGTTCATTTAATACAAATCAATACCATTAGCTACCTTATAATTTGCTGTAGTTCCGGACTGAAGGTCTGATTCAATATTTCCTGGATCAAGATAAGCAATGCTCATGAGAAAACCAGGACCAGTGAATGCCCATAATTTTTTGAAAGTAAAACCATACTATAAAAGAAACATTGAAGTACACAGGAATAACTATATTCATTGATGTCCATATTTTTTTTCACATGTTGAAAAATTTTTAACAACATTTAAAATACAAATGATACACAAAACGCATTTTAATAACAAATAAAAGATGTTTATAGTGCAGATTCTTGTAGCTCCACAACAGTTTATATATAATAATCAATTAATATAATTATTTCATGTTCCTTTCTCTTTTAAATACAAATAACCGGTTGAAATATAAAATGCTTTTAACTTACATTGCTATCATCATTACGAGGAATAGATATCTTTGATTCAAAGTAAGATGTTTTATGTTCTTCATTGATACCCCCTGCATGATCATTACCAATATTAGATATCGAACCATATCCTAAGTATTCATATGTTGTGTCAAATATTTCTTCCCTGTGACAACCACCACAAGCAATATTTTTGAATTTTTCACAAAACAAAGGCACATATTCCTTTTTTTAAAATAATTCAACATATATACATATTTAAACACATTAAATAATTAGAATAACATGTACTTTTCCGTTAAATACAATACCACAGGAAAAACACAAGAAACCATGAATACAACAAATAACAAATATAAATGCTTGACTAATAATGTTAAACTGAAAAAACCTTCTTCTTGGCTTTGTGTAAATGTTGATGGGCCATATCTTGAAGTTGCATTGTTAACAGTGTCCATTTCAACACTCCGGCTATCCTCTGACTAAGAAGAAAAATCAAAATTTACTATAAATTTCTGCCATTGAATTTCACAATTGGTGAAATTATTCAGCGTTTCATAAATATCAAAAATAGTAATGCTTCAGATTGGAAAGTTTGTCTTGTGAAGCCTGGATCTAGGTTACACCATTTCAGAAAAAAATTGTGTGCCAACATGAATATTTGGAAAGTTGCAGCAACTGCATTATCCATTTTTTTAAAAATTTATTGTTTTGACAGTAAATGAGTATAGAAAAATGAACATATGTAGCAGAACTAAATAAGCCGACATGCAATACTTCAGTATGATATAGACATTTTTTTATGGCAAAGACAGTCTCATTTTTACTCATGCTATTCAAATATACTTGGTTTATTGACACAAAAATAATATACGAAATTGACTTAAGAAAGAAATCAATAAAAATAAAGTATTAGAAACATGTACGTAGAATAGACGATCATACTAAAGTCGCATGATAAATAAACACTATGAAATAACACTGTTAAACTTCATTTTTAAATGATGCATTTCAATATTTGGACCTCAAAATATACGATATTATGGTGATGTTTATCATGCAAATGTTGAGACCATACAATGAGACTCCAAATAAATTAGATAATGGGAAAGCTTATACATATTCTTTCACGAATATGTCATAGACAAGAGCGGTTCAAAATCTTACAATATTATTGTTCACAAAATTAAAAATATGATACATTTTACATTAAAGCCAGTTCGTATTTTCATCCATGGTTTTAATAAAATATAGTGAAATAAACATGTTAAAATAATAAAATAATACCTTGCTCATATTCAAAGTATTGCTGAGTAACACAACGAGTAAATTAATGAAAATAAACAAGTCAATACAATGATGAAAGTGATAAAAGTATGAAACTATCCACCATATTTTCTCCTGATTTTTTAATTGCGAAATTTATGATCAATATATAATGACATAAATAAATTACAGAGAAATGCATCAGGGGATAGTCATTCTCACAAAACAAGAATTTAATCTTTTCAATTTTTACATGAATATTAATAATATAAGACATTTATGTTTACCTGTTAAGCTCCAATGAGGTTAATTTTTGCAACCACCCTAACAGAACCAGTTTATTTCGTCGAAATGCAACGACTCAAGATAATGACAAATGAACCACATCACCACAAGAGGTCACGCGATGAAGCCATATGTTTTATCATATGACTGATTATATTGTATATCATTCAATGATGTCAGACGTTAGGTAAGCTTTGAGTCAGCATTAGTACATGTTGTCAGTTCATCACATTGTTGATCGCACTTATAGCGTGCCTTATAAGGTGTTGTGGAAAAACCATGGGTCAGATAAACATCCGTTCACATTTTGAAATTTCAGTAAAAATTATTGTCAAATTTAATTTCATTATTTGTAGTTCAAATGCAAAATACACGTTCCTGCGATGTGTTCCTGCGATTTAGTTTCTTTGAGATGGAAAAATTTAGGGAAGCATAAGCCTTTCAAACACGTTTTTTTCTTGGCAACGATGTAAGTTAATGTTTCACTTGCTACACCCTACGTAAATACAGCAAAAGGCATGTGGTTCAGGGAAGGAGACAGTAGACAGTAGTTGTCCATATTGTTGGACAATCAAACAGGCAAATTGCTGGAAACCATTTTAGGTTATTCCCTGTTTAAGTCCGTAACTTTTGTTGAGAAAATACTCGCATCATATACACTAAAAGCAGCAAATAAATCACAGAGGTCAATGTTTCATTGGTCATTTCCATGGTCATTTCCTGCCAGGTGTAGTCATGGAAACATTATCAATTACCAATTGGTTACTAATGTGGTTGCTAACATGGTTACTTAGAATTTTTTACATAAAGAGAGTAGCTGTGAAACGTGAATATTTTTGAAACGACTTTTCTTTTGTATGCTATTGAAATGTTTCAAAATGATAGAAAGTTTTATCACAAAGACGAGAAAATCAACATTAAAGAGAAACTAAACGAAATTGCAAGTGAAGCAACGTGTAAAGATATCGACGAATTTCTACAACCAACGTTTCGTGTTAATGAGAAACGCCGAAAAATCTGGAGAATAACTCAAGATGGTCATGGTAAATGGCGTGAAATTAACGTCGCTAAAGTGAAGGAAAATAGACAAGATAAATCTCTATCGCAAAATTTCAATTTAAACGAAGAAAACAACGAGAGACAAACTAAAATTCATAATAATGCGTTATCTTTCTCTAACAATGCTTTAAACTCAAACAAGAACACACCGAGAATCAACAAGAGGCGTTCTTCAAAAATACAAAATTACCAAACAATTTCCACAAATACTCGTGCAAATATATTTCCTGGAGTTGGTAAACAAACATGGCAGAGTCAAACAAATAATATTCACACAACATCTGCCCTAACATTGGGAAATAATGAATTAAGATTGAAAGATGAATTTTACGGAATAACAAGAGACGCTTTGGGTGCATGGAACGAAGCAAGTGTACATCATGAAAAGATAAAGAGAGCTTGGGACATATATCTTTCACAATCTTTATCACAAAATAAACGGGATTTGCAACGGGGTAGGTAAGGGAACGGGCATTGTTCGCCGATGTTTGGCATAAAGAGGAAATATTGTGAAATAAAAATTATCATCATATAAAACAAAATAACATCAACTAGTGTTAAAAAAATTACCCAGGGTACCACCAGTTATGTTTTACTTTGAAGCTTCGTGAAGTAATGAAAAACCTCTTTCTTATCAAACTACTTATTTGGAACGTCTTTTACGATATCATGTCACATTTTTTTGCCTATGGAAGAAGCTCTCGTCACAAGACTTGAACACACCAAATTGTATTAAACATATGAACGCGAGAAACAATGACGGCGTTTAAACTTATGTTTCGTTGCGTCAGATTTATCAAATCAATCCGACTTAAAGTTCCATCTCATATAAAAATGTAATAAATTTAACACTCTTCCTTGTAATTGTGGTATTCTTCATTGAAATACCAGAATTCATACACCATAATCAATGTTTCAATGAGATAAAAGGAAACCAACTCCGAAGAAGAGACACATTTTGAACTCAATATTTAAGAAAACAGACAAACAGTTTTCAAAAGTTTAACTAGAATTTATTATATTAATTCATCATGATCCATCTTCTATACAGTTGCTTCGTTGAAATGCTTTAGGTTTTAGTAGTGTTGTTATTTTGTCTGAATTCAAATTCAAACATGTTGATTTTTTTCGCATCTGAAGGAGTTCTAAATATTGGTCATTTCCATTAGAGCCGTCTTCTTTTTCAGTAAGAAAGCAAGAAAACAAGGATAATCTCTGTAGATTGTTGAAACCTAAAGAAATTTCTATAAAGAGGAGGAATTTCAACAAGAAAATAAAAAAAGAGAAAAAGAATGATGTGAAAAACGAAGTTAACGACGCATTTCGAAGAACAGAAGATTTTGAGGAAACGGTAGTAGAAAAAGACGACGATTTCTGGAATTTCTATGAGCAACCGTTTAGCTAAAATGATTGTAACATTTTTAATTCTGCTCTGAGAAAGATAGCTACATTCGAAATGAAAATTCAAAATTCAGGAGTTTTGATCCACAAAATTTGAACAAAATGTCTGGTATTTTTCTTTTTACAAACTTACAACATGAGATAATAACAATTAAACTAGCTAAGTCTTACATACTTACAAAATAGTTGCACAACAAATTGTGATATGTGGAATAACAGGATAAGCCTCGGAATTAAACATCTAAGGTCTGATTGCAATGTTGAAACTTTCGTCACTTTGTTAAACCTCTGGTTACTTGCCCTAAGTCTTTTGACATTGTTCTAAAACAAATGATCTGTTATGACCTTATCTCAAATTAAATATCATGGTGCAATTATCATCATATAATGTTTTTCATATTTATACTGTTTACAATATTCTCAGGCAAGTTTTGTAATTTTTACATAAACTAACATAAATAACAGCAGAATTAAAGCAGTTGTATAATTATTATCATGAAGTGATCATAACATTTTGCTCTGATCCTTGAAAAAGATTTTTTTCTTCCTTTTCATCTTTCACATTATCCCATTCAATCTTGAACTTTGTCACTCGAGGTTCTGAATCAAGAATATTGCGTTGCAACTGAAGAAAATAGATATTACAAATAATTATAAAATACAAGAAAGACATCAAAGTATGATTACAATCATTAAAAAATATTACATTATCTCACACATTAGTGGTAGTAAATTCAAACCTTTTGAAAGTCTGTTTTGTCAGGAGGATTTTCTTTTAATTCTGCATCTGTATATTCATTATTGACATAGTAACCAATCCTAACAAACTCTTGTTTACGATATGAACAGGTCAACAACAGAACTGTTACACCAACTGCATCTTGAATTGGAATGCGCTTAGGATCTGGGCTATCAGCCTTTAAAATAATTATCAAGATAAAGGAAATATTGGTAGTTGGCTACATGGATAATAAAGTTTTTGCAATGTGCTAACAACTAAATTTGCCATTGTGTTAATGGCCAATCTGAATTTAGTTTATCTAGGCAAAACATGATCCAACAACTGATTTGTTCTTCAACATTATTATTGTGACTATCAGCAAGAAAATCACTAAGATATTTATTAGTAGCCAAAATACCCGGCAGGCAAGACTAGCAACTCCAGCCATTATTTAAAGAGATTGCCTTCCCAGTGAACTGTTTATACATATCATCTTATTAACTTGCCTTACAGAGAACTTGTTTGTGTAAGCAATTTAATGACTACACATAATGAATATTTTCAATACAAACCCATTTTCTGGGTTTCTTTGCAAGGTGAGAAGTCTGTTTGATTTATTTCTATAACTAACATGGCTAGTAAATTTCAAACTTTAACAAAGGAAAATGTTTAATGGTGCTAGCCAAATTACCCAATGCCATCTAAACAGATGTCTTTTTATCTGTCAGAGCAAGTCACTTGCCTATCCAGGTAACTTGACTCTAAACAAACAGCCCATAAATTAGACATAATGCCAAGAAAAACAGCAATATCTTTGAGCATAAATGTCACAAGGTTGAAATCACTTTAAAAAACTTTTTCAGTGTAAATAAAAATTGAGAAGTTCCATTGTAATGTAGGGCCCTTATCAAGTGTAAACTAACCTGAAAGACAAACATATGACGTCCACCAGGAACAGGCCCAACCAACACAGAGTCTAATACTTGATCATAATCGGAAGTTTCAGCCGATCCAACATAGATTAATTTCCATTCTAAATCTAAAAAAAGTCTTCTTATGTTTGTATCATTCACATGAATCAAAATATAAGAGAAAGATTACCATTATCCTGAGAATCAAACAAAACAAAGAACGCTTTTATACAACTATTTCGTACATAATGAAAGATTGATTTAATCTTTATTATTTCTACCAAGTATCATAACCACCGTCCATGACCATTCAAGAGACAATGATCATTCAAAGATTGGTTCATTCGTGACATGAAAGCTAGTTCGAGACTTTACCTTCACTGAGCTCTTCCAAGCTTTCAAACGTGATTTCAAATTGAAAGGGATTAAAATATGGTGAAGGATTGTCTAGAACTGTAACGTTGCAAATATTCACTTTCGCCATTTTATTCTTTCTGCTACTGACTACTGTGCTACAGTTCACAAGTAAAACAAAAAATGGCACACTTTATCAAATTTTCATTGGTTCGACGAACAAACGTACAAAAAGAGCAAAGATATGAAGATTCCTCAAAGATTTCCAAAACTACGTTGACAACATCACATTTGGAAAGTGAACATGGCGCGAAAGTGGAAATAACTTCCCTACTAGTGCCAGTCTTTTTTATACTGCGCAATGGCAACGAATGCTTGTAATAAAATGACGTCTTGGTTAGGGGCATCAATGTACATAATCGTTTACAAGAGCATGTGATGTCTATATTTCTTTCACTCAGTCAAGTCTGTTTTGCTGAAATTCAACGTCACATTATTAATAATTATTCTGCCTTTACTTGGGAACTGCGCAAATCCATTCACTCTTCTTTTCGTCAAATATACTCAACTGTAATTTATACACAATCTAATATTCATCATTCCGAATAAATTATAATAATACTTAAACTTAATTCATTCAAAGATACAACCATTGGATACAACAAGTCAACAACTTTGGCTCTCTGTGCAACTTTGATGTATTAACACAAAATAATAAACGCAAACAGAACAGAATATTTACCCTAAGTATGCAACATGATTTTACAATCTCTTACTACAATAAACACATCAGCAGTTATAAAACAATAGAAATAGAGAAAAAATCCTCAATTTCGATAAATATATTGCGTATAAAGTTGTGACGATATTTAACCTTCTGAGTATAATTTGTGCCACAAAAGTTTTATACGGCGCTCATTCTTCTCTATATTAAGCAATGAACCCCGAGTGCCGATGACGTAAATATCGGCACAATGACCGAATAAAGTCTCGAGAAACAGAAGAAAAGATACCCAACATTTAATTATCTTGCCATTTTTAGAGAGAAGTTGTCTCCGAACCTAAAGAGAAATCAATGACGCAATATATTAATTTTTTTTCTTGAAAAAAAAACGATGATTTTTCGTTTCATAAGTTTTGCAATTTGAGGTCATACTAACATACTCACATTCTGAGACATTTTTCTGCCCTTCATAAGAAATCGCTAACATTTCTTTTAAGTAAGGTGGAGATTTTGAAGATGGAGATTTTGAAAAATCTTAAAATAATATATTAACATGTAAAAGATGAACATTTCTTCGATAAACAAAATGATTGTTTTACAAACCTGACAAAACAATGTTTGGGATAACACTTCTGTACGGTTTACAGAATGAACTGTTTGATTCATTCTTGGCATTATCATGAATGAGTAACCCCAAATGTTCCTCGTTGTCCTCACTGTCTTTACATGATCTAGTCTCATCATCTTCAGTTGTTTCATGATTATCGATTTTAGAAACATCGGTATATACTTCTATCTCTTGTAAACTCTTCGTTTTTTCAATTTTTTCAAGTTGTTCATCCAAATCTTTATCTTCATAAACACAGTTTTCACAAATCGCACGAGGAACTTCAACAAATTCTTCACTGTTTTCTTGTAACAATGTTGATAGCAAGTATCCATCAACAACTGATGTATCCTTTAATGTTCATATTTATCATCAATTAAATGTTAAAGTTGGACAAGTAGAATAAACTGGAAAATGGTGAAATGAAAATATCATCGGAAAAATAATTCAATGCCATTCGGGAAATGTAATATACAAAATACAAGTGTTTATCAAAGAGCTTACACACAATAAACGCAAAACTTTATAACTTCACGTTAGTTAAAGCACTTTGATCATTGAATATATAAGATGCCACAGTTTAGAAATAAAAACAACCAATCACCTCTTCGTAAATTTGTCTTTCACTGTTACTTTTTGAGCCGTGTTTTACTGTCGTAATATTATCTGGTATGTTGTCCTTCAAGATAGAAGCAAAGACTTTTTCTGTCATATTATTTTACTATCATCAATGTCTCCCATTTTTCCATTCAAAATGAAAATGTAAAGAATAGTGAAATGAACAACCTACCATATTTTCATCACTATCATGATAAATAGAACTCATTCCTCTTGGTCGCGCGAGTTCAGCCTCTTCTTTTACCTCCAACAATTGACGATCATTATTAGTTGAAAGTGAATGACTGGAACTCACTCTTTGTTTAAGCACATTGTCTGCATCTAAAAATAAAAAAGCTGTTACGAAAAAACCATACAAAATGAAAGCATGTTATCCTTTCATAAAAAGACGTCGGTACTTTACTTACCGGTAGGAAAACTTTCAGATTTTGTATTTTCATGGAGTTTCAATGGAAAAAAAGACCACAGCTATATAAAGACAAAAAACGTAATAAGTGAACCAATTGAGGACAAAGCAAAAACCACTGAATTTTTCAAACGGAGACTTGAACCATTTAATATGGAGGACTGAGAGATTTCATAGAAATGTCAGTCGATGATTTAAACAATAGTCTAAATAATCACTAAAAATTTATGACGAAGACATTTGGCAGCTATATCTCCTTGATAATACTCAAAAGAAAATGAATAAGGTATATTAGCTTACCAAGAACGGTTTATTACCCCCAGAATTACTGTGTGATCCAGATTCTATATCGGTAACAGCACAGAACACACGATAATATTGCGCTCTAATCTGAATAAACAAACAATATGGTAAAACAAAATTTATAAAAATCCTCCAGTGATTTAACTTGATCATTAAATTATACCTTTTCATCCAAAAGACAATGAAAAATAAAAATGAATAAGCCCTAAAAATGTAAAACGTCCTTATAATTCGGGTATAAAAGGCATTTGACTGCAATCGTTGAAAGAAAAGCGTTAGTCACTAACTTGAAAAACATTGCAGATGGTAAAAAGATAAGCAAGAGCAACTGAATTGCTGTCAATGTAAAAAACTCCAAACACCCAGGTGACTCCAAGTAAACACATGACAATTGCAGCCCCTTTTGTCCAATATCTAAAGCAAATCATATGTATCAAAAACACTAGTTAGTTTTGAACAAATCATGAACTCAAGAAAAACCTTTTCAATACCTTATTCTATCTATAATGCTCTTGTCGACTTTTGCCCAATTTTTGCGTTTTTCCATCACATAAAATGTGCAGCAAAGAAAGAAGGTGTTAACCTTTTAAAAATAGAAATGTTTCAAAGTAAATTTTATGTTATTATGATGTTTCACACGTTTTGTTCGTTCTCAAGTGCAAAAGTTAACAAATAATTATAAGAATTAACAAATCAACAAGTTTTCTACTTAGTTTGTAACTTCATTTGATGATAAAGAAAATTCATCATTTTAAGTATAAAGAACGCGAGTGAGAGAACTTGAGAACAAACACAAAACTGACGATATTGAACATTTACATTAAATTATAAAAAATAAACTATGGACAATTTAAAGATGCTTAGATGATTCATTGGGAAATGGGAAGATATGGAACATTCTTTACTAATCATACTTCATGCAAACAAAAATCGTGCTAATTCAAACAGACTAACCAAAATTATTGCCAAAGTGGGTCCGACAAACGCCCATATCATACCGTGAGATAGTGACAACCAGCAGCTAAAGCATAAAGGAAAAATAATTTGTTCAAATAATATAAGTATTCATTTCAGTAATGTAAGAATGTAAGTAAGAAATGGAAATATTAGAAAAAGGATGAATGCACAGTAGAATAATGACATGCAGGATCGCAAGAATTTGAAAAAAATAGTATTGTTTGTAGTTGTTATATATTGTCTGAGTGATAATAATAATTTGAAAAGAAATATATTTAATTCATACCAAGTTTCGTGAAGATAATATCGATGACCAGCAACTAAGGAAAAGCACACAATCACTGCCGGTATTCCTTAAAAAAAACATAGAAGGAAATAAGCTTGCCTACGTATGTATAACAACATCATCGCTTAAAAATTTTTTTAACGAGATCCTTACCCCAACATATCAAAATAAACATTCGTTTGTCTTTATTTGCACTTTTTCTTTGAAAAACTTTGATCAAATAAAGGTACAACACAACCCCTTCAGCTGCCATCCAATGAAATGCAACCAGAAATAAATAATGTAAAGCAACTGCGACGATAAAACACGTTGTCTATGAAGAAAAATTTTCTTTTTAAGTGCATTGACATCGTCTTTTATTGTTTCTTGGCAAATAATATACGAATCCTGATGACATAAAATACCTTATCCTGTCTCCTTTCAATTCCCCATAAAAATACCACTTCCCCAACAGCAAGTGACAATATCAAATTCGAATGAATGCTTGTACGAACTTTCTTCAAATAACTTTCATAGAAGAAAAAAAATATGTATAGTATTGATGACACATCATGAAACAATCAAATTGATACCACACTCCATTAAAAATACATACTTTGGTCTATAACCTTTATCACACCTCATGAAACATCGAGAATTATTTTTATGACCGCAAGGTCGTCTGAAAATGATTTTCGAATATAACACGTTGTGAAGAAGCATGTATCATATAGAGAATTAAGCTTCAATAATGACGAGTCAACTTACGGTAGAAGCATGAAAGTAAGGAAGGCAAGACCAAGAGCAACCAAAGAAATAGAAAGACCAACAATTGTTATCCAACTAAGGACAAGCTCGTCAGAATGCTATATAGACAAAAAACCCCAACTTTTCCTTGTCAGAGGCACAAGAGTTTTAAAGGAGTTTTTCTTTGTAACTACTTACAGATAAAGAGACGGGAGTGACTTGCATAAGAACAGAGAAACTGGTCATATGATAACAATGACATACAGTAAATTTGTCAGTGTAATTGAATACTTTACATCCATTGTTGGACCATAAACCGGCATGTCTATAATGACAGAAGCAGTAGCGTTTGAGCCCGCAATATGATGGAATAAAAAGTCAGTTATTTCTTACCTGGAGTTGTCGATAAATACACATTTGCGACCGTCAAAATGACCCGTCTAAAAAATTAATACACTTCGTCAATTCAGAAATCAATATCAAAAGGTGTAATTCGTTAGAAGCAATAAAATGGCTCAAAAGTACATAAAAAAATATGCATATTTTACGTATAGAAGCTTACAAATTCAGTCATACACGATTCAGAATAATGCTATACAGCTGAAAATGAAAATATCAACAAAAGAAAACCTTTTTATTGTTGAGTACAAACTCAAGAGGATTTTTAAACGGTGTGGATAACGGAGGATACATAGATATAGAAAGGATAGGTGAATTGATGAAGCCAAGGTCTCTAAATAAAAATATAGATATGTTGCATTTGATAGCTAAATGTTTAATTTTATCCTAAGTAAGAAGTTAAAAATATATCTACCTAAATCTTTGTTTGTTGGGAGAAAGAATGTCTGATAATGTCATATACTTCACAATGGCGACCGATTCGTCTGATTTAAAGATCAATAAAATTTGTTACTTAAATTATAACAAAAAACTTCATCACAAAAAAAACAGATTGCTCTTTTCCAAACCTTCAGTGTTTATTTTTGATGTTTCTACGGGTAGTGTGACGTTCATCATGTCAATTTTCATATCAAAGTCAGATTGCAGTTGTAAAAAGCTAGATTTTCTTCCGTAAATAACAACTAAAATATAATAACAAAAAGTCAAACAAAATTACTCAGACAATTAAATAAGTTTCAACAGTGTTGCATGAATGAGTACTAACAGATGTTTTCATCAGCTATTGACGAATAGTTGACAGTTTTTGCTGCCGTTAAAATCACACGATCAAGATTCTCGATTATTTTCAAACTTTCTTCCGTTTGTTTCTCCTAATTCACAAAATTTTACAACTGTCAAAGAAAGACCTATGGAAATTTTCAAAATATTAAAATGACTTTTGTGACAAGTAAACCTTTGGTAAATCATTCCACACGTTTGAATGTTTTGAAGAAATAATCTTTCCACTGATATTCACAAAAATCTAAATATAAATTCATTCATGGAAATGGGTCAGATTTCAATAGAAAACCTTCCAGTAAAAAATTAAACATTCAGTTACCTTAAGCAGTGTTTCAACTGTCTGCCGATTTGATTTATTCTCATTAAGTTCGTTGTTTATACTTCTATTTATCAACATATTTAATACATGAACAGACTTTATAACATCACCACCATATAATCCTTTAACATCATTCTTGTTAAGTAGATCCAAGAAATAAAGACTAACATATTTCGTATTCAATCTTCGATCTGCAAGCTGTGAATAAAACAAAATCATCCTCAAAATTTGTATGTTGATAGTTTTTCAAAGGTTTATCAAGCTTACTTGGTCATCAATTTGTAACATCCAATTCGAAACGCAATTGCTTAGATCAGGATTTGCCCAGAGCGATTTGCTGAAATTTCCTTTCAAGCACTTTCGAGTTGCAATACCTTAAGGGAAAGAAAAATTAAGTAGTTAGAAACTCAATCCAATGATAAGGTTGCGTTTTAAGATATTCTTAATCATTCTCCTCTTTTTTTTTGTTTTTCGTGTTTTTCACTTTCTCCAGTTATCTTGCAAAGACTTTGCATGTTTTTGTTCTGTAATTTATGTTGTACCGTATTTGTTCTCGCACAAGTTGTAGATTTATTTCAAGAACAATCAATTAGTTTAACTCTATTAATAACTATGACTAAAATAAATATTTCCTACAAAACACTTTTGCTTATTTCCAAGACTATTGTTGACTTGACCAAATAAAAATTCCAATAATGAATCGCGACAAAAACGACAGCTCACCACCACCGGAAGTAGTTTTCATTAATTGCAAGGACCACGGTTAAATAGTGTATGGTAAAAAAATGCAAGATAGAAATACATTTTTAGTTTACCTGTAGTTCCCCGAGGGCAGACGTTTTTATCTTCATGATCGTAATAAGTCTTTTTCCAAGTGATGTTTCGTAAACGTTCCTCGGTACAAAAATCTTCATCTTTTGCATCAGAAGGTAAAACTAGATAAAAAAACATGAAGAACACAACAAAGTAAGATAACCGTTAAATGAAAATAACTCTTCACTGATTTATGGAGAACTTGTGGTTGGACCACAGGTGGTGTGATCACTGGTGGTAGGATTACTGGTGGTGTGACCATTGGTGGTAGGACCACTGGTGGTGTGACCACTGGTGGTAGGATCACTGGTGGTGTGATCACTGGTGGTAGGATCACTGGTGGTGTGATCACTGGTGGTAGGATCACTGGTGGTGTGACCACTGGTGGTAGGATCACTGGTGGTGTGATCACTGGTGGTAGGACCACTGGTGGTGTGACCACTGGTGGTAGGATCACTGGTGGTGTGATCACTGGTGGTAGGATCACTGGTGGTGTGATCACTGGTGGTAGGATCACTGGTGGTGTGATCACTGGTGGTAGGATCACTGGTGGTGTGATCAATGGTGGTAGGATCACAGGTTTTGTGATCACTGGTGGTAGGATCACAGCTGGTGTGATCAATGGTGGTAGGATCACTGGTGGTGTGATCAATGGTGGTAGGATCACAGGTGGTGTGATCAATGGTGGTAGGACCACAGGTGGTGTGATCACTGGTGGTAGGACCACAGGTGGTGTGATCACTGGTGGTAGGATTACTGGTGGTGTGATCAATGGTGGTAGGATCACTGGTGGTGTGATCACTGGTGATGGTGTAAAAATGGTGATAGGATCACATGGTGATGGTTGATGAGTGATGACTAGATCACATGGTGATTGTGTCGAATGTTATTGGTGTTAAATGCCGCAGTACCTTTACAAACTAATCCATCACCAATATAACCAGTATTGCAGGAGCAGAAAAACGATCCAGCGGAGTTTGTACAATGCGCATGCTTGTTGCATACATCATCATTAACCCCTGCACATTCATCTTTATCTAAATTCATACAAAAATTTAATCATTTTTTCTTTGTGTTTAACAGAAATTAAACTAAAAAAATGGAACTTTTTACTAACCTTTAGTTTGAATTGTTAGTGGTGGTGATGTTGGACCATATCCGGCGCGAGAAACTGCTTGCACAGTGACGTAGTATTTTGAGAATTGAGCCAAATTATTAAACTCAACATGAGAATAAATGGTCTGTTTTACGTCTACTTCACCTCTGAAATCGTATAGAATAACTTTGCAACCTATAATTCGTTCGCTACTTTTCAAGCCTTTTGGGAAACTCCACGTTACAATAGCATTTGAGTCGTTGATATGAGAGAGCATAATATTATCGACTCGAGATGGAACTAAATAAAAAAGCAAAAATAACGTAAACTAAGATAAGAAACAGCAAATAAAGTGATGCGTTCAAAATTGAATATAATAAGTTTGAGTATGAATGTTATATGAAAAAATTATTGAGGACAATAAATATAATGCATCAGAGAATATTTATGATGTCAGTTTTAGTGCCACAGCTAGCTAGATACCTGACAATACGGGGTGTATAGTGAAGTGAACAGTTAGGAAAACGACGCTGAATTTATCAACGAGCAAGATCTCCAGAAATCTTTGATGGTGTAGGCAGTTGGTCTACCATTGGTTCATCTGACAGTAAAATTATTGTAAATAATAACCATTTTCAAAGTGAAATTGTGTTTCCAAGAAGCGCTTGTGGAACACATAAGGTTAAAATATGTTGTTCAAGCTTACAAATTTTCGGGAAATTTGGCTAAACCGTGCAAAAACTTTGCTGCGAGAAGAACTGTGTAACTTCCCAAAAGGTTTTGTAAATCTTGCGCGCTGACGACTTCAGCAAATGTTTTCTTAACTGTTCAGTTTTTATTATACACCATGTATACATGCATGTTGTCATGTTATCTTAAAATAAATTGTTTTTCTACGGTTTATAACCTTCCTCAACTATCGAGCTGCCCACGGCTCTGAAATTATTGTAAGATAAAAAGTTTGCTTGTTGTTGCATTAAGGAAGTCTTAAATTCAAACAACTGTTGAACGTAGGATTTTTGAAGAAACTATATTCGTCAACCGACCGTGTTTCATTTGTTTTTGGATTGGATAGATTAAATTAATCGAGTTTATGGATTAACTTGAAAAGTGGTTGATAGCAAACAAACTTAGTTTGAATTCAACCAAGACAGAATATTTGATCATAGGCTCGAAACAAATGATCAAGAATGTTTTTACTTCTAATTTGCATATTGCAATTGGCAATTACGTTATAAATAGAATTTATGAGTACGAAAGTTTGGGTTTAATAATTGACCAACACTTATCTTGGAGGAGTAACACTGATAAAATTTGCAAAAAAGTAGCAGCCGGTATCTCCGCCCTTAGATAATTAAAGCAATACACAGACAAACAAACACTTATCTCTATTTATAATGCCCTGGTACATCCTTACTTCACATATTGCTGTGAAGTTTGGGGTGTATTGGGGGAAACTCAGTCCAAAAGACTACAAAAACTTCAAAATAGAGCTGCAAAAATTATCATAAGCATGGGCATTGATGTCGATTATTGTAACGCATTACAAGAATTGAAGTGGGAACCTCTTGAAATACTTAGAAAAAAAGCTAAAGCAAAGCTGATGTTTAAATTATTAAAAAATGCTCGACCAAATTCACTTACTAGATTGTTTACCAATAAAAAAGACATCACTGATTACAATCTACGCAATATTACAAGTTGTCTAAATGTTCCTATGCCTAGTACTAACTCCTTGAAGAAAAGCTTTGCGTATGATGGGGCTTCTGTTTGAAATTCAATTCCAGCAGAAATCAGAAATAGCAAAAGCGTGTCACTTTTTCAAAAGAAAATTGCTGCTTGCATTTTATGATTTAGTTTAACATGTAACTGATGGAATAAACTAAACTCTGTAAATATTTAAACTTCTCTTCTGTAGATAATTTATTTCTTAGTAAATTTTGTAATTGTTTTTGAACAAAAGCACGCCCCTTGTGGAAATCAACCCCAGTTGACAAGGCCAGCGTGTCAAAATAAAGATTTTCATTCATTCATTCATTCATTACTTTGTTAAATCTCAAAATATGAAAAGAAATGAAGTAAAGAAATGTCATAATGATAATGAGCATTAAAGAAAAATAAAGATAAATAGCTTACTTTTATGAGGAGTTTCAAAGTAAAAAACTGAACTTTGCAAACTTTCAAAGCCACCTTTGATATTATAAGCGATAACCCAGAAGGAATACGACATTCTTGGTCGAGTTTCATTCAACATGTATCTCAAGCCACATTTGGTGCAAAATATTTTCCTCACGCCATTAAGAAGACCCAGTAAATTATAATGCACTTTGCCATCAGCTACACTCGACGAACTCCAAGATATCTCAACTCCAGAAAAATATTCGTGGATTTTTATATTGGTCGGAGTTGTTGGAACTAGAACAAACAACGAATTGTTCACTTTACACCAAAAAGACGTTAAATTTGAAAAATATTGTTTTGTAAAAATCACATAGTAAGGTTGAATCATTACCATATTTCGCAGTGTTTATAATAATCTTTTCACTTGGTTCACTTTCATACGCATTAAAGACGTTATATGCAATAACCCATAACGTATATTCCATATGAGGGAGAAGATTTTTAATCAAATGATTTAATCCACATTCATCACACATGACAATTGCGCTGCTACCGTTTTTTGATATCAATAACTTATACTCGATAGATCCTCTAGTTTTCGAAGGACGTTTCCAGTTGACAAGGAGGCCAGCGATTGTGAAGTTCATGGAAACATTTTGTGGAGGAGATGGAGCTAAAAATATATACGTATGCTACTAACTTTAAGTGAATAATCAAAACTGATTTTTAAGTTAATTTAATAATGATGACGTAGAAATCTCACTGTAAAATGATGTCATGATAATGACGTAATTTAAAGGTAAACATACTCACTGTAAGATGGTGTAATGACAGTGACGTAATTTGAAGGTAGACTTCTATACCGAGCATCATTATTTACATTTTGTGCAACAACAAAAAATGTATAGTTTGTCAGTTGCTGTGCATGTTCCACTTTATGACTTTCAATACAACTTTGGCAAATCATTTGATTTCCAGTTCCATTTAAAATAGTGAACAGCATAAATTTTACTAAACCATTTAAGTAGCGTGGTTCGCGCCATTTTAGCATTATCGTGTCATCCTTTACTTTTGCCTTTAGAAATCGAGGTGGACTGGGAACTACAGAAAAAAATAATGATATTAGAAGCAATTATAGAGCCAATTAAAACCTGCTAAGCGATCCATTTCGACGTGTGTCAAATACAGTTAAACAAGTTCATAATTAGTATTTAGAAGTAATTACAAATAAATGTACCTCCTTGATCAGTTGTGGCTTTTATTGACACAGATTTCCCCCTTCCATGTTCATTATGACAAGAAAGTTGAATGATGTAATCCGTGAAGGGAAGAAGATTCCTTAAATGCAGCGATCTTTGTTTAATGACATCAGCACGATATGACGTAGTCCATTTTGGCGGATTTTCAAAATCATCGACACGATACGAGATCTGCAGTTATAAAAATAACGAAAATTAAAAAAAATAATGCAGACTTTTGTGAAGTTCATTTATTAAAACATTGCTCACCGTGTATCCTACGACTGGACCATAAGTTGATTTTGGAGCATCCCATTGTAGCAAGAAATAAGTGTCAGCTTTTTCACGAACTTTGAAATTCTTCGGTTCACTTGGAACTAAATAAAAATGTCTTAAATTAAGAATAATGTTATCTTAACTTTTGTAAATAAATGATTTTTACCTTTTACTTTAGTACTGCATGTAGTTGTATAAGATCTTAACGGTACTTCATCTAGTCGTTGTTTAGAAGGCGCCGATACAAACATTCTTCGTCTTACTTTAACAAAATACTCAATATCTGGAACTAAAACCAGATATGAAGTATCTCAAAATGAAAAAGTATATTTAACTTGAACAAATAAAATTATAATTTGCTTTAACATATATTTCTGGGCATGGTAATGTATTGAAATTGAATATTTTCATTGAATTCGTTCTTCTAAAGTTTGTTCAACCTACCCAATTGAGAAATCATAAAAATTGAGCTATTTGAAATCATTCTTGATTTTCTATCACTGCCACTTTTCCACCAAGTCATCTCAAAATCATGCACAATGTCATAAATCTGATGTCGATCATCGACAGTCACAATTAATGACGACCAGTTGTTTTTACAATCGACGATTTTTGGAGGATCTAAAAAAGTACATTATAGTAATAACAAATTTCAATTTTTCAAAATAATGAGTTCGTTTTACTCGCTCAAATGTAAAAATCATATTATTTGATCACGTGACATACCAATTGTGCTTTGATAAACACGATTCATTAATGAATGATTAAGTAAATATTCCCATATCACCACATCGTCATAATCTGCGTTAAGTGTAGTACCATTAAGGATAGGTGGGGACAAAGCAAGTACACATTTTTTAATCTTTGTAGATTCCCAATGCTCGTTTTTTGGCTGTCTTTGATTGTTTACCAATATGCTATCTTTGTACATGCGCAGTCCTGATTCCACTGACCACGTAACCGTTAAATAAAACCAAGTGCCAGGTTGAACAGGAAAACTACGTTTCCACAAATGACTTGAAATGTATACTTGTGCGATAACCAAACGTTGTAACCTGTTATTTATACGACTTGATGTTTGGTAGATTAAAAAACCAGTATTGTTTATAAGTGACTGCTTTTCATTGCCAAATATTACCTTGCTTTCTGTATCAAACCTAGGTAGTTTCAACCAAAATCCCACACTAATGCCTTTGCTGCGACATAATCTAGGTTGACAAATGCAATCTTTTGCAAATTTTCCCAATCTAACCCAACTATGACCGGATAACGATAAATATCCTCTAGCGAGATTTTTTATATAACCGCGCGATCCTTTAAATCGTCCTTCTCGTGAGAAACGCACATCTCTTAGTTGGGTATCAACATCTAGTGGCCAGTAATGAGACGAACCACGATAAAAATCACCTTGAAACACAAATAAACCACATTAATAGAGATAAAAGCAAATGAAGAGTCTTTCTAAAAGTAAGTTGTTTCAAAAAAATACAACGATGCACGCTGCAGCAACAGCTGGCAACATAGAGGTGTAGTTAAAATATGTTTGCAAAAATCTCACAAAAAAATCAGCGAAACAAAAAATATAATGAAGCCTCCCACTCATTTCTATAGTGACGACAGCAAGTCGCGATCGTATTTCTATACATTTTGTGTTTCCAAAAGTTTTGCTGTTCATTCGTTTAAGTGAAAATGAATCAAATTAAATTACTTCGACGACCATACAGTAAAGAACATTTTTTTCTTACCTTTCGTTAAATATTTGCGATCAATTTTTGAAACATGACCTATAAAAAAATTATATCGTCAAAACTACAAATCTTTACCGTTTTGGTCAACTAATTACAACTATTCACATAACACGACAAATTACACAACATTTTTATTTGCTTATAAAGAAGAAAACAAATAGTTTTGAATAAGACACGAATCCCGAAACAAAGAGCTAGACTTTAAATAATATTGCCGACTTAATGTGTGTTTTTACCTTGAGCATCATTTGTAAATCGGTGGGCAAATGTCAAATCATATCCAGTGACACAAAGCATTAAAACAGCGAAACAATATCGATTACTTTTCTTTAAAACATGCGTCATTATTTAGTGCATTCCTTGATCTTCAATACTATGAAAATCGTAGTATTTATTGATAAATTTGATGAAGATTAACACAACATTCTTATCTCTCCATTATGTCATGTTATTGTTTAGTATATGATGCGCTAACCGGAAATAAAAACACGTTACAAGGCTAAAGAGTAACAACAGGTTTCTTGTTTCTTTTTAATGTCATTATAAAACCTTTCTAAAAAAATTTTTAATGCTGCATTAGCGACCAAACTTCAGTTTCTTTCACAATGTTTATATAAGTAAAATAAGTCTAAAATAACGTTAGTACAATGTTTATATATTTTTTAATTTATCTGTATGAGCCGTTAATATATTTGATTGTTTTTAACATTTTTACTCATTTTATAATTTATAAAATGTTGTTTCGGGAAACCTTGCGTTATGGCTCTTTCTTCGCTTTTATAGCTACTTTCTACAAGCCTGCACAAACGTAGGATTCTTCGTCTTTATTCCGATTTCGAGTAGAAACTTTCTACGCGTGTTTTATAGAAACATACGTCGAAAGTCAAAGAAAAAACCCTTATGTTCCAATACAGAAATCACCTTAACTAAACAAGAAATTTTTGAGTGAAAATTTTAAGTGAATCAAATTATCCAAAAATGTAGAAAACTGATAAAAAAAGCGAACATCACCACAAAAGGTTTTATTAATATCGTTTGAAAAGATATCTTGTCATACTAATGCAGACATTGGCTATCTTCCTCAAAGTATGTAGATGTCGCTAGGAGATCAAGTCTTAAATAACATTCTTTCTTGGGTGACAAATTATAGTAAATTAAGAAAAACCCATTAATCTCACTGAAAAGCGTCTATTAAAGCCACAGAAATGACGCGTTGTCCCAACTTTCCATCAAACGTCAATGCTAAATCATTTATTATTTTTGAGATTTAATTTTATCTTACCAGATTTATAGCACCAACAACCATCGACAAACTGTGTGTATTTGAACAAGGCAACAATCAAGCATAAATACCGCATTATCAAAAATGTGGTAACAACAGTTGTTGACATTGCTTTTTTAATAGATGATTGCTGTTTCTTGACAACCAAAAGTTTATTTTATGACCAATTTAATTGTGCAAGAGTTTTTACAAGTTACTTTCCATGATACAGATGTCATATATCTTGAAGCACAACATCAATATGCTAAACGTTAACAATTTACAATGTTTTCATATCTGTATGGAAATTAATATCTTGCAACCATAAGCAGATTAGTCTTTCTGTGTTGTACATAACAATCAACATACGCAGGTGTTTTGAAAATTCAACAAGCATTAAAAGCCACTGTCGTACAAAACATATATTCTTCGTGAAACGTTAAGTTATAATCAAGGTTTATATTCAAAATCAATTTCTAATATATCTAACATAGCTTGCCTAATGCTTCAACATGTTGAGATAAAATTCAAAGTGAACGGCATCCTGTGTTTTTGTTCATTGTTTTGAAACAGATTTTAGCAAATAATTCAATGAAGTTTCCGTCATATTATGTCACAAAACGTAAAATGACTTTCTCCTCACTCTCTATGTTTCAAGAAGGAATAAAAAAAGCCAACTAATAGTCTCATTACATGCGTAGCAGAAAACATTGAATGATGTATTGTGTACCAACCAATGATTTTCAACGCCACTGCGTAAAAGGGCATTATATGTTGAAACATGCTTATTTTAAAAAAATTTCGCATAGTTATTAAATGCGAACTATTTTTAAACAACCATTTGCTCCGCGAGCTACTTTTATAAAATATTTTCTGTTCTATTACGATAAATTGTGCACAACTCACAAGGAACGATTGACAAAAATACATTTCAAGACAAGTTCAGTTTTCACAGCTGTTTTCCCTGATTTTCACTCATTTCAAAAACGGGAATTAAATAATTCCGTCAACTTCTGTCTTATAAAGATATGTATGTAGGAGCTTATATCAACAAGCCAAACTCTGAAACACAGACCAGTCCGAGCTTGATCATGAGCGATATGTCTATAACTCTATAACTTAAAGATTTACAATCGTAACTTTTCTTTTGTTATGTATTAAACCTAATGTGGTAAAATCATTGCGTGTATTATTTGTAATCATCTTTTAAATTGTTCAGTGTCTTCATTTTCCGGCATTCGCAGTTTATGTCAACAATTCTATGGCTTAAACATCAAGAAATAGTTATGCCTTCCAATTGCAGAATATTATATTATCATTAATTTTCCGTAAAAGTCGAGCCTCCCTTTTCTCTGTATTAATGATGCTTACCTATTTGTGCTGGTGTAGTAATCACTGCAATATTCCCACAATTGTTTCTTGTTGCACGATGCTCGTCGACAAAACCAACACAAATTTCGTATCTTGTATTTGGCTCAAGATTGTCAAGTAAAACATCAGAATGTCTGGTCACAGCGGAAATATTTTGATAGAAAGAAAAATCTCCCATCCCCTTCTTTATATAAATGTTATAACTTATGCCACCTGGATGCTGAATTGGTTCTTTCCAACGTAAATAAATGCTTGTAGATGACGTTGGAAGAGCTTGTATAATTGTAGGGCGAATATGAACACGACCAACAACGTCTAAAATTAGCGCACAGTGATTTAAAATAGGTACTTTACCAAAAGATGACGGAGGAGGGGGAAGATGGGGCTTTGCATGAGTTTTTCACTGGCATAAGGAAATTTTCGTTCCCATTTTTACGAAATTTTACATGCGCAAAACATCGATGGAAATAGTTTGAGTGAATTGTTTATTGTCATGATTATCAACCCAGAATGAATTTCATAAAAAAACATAATTGGTAAAAAATTGCAATTGATGTTGTTAAATTAAATTTTCTTGTTTTAAAAGTATAGAGAATAGCTGGCAATGGTAAAAACAAAAGTTAAAAAAAGTTAAACATTTTCAGATAGCTATATTTTCGTCAGTATTGTTTAGTTTTAATAGTTCGTCCATGATAACATATGTTTTTAATTTCTCATGAAATCAGGCAGCCAAAAAAGACTTTGATAAAAGTGATTATGAAGTTTTAAAAGGCTTTTCATAGACACAAGAAAAGACCTTAAATAGCAGTGTGTATGATGAAATGATAAATAATCTTATCATGTGACTGCATTTTGAACTGTCAAGTTAAAAAGATCAACAGATAAATTAGATGTAGATAAAAAACGAATCATCCCAGTCAAACTACACTGAAAGAAAAGCCAATTGAACAGTAAACAATATTTTTTCTTTATCCAGGTTAGTTGATTAAATTATTCTAAATACATGCTGAGAATTATATTCCACTGAACTTTATAGCACTTGCTTAAATTTGGCCTGTAGATCGATTATTTATTTTTAAAGAAAACACAAAAAATTAGGTCTGTGCGCTAACTGTTAACAGTCTAGCTTCGTTAACAGTTCGATTGTAAGTGGTAACAGCATGTTAGCCATTCAGACACACCTAGCGGCGACACATCTCTTGAGGAAATTATCATCAGACAAAAAACTTTCAGGTAACTTGATCATAATAAAAATATGACAATAATGATTAAAATCAGTTATTGACACAGTTTTTGTATGAAAAGGGGTTTATTTCTTGCTTTGGATTCATAAATCTTTTGAATTTGGGAAGTTTAAATTTTTAAAGAAATACTTTTTACATACGCGGCATTTTGAACTCTGCGGTTTCAACTTAATTAAATAACATGCATATTGATTGCATTCCATTCAACTGTAATGAAACATCCGATCACCAATGCTGTCGGTAAATAATTCGAACTCTTTCCAGCTGAGTTTCCCTGTTTTTTTAATTCACTGACATTGACCCAACTCCCAACTTTATTCAGTAAAGCAAAGTGAAACCATTTTAAGAACCATAAAAAGCTCCGAATTATTCTGCATTTTGTTCTATCATAAAACACAGTTGTACATATAGGTACTATAAGTATCGTTGAGGGTCATATGTCTTCAATAAAATGAAAAAGATTCCTTCAAACATTAACTTGCAATATTGCCACAGTCTCAATTCGCTTGTATTGATCTAAAGTTTGCAATTTTTGTCAATTTAGGTCAAGATTGTAACGAATAAAACGAACTCAACAATGATAAGCATTTTATCTTGAAATAAGTGATTTGTCCAATAAGATAATTTGTTGCTATGTATATACCAGTAATGCATTTTTTAAAAATGTGGAACAAAAAATTCCAGCTATGGAAAGATAAGAGGCTAATATGATAGTAAATGTTTGAGACATACAAAATCATCAAAGTGCATGATGATAAATTAAATTCAAATTACATAAAACTTACCATTTTGTCTTGAGTTGAATACAACAAGAATTGCGAAAAGAACGCAAATAATTCTTGATACCTTCCTGAACAAACCCAACATTTATTCCAATATTTTGTTGTTTTTTCTAGAGTAAACTCTCAAACAGTATTAAGTTGTGTGTCATTTGACACGACAAGAACGCACGCGTTGAGAATCCACACAAATTACGCTATATTTCCCATGGATTTACTTGGTGAAATTTACGTATCGTAATGGTCGGTCGTAATCCTCTTTAGCGATTATCAATTAAGAGTATATGGCTTTCATTTGTGAAAACTTTCTTTCATTTTCTAGTCAATAATGAGCAATGAGCATTGACATTATTGTGATGTACAACTAGATGTACTTATTGAAATTATTTTTTATTTCAGCTCTCACTAGTTTTCAACTATCTACTAAGGGAGGGGAGGGATAAAATTTATAAATCCCGTGACTCTTAACTTTCATTGGTTAATTAAACAGTAATATCCAGTGACCAAGGGTAGGAACAGATATAAATATTCCGACCCTTCCATTCATTGAGAATTTTAAAGACAGATTTTCAAATGCGCATAATTTGCGTCGAAAAATGGAAAGTATTCCACTTGTGTCGCAACAACAAACTCAGCCTCAAGCAAACATTGTGTATCACATTCAATTGCATACTCTAGATTCCACAAGTAAAACATGATATTTTGAAGTTTGAACTGTCATACTTAGTCACGTGGACAACACGACAAATGGTCACATTTTCTACCAGGTAAAGTCGTGACAAAAACGGGTCATAAAACACACAGGTAGTCATACAGACTGTAAGAAACCTGGCGAAAATCAATTAGTTTCAAATAGCCTTGTTCTCCTACCCATATTTGAAATGGAAACTTTTGACTGCATATAGCATAGGTCAAAAAAAGCTAATTATTGACTTCATAAAAGGTTTTCACACATACACTATTATACAACAATTTTATCAAATAACATTATTTCTACCTTAAAAACATCCTTCAAACCTTTACAGTCAATCAACAACAATTCTCAATCACTCACGTTCACGCAAAATGAACTCCGTTTGAGTTGAAAACTTGAAGTAATCTGAAAAAAGAAAAAATCCAAATTAGTTACGCAGTAAAGCACTTAACCATTTATCGCAATTGAACTGTGAATCGTACTTTAAGAAATCGTCAATGTCCATAGATCTAGCTCTTTTCTTAGAAAAATCATTTTCATTTAAAATTTCTTGGATTTTGGTCTTCATATCAAAGTTTTCTTCCAACATCTATTGCAAACAAAAAATGGTTGATAAAAAAATATATAAAAGGTGAAAGTGCTTACTATCAAACATATATCGGCACGCGTACTTTAGGTACGCCATCTTCCATGCAAAGTGAATAAGATTATTTCGATAGTTAAGAAGATTTTAAACATTTTTACAATATGTTTCATGAAGAATGAATTTTCATGGATTATTTTGATTATAAGGTTGGAAATTTTGATCATTTTTAACTCTTTATTACACAATGTCTATTTACAATGGCGATGACAAAAGTGAATGAAGCTTAGGTAAAAAATTAAATACATCTCTGATACAAGATGTCAAACAAGCTGGTGTGCAGTGTGTTTCCTTATATGACATTAGATCCAGGATTTCGCCCAAGTCTTTTTACTGGGGGAGTTGAGTAATAAATTACCAATGGCAAACTTTAGAAGCAGAAAGTCATCTTTTGAAATTATAAATATGTATTTTGTAAAAGTGTTTTTCATTTTTTCAAACTACGTAAAAAGCCCAATTTACAAAAAAATGATATCAACAATTCAACTGATATTGAACATTGTGAAATAAACTATACATACTACTTCGTTAAAAGAACAATGTATTCTGTAGTTCTTCTCTATCAATTCCAAAACAGACTTTGAACTTGAACAAAAACAAGAAAGAGTTTTCCACAACAAACAGAGGATTGTATACAAAAATCTCATTAAACTTACCCAAAACATGCACTTAGAGTTTTATTTTTCCTTACAAATGCTATTCTCACAAGACCATCCCATTCCTAAAATAAGGACAATGTTCAACATTGACAAATCCAGCAAGTAAACTTATGACAATTGAAAAAGTTTCTCTTGTAAGCACAAAAAAGTGTGAAATCTACTAAAAATACCTGAAAGTTTATTGGTGGGGAAGGATTCTTTGGCTCAATACGCACGACACTTGACTCAACTTTAGGTGGTGGTCGGAAATTGTTTTTACCAACCTGATAAGACGGAAAACTATAATTGAAGACATTCATACACATGTGGAACTTTGTTTATGAGATGCAACCACACAACACAAGACATAACATACAATAACAAATGTAAAAAAACATATGCACCAGAATAAGGTACCTTCATCAAATGATCAACTCTAGCCAATAATTGTGTGTTAATAGAAAGTCTACAATATAATTTATCTCCAGGTTGAGCTACAAGTCTTTGTGCAAACTCTCGCTGAAACATCAATACTGCACATCTGAAATGATTACATGACATTATGAATGATGTCAAATGGGAAAAAAATAAAAATCAGCTTCAAAACCTGAAGAATGGACGATGTAACAGAAGTTTAAAGATAAATGGTGATGAAATCTAAAATGGAAACAATACATACATGTTATAATCTTGCCATTCATGTAGTATGCATTAAAGATTTCCCTATACATCTACATTTTGTCAGCAATCTACATACTTACTTGATATGGAAGATTAGCAACACAAACATCAAAATATGGAAGATCTGCTTTAAGAACATCACCAATAATTACTTGTAACTTTGATGCATATGGCCTGTAATTATGTTTTTAAAATATTCAGAAGATTTACATTTCATCAAAATTATTTACATAACAAAAATTTAACAATGAAATCTAACCTTCTACTTACATTCCTTGCACTCTTTTCTTTAATTCGGCAACTAGCCTGGGGTCAACTTCACATGCAATTACCTAAAGATGTATTATACAACAATGACATGACAATGACATGATAACAACAAGCTTAAATATGTAAGAAAATCTTCACAAACATTTTGCCATTCAAATTAACAAAATATGTACATTCAGTAAAGTAACAGAATGGTACTAAAACTGTGAGAGAGAAAAATACAGAGCTTCATAAAGAATTTGAAATGTTATTCAGCAATGATAAATTTACTTACTTCTTGCATTGTCAATCATATTTTTGCAATGTAATTAGCAAAATGAGCAGTTGTAAAATGAGTCAATATGGGCACCACGAAAATATTTATTCAAAGAAATGTGTGTTTGTTTTCAAAAACGTATGGCAATGGAGGTTGAAATTGAACTTTGAGTCATTTCATTTCTACAAAAAAGCTCTAAATACATTTCTTGGGAAAGACCTAAAATCTTGTGAATAGATTCATTTGGCTGACATCATCTTGTAGAAGCTAATACAGCAATGTTGATAAAAATTACACAGTTCATGTTAAGATCAAACCTTAATAATAATACATTAATTACCTTATTTATGTACATGTTAAGATCAAACCTTTTTTACTTTTTCAAGAAGTTTGACAGTCATATTACCAGTTCCAGGACCAATTTCTAAAAGTGTATCAGTTGATCTCAAACCAGCCTGGTGAAAAATAGTACAAATAAATGAAATAATACATACAGAAGAGATAACTATGGTATAAATGTTATTGTACTACAGTTGCTGTATGATTTGTATGTTTTAATATAGATCAGTTTTCTGAGATTCTTACAATCATCATCTGTCAATACTTGAATGATTAAATTACACAGTTCATGTTAAATGTTTTTTACTTCCTTCACAAGGCATTCCACAATGCTGTTAATTGATCTTCATGCAAAACTAAAGGTCTGTTTGTCATTCACCTTTTCAATCAAACCATTGACAACAAGTGGATTTTTTAATATATGTTGACCAAGATCAGTTTTAAACTGAATTCCTAATAAATAACAAAAATATTTATCTGTGATCGTGTGTTTTAAACAATATAATGATTTTTGATAGCTACCAAACCTTGACTAGCAGCTGCTCCATGCTGACGAGACTTCTTTTTTATCCTGTCTTTAGGCATTTAGAATCGATTTTAATCTTTCACTTATATTTAAAGTTACTCAGTTTGTGTAGATCTAAATGTTTGCTAACTTTGCTTTCTGGCATTGCTTCACGCTTTCATCCTTACTTATATCACTTCACTGACCTTACATCACGTTGACGCTACCGCTGACCAACATACTGCGCGCTTTTAAGTAAATTCAAAAATCATGACCATTGCCATCGACCACAGCAATTGACACCTGAGCAAGTTAACAAGAAATTTTTTTTTAAAAACTCTTAAGTAAAACTGGTCTTGGTGCCGTAAAATAGTTTTAACTGTGTCTAGCATGAGCAATATGAAGATGAAATTGCGGAGTTGGTGGAAAACGATCTTGGATCGCTGGAATAATTATCGTTATCGTTTCCTTCCGTGGATCATTGTGAATTTAAAAAACAGGTATTTTTCAATTTTCAGTTTATAACTTATGAATACCATAGTACCTTGTTACTGAGTTAAAGTTATGACTTAAGACAGACAAGAAAAGTTTATGCACAATCAAGTGATAAATTAATAACGGATGCAAGAGCTCTGGACATTTTGAAAACATATTTCAAGGAAATCAGCAAACATAGTATGGCAGTTTCCAAGGAAGACATTATGAGAAAAACTCTTGGCTTCTCTATAAAACGATTTCCTAGTCAGGTCTCTGGAACTGGTGTTTTTATCTCCAGTGGAAACACAAAGAAAGGAGATGTTGTATCTATTTATCCTGGTATGATGTCATAATGAAAATGATGTCATGGTGAACATGTCAACATGATGTCATAGTGTACATGATGTCATGGTAAACATCATGCTATTGTCAACATGACGTCATGATGTGAACATGATGTCATAATGAACATGATGTCATGGTGAACATGATGTCCAAGTGAACATGATGTCATTGTCAACATGATGTTGTGATGAACATGATGTCATAGTGAACATGATATTGTGATGAACATGATGTCATAGTGAACATGATGTCATAGTGAACATGTCATAGTGAACATGTCATAGTGAACATGATGTCATAGTGAACATGTCATAGTGAGCATGATGTCATAGTGAGCATGATGTCATAGTGAACATGTCATAGTGAACATGTCATAGTGAACATGTCATAGTGAACATGATGTCATAGTGAACATGTCATAGTGAACATGATGTCATAGTGAACATGTCATAGTGAGCATGATGTCATAGTGAACATGATGTCATAGTGAACATGATGTCATAGTGAGCATGTCTCAGTTTATATGCAGCATTGTGCATTATTTATTTTCCATCTTGTGTCTCACTTTCTAATGTGAAGATCATAACTCAGTATGTATGATTTAAATTTACCTTCTGTTTGTAGGAACTGTGTATCAAGTTCATGAACCAATATTTTTTCAGTCCATTGCAAATCCATTCATCTTTCGATGTGTTGATGGTGTTTTAATTGACGGAAATGACTCTGGCTTGTCAAGAATAATATATAAGTGAGTGTTTTATGTGATCATTATTGAAAAATCGCCTTTGGTGTAGCTCTCTGATCTTCAGGGGTGGTGCCAGGAATTCTCTGATGGAGGGGCTTAGATCCCCAACGGGGAGGAGGGGCTGACTTTCTAGGCTGATCTGACAATGCACTTTCCATGCAAATCCTTTTTTCAGACAAAATTTTTGAAAATTATTATCAATCCTCAATTTAACTAAATCGTTGAAACATATAGTTTGGTTTTGAAAATAATAATTTACATCTACATGAAAAATTAACATTACATATTCGATTAGTTGTGAGAGCCACAACTAAAATGCTAACTTGAGGGATGGCTTGTTTTTTCATATATTTGGTTTTGCCCAATTGATTTTTTTGAAAAGAAATTTAATTTTAAAAGAAGTCAGTCTGACACAACTGAATATATGAATATCTCCACCAATCACCATTGTACTAACAGCCCTGCTAGTCGTGTGTGCAATCCAGGGATATACATATGATAGGCTATAACAAACCTATACAGTAAGTAAAAAGAATGCCTGCGTTTTCTAGTAATGTTGGATAGTAATAATCAAATAACCATTATCTCCGTCAAAGCTTTATAAATGTATTGAACATTCTTCCTATACAAAGCTGTAATCAAAGTAAGACGAGAATCTATTGGTTATTAGGTATACTATTTTTTTTTCTTGTTTAGCTTAAATCTTATGTTTTGTCATTTCATCTCAATATTATCTTGTTAAACATTTATACTGGCGAGCAGTTCTTTTTGACTGCATGTATATAATGAATCAGTTGTGTACTAGGAAATACTTTATATAAACATAAGAGGCAATATTAAAAATGCATGAGTAAGATATAACTTCGGTGAATCATTCGATTTGATTGTTTGATTTTCAGAGAACAATTCTACACTTTGGGAAACCTAGCATTGAACTTGTTAACTACAGTAACCAAATCCAGTTTGCTCCCTCCATCACAATGAATTCCTAACATCATTAGCTGTCCAGACGCTTGATGGTGATTTATGAAAGGCAATATCCGCAATACATGTAAAACTGTCAGAATTGGATGCTCATTGCTGATTTGAAAGTCAAACAGCAGAGTTTTTTTTACAAAAACTTTCCTTACATGTTTGTAAATGTAGATCGTCCAGGTTGGTATAGTCCTGAGAAGGAGTGTTTTTGTTGTTGTTGACTGACGTTTTGACAACCTTAGCGGTAGTCATCTTCAGAGTCATTTTGACCTGGATGATCTACATTTACAAACATGTAACGATACTCCCAGGTTCAAACCATTTACTTTAAAAAATTTCCTTTTAAAATTCGAAAGTCAAGTTGCAAAAACCAACCGACAGAAAACTAATAGCGGGCAAGCGTCGTGGTGATTGCATATGCAAATATATCTCATTTCGCATTTGCATATCTGTTCTCTAATAAACATTCAAAAATAAGTATTTTAGAGTAACTTTATTATTTTTTTTAATTTGATGTCTAGCATGTGTATGAAGATTATTACCAATGCTGAATGCTGACACTACTTTAAATAAATGGCAATAATCATCATTGGAAATTACTTTTTTTTTGATTCCCTGACAAATCGTCAAATAATTTTCCCCAATGAGGGGGCTGGCACCACCCCTGCTGATATTCTGGAAAAAACAATAGTTTTTATTTAACAATACTTACAGCAAACATGGTTTGTTGTGCTTAATCAACCCTTGGCTTGCTATAAATATAGTGACAATGGTATGTTTTTGTTACATGGAAACCATTTATTCAGTAGCCATAACATTTGGAGAACATAAGAATTTGAAGTTGTTGGTTAACTGTTAGATTTTGGTAATATCAGCAATATTCACAGTAGATTTGTGTTAGTTATTGACTCTGTACATAAAATTATTATTGTTTCACTTTAAGTCATTATTAAATTCCTTAGGTCATGTTGTCATCGTGACATGATTGGACAATATTTTACTTGTGATATGACATGGCTCACATCTACACCTTCAAATCACCTTTCATTAGGACAATATGTTAATAATGCCACAGGAAAATTCCCTGCCAATGTTACCTATCAAGAGCTAGACATACCAAGTAACTTTCCTCTTGTCTACATGAAGTACTTGCCAAATGCAAACTATGGCCATAAGTATTTCAAAGATGATGTACTTCATGTTAGAACAGTTGTTCTTATTGCAATAAGAGATATCTTTGAAGGGGAAGAATTGTTTTCATCCTATTTTACTGTGGTTCATAAAAAAAGAACACAACAATGAGGTTTATAGAAAATTGTAATGCAATCTGTCGAAGAAATATTCCTGTATATTTTATGTAATGAAATGTAAACAACTTGGTTGCCTTATTTAAAGAATTCAATATTATCAAGAACAAAAAGTCACAGCATGCATTAGAAAAAGTTTATGAAATATTTTTTATAAAAGAATTGCTCAAAAATTGAAAACCAAATCACACAATAAAACTTTTGTTTGTGTTTAATGCTCTCAAGTCAAACAAATTTGGTGATGAACTATTTCAGAAAGTAAGTCATAGGGCTAAGGAACCTGGAGCTTCCAGTGTCAGAGTTAACATTTTGTAACTTCTAGTTTGTGTTTTTGATATATATTGACTCTAAACTCCATGTCACTTAGCAAGACAATAATATTGTTAATTTGTTGCAATGACAATTGACTGTGCATTTCTTGGACCTTCTATTTTCTAAAAAGGGCAGTTTGGTTGGAAAGTAAGTACTTATGAAACCTAAAATGGACAATTCTATTATAAAAATTTATCAAAATGAGAAAAGACCAAAACATTCAATATTTAATATTTTATTAAACTAAAGAATTTTATGGCATAATCTTTAAATATACTTTAAGTTATAATATTTTAAGTTGTTTGTCATTCAGCAGACAAAGTTTAGAATCCGCAAATGTTGAGTTTGATTTCGTCATTTTTTTGTTGAGACCCTTTTTTTTAAAAACTGTTTTTGAAAATATAATGCCCCAATGGCTACCAAATCCTATGAATATTTTAATATTAAAATAAAGAATATGTATGAAAGTACCAATCTCATTTAAAACCAAAATCACTTCAACAACCCAAGCAATGTATATCCTTCAGGTTTATTTGTTGAAGACAAACTTTCATTTCCATTGTTCATCTCCACAGTAACATTTCCACTGCATTTTACAGATGATTCCCCTAATTTCGCAAAATCTTTCAAAGTAGTTTGTCTTAAAGGTTTAAGTTGAAAATTGCAAACTTCATATGCAACAACAGTCGCATGATCTAACTTTCCTGGAATTGTCTTTTTCTTTTCCTCAAAATCCTTTTTACATAAATTACTTTTTTCCAGAAACTCTCGCTTCTCACTTGTTTGTTTTAGAACAAAATTAATTAATTTCGCACAAAGTTCTTTTGCTGAGCTCTCTTCATTCTGGCAAGGACTATCTGTTTGTATAACCTTAACAACACAAAAAAATAACATAATTTCTATTGGAACTTTAAAATTTACAGAATGCATTAAACAATATATCCAACAAGCATGGTAATTTGTTATATGTTTGTAAATGATGATCGTCCAGGTTAATAAAGTACTGAGAAGGACTGTTTTTGTTGTTGTTGACTGACGTTTCGACAACCTTAGCGGTAGTCATCTTCAGAGTCAAATGAGGAGTAAACGTCAGGTTAGCCATATTTGTTATCTGGTTCTTACATCTTGTATTGTGTGTACAGGAAATGTGTATTGTCATTGTGAATTAGTTTGAAGTGTAATGTTTTTAGTTGATCTTTTGTTTGTATTGTGAATAAGTCGTTTGTAAGGTGCCGGTAATTGCTGTGATCTGTTCAGGGGGGTTTGTTCCAAGTTGGTATACCAACTTTCTAATGTAAGCCGTTGTCTATAGTCAGTACTGTAAGTGATGCATTTTGCTGAGTCCCAGTCAATGTTGTGCTTTGTGATTCGGTGATGTTCGGCAATGTGATTAGTTTTGTCTTGTTTCTTAGTAGCTCGTTTGTGCTCAGTAAGTCTTATGTTTAAGTTCCTGCCAGTTTCCCCGATATAGGAGGCGTGGCAGTCGGAGCAGTTTATTTTGTAAACTGCACCTTGTCGTTCGTTGGGTTGTTCTTTGTCCTTTATGTTCGTTAGTACTTGTCGTAACGTTGTGATTGGTTTATGTGCGACACGTATGTTGTATTGTCGTAAGATACGCGAGATAGTCTCAGACGTACCTTTGATGTAAGGTATCGTTGCTGTTGTCACTGAGGTGTTCGTTTCGTTGGGTTCGTAAGTGTTGCGTTTGATAAAGTCAGAGTTATACTTGTTTTTGTCAAAAACACGTTTGAGATAGTTGTTTTCGTTTTGTAGAGCGTCCGGTGAATCACATATGATTTGTGCACGTCTTGTTAATGTTCTGATTGTGGTGGCTTTGTGTGATGTAGGGTTGTAAGATGATTGGTCTAGTAGTCGGTCAGTATGTGTTGGCTTGCGATAAACTGTTGTTCCTAGTTTTTGATTGTCATGTTTTACCAAACAGTCGAGAAAAGGAAGAGTTCCGTTTTCTTCGACATCTTTGGTAAATTGTATGTGGCTGTTCTGTTTGTTGATGTGAGTATGGAAGTCATCAATCTCGTCTGCATGTAGTGCTGTGATTGTGTCATCTACGTAGCGAAACCAAAAAGGTAGTGCATGTTTGTAAGTCATGAGTACTTGTACGAAAACCCTCATTACAAACACCACGGACGTACTGCCATTACCGATAGAAGACATTATGGAGTTACTAGAGCTCTGCCTCACCTCGACTTACTTCCAATACAAAGGAACACACTAAAAACAATTACATGGGACAGCAATGGGCTCACCCGTTTCTGTTGTAGTTGCTGAAATTGTAATGCAATGTATAGAGAAACGGGCGCTCATGACTTACAAACATGCACTACCTTTTTGGTTTCGCTACGTAGATGACACAATCACAGCACTACATCAACAAACAGAACAGCCACATACAATTTACCAAAGATGTCGAAGAAAACGGAACTCTTCCTTTTCTCGACTGTTTGGTAAAACATGACAATCAAAAACTAGGAACAACAGTTTATCGCAAGCCAACACATACTGACCGACTACTAGACCAATCATCTTACAACCCTACATCACACAAAGCCACCACAATCAGAACATTAACAAGATGTGCACAAATCATATGTGATTCACCGGACGCTCTACAAAACGAAAACAACTATCTCAAACGTGTTTTTGACAAAAACAAGTATAACTCTGACTTTATCAAACGCAACACTTACGAACCCAACGAAACGAACACCTCAGTGACAACAGCAACGATACCTTACATCAAAGGTACGTCTGAGACTATCTCGCGTATCTTACGACAATACAACATACGTGTCGCACATAAACCAATCACAACGTTACGACAAGTACTAACGAACATAAAGGACAAAGAACAACCCAACGAACGACAAGGTGCAGTTTACAAAATAAACTGCTCCGACTGCCACGCCTCCTATATCGGGGAAACTGGCAGGAACTTAAACATAAGACTTACTGAGCACAAACGAGCTACTAAGAAACAAGACAAAACTAATCACATTGCCGAACATCACCAAATCACAAAGCACAACATTGACTGGGACTCAGCAAAATGCATCACTTACAGTACTGACTATAGACAACGGCTTACATTAGAAAGTTGGTATACCAACTTGGAACAAACCCCCCTGAACAGATCACAGCAATTACCGGCACCTTACAAACCACTTATTCACAATACAAACAAACGATCAACTAAAAACATTACACTTCAAACTAATTCACAATGACAATACACAATTGACACCCACACATTACAACTAAAAACGTCACACCTAAATCACACATCACAAATAAAAATAAAAATATTTCACTTCACACTAATCCACAATGACAATACACATTTCCTGTACACACAATACAATGACGTAAGAACCAGATAACAAGTATGGCTAACCTGACTTTTACTCCTCGTTTGACTCTGAAGATGACTACCGCAAAGGTTGTCAAAACGTCAGTCAACAACAACAAAAACAGTCCTTCTCAGGACTTTATTAACCTGGACGATCATCATTTACAAACATATAACGATACTCCGGGGTTCAAACCATTTACTTTATGGTAATTTGTATTGGTGAATTCTGTTGATCAAGCATGCTATCAACATTATGTACATGAGGTTCGGAGGTGAAGAAACTGTCACTTACTTTTTTCATGATAATATGTGAAATATCGCTGGATTTCATTGATGTTTGATCATCTGTTGTTGAATGAAGCTTTTGCTTTGGGAATTCATCATTTGCTGTGGGTTTGTTAAGAACAGAATTCCTTTCAAATGTTATTTCATTCACTAAATTGTCTATGTCTTCAACTGAATCCACTTTCAACACATTTGGATCAAAATTATCAGTAATACCATCACTTGCTAAAAATACAATGTCACCTTCATCTACATAAGCAAATGAAAAAGCAAGATTTCTCAAATCTGGACTATCCCCAATTAATGGTCCTATGCACCCCCCTGATTGCCTCATGTCTCTCTCATCAGGGTTGTGCGATCCCCAGGACACTTCTTGAACACATCCATCTTGTTTACGATAGATGAAAGCCAAGCTGTCACCAACATTAACAACACAAAGTCCAGAATACTTCACTCCTTTCATCTTGAATACTACAGCAGCACACAGTGTAGTAATAGTACCTGATGATTCTAATATACAATTATGAGCAAATTTAAATGAATTTAACATAGATTCAATGATATCTCCAGTTGTCTTTGATTTGTGTAAGTGATTTGTAAGATATTCAATACAACCCTTCACGGCTGTTCTTGCTGCAATAAAAGAACCAACTCCCCATCCACAACCATCTGCTAAAACCATAAAAGCATTATTCTTCCTCGCTACAACAGCAAAAGCATCAGCATTTGGTTCACCAAAGGGTTGTTGTGTTTTGGGGTCTATGTCATATAAACTTTGTGATAGTCCAAATGCTCTGTGATCCTGTGTCCAGTTGGCAATACCAGCTACAAGTTCAGTACTTGAATGTTTAGATTCATGAAACTTATTAAAATATTGTATCTGCTCCACATCTAGGCAGTGCACTCCACCATCAGGTCCAGTGTCTGCTGCCAACACTTCTGTTGTCATGGTAACAACATTGTAATATGGAATATTGGAAGATATTTTGCTAGATATGATTTCTCTTTGCCACTCATAATCATCCCTGTTATGAATACAAAATATTGTAACTTAAATGGAGTTGTTACTTTCAACATATGAAAATGGCAAGCAATTAAAAAATACCCTGCTGCACGACGCCATGGCTGACGATAGTGATTAGACGACAATGAAATTTCAATTAAATATATTGAGTTAATTGTACAGCGTTGCCTACACCTCTTTCACTATTTACTACCACTGTAACCAAAAATCAATGTTTCTATCATAGTTATTTCAGGTTATTCGTAGATATGATTTAAAACTAGTACTGAAGTATATACAATCACAGCCATTGAAAAACAATGACATAAAAGTGTCGCTTGAGCGTCGTAGTTGACATGATCAGTGAAGCAAATGATTAGACAAAGATATAAATGATAAATTTTAGAGAATAACCTTTTACTACCTTGTAGTGAATGGAACGTTGATTAATGAGTTGAATTCTGGATCTACTATTGCGATATGGTCTAATATATCAACTTCCAGTTCCATCGTTGATTCAACAACAAATACTATGCGTCTACCTCAATGAATAGTTTAGTCTTTTGAAACATGATCTAATGGAAATATTTTATTTGTGTATATTTAACACGATGCGGAAGACGGAAGTACTAAAATCGTGAGGTCATACGAACGACAATTTCGATATTTTGTTTCTATGATCCAGCATGATACAGCATAAGCGTGTTATACTGCATGATATAGTAAGAATTTAATTTTGATTGACTGTACTAAACTTGTTAAAAAAGGTTGAATTTGAAGTTGTGAATATGCCATGTTCATTGTTTAACATTCCTTCATTCACCTTTATTCGCTAATTCATTGCCAAAATGTGTTTCTTTTCAATATTACAAATAAGTTTATTGAATCACACATAATTTTGCGCGTTTCTGCACAAAGAGTCACTATAGTCATAAAAAAGACGCAATCAAAATGAAAACAATTTTCTCCCATTTCTTAGGTTATACGACTAAAGATTGAATAACAAATGAAAAAAGCTTTAAGATTATCAGCATTCCCATTATTTAATTTAACAGCAATTATGTAAATAATTTCAACAAAACATGCTAAAGTCACTGGCTAAAGCACCGCTTCTAGTGTTGTTTAAATTTTATAAATTACGTCACTTGACCTTATAAATTTACATGTATTGTAGCAGTTTTACAGTGAAACTTTCACTTCTAAACAACATAGTTTAAGTAGCTATTAGAGATAAGTTACAGATAAAAAAAAATTTTTTTTGCTTGATGAGACCTTTTTCAAAATCAGTGTTGTGTAGCTGGGAATTTAAGGCGTGTTGATGCCAAAATTTATTAGAAATTATATCGGCGATGCCCGATACAAAATATATTCCTAAAGCAAATTTATAAATCCAGAAAGTTTACCTGAGAGCACTTTTCGATTCCTGGAATCCTGTGTCTGTAGACGTGACGGAGTCCGTTGTGGTACTTCTGGATTTACGAGAGCAGGTACAAATACAATAAAAACCATAAAAAATACATGAAATATTCTCCATGTCTTTCAATGTTATCTTCGTTAGCTTCCGTGTCGTGTGACTTACAATATCATAAAACCGCACGCTTATGTATTTTGAGCTGTGTATTTAATGGTCAACATGATAGATATGGTATCATGTTTAACTATAAATTATCATGAGCTCAAATACTTGCTTAACACTGAGAACAGAAGATAAACAGAAGTCCAAAGTAACACAAGGGCAACTTTGTGTAAACAAACAATTTTCACTAATATCTTTGGCTGCATAAATTGCTCCATTTCCTATAATGTCGTTTTATCACGTGTTAGCGCGTTTTAGAAATTGATACTTTGACGTCAGACATGGGGGCGAACCATAGGGCGAACACTGCAGTCATCATCTGAGCGGATGGCGCTGTCAGTGAACATCATGCTTGCAGGTCGTCAGGGTCAATAGTCAATCAGCACAATTGTCCATATTTTAAGTGTCATATGAAGATCAACAGCATAAAACCTGATTTATTATGCAATATTGTGTAATGATCAAAAAGTTCATTTTAAAATATCTTATATTTTCTTTTAAAGTTTAGGCACAGAATGAAGAATAAAACAGTAAATATGTTAGAATTAGTTAGTCATCAGCTACGAAAACATGAATGTTCAAAAGATGGCTTCATTAAGAGTAGGCTTTCTGTAAATCATTAATATTATGCAACAGTGTTGTTTTTTATCAAATACTGAAACAAAGACTTTGTTATACATTAAGCACCAATAAAAAATTGCATTTCTAGCTCTATGTCTTTGAAAATTGGCTGTTGCTTTAAAATTTTCTATTGACCACAAAGAAATGCTTTCACAGATAATAGACTTCATTTTCCATAAAGCAGTTTAGCAGCAAATGTTTATATACCCTGAAAACATGATTGACATTATCAAAAAACAAACATTAGCGCTAAAACAATTTTCCAAATTGATCTCAAAACATGAGAAGTTATGCATTCGTTTCATATCTTTATCAAAAATTTCTGTCATAAATAGTGCTGTCTCTGTTTTGATACAAAATGTGTCCTAGCAGAGAGATGGATCATCTTCCTGAAAAAATAGTTCATTATCCAGTTAGCTCAAAATAAATCACAAAAATAATCACTTAAAACATAAAATTACTTGTTTATCATTTACATGTTCATAAAATGTTCAAATTAATATTTGTTCTAATTCAAACTATGCAATTAGATGTACTCAAATTATTAATAGAAAAGATATAAAGTTGTTTTCTGCATGTGGATTATATATTAATGATTTGATAGGCTATGAACAAGTTACAAATAGGTATTATGTTTTTAATTCAGCATATTATAATATGCTGCGATGCATAATTATTAATCTTTTTATTGCTAACCTTTGCATGTTTTGCAAAACGTTGTGAAAATATATGTCTGTAGGGTGGAACTGGTCGCCTCTATATGAAACAGTTTCAATAATCAGAAAAATGGTGTTTGAAAAAATTGAAATGTAAGATTTAGGCTTGCACTCTTATTTAATTTTTCCATGAAAAAGCAAACACATTTGGAAATACTTTGTCATTGTAATCTTCAAATAGGAACTACCAAATGTTTTTGATCTTTCTTACTATATACTGCGGAATTCATAGATCTTATTGCAACATTCCTATGTTGCAATTGTCGGATTGGGACATAAGATTAATGAACCTCATTGTTTGAGATGATTGAAAAGAGAAAAGTTGGAAGTTCACAATATTCTTGCCAAACAAGAAAGTCTGTAAACTGTGCACCCAAGATTCAAAATTTGCATGCATAAAAGCCTAGTTATTTCCAAATTGTGCACTCAGATGCACAGTCAGTAGGTACAGTACAACTCTTGGCATTAACACGGGCCTTAACAAATTCACTAGCACTTTTACAGTAACACAAAACAAACCTCTAACTGCCAAGAAAGCCAGCATATGGGAACACAAGCAGCAAGCATCATCCCAAAACCAATAACAGTATTTCTTTTCCAATTTCTAGGTTCACACCACCAACCCCCTGATGGGGACCAGACATACTTAGGATATTCAAAACGTTTTCCTCCTCCCTACGTTATAAAAATTTCAATCTTGATAATTATTATTATTTCATCATCAATAAACTGCTTATTTCATCTTACCATGAATAACGCGTTTCACCAGAGTTCTTAAAAAGACAGTATGTATTGCACAAGACAATTGTTTAATTTTTATGATATCGGGAAGTGCCGTAGATGTACGTCAATATGCGGTAGCGGTCGTTTCCGAGCATTTAATTTGACAGAATGTGAGAAAATTGTGAAAATAAGAGAAAATGTCATTCATGAGCCTTCAAAATGGCGGAAACGAAAGATGAGGTAAGAGAGTTGAACATTTCATGTTTATTGTGGAAATTTTATCTCTTCTTCTATTGGAAAAATTTGCATAGAATCATCACGAAAGGATTATCATAAAAAATGTTTTGATTAATTTTTTTTCTCATCTGTTTTGAAAAATGGAAAATTAGTGAAATGTTTTGGAATTTATATTGTTATTTGTTTCGCAAAGTGATAATATTTAAATTTGATTTATGGGATTTTTTTATATGCAGTCGGCGTCTGAAAATATTTTAGCCAACAAAGGTAAGATATGAATGAGTGAATGTTGTTTAAAATGCTAAAATCTTAGCTGGAAAATTTTCGAGAAAACGTTTTCAAACCATGAATTTTAGTTGCTATAAATGAACGGGATTTTGAGCCTTTACCTGAACAAGAAGTTGATGATGAGGCTACAATTGATGAAGAAGAAACCTTAGAAGCAGGAGAAGGATTTAATCAAAATGAAATTAATGATCTGCAAAAGGTAAAAAATTTTTCACAATGTAATTTCACCGTTCTTGATAACGTTAATTTTGTTTTATATTTTATGACATTACCATCTTGCATGAAACATCTTTCGTATTGTTGGTATTTCTTTAGATGCAAGCATATGGCAAATTTTATGTTGTTTTCATTTATGTTATAAAAAAACCATAATCTTGGAATAAATAAACCATGACTTTTGACATGAACTTTGTTTGTAGATTTCAAAACAAAGTTATGCTGAATGAAATGAACTTTTGTAAATGATTGGTTGTCTGTTTTTATTATTTAGTAGCTTATATATGTTATTTGCGGGAGGTCCGTGTAGAAAAAATATTTTCACAAAGTCTCAAAGGTGGGCAAAGGCAAAGAGATGCTTTGAGACCTAGTGAAAATATATTTCAAGCATGAACTGACCTAAATGGTAAATAACATAGTTATTTTTGATTTTAACTATGAAGAAATTCACGTTGTTCAATGGTCAATGCGAAAAAAATCACCACTAACAGACCATAGACAATAGACATTTTTTATTTTTAAATGAAGCATGGTTGCTCTAATGGTTGAAGTTGTACGTATGTACAAGTATTGTACTGAATGTGAAGCAAGGAAGTATATATAATATTCAATATTTTTGTTTAGGATGCAGAAGTTCCTATTGAAGATCTTCTTGCTCTTTATTACACTCCTACTGATGAAGAAAGTGATAATGTTAAATTGGAAGATATTCAACCAGAACCATTGATTCATTATGATAATGATGATTGTGACGATGATGATGAGGAAGAAGATGATGATGATGGTGATGATGATTTAAAACATAATGGAAATTCTTCTCAAGTTGATATTCCTCAAGATATAGCACAGTCCCCACATTCTTCAACTTTACCTAACTGTAATGTAAATCCTCTAGAAAATCAAAGAATAACAAGAGGATGTAAGAAATGTTTTATTATTCTAACCAAATGACATATGAATGACCTTTTTTTAACATTTTGGTTGATGAAGTGAAAGCAACATTTTGGTCTTGTTCTAAATCATGTAAATGTTATGACATCATTGTTACCATAAATGTTGTTAAACTAGTCAGACTATGTTGTAAATGTTATGACATCATTGTTACCACAAATGTTGTTAAACTAGTCAGACTATGTTGTAAATGTTATGACATCATTGTTACCATAAATGTTGTTAAACTAGTCAGACTATGTTGTAAATGTTATGACATCATTGTTACCATAAATGTTGTTAAACTGGTCAGACTATGTTGTAAATGTTATGACATCATTGTTACCATAAATGTTGTTAAACTAGTCAGACTGTTGTAAATGTTACGACATCATTGTTACCATAAATGTTGTTAAACTGGTCAGATTGTGTTGTAAATGTTATGACATCATTGTTACCATAAATGTTGTTAAACTGGTCAGATTGTGTTGTAAATGTTATGACATTGTTACCATAAATGTTGTTAAACTAGTCAGACTATGTTGTAAATGTTATGACATCATTGTTACCATAAATGTTGTTAAACTAGTCAGACTATGTTGTAAATGTTATGACATCATTGTTACCACAAATGGTGTTAAACTAGTCAGACTATGTTGTAAATGTTATGACATCATTGTTACCACAAATGTTGTTAAACTGGTCAGACTATGTTGTAAATGTTATGACATCATTGTTACCATAAATGTTGTTAAACTAGTCAGACTATGTTGTAAATGTTATGACATCATTGTTACCATAAATGTTGTTAAACTAGTCAGACTATGTTGTAAATGTTATGACATCATTGTTACCACAAATGTTGTTAAACTGGTCAGACTATGTTGTAAATGTTATGACATCATTGTTACCATAAATGTTGTTAAACTAGTCAGACTATGTTGTAAATCTTATGACATCATTGTTACCATAAATGTTGTTAAACTAGTCAGACTATGTTGTAAATGTTATGACATCATTGTTACCACAAATGTTGTTAAACTAGTCAGACTATGTTGTAAATGTTATGACAACATTGTTACCATAAATGTTGTTAAACTTGTCAGATTGTGTTGTAAATGTTATGACATTGTTACCATAAATGTTGTTAAACTAGTCAGACTATGTTGTAAATGTTATGACATCATTGTTACCATAAATGTTGTTAAACTAGTCAGACTATGTTGTAAATGTTATGACATCATTGTTACCATAACTGTTGTTAAACTAGTCAGACTATGTTGTAAATGTTATGACAACATGATATTACAACATTTTCACAAGAGAATGATATATATGTATGTTTATGTGTTTTAATTTTTTATATTCTTATAGTGGCTGCTGCCTACCAATATTTTCCTGATTCTGACTCCTCATCTTCCGATGAAGATTATTCACCTGCTGAAGACTGGAAAAAAGTATTTTATTGTATTATTGTTGTGTTTAATTTCTTTCAAAGTAATTGCTTACAAATTCTCGTCATTTCATGTTGCTTATTTCACCCAAATAAGTACACTGTATTTTTATCTATGTGTTTGCAATTATAATTGTTTTTTTTGGTAACAATGTTAACTATTTTTATAAAAAGATGATAGTATTTAACAAATGAAATTATAATTTATCTAAACTAAATTTGCAAAACAAACATGTTGGAATTTGTAAAACTGTCCTTATTTGGAGAATTGATTTTATAGGAAATTCACGTTGGTCCTGAACATCAAGCTATTGTTCCTGAGACAACTTGCCCTCATAAAAATGAAAAAGGTGAATTTTGTACTAACCAATATTTCATTGTCTGTCTTTACTAACATGATGTAGCAATTATGCAAGTTTATACGTACCATGCACTCTTTAAATCATTACAAAGTATGATTTATTTCTTCACCTGTGCTATGTAAACCCTAAATCATTACAAAGTATGATTTATTTCTTCACCTGTGCTATGTAAACCCAAAATCATTACAAAGTATGATTTATTTCTTCACCTGTGCTATGTAAACCCTAAATCATTACAAAGTATGATTTATTTCTTCACCTGTGCTATGTAAACCCTAAATCATTACAAGGTATCATTTCTGTAGAAATTGTTTTTAAATTGAGTAAACAACGAGCAAACTTTAACAGCTGACTACGACAATGCGTTGATATTTATTTTTTATTGGAGCAAGTCCTAATATGTTACATGCATGATATTATTTCACAGATGACAAATACAACAGTAAATGTTTATGGAGCCCTAAAGGAATATCCCAACACAAATGTATGTACAAAAATTGAATGATTAAATATATGTTATCTTGAATATTTGTATCATGTATGATGTAATCTATGTTATTTGTGTAGTACAAAAATATATGGATACAGTTTGTGGGTCTGGTTGGGATGGTGGTACTACTGCTATTAGTAAAGGTGATGACGAACAGGTACATTAAACTTTTATATATTCAATTACAAATATTTCTTTTATTTTAACTTTGATTATAAATCATTTTGTTTACATGTTGATGATTAAACAACGTCAAATGACCATTTATTGATTTTCTAGGCACTATATGTACTTTTACAGTGCAATTACGATTGTGACGAAGCTTTGAAGAAATTTAAATCACAAACACCTCCCGCTCAAGGTACGTATGTAAAGTTTTTTTTCCTTTAGATTCTGTAGCTATGTATTATTTAAATTTATTTTATAAATACTTAATTTAGCGGTTGTTTTATTGAACGATGCATAAAACGCTGACTTTTGCCCCATTATTGTTTTATTTTTTTCCACATTTTGCAGCAATGACATTCTGGTCTGAAGAAGAGTGTCGTAATTTTGAACTGGGTTAGTAGTTGTTTTGCATTTGCGTTCATTAAATGGAAATTGGAAAAAAAATGTTGGTCTACGTTTAGGATTAAGACAGTTTGGGAAAGATTTTATCTCCATTCAACAATCTAAGGTAAACTTATATGAAAGAAATGTTCAATGCAAAACTACTCTAAATGTTTTCTTCATATGTTTGAAGATACCTGGTCGAACAGTTGGAGATATTGTACAGTTTTATTATTTGTGGAAAAAGACAGAAAGACACGATGCATTTTCTTGTCAGCTACGAAGCAAAAAGAAATATGCGTTTTATCCAGGAATTACGTATGAACTTTATTTATACTTATATTGTCAGTAAAAGAAGTCTTGTTTCCTTTTATTTCATATCCGTATTTTGTTTTGTTATAGTGACTATATGGATCGATTTTTTGATGAAAATGAATGTGCTGCATCCAGTTGTACAGCCAGTCCAGATCGTCTCCAGATTTCACAATCAATCAATGAGGAAAGCGTAAAGAGATCACATGATGATGACAATTCTTCGCAGTCTTCATCTCAAATACATCCTCAATACGTACAAACCCCAGTGATTGTCAGCCAAGAACCTCCTGCAAAAAAGCCCAATCTCACTCAACCACTCGGTATTCAAAATGGTCCTCCACCTTTGAAATCACGTGATTCGTTACAAGTTCCTCACGTAGTAAGCCACGTGACACATAGTGTTGTCATGACAGCGAATTATATGACCAGCCCGGTTACAAATCATGTTTTACACGCATCAAACCTTTCCAACTCAGCTGGAGGTCTTCATTATTCTCTGTTAGATGGTCAACATGTTAATGCCATGCAGTCTATTGAGTCTGGCAATAACTATCCACGTCTTACTCAAAACAGCTGAATTTCAATGTTTTTATTGCTTGACCACTTTGGCTGGTTCAAAGAATTAATCATGGCTGGCACATGACTATAGATGCAGCAAAGATTTAGTGTATGTTCTTAAGATGAAAGCTGGTTGAATATATAGATATTCATCTTTTGGCATTTGATGATAATCGTTTTATGTAAACAGATGTATTGATTTGTAAAGAATTTTACTTTGGTCGACAAAGTTTCTTTTCGTCTTGACGTAGACCGACAACACGTTATAGTCACGTGATTACTTTTGGAACAAAGTGAACCTAATGGAAGAAAGTGCTACTTAAACCGTCTGCTTTTTTAAACATTGAATAACGATCTTTTGATTTAAAAATGTTCCTTCAAATCACTGCACATCTGCAAGTGGTTTTACAGGATTTTCAATGTTTTGCATTAACGTTGATGTGAAGAGTTATAGATTGTGTATATATAAAACATAACATAGATTTGTCATTTTTTGACACACTTTTTGGGGTTCCTTACACGGTTTTTTTTGTAAATTATCGCATTGAGTAATACCAATGAATCTCGTTGGTCTATCTAGTCGTGAATATTTCCATGAAATTGAAAATTATTTTTCTTTTTAGTATTGGATTGCAGTGAAAATGGAATAAAATTTTCATAAAACTGTCATTTAAAATTTCTTGTTTCTCGCTGAAGACAAATAATTATGTGTTCATTTTCAATTATTAATTATATAAATATGCATATAAAATATATATAGGAAGTTTTTCGTTTATGATTTTTTTCCTTTATAGAGTGCTCAGTCTACATATGAGTAGAGCTATATATATTTATAGAAGAAAAAGTGATAACAGCACTTATCCCGACAATCCTGTTGGTGATCTCTCCACTTACCAAAATATTCTTTTATTAAAGCCCCTGATGAGTGAGCAATCACGAAACAGGCTTGTCTGGATAAAATTATAGTTGTTTTTATCTCTTTTTCTTTTTCCTTCACCATTGCACTATGGTGATAGCCGGGAGAGTAAAATATATACATATAAAATAAATTAATAGGAGAATATTCCTGGATAAAAAGCACTCAATATTAGTAGAGCGTTTGGCTCGTTTCAAACGTCGCATTTTATATGAGCCGAATACATTAAAAACAAAAGTAAATGAGATAAAATGCTTCATTATCTTTTGTTTTAAATGCATTCGGCTCATGTAAAATGCGACGTATGAAACAGGCATAAGATAAAATAAAATCGACAAGTTTTTGCTGTCGCTACTATAGGATTTTCACGCCATAGGGCTATTTTCAGGCAACGAACATCTTGAAATAATTGCTTTAATAGCGATTACTTACAAAACATTTACCTGATGCAGTAGTCTGCTTGAGGATGTTTTTACAATGTACACATTGCATAAATGATTACAATAAAAATGTTTGCAAAACTATGCTCTCATGCCTTCCCATAAACGAGTAAACATCTGAACCATGTCTTGAAACGCTAGGCTAACTCAACCATAGTTTTCTATAAATTTATCAATAACCAAGCTTTGATACTTCAATTATTATTGATGTGACAATAATGTCAACAATGTTTGTTTTGTGAGCCAAACGTCTTTTCTTAAATTTATTTCACTTTATATTTGATAAGTTACTTTTTAATGCTTCAAAAGTTCTTCTGCAACATAGTATCCAGCATATATGACACATAGCCACACCACAAACACATACACCAACAGGATCTAAAATAGTTATTTTTTATTAGTGAGTGAAAGCATATTGGCCATACTTTACGCAACAATAAAATTTAGGGTTTGGAACAAGTTATTAAGATTATACAAAGAAATTTTTTTACCAAATTAAGAACATTATAAACATAGTTTTTTCTCATTTTAAATGTCGATTTCCAATTCTACATTTCACAAATTTACTTGAAATTGTACCGAGTGCTTGAGGGGCCTGGAGATAGTTTACGTTGCCTAGGTAACACAACCAATGTGGTTGACGAAATGATGTAGTAATAAAATTTAGATTTTTGTTTGTTTTAAAATATTTACTGAAGTAAAGCAAAAACAAAAGTATGAATCGTTCAGACATGAAGAAGAAAACAAATATGTAAGTCACTGCCACTCTTCATTAAATGCAAATTGGATTTTATCTCCTTTATCAATTTGTTCAAGGACCACATATCTCCACTCTCCAGGGAGGATGGAGTTCGAATCCATGCATTTTACGTCCAATATCTCAGTTGTTCTGGCGTGCGATCTTATTTTCTGGTTTCGTACTTCTTCTAGTAATCAAAGAAACTTTTTTTAGCTTTTTCTGTGACATATCGAATAGATTTTTTTTAATATGGATTCAAAAAATAGTTGTATCATGCAGTGATTACTCATCACCTATCTATGGACTTTTTGCAAATATGTATTTTTTTGGCGTTGCTTGCCTACGTTGCACAGTGCAATGAAGTCTCTAACGTGGTGATTCATGTCAAATCTTTCAATAATTAGATAAATGTTATCTGTTAAAAGCATTGCTATTAAGCATGTTGAGTCCTTGACTGACTGACATACAAGATGACTGAGAGGCTGAGACTGAATCCTGAACATAGATAACTGTCTCATACATTTGTTTGTTAGTTATTGATGGTTTTTGTCTTTTGATTCCTTTTTAAATTATTACTTTGCTTTGTTGAGATATTTTGTCAATATTTTTTTATTACAGAAAGCAACAATTTAGTATTGCAAGAACAAGCAGCCATGGAATAAGTTTTGGTAGTCAACGAAGTCATAAAGGACGAGGCTCATACAGTAAATTAGGTGGAGCTTCTGGCAGTAAATGGAATGTTCATGAAAAAATGCATCAAAAGCAACCAATTGTGGTAATTATACTTATGTTTTAATTTCATTAATGTTTATAAAAACCATAAACTACAGTATATGTTCTTTTTAAGAGTCTTTTTACCATCAATAAACTTAACTGAAGCTTTCTTTTATTCATCAATCTGTTTTTATTATGACAATGTAAAGTGTTTACAGAAATCACTTTAAATGTTGGTTTTTGTAGGTTCTTGATGATATGGGAAATGATGTAACTCCTCAAAGTCTTTTAACTTTTGATATAAATACAGTGAAGTAAGCGGCAAAAAAATATTTGTGATCACAAAGTGTCAATCAAACATGAAATTTTGGTTCAAATAAGTAAAAATGTTACTTAATTCTTAGGGAATAAAACTTATTTATTGACATTTTGTCCTTTGTTTTCACAATGTATAATTTTGCATTTTTCGAGACGTGTCACTAGTAATAATGGTCTTTTTGGAAGCGAATCTATAGTTACGGTACGTGCCTTTTGCTTGGAGTTTTTTTATAGAAAGGCATGACTTATTTACTGACTACTTTGATCACTGTTGATTCTGGAGAAATTCTTGGTCAGGATCCTGTAGGATCTTGTAAGACTTTAGAGGATCCAAAATGTATAAGTCAACACAAGACTTTTGAGGAAGCTAAATGAGATTCTGTCTAGATCCTAAGCATGCAGTATCTATGCACAAAGTTTTCATCAGAGACACATTAAAAGATTTGTGAATTATGAAAGAATGCTTATAAAGTATTTATCACTCCATCTGTTTTTACTGCTGTAATATGTTTAGCCATCAGACCTGAGCCAATCAATTTATGCAGCCAGCAATGCAAGTTTCCTTGGAGGCTTTTCAGGAAGGTATGTGATTGGTTGAGAAAATTTTACACACGTGACATCAGTACAGTTGCGTCACAGGTTGCGTTGTTATTTTTGTCGAGAAATAAAATCATTTTTGGTTTGTTAAAAAATTTGATTTACTTTGACACATTGATTTTTTCATGAGCAAAAAATTGTGTCGAACAAGTGGTGACGTTATATAACGCATCTTAAACATGTGAAAATATTAAAATGAAATTTATGGTTTTATAGCAGATCTGTGATGGGTAGTGTCACTGTATCTGGATGGTCATCTCCTGAAGTAATAAGTGAAGACTTACACACAGAAGCTAACAGCAAGATTGGTTATGACACAAGACTTGTTGGTACGTAATTTATCTTTTTGTCTAAAGAACTTTACATTGTCTTATAAACCTTAAGTTAACTTACAAATGTTTTCAATGTTTTACTGTGTTTCTTTAAATATGTATCTTTTACTGTATTATTTTTATTTAAACATTGTTCTCCTGGTATCTGCCATGTCTTTATTTCCTTGATAAAGACCACAAGTGCATCTATATTTTTTCAAAAACCTGCTATTGATCTTAAACTTCGATGTTTAACTTTCATTTATAAATACAAAAACGTTTTTCTTAGAAATTGAAAGAAGATATTCTCATATAAAGGAAGACCTTACTACATTTGACCTAGACCAAATGGTATTAGATAAATATAATCTATTCCTACTGTTCGAATACGTGCGCGATTCGCTAATATTTAAATTGCTGTATAATCCCCCAGATCTATATTATTGTACCATTGCCACAATGCAATTAATTTATAAATGGTTCTTAAATTATCATTTTTCATGTTTAAATATTTCCATATTTACTTTCTCCATTCGTTTTGTTTTCATTTAGACAATCTTGACCATGTTTTGTTTCTTCCTTTTTCAGAAGACATTCATCGTTAATTTCATTTTTATATTTTTCAAAAACAGGTACATTTGTATCTAGATGAAACAGACACTATATGGTTGTTAGATATTCCTGGAACTAGTGTTAATGATGAAAGTGATATTGCGACAACTGTTAAAGATTTAAATAAACGCTATACTGAGGTATTTGATTATCTTATATCGTACTTCTCCATCTTTAATAAAATGTTAACTTTAACAATATTGTTTTTTCATGTTTCTTTCACCTATATCTATTTCAACATGCATGCAAGACAATAAATTTTATGCTTTTCAAGGTTTTAAAAACTCGCCCTGGAAATGATAGTTTTGTTGAGCGTGGAATGCAGACATTTAATAATGACGTGAAGAACAAAGAAATTCAAACATTACCTATTTTAAAAAGTGTAAGTCGAAATTTTTCACTTGCTATCATGTTAATGTTATCTAAGAGAGATTAATACTCTTTTAAAAAGTTAAAATATATGTTTTGGTCTTTCTGTTTTCATTTACGTCCTCATTTGTAAAATACGGTCTAACTTACGAGAGGTTTTGAGAACTGATATTTTTTTACGTAGCAAGGACCAGTGTCTGCTTACGTTATATGTGTCCTCTTACTGAAGAAGTGTTCGTAAATAGAGTGTGATCTACTTTTCAGGATAATGAAAACATGTCTTTTTGATCAAACTGTTGAAAGGTTATAATAGATGAGACGAGTTTTAACGACGAATCTCAGCTACTGTTGTGAAGCTATTCTAATCATGCCATGTTTACTGTTGTCGAACTGACGTAACCCTTCCCATCATGCCATGTTTACTGTTGTCGAACTGACGTAACCCTTCCCATCATGCCATGTTTACTGTTGTCAAACTGACGTAACCCTTCCCATCATGCCATGTTTACTGTTGTCGAACTGACGTAACCCTTCCCATCATGCCATGTTTACTGTTGTCGAACTGACGTAACCCTTCCCATCATGCCATGTTTACTGTTGTCGAACTGACGTAACCCTTCCCATCATGCCATGTTTACTGTTGTCAAACTGACGTAACCCTTCCCATCATGCCATGTTTACTGTTGTCAAACTGACGTAACCCTTCCCATCATGCCATGTTTACTGTTGTCGAACTGACGTAACCCTTCCCATCATGCCATGTTTACTGTTGTCAAACTGACGTAACCCTTCCCATCATGCCATGTTTACTGTTGTCAAACTGACGTAACCCTTCCCATCATGCCATGTTTACTGTTGTCAAACTGACGTAACCCTTCCCATCATGCCATGTTTACTGTTGTCAAATTGACGTAACCCTTCCCATCATGCCATGTTTACTGTTGTCAAACTGACGTAACCCTTCCCATCATGCCATGTTTACTGTTGTCAAACTGACGTAACCCTTCCCATCATGCCATGTTTACTGTTGTCAAATTGACGTAACCCTTCCCATCATGCCATGTTTACTGTTGTCAAACTGACGTAACTCTTCCCATCATGCCATGTTTACTGTTGTCAAGCTGACATTCCGTTGTTTCAGGATGTTGCGTGCATGGCAACATCATGGGATATGTATGACGTGTATAGTGAACTATTCAATGAAAATCAAGGTATTTATATGATATTATGACTATCTTATATGAAGTACGTGACCTAAAATAACTAGTATGGATCCACTGCTGAAAAAATATTGTTGATTTTTTAATTTTTTCATTTTAATGATGTAGAAGACAATGTCGAAGATCACGTGAGTCTTAGTCGACCAACCAGTGCTGAGAAAAATGTTGTAACTGACTTCGACGACGAAACTGCGTCACCTGCCGTTCAGACAGGCAGTGCTTTCTCTGGAAGCATGCTCAGTGGTAAAGCATGTACATTTGAGTAAACAATAACTGAAGATTTATTTATGAATAATAAAGATAGGGTCACGTGTCATGATGTGACGTTGATAATGAATATAATTATGATGTAATTTTTATTTTACCAGGTAGTCAAGTTAGTATATTAACAAAACTATCTGAAGACGAGGCTTTGAGTAAGGATGAGAAAAATAAAGAAGTGGAAAATGACGTTATTAATGATCCTAATCATCCTATACTTCAGGTACTTGTATATCAATGATCCTAATCCTATGCTTTCGCTAGTTTTATATCAATGATCCTAATCATCCTATACTTCAGGTAGTTATATATCAATGATCCTAATCATCCTATACTTTCGGTAGTTATATATCAATGATCCTAATCATCCTATACCTTCGATAGTTATATATCAATGATCCTAATCATCCTATACTTTCGGTGGTTATATATTAATGATCCTAATCATCCTATACTTTCGGTAGTTATATATCAATGATCCTAATCATCCTATACTTTCGGTGGTTATATATCAATGATCCTAATCATCCTATACTTTTGGTAGTTATATAATAATTTCTTTCTGAAAATAAATATTGGTGAATGATTTTGAAAATCCACATGTTTTGGTCGTGTTAAGTATATTTCAAATCATCATGAATAATTTATTGAAAAATCAATTGTTTTTACCCTGACTGATCACAAAAGACTTTACGTAACATGAAAAAATTGAATATTCTCTGCTCAAAGTATACCCATAGTTGTATGAACAGCGTTCTCGCCTGTAAATTAAATAATTTAAACAGTAGTTCTGCAGTGATGCTCTTAACGTTTTACTAAATAAGTTCATTAAGGCATCTCATTCAACAGTCAACATTTTCATTTTTGTAGTGTAAAGCCTTGAAGAATGATTTGTTTACAATGGAAAGAATTATTTCATTAAATACCTTCCAAGACCGTCAAGCACGTTATCGTGGTCTACAGCTTATTTCACGTATGTTTCTAACTATCGCTTTTAATTTTTTGTTTTATTTTAAAAAGAAAACAATACTGCCGATACCGTGCTACGTCATGCAAAACATACAACAACTTATTACAACATCATGCAACGTCGTACAACATTGTGTTACATCATACAATAACAATCAAAATCGTGTAACATGTAATATCGTGTAACATGTAACATCGTGTAACATGTAACATCGTGCAACATGTAACATCGTGTAACATGTAACATCATGCAACATGTAACATCGTGTACATATCGTGTAACATGTAACATCGTGTAACATGTGACATCGTGCAACATGTAACATCGTGTAACATGTAATATCGTGTAACATGTAACATCGTGTAACATGTAACATCGTGCAACATGTAACATCGTGTAACATGTAACATCATGCAACATGTAACATCGTGTAACATGTAACATCGTGTAACATGTAACATCGTGTAACATGTAATATCATGTAACAGCATCAAGCAACGCATAATTTTATCATGAGAAATAAATGATAATTACTGTTTATCTTATTCCTTTTACGATTATAGTATTTCAAACAGAAAAAATGATGTGTTGGAAAGTGATTTGGAAAAAGTTTCTTCACCAAGTGCCAGCCTTAGTGATCTCAGTCCAAACCTAGATAAATTATGGACATACGCTTGTTCAATAACGAAAGGCAGAAATGTTAGTTGTATGGCGTGGAATCCTCGAAATCCGGTAGGTAATGTTGTTATGTAGTTATTATTTATTCTTACCTGTTATATTGTATCAATATGTAACACCCTTCATACCTAACTAAGGAAAGAATTTGATGTTATGTACGTAGTAGCTTTACAAACCTTGTTATCACGTTATTGAACAGTACCTTCAAGAAAACTTTGTTGCTACTGACAAAAAACTTTAATTGTAGTTTTATAACAGTTAAAAATAACTTTAATTACATGATATGTGCTTCTATACTTATTATGTTTGTATGTGTTTCTTATTTTCAGGACATTTTGGCTGTTGCATATGGAGAGTTTAATTTTTCAAATCAAAAAAACGGAATTGCATGTTGTTGGTCGTTAAAAAATCCAGAGGTAAACATTGGAATAAAATATTTTTATTATGTATGTTTCTTGATATGTGTTGAAACATTTAGGATATGAGTAGACCTACAGTACGCGATATGAATCATGTAGAATAAGAGTAGACCTACAGTACACGATATGAAGCATGTAGGATACGAGTAGACCTACAGTACACAATGTGAAACATGTAGGATATGAGTAGACCTACAGTACACAATGTGAAACATGTAGGATATGAGTAGACCTACAGTACACAATGTGAAACATGTAGGATATGAGTAGACCTACAGTACACAATGTTAAACATGTAGGATATGAGTAGACCTACAGTACACAATGTGAAACATGTAGACATGTGTGGACCTAAATTGATACAGTCAGTTATACTGCTAATGATCATTTCAAAGTGGAATTATTTTATTTTTACTTTAACATTATCAATGTTTCTAGTATCCTGAAAGAGTGTATCATTTTGAAAGTGGTGTTATGACACTATCATTTTCTCGACTACAACCAAATTTACTTGCAGTATGTTCACTTTACATTTTCTTTAATCAATACTTTATGTGAGCTTTATAAATCCATCAATTTATACTTATTGTTGATTGTATGTATAAATTTTAATTTTAATTTTTTTACTTGTTTCATTGTTGTTCATGTTTTTATGTAGTTTGGTTTATACGATGGCACCATTGCAATTTACAATGTCCAAATTGTTACAGACTCTCCTGTTCTTGATAGTCTGTAAGGATTATAAATTTATAGCTACCATAGAGTTGAATGTCACAAATTTCTTTTATTTCTGTTCTGCGAAAGTTTTCGATAAATTCTTTTGTTTTTCAAAGTTTAATTTTAGAAAATTTGAAAGTTTAATTTCAGATTAATGAAAGACTCCAAAATTGTTGAAAGTACTTGGTTTTATTTTTGCAGTTTGCTATTGTGATGTTTGCTGTGTGTTTTAAAAATATTAAAATACTTTTTAATATGTTTCCTGTATATATGCAAGACCTATGTGTTAAATTTAGTGAAAGTGAGGGCAAGCATATCGCTCCAGTTTGGCATTTAAAATGGATCGTGCGAGATCAGAATAATGACAACGACAAAGACGAAATACTTGTTTCTGTAGCTGCAGATGGTCGGGTAACAAATTGGTCTATAAGAAAAGGTTTTGAATGTTCAGGTAAAAAAATGAAATTGAAATTATACCACTTCGTAGGCTTGTTTTGTTTAATCGCACTGGTTGGTCAGAAAACCATGTTGTAGCTACTGATTGGTCAGAATACCATGTTGTAACTACTGGTTGGTCAGGATAGCATGTTGTAACTACTGGTTGGTCAGGATACCATGTTGTAACTACTGGTTGGTCAGGATACCATGTTGTAACTACTGATTGGTCAGAATACCATGTTGTAACTACTGGTTGGTCAGAATACCATGTTGTAACTACTGGTTGGTCAGAATACCATGTTGTAACTACTGGTTGGTCAGAATACCATGTTGTAACTACTGGTTGGTCAGGATACCATGTTGTAACTACTGGTTTGTCAGGATACCATGTTGTAACTACTGATTCGTCAGAATACCATGTTGTAACTACTGGTTGGTCAGAATACCATGTTGTAACTACTGGTTGGTCAGGATACCATGTTGTAACTACTGGTTGGTCAGGATACCATGTTGTAACTACTGATTGGTCAGAATACCATGTTGTAACTACTGGTTGGTCAGAATACCATGTTGTAACTACATGTTGTAAATACTTTTTGATAAAAATACCATGTATTAACCAGAATGATCTATGTTTTCAATGTTTTTTTAGACCTGATGAAATTAAAACGCATTAATGTACAACGACAGCGAAAGAAATCTGCTGCTCATCATAAAAAATCTGATGCTTTAATATCACGTTTTGCTGCTGGATTTTGTTTCGACTTTCACCCAATTGAGAGAAACATGTAAGAATGAAATCATTGGTACTTGTGTGGTGTGTTTTGATCAACTAGGTACATCATTAATACTGAACATTTGATCGTTTTATGTTTCTGTGGGTATTTTGTAATCAACTAGGTACATCATTAGTACTGAACATTTTATTTTTAATGTTTCTTATTTTGTAATCAACTTAGGTACATCATTGGTACTGAAGAAGGTCATATTCACAAATGTTCTTGTTCTTATAATGAACAATATCTTCAATCATATGTCGGTCATACGGTCAGTTTACTTTCGCTCTAGATAAAAATTTGTTCTTTTTTTTTCCACAATATAATTTATTGTTAACCCACTCATTGTCAAACCATTCTTCTCATAAAATTTTTTAATCCCCCTACCCAACCTAAAAACAGCTGAGCTTGAAGGAAAGAAAAAGCTCAAACTTCCATGAACTCGTTTTACAGTAAACTTGACAACAGTTGAAGTTTGAAATTTCTTTTGCTAACTGCATTTCTTTTGTTCACTCTTTTTTTGTACATTATATTTTCTAGGGTCCAGTTTACCAATTAAAATGGTCACCATTTTTGTCTGACGTTTTCCTCAGTTGCAGTGCTGACTGGAGTGTAAAACTTTGGCATCAAGATTCAGCTTCGCCTATTTACAGTTTTAATTCAATTACGGTATTCAAGTTTTAATTTCTTCGTAAGAAAAATTGCATTACTAATGCTCAGGCTACGATTCAAACGTTGATTTTAAGATTTAATTCCATGTTAAAATCTCAATAAGCAAACATAGATATTTTATATTGCAACTGAAGTCAATCCTTTTGCACTGAAGATTTAACAATTTTATACCGGAGCTTTAAAAAATCCATCGTTTGATTTAAACGTGTGTCATTTCTTTTGATATTATTCAACATCGTGGTATTTCTGTTTTGTAGAATTCAGTAAATAGTATATGTTGGTCTCCTAGATCGTCTACAGTTTTTGGTTGTGTTCATGAAGAAACAATTGAAGTTTGGGATATGCGACAGAGCACGTCAGTTTAGATTTTGAATGTTCCAAATGTTTTAATCAACTCAGAATTCCTAATTACCATCATATTTTGAAAACAATTGTAGTTTGGATCCATTGATCATCAAGACACCATTAAATGAAGTTAAATTTTCTTCAATTACTTTTTCTATAAATTCCAACGTAAGTTGTTAGATAAGTGTAATTGAAAGAAAAGCTCTTTTCTTTTTCATTTTAGTTTTATAACTCTTTTTTTTTGACAAAGGAATGAATACTTCATGTATGCTATTTCTTCATCTCTTTCTTTTTTATTATATAACGCATCGTCATTCGTTCTTATTGATTTTCATTAGGCTGTTGAACAAAATGATGAGGACATCTTTCGCTTTATATTATTTGTTTTAAATTTTTAAATTAATTCAGAAGGAAAACTATGAACTAATTATTCTTCAAATTTTTTTCTTATTTAGAGTATTCTGGTCGGTGATTCTGATGGTCAGATAAATATTTATTTACTTTCTGGGATTAAAAATGCGTTTACTGAGGTAAATGTTTACACTACGTAGAACATTTTCTTCGTGTTCTTCACATAATTTTTTGAGTAAAAATATTGTTAGCTTTTTAAACATTCAAAGCACTTCCATCTCTACTTTTCAAATTTCCGTTTTTCTGCACAGGAAAATGATCTTGCCTCAATCATTAGACCCAATGTGGCCAAACAAATTACTCCACGTCGTTAGATTTTTTAAAAAACGTTTTATTTATTATGTTTCTTGTTAAATATATCATTGATTTAAGTACATGTATTGTTATTGAAAAATTTTCTGTTTTTAAATGATTTTGCAAATTGCTTCAAATGTTACATTTACTGTATGGAATATCTCATGTAAATAACTTTAACATTTTACTAGAAATTATTATAAATGACTTTTTTCTGGCTTTTCCAACATTTTACTCCTTCCCCCACATTATTTCTTCTTTGCGATTATGTTCCCCCTTCCTCAGTGTAAATCTCCCCTCAAAAAAAGGCTATGGTAATAACTATTATTATTATTTCCATAATTTCGTAGCTGCACGATTGAAATCAGACATATAACGAAGACGACAACTTTTTTTAATTTTGTAATGCATACATGTTTGGGCGAAAATATGCCATCTTTAGTGCAGTATAACGAATGAAATACTTACATACAGTTAATTTATAATGACATGTGATATATCAAGCAAAGCTGATGTTTAAATTATTAAAAAATGCAGGACCAAACTCACGTACTAGATAGTTTACGTATAGAAAAGACATCACTGATTACAATCTACGCAATATTACAAGTTGTCTGAATATTCCTATGCCTAGTACTAACTCCTTGAAGAAAAGCTTTGCGTATGATGGGGCTTCTGTTTGGAATTCAATTCCAGCAGAAATCAAAAATAGCAAAAGTGTATCACTTTTTCAAAAGAAAATTGCTGCTTGCATTTTATGATTTGGTTTAACATGTAACTAATTGAGTAAACTAAACTCTGTAAATATTTAAACTTATCTTTCTCTTCTATAGTTATTTTAATTCTTAGTAAATTTTGTAATCGCTTTTGAACAAAAGCACGCCCATCTTGGAAATCAACCCCAGTTGACGAGGCCAGCGTGTCAAAATAAAGATTTTCGTTCTTCATTCATTCATTCATTCATTCATTCATTCATTCATTCATTCATTCATTCATTCATTCATTCATTCATTCATTCATTCATTCATTCATTCATTCATTCATTCATTCATTCATTCATTCATTCATTCCATGGCAATAGTTACTCCACAACAACGTGCAGTAATCTACTTAGCTACATACGACTGTATGTTTCGGTTGTATTTCGATGGTAAAATTCTGTCTCAATTTTAACTAAATTTTGGAATGTTTCTATAAATATGGAAACTTTGAACACTAATGGCGATTGTGGTATTCGAAAGTACTCGATACAGTTAAAAACAGTATCAGGAAGTGACAGGTACAAGTGTTGAAGAATTTCGAATCACACGTGTGGCGTCACTGACGTGTTGCTACGGTTGCTACACCTACACGAATTTTTATCAACACCAACACGTGTTACTTGAATTTATGTATTTTTAGGCAATGGAAGAAAATGGAAGAAAAGCTGAGGTACGCAGTACTTCACTTTAAATTTTTGGGCTTACAAATTTTGTTTGTTTCTCAGATTGATCACATTCATAGTGATATCCATGGTAGCGAAAAGTGTGTGGTCACGTGGGGGGAAAACGAAACAATTTCTATTGGAGGAATATGACAAGAGTTTGTAAGCACTAGCCAATTTTTAATCATATATTTTTGCCATGCACTTTGTCTACTTAAGCCTGTTTGGACAAATGCATATCAAAGTCATGAACACTTTTTACGCCACTTGTAATATTTCATACTCCCATTCGCACGAATATATTTTCGTTTCGAAAAATATCGCTTCGCGCGAAAAAAATCGCAAGTGGAAGTCCGGCGGCTTAAACCACACTTCACACTAACGTTGCGCGAGGTTGATCATTCAATGCAAGAAATTATTGAAGTCATCAAGTTACTCAGGAGTAAGAAAGGTTAATTATTTCATTTTGTTACGAAAAACCCGTAGTTATGGGCTGCCTATGATTGCATGAGAAATTAAGAATATCTTTGCTTGTTGTTCAAGAGACAGAATATTCAAACTTCGTATGGATTTTATTCTTAATAGAAACTTTGAGGTTAAATTATTCATCATGCTAGTTCAATTTGGAATTTTCACATACTGACATCGTACACAGAAATAAACAAAAATATCTGGATCCTAGACTTGCAGCAGCAGCTGCTGAACAGTAAACACTGCCTTGCAGTGAAACTTCTGTTCGTTCTGGCAAAAAAACCGTTTAAGAAATATGGAAATAACTTTATGATTTTGCTTAAACATACTTAATCCGGACTATTGTACTTGAGTGTTTTTAAAACGTTTTCAATTTCATTTTTTATAATTCATGTTCTTCAGTGCTTGATCTGCAACTGAACTGCACTCAGCAACTTAGCATAAGTGTGTATATTAAGAAATAAAAGATTTTTACTGTGTTTACACAGCCTTATAAAATTGAGAAGACCTTTGGATAAATTCTGAGCTGATCATTGTAAGCCTTACACAGAAGGTGGAGATTTGCACCTTCTCAAGAGTCCAAACATGAAAAACATCTTTTATTTCTTTTTTAAAATAGAAATAATAAGAAACAGATAAATTTGAAAGAAAATAAAATGTTTGAATTTTTCCTGATGAGTGTATTCATGATTGATTTGCAAATTTTCTCGGACTAATTTAATTTATCGAGGTGATCGGTTTACACAGGCTTAGCTCACTTATGCAAACACAGTTATACCTGTGCAAACTCATGTTTAGAACAATAAGCACATGTGTTTTATTGTGTTTGATATGTTTAGACCAATCAGAACATGTGTTTTATTGTGTTTGATATGTTTAGACCAATCAGAACATGGGTTTTATTGTTGTTATTGTGTGATAAATAAATATCATTTTCAATATGTAACTATTTTAAACAATAAAAGTTGTCCACATACAAAGAAATTGTAAATAAATTATATTAATTTTTTTTGTATTTACAAATTTTTTGTTTTATCTAGGATTCCATTGTGGTAAATCAAGTTTTCACAATGGAAGGTCCCGTTAGTGAAGTTTATGTTGAAGTCAATGGGGTTGGATATAAAATCACTAATACAAGTACAAAAATTTCATTGAATGAATGGCTACGAGCTCAACCTGGTTTGAAAGGTTATTTAACTTACCATTTTGTATGCATTCAGTGACGTAGTAAACCTGTAAAATTGGTTCAGCTTTGTTAATTCTTTAGTTTTCAGTCACTGTAAAAACAACAAATTTCTAAAGAAATGAATAATGCTAATGTCTAAAATTTACATAGCAGGACCAAATCATGTGGGCTGGCTATGCCACTTTATGCAATGGTGTTTAAAGAATCAATAGACTATCTATATATTTGTTTTATTTTCACTCAAAATTATACAAATGTTACTGTAACAGGAATCAATGTAATGCATTATAAAAATTTTTGTTTATTTTCTCAATAGTGGTCATAATGTGGATAGTTTAGCTTTATCAAACGCAAAATAATGTTAGTTTTTATAAGAAGATAATGCAAAGTTATTATTGTAGGGATTAAATGAGATAACAATGATTGTTTAGGAACAAAGGTTACATGTCAACAGGGTGGATGTGGATCATGTGTGGTAGCATTAACAAAACAAGATCCTGTTACAGGAAAACATAAGACAATTGCTGTCAATAGTGTAAGATAATCATGTGTGTATTATGTCATATTCATCATTCTCAAAATATACAGATTGAAGTAAACATCTTTAGATTTATTTCATGGATTATTTAATTGTTTTTCACTCTTAAAACAAGATTACTTCACTGAGTTTGTTTATATTTTGATTTTATTGATAATATTAGCAAACAGTATGTGGTTTGAATTTTTATTGATAATGCATGTTTGTCATGTATTGTATAGGTTTTACTTACATCATAATGATTGTAACAAAGTCATCATACAAAATGAAATTGATATAGTACCATAATTTATTACAATACACAATCAATAAAATGACTTTCATTGTAGTGTCTAATTCCATTATATGGTGTGGATGGTTTAAAAGTCAAAACTATAGAAGGGATTGGCAGGTTTGTTGTTCAACACATTATATAACCTTTAAAACACTGTGTACATCATCAATTGTTGACCTAGAAACAATATTGCAGTATTTTCTTGACTTGCGGTATCTTTTTAGTTGATTGTACTTAATATACTTAATGTTGTTAGCAAGATACACAATGAAACACACATAGTGTTTGTTGAATTAAATATACTTTCTGACCGTTGCTGACTTTCAAGGTATAAAGGCATGTCATAAATTTCCATTAAATGACATTTCATAGAAATTAATTACAAAGTAACTTTTAGATACAAGCTTGCAAATACAAACAAATTTTTTTTATAATACACCATAGCAGTCGTGTAGGTTATCATCCAATCCAAGATCGTATAATTCATTCAAATGGAAGTCAATGTGGATTTTGTACACCTGGAATGGTTATGAATATGTATAGGTATGTAGTGATTTTATTGTACACCTGGAATGGTTATGTATATGTATAGGTATGTAGTGATTTTATTGTACACCTGGAATGTTTATGGAGATATATGTACAGGGTGTATAATAAAAGTAGACTTTTGAAAATAAAGCAGAACGTTTGGTTATTCTAAGTATTTTAACGTTCTCTGGTATAGCTGTTATTGAAGCATTTTTTCATTTTTAGAAATTTCATCACAAGCTGAGCCAGAGAATGTTAAAGTACTTAGAATAACAAAAACGTTTTGTTTGTAAATGATGATCGTCCAGGTTAATAAAGTTCTGAGAGTCCCAAAAATTTTTTGACTCTGAAGATGACTACCGCTAAGGTTGTCGAAACGTCACTCAACAACAACAAAAACAGTCCTTCTCAGGACTTTATTAACCTGGATGATCATCATTTACAAACATGTAACGATACTCCCGGGTTCAAACCATTTACTTTAAAAAGTTTTTGCTTAGCCTGCGTGTGTCTTTTTTTAGAGAACTTTTTCCTAAACTTTACTTTTTTTTTATACACCCTGTATAAGTACCTATGTATGTAGTGTAGTCAGGACACCTGGGATGGGTACCTACGTATGTAGTGTAGTCAGGACACCTGGGATGGGTACCTACACGTATGTAGTGTAGTCAGGACACCTGGGATGGGTACCTACGTATGTAGTGTAGTCAGGACACCTGGGATGGGTATAAATAACTAAATATAGAACAAAAATGTTGAATTTTTTATCGCATTGTATGAAACTAATAAATTTGATACTATTTCATCACATTAATAGTTATATTTTATATTTTTGAGTTTGTTGTGTGAAAACCCATTACCAACTAAACAAGAAATTGAAGACAGCTTTGATGGAAATATCTGTCGTTGCACTGGTAGCTATAAATAATGTAATACCTCATTTGTAACAGTTATCAGTCCATACAGGTTACAGATATCTTTCCTATCTGTAACCTGTATCTTTTCTATCTGTAACCTGTATCTTTCCTATCAGTAACCTGTATCTTTCCTATCTGTAACCTGTATCTTTCCTATCTGTAACCTGTATCTTTCCTATCAGTAACCTGTATCTTTCCTATCAGTAACCTGTATCCTTCCTATCAGTAACCTGTATCTTACCTATCTGTAACCTGTATCTTTCCTATCTGTAACCTGTATCTTTCCTATCAGTAACCTGTATCCTTCCTATCAGTAACCTGTATCTTACCTATCTGTAACCTGTATCTTTCCTATCTGTAACCTGTATCTTTCCTATCTGTAACCTGTATCCTTCCTATCAGTAACCTGTATCTTTCCTATCTGTAACCTGTATCTTTCCTATCAGTAACCTGTATCTTACCTATCAGTAACCTGTATTTTTCCTATCTGTAACCTGTATCCTTCCTATCAGTAACCTGTATCTTTATTACTGCTTACTAGCTAATAATCCTAATATTCAGTTTTTGGTTATCATTCTTTGTTGACTGTTATCAAGTAGACTGTCATCTGGTACTATCCAGTATCCAACAAAGTCGTATCTTGTACATCCCTAATCTATCCTACCATCAAAGTTTTTTACATTTATTTGATACATACTGTGTATGTTTTTTATCAATATTCAACTTTGACTTTGACTTTTTGACTTTTCAAGGTTATCGTCCTATTCTTGATGCCATGAAGTCTTTTGCACAAGATGAAAATCCAATTGATATTGAGGTAGGAATTTCGTGGTTGCTAATTTCTTTATTTTAAAACTGTTTTGTTAAAATGTTAAATGTGTTATTCCTGTTTAGCAAGTGCACTTAATGTTGTAAATTTTTTTATTACCAGGATCTAACTAAATGTAAAGGCACTAAATGTCAAGAGAAATTCAAATCCTGCTTCAGTTGTTTTGATGTAACAAGTACAGCTTCTCCTCTTTGGTATAAACCTTTATCTCTCACCGATCTCTATAACATTCTGAAAGTACATTCGTCAGATTCAGTTAGATACATTGTTGGCAACACAGGAAAAGGTGAGAACGTTGACTTTAATTGTTTTTTATCATACATTGACTGCATTCACTCAACTCTATCAAGAATAAATAAAGTTTGATTTGTTTTATATGAAAATTTTAGGAGTTTACAAAGATGATGACAATGACATCGATGTTTACATTAATATTGCAGACATTCCTGATTTGAATATCATCAAGGTGCACATACATACATACGCCCTTAAATCCATACAAAACATTCCAACAACATTTGTTATAAATTTTGTCAATCATTTATAGGAATCTCAATCATCTTTACTGTTAGGAGCAGCTTTGTCATTAAGCACTGTGATTAACGAATTGATTGTTCGTTCTTCAAAATCAAAATCTTTTGATGTTTTAACCTCTCATATAAAAAAGGTATATTTTGTTCAATTGTTTTCTAGAGGACATAAATGTCATAATGTTTTAATGGCGTTTGGAATAGATTGAATGCTTTGAACATATTCATTTTTGGCATAAAACAAGAATGTTAAATGTTTAAGTTTCAACTTTAAAGTCTTTAGAAATCGCGACAACTTTAACCACCTTATACGTATTAACATTCCTTGCTTCAGGTGTTTTTGTAGTCTTGTTTTCTTGTCTAGGTTGCCAGTGTTCCTGTGCGAAATGTAAGTTGATGAAAATCCAAATTGATTTATTGTTCAATACCAGAATTAATCTCCTTTGGAGGAGAAGTTATTTGCTATCGTAGTTCGTCACGTGATATTTTATTTCGGTTTTATAAGATTTTTTATTCATGTGAAGGTTGGTTCATTTGGTGGTAACTTAATGTTACTTTACGAACATCGAGAATTTCCATCAGACATATTTACCATCATGGCGGCCGTTAATGTATCTCTAACAATTGGTATGTTGGTGTGTATGTAAGAAGTCCTTGGAAAAACTCATAAGTTCTTGTATATTTGTTATTGTCAAATGATAATAGAGAAACATGCCCGAATTTTCACTCCTGCTGTATGCACATTTTTCAAGTAAAGTTTAATTAATTTTTTTGGGAAAGTAATTCCAATGAATGATATTGTGTACATGTTTACATGTTATGGCAAACATAGTATCAAAGTGTAAACAGAAGTTTGACAAAAATAAAACAGTTAATTCTTTCATAAATTTCAGGTTCCGTTGATGGCTCTATAAATTCATATTCCCTTGAAGAATTTCTTTTATTGGATATGAAAAACAAGGTGAATTTTACATGTTTATACGTGTTGTTAAAATCCTTAGTTCGTGTGTCATTTGTCTTTTTGCCAATATGATGAGCTAGCAAAAGATACTTCCAGTAACACTTGCAGAATATTTTTATCTCCAAGGAATCTGTGCAGCATCAGAAAATGTTTATAAATATGTATTACTTATACTTAAACACTGTTATTAAGATATATATATGTATATATTGTAAGGTTTTAATTAGTGTGGAAGTACCATATTCTATCAAGAATGAAGTTGTTTCAACGTTCAAGATCATGCCAAGACATCAAGTAAACAACATTAATGTTTTTATCATTATTCATATTCTTTGGATACTTTTATCTCGTTAAGATATAAAGTTGTGTTCAACGATACGGCGCCGTTATGTTGATGAAGGTTTTTTAACAATGTACAAATAAAAAATGTCATTATTACTTATTTTATGTGACATGTCTTTATTGTTAAAGTTTCTCAACGTGAATAAGTAAAAAATAAGAAATTGGATTGCTAAACTTTATATACCTACGATGTATACTGACAATAACAATAGCTATTGATGTTTTGATGACCACGTTAAAGATTTTTGCGTTATTGTGTTCATTGGTTATAGAATTGTGGTTCTTTTCATAGAATGCGCATGCGTATGTAAATGCTGGCTTCAGAGCAGTTGTTGGTTCATGTTTAACAATTCAAGATACGCCAAGTTTGATATTTGGTGGAATAAAACTTTCTCCGGTGAGATTTTCATTTTGGGTGAATGGAAGCTTTTGTGTCTATTTCATAACAATGAACTTTGTAGTTTCTTGCTAAAAATCTACCGTACCTTTGTATAAAGTCATGTTCTTACATACAACTTTATGCTTGAACAAATAAAACAATTTTTTATCTTATTTCAAATTGATTTTTCCGATGTGATCGCATTTTTTGCATATTTTACTTCAGCTGTTGTTTGTTTTCATGCTTTGTAATGCAATTTCAGAAGGCCGACCATTCAGTTTTTTTCTTAGCTTCGTGCGAGGGAAACTGAAAAATATCTTTCTGGAAAAAATCTTCTCGATGCTTCCACTTTTAAAGGTATAAAGCACTACATCTGTTAATTCATTAAAAATTTTGTTTTGCTTTATGACTTTATCTTGACAGATGCCTTAGCCATTTTAAAAAAAGAAATATCGCCGGATTCATTTCCCACTTTCACTTCTGTGAAGTATAGAAAAACTGTTGCGTTAGGTTTGTTTTATAAGGTAAATGTCTGGTCTTAAAGTCAGTTTTATTCTTCATCAAATCTGTTCCAACTAGAAAAACATCCATCTTGTTCTGGTTAAACAAACACCTGTGATGTAACTGCTATGAGCTCTGGGTGGGCGCAGCCACGGGCATCCAAGCAATCAGCAGGCATTTGGGGAGGGGGGGCACCCTAAATGTCAAATGGTGTTATTTACGAAAATTGAGATAAAAAGTAGGTTTATATTTCGGCAAGTGCAAGCACAGGAAATTTCGTATTCATTATTCAAAATCATTCATGAATTTTTGTGTGTGGAGGTAAATTGAAATCTGTACTTGGAATTTTTTTGTATATCAATAAGAACAGTTATAACATTGTGCCTTATTAACGATTATTAATTAAGAAGATTGTTAGATTTGGGGGGGGGGGCAGCTTGGTTTGAACTTACGCCACTGATAACTGCCTCTCTTGTTCTGTGTCAGTCCTGTTCCCGCCAAATACATACTCACATTTGCAACAACCACGTGACTTTATTGCCTACCAACTTTTTAAATATTTGTGTAACCTGTCAGCATCCTTGTTTCAAGTCACGTTATTTAACATACCACCATCCATAATGTTGTCACAAACATATACCTCTCAAAATGTTGTTTTAAACTTATATTTTGTATAAAATAACCCATTCTCTAGAATTAGATGGGATAATGAAAAGTTCTTGAAGTGTATGTTTTTGTTCTTTAGTTTTATCTTTTGCTTCTTGGAGATAAGGCAAGTGCGAGGGTAAAATCCGCTTCCTTGCCATATATTCGACCGATTTCTTCAGGAAAACAGAGTTATGACACTGATGCTAGTCGCTATCCACTTACAAAACCTATGACGAAGATTACTGCGAAGTATCAGGTTCATTTTTATGTTGAATAATTCATATTGTATTTGATAGTCAATTTTATTTATCTCTGCGAATTATCTTGAATTATTTTTCGTGCATGGCAAAGCTCTTGTGAGTGTGAGCTTAGCTTGTTTACTTGTTTACGAAATTTCCACGATATGACATTTAATTTACCAATTCAAAACTTTTCCTGTAACTTTGTTACATAAAGTCTTCATCAAAACACTCTATTGCATAAGACTAAGTTATTAAAAAAATACGCGAGAGAAAGTTTCAGTTTTCATGTTTTGTTGTAAAGTTTGACCAATAATGTTTTTATTTTTATCTCTGTGTTGTGGAATGAAAAACTATTTTAGACAATCATGTGAAATAATGTAAATTATTTATTAACTTCAGGCATCTGGTGAAGCTCAATATACAGACGATATTCCAAAACAAGATGGTGAAGTTTACGCTGCATTTGTTACTACAACAGTGGTGAATGAATTCTTTCTTTGTAGTTAAATTAACTCAAGAGAAGTTAAGAAAAAGTAAACATGACCTTTGTTTCAGGCGAATTGTAAGATTGGAAATATTGATACGTCCAAAGCCATGGTACGTGTGATCGTTTTTTTGTGGATTGTAATGATCTTCTCGCTGCTCGTAATGATCCTTTTGTGGACTGTAATGATCCTCTCGTTGTTCGTAATGATCCTTTTGTGGACTGTAATGATCCTCTCGTTCGTAATGATCCTTTTGTGGACCGTAATGATCTTCTCGTTATTCGTAATGATCTTTTGTGGACCGTAATGATCCTCTCGTTCGTAATGATCCTTTTGTGGACTGTAATGATCCTCTCGTTGTCCGTAACGATCCTTTTGTGGACCGTAATGATCCTCTCGTTCGTAATGATCCTTTTGTGGACTGTAATGATCCTCTCGTTGTTCGTAATTATCCTCTTGTGAACTGTAATGATCTTCTCGTTGTTAGTAATAGTTAATCATTGTCCAATAACCGGGAATTTAATTTCCTAATGTTCGATTTTAGGCAATACCTGGTGTTCTCAAGTTTATATCAGCTGAAGATATTCCTGGTGTAAATAACTTTATTGCTTCGGCTTCTTCTTATGAACAAGTGTTTTGTGATGAAGAGGTTGGATATGCTGGACAAGCTGTTGGTGTCATTGTTGCAGGTAAAGTATGGAAGATGAGGAGATAGTGATATTTTCCAATGTAAATGAGTAAAGTAAGAAATATACGCAGTTTGTGCATGATAGAATATTTTTATTCAATAAACTATCAACCCGAGATGATCTTATTTTACATTAAATGTATTGATGTAACATTCCAATGTTTTTGTATTTAGAAACTCAAAGTATTGCTGATAAAGCTGCTGAAAAAGTTGAGATTACCTACACTGAGTGTAAAAAACCAATTATTACTATAGAAGATGCCATAAATGCTAAATCTTTCTTCACGGATGAAACTGTAAACTACACGTATGGAGATACTGACAGTAAGAATTTCTTGTTATGCATTGGCTATATTTGTGTCTTTTTGTGATGATTTCGACATGTTTTGTTTAGTTTTGTGATATATTAGCCCTGTTTGTATATTCTGCAATTGATATTGTTGAGATTTTAGAGGCATTTGCGGAATATTGAGAGTCCTGCTTAGTTTCTTCCGTCTTTCGGTTTTTTCATCTTTAACCCTATCCCTGAACTAACTCAAGAGATTCACATATCGAGCAACATGCAGAAATGAAGTGATGTTGAAGTTTTATTCACATATCGAGCAACATGCAGAAATGAAGTGATGTTGAAGTTTTATTCACATATCGAGCAACATACAGAAATGAAATGATGTTGAAGTTTTATTCACATATCGAGCAACATGCAGAAATGAAGTGATGTTGAAGTTTTATTCACATATCGAGCAATATACAGAAATGAAGTGATGTTGAAGTTTTACACCAATTGCAGATGTTTAAAGTAGTCTATGAACCTTCAATCCAAAAATAAGACATTGCTTAAGTTCATTAGAGCCATCAGTTATGTTTTTATGTCAGGTGCGATGAAATCAGCAGATCACGTGGTTAATGGTGAGATTTCCATGGGAACGCAACATCATTTTCATATGGAAACTCATGTATGTAAAATCGTAAATTTTTATCAAGACTGTGACCTGTCTATCGTTTATTCTATGAAAGTAAGCTTCTCGAAGATTTACGAATTATTTACCCTTTTTTAGATAAGTTTATGCATTCCTGGTGAAGAAGAAATGGAAGTTTTTGCTGCTACACAGTGGATAGAAAATACTCAAGCTGCCATTGCTCAAGTGTTGAATCTTCCTCAGAAAAGGTAAAAGATTACGTAGTTTTTTGTGATTTCTAACTGAGCCACATAATTTTTTTATCTTCTCAAGTTAAATTGCTTTATCAAACATTTGAAGACATTTTGATTTCAACAATACACCAACTTATATACTCCTCATTTCAGTATGTACCTTTCTATACATTTCAGTATGTACCTTTCTATACATTTCAGTATGTACCTTTCTATGCATTTCAGTATGTACCTTTCTATACATTTCAGACCTTTCTATGCATTTCAGTATTTCACATTTCAGTATGTACCTTTCTATACATTTCACCTTTCTATACATTTCTGTACCTTTCTATACATTTCAGTATGTACCTTTCTATACATTTCAGTATGTACCTTTCTATACATTTCCTATACATTTCTATGTACCTTTCTATACATTTCAGTATGTACCTTTCCTTTCAGTATGTACATTTTCAGTATGTATGTATACATTTCAGTACATTTCGTTTCCAGTATGCAGTATGCTATACATTTCAGTATGCAGTATGTACATTTCAGTATGTACCTTTCTATACATTTCAGTATGTACCTTTCTATACATTTCAGTATGTACCTTTCTATACATTTCAGTATGTACCTTTCTATACATTTCAGTATGTACCTTTCTATACATTTCAGTATCCACGTTTCTTGCAAACGTTGCGGTGGTTCTTTTGGAAGTAAAGCTTTACGTGAAGCAATGAATTCCACAGCTTGCGCTTTAGCTGCATATGTAATGAATAGGTTCGTATAATTTATAATAATTATTGTGAATAAATCTATGATGGATTTTGATCTTTTACAGACCTGTTCGTTTGAGAATGAATTTGAGAACAAACATGACTATGGTTGGAAAACGTTTTCCTTATATTGCAAAGTATAAGGTATTTTTTCTTTATTACTACCTTCCACAATTTACAGTACAACTTAAAATGCCTTGAATGAACTTAGACGTGTTGGAAGTACGATCTTTCTAAGGAAACACGACATGGAATGTCTATATCATGCTTACGTAGTTTAAAGGCAAACTTGATTAAATTAAAACAAGTATAAAATAAAACAATATAAAGTTGATGATGAATGCATAAGAATAACTCTCATACACAGAAATGCGTCCGTCATTTACACTGTTTCTAAATCATTATTTATTCATTATTATACATCACGAAGTACATAGGAACAAACTGTGAGGATAATTTCATTGATTAGGTCGGTGTGAGTAAAGAAGGAATATTAAAAGCAGTTGAGCTTTCGGTGTACTCAGGCTGTGGTCTTGCTACGACAGAAACATTATTACCTTATATGTCTACGTTTGTCGACAATGGTACGTCTAGATTTTTGTATTGGATATTTTCATTATTTTTATTATACCAATCCTGTTTCTTTTCGGAGAAAGTCGGAAAAACCTTGAAGTTAAAATACGATATCATTTTTTAGCTTACTTTTGTGAAAACTGGAAATTTTTTGGAGTTCACTGCAAGACAAACACCGCTACAAGTGCAGCCACTAGATCACCGGGTATCTCAAAAAATCAGTTTTTCTATAAAAATTCTCTTGTGGAGTTCTTTAATCCTTTTTTTCTGCTCACTCTTCTTCACTTCGTAGGAACTATTCCATCGATATTTATTATCGAAACAGTCATGAATCACGTGGCAAAGGTGCTGGGTAAAAGCCCGGATGTAATACGTGAGATAAATTTTTACAAACAGGGACAGGTGAAAATAATTATATTTCTAAATTTTAAAATGTATTTTGTCTTTAAACAATGTTTCACAGTGTTTTAGTCGTATTAATAAAACATATTTTATGGGATAATTGGTAAATCTTTGTTGCTAAACATAAGATTTTTTCTTATGTAGACAACGTTTTATAAACAGCCTCTTCCATACTGCAGTATTTCAAAAATATGGCAAGGTAAAATGAATAATATACTAAACTCAAACAAACACTTTTTTAAAAACATCGTGTTTTTAATTCCATAAATAAATGTTCTTATTTCAGATTTAAAAATCTCAGCTGAATTTGAAAAACGTAAAGCTACAATTGCTGACTTCAACAAGGTTTTTGTCAAATACAACAGTGTTTGTTTATGTTAGAGTTTGCTTATTTGTGGCACAAATTAAAGTTTATTGCTCCAAATTTTCCGTGTCCTCTTTTCTTACAGTCATGGCCATGTTTTGTTGTTTATATGTTTGGTTTGTATGCATATTTGTTGCTAGGAGTGTCCACTTTAGTTGCTAGGAGTGTCCACATTAGTTGCTAGGAGTGTCCACATTAGTTGCTAGGAGTGTCCACATTAGTTGCTAGGAGTGTGTTAACATATTTCGTAACTAAATAACCACGTGACTTCATACTTGGATATCTGTTATCTCAATGTTTGTTACTTCAGTTTTGATATATGTCAAGTGCAATTTTATTTTTAGTCAAATCGCTGGCGTAAACGTGGTATAAGTATGGTACCATTACGTTATGGTGTAGAATGGTCGGGTTCCCAGTACACAGCTTATGTTGCAATATTCCGTAAAGATGGAACGGTCTCAATTTCTCATGGTGGTGTTGAAATGGGACAAGGAATTAATACCAAGGTTAACGGAAATACAATCAGCTTTTGCCTTCATACACATGCCTTCATACATTTGCCTTCAGACACCTGCCTTCAGACACCTGCCTGCATACACCTGTCTTCATACATCTGTCTGCATACATCTGTTTTCATACACCTGCCTGCATACATATGCCTGCACTGCTAGAATGTTGCAATTTAAAAATCTGTTCTAGGTTTGTCAAGTGGCTGCATATACTTTGGGTTTTGGTTTGACTGTAGATCAAATTTCTGTGAGACCAGCGACAAGTTTCATGAATCCGAACGGTAGTAAATCCACATTTCAATAAACGTATATCTTCAGTAAATTTTTTATCCAATATGTTTTATTTTTATCCATTTTTATCCATTTTTATCCATAGGTTCCGCTACATGGGCGAGCATAGGCAGTGAACTTTGTTGTAAGGTGTGGTGCGTCGTCTAGCCTTACCATGTTTTTACATCTTGACTGCAAATTTTTCAGCAGTCGTTAAAATTACTTTAGTATTTACAGAAAATTGATTTTGTTTATTTCCTGTAAATGAACACAAACATATTTGACGGCAGAAGTAAAACAATTGACTAGTCTGGTCACTGTAATTTTTAGAATTACCTTATTTTAGTCCCCAGAAGGACCTAGGTGTTTTTAGACAAAAAGTTAACAATTAAATAGATTTGACACTTTTAACTAATCACTGTTTTAGACATAATCATCTGATGACACTAGTAGCCAATCACTGTTTTAGACCAAGTCATTTGGTGACAATATTAGCCAATCTCTGTTTTTAGACCAAGTCATGTGACTAATTGTAGCATTGCATCACTTAAATGACTTCTTAATCATTGTTTTAATGAAAATATGAACATGTTGCAGGCTGTTATCAATTGTTGTACTGCTCTCAAAGAAAGAATTTCTCGTGTTGCTAAAGATATGAAGCCTGGAACGAGTTGGAAAGAGATCATTGCTAAATGTTACGATTCAAAAGTTGATTTGTCCGAAAAGTACAAGTATGGAAACGTATCTTGTTTTATGATTATTTACTCTTATCTGTTGGCATTACTTTATTTTGATTATAGTCATATTTTATAAGGTGCAGGAAGAAAGAATGTATCAACAGCGTATCTGTATTATTTTTTTTTTGAGGTTGTTTGAGGAAACTTCTCATCCTTTTAAGTATAATAGTTATGGTTCAACTTGTACTGAAGCAGAAATTGATGTTCTTACTGGTGAAACTGAAATAATAAGAAGTGATATTTTATTTGATTGTGGATCAAGGTACTAAATATAATCATGTATATTATGATTCGTCTCGCGTCTAGGTTGTCATGTACAAATAACTTTGGCAAATATTTTTAATCGTTATACATTGCTGAAACTATCTATTAATCTGTTTAACCGAAACAATTTCATTTTATGAAATTTTTACATAAAATCAATGTCTTCTTGGTTTTTTGTCTTTTCTTTTTCATTGTGGCTGTCATAATTTTTGTTGTTTAGTATGAACCCTGAAATTGACGTTGGTCAAGTAGAGGGAGCATTTATAATGGGTCTTGGTTATTGGCTTACAGAGAAAGCTATTTTTGACGAGACTGTTGGTCTTCAATTAAATACAGGAACTTGGGTAAATATAGTTTTCTTACTTCAATATTTTTATGTATTTACACTTGTTATGATCTTGCAGTCAAATTGAGAAAATTGATTGTAAACATTAATGTGTTTTATTGTCATTTTTCGACATTTTTAAACGCAATGATAACATGTATTTACTATAATCATGAAACAACAACATCGTTAAGCAATTTCAAAAAAAAATATAATATACACAATAGTTATTAAATAATACAACTTAGATCTCTCTCTTGCTTTCTCAGGCTGCGTTTACCCCTATACCCAATGAGCTAGAACCCAATCTACCAGATATCTGACTCTGCCAAAATTCTATAGTTGCGACTTGCGTGTAGTAATCCATCTTGAAAGGTGAAAAATTGACGATATTTACGATTAATATCTGCTTTATATACAGTTGCAAAGTTGATAGTCTAAGTTTAACTTTTAAAATATTTGATATGATTGGGTTTTTAGCTTATTTTTTATTTTGAGTTTTGCTTTTTGTCATTTTTCAAGATGGCGTCCTTTCCTCACCTTGACACGGTAGTTAGATATCTAGAGAAATGTGTTCTACATCATTTCCTATACCGGATTCGCTCATCACCACACCTTAATTTGCTTTAAGGGTCAACATTTTATTTTATTGTGTTTATGACGTTAACAATTTCACTGCCTTTTATTTCAAAGAAAATTTAACCTGCTACGATAGTAATCCGGAATAGTGTAGACGATGCCTCAGTTTTCTTATTATTTCATGATAGTTTTCTGAACACTGTCTACGTTATCCCCCTTTATATTGACTTAAATAGAAAGAAAATGGCCAATGAAACATTTTATTTATGGAACTGCTTTTATTTCGAGGTTGATGATAAAGATTTCAGTTGTAGGTAAGACTATATATATCAACATTCTTTTTACGTCAATTTTCGTAGGATTACCATCCCCCGTCTTCAAAAGACATTCCTGTTGATTTCCGGGTGTCTTTGTTGAAGGACGCTCCAAATCCTCTTGGTGTTCTTCGTTCTAAAGGTATGAAAATCATTGTCAATTGTCAACCTCCTGTTTCCATATTCAATCTAGAAATTTTACATACATTTTGTTAGATGCTTGTCATAAAATGATGTTTTTGTAGTTCCCATGTAAATATTTTTGATTTTCAGCTGTTGGTGAGCCGCCTCAATGTATGTCGTGTTCAACTCTTTTTGCTGTTCAGGATGCCATTTATAATGCAAGAGAAGAAATTGGTAAAAGTAAAGACTACTTTGCTCTTAATGGTCCTGCGACTGTCGATGAAATTCAATTAAATTGTTTAGTCGATCCTTCTCAATTTGTGCTGTAATGTATAAAATTGAGCCTGCAAACCTCGCTTGCTTTCTTCATATGTGTTTATTGATGTTGTGCTAATGAAAAATCTAGATTTTGTATGATTATTTTTATTTACGATAATGCAAAACGTTGATTGGGTTAGGTTGATTTATTGCTTTGATTATGATGCAAATTATAAAGTAGCTATGTATATATGTCAATGTAAAGAATTCTAAATTATTGAAATCTTTAGTTAAACTTCGCATGTAGTTGTTCAGTTATATGATCAGATATTTATACTACATTTTTGTAGACTATGGACGAGTTTTGTTATTATTATTGTCTTTAAGGTAGCATCTTAAAACCATCAATAAAGTGTAGAGTTTGACCATTGTGTTTTTTTCGTAAATGGTCGCTTGGAATATTAAATGAGCGAAATTGCATGATGTTGCAAATGTGTGTTTGGCCGTTGGCGTAGTTTTAAGTGTTGAATCAAAAATGGAATGTAGAGATCTTGCTCTACACAGCTCGAAATTGGCATATATTGAGGAACGGCTATAACCCAACGCTCTAATCATTCCATTTATCAAGGCATGATGGTATGTTAAAATAGTATTTGTTAAATAAAACATTTTGTAAATTGAAATTTTGTTATTTGGGTTCATATAAAGAAAATTAACACAAGTTAATTGTAACCTGGATATTAGTACTAGTTATTTATGAAGGTCTTTTCAACAATTGAGAAATTATTAGACAGACCAATTTAACAGGAAACGGTGGGCTTTAAAGTATTGAACGCTGAAGATATGTACAAGATATACAATCATTTGTAGTTACCCGAGTACGATTGCTAATAAAGAGCAAATTGACGTAAATTAATAATAATAACTTCTTTAAACTTATTTTTTAAGGCTGACACCATTCACCATTTGAAATTTTCACTCCCATAAAATGCTACAGTTATTGAAGAATTATGCTTAACGAATTCATAGAAAGTTGATAACAGCAACATGGTCTAATAATGTGTATAAATATGAGAATTTTACAATGTATTAATGATTTAGGGTTAAAATATTTCTGGAGAGGTGAGGAAAGTCATTTAGAAAGCAGTGTCTTTAAAGGATAATTGCATTGAGTGAGGATGATGTGAGAAATAAATATTAAAGAATTTGATAATTTCATATTGATTTTTTTGTTCATTGAACCAATGTTCGTGAAAAAATGAAGTGTTTTACAAAAATGAAGTATTTTACGATTCAAAGTAGAGTCACATAAGGTTTTCAACCCATATATAAATATCATTACAACTTTCAAAAGCCCAAACATGGGTTTCATTCATCCAATTTTTTGTAAGTTATCACATCTAGAATAGTTTCAATTTTAAAAGCCAATATAACATGACGTTTCTGCCAATTGATGCCGTCTTTACAAGTGCCTGACGCGTGACTCCATTTTAGAGATTATTTGGATTAGATCTTATTAGTTTTTCGATTTCCCTTATTCCCTTATTAGTAAATTTTGTTTATCCGTTAAAATTATCTCCGTTTTCTTCATTAACATTCATCTTCTAATATTTTGTTTAAAGAAATATCTGCTGTTATCTGTACATTTTTATCAGTTTACAGTGTTTATAGACGTTTATATTCACTTGTACATTTAAAACTTCCAAATCTTAAATTTTATTTCGTGATTGATTTTTTCATATACAATAATTAAATAGCAGTGCATGCTAAGTCTTTTTAAGTAATTTGATCAAAGTTAAACAGGTCGCCACATTTACAGGTCCTAAACATTTCTTTAACGGTTTTGTTGTTTTTTTTCTACATGGGTAATTTTTTCAACTGTGGATAACGTGGTCTTTGTTCTTATGGCCAGCTAGACGCCAATTTTCAACTGTTTATTGAATATTGGCTTTTGTCAACCTGCTATTATGGCCCATTCTTCCGAGTTCCGATTGTTGCCTTTTTGTTGTTTCAATAGGAGAAATCAATGTCTTATAACATTTTTATACGTCCTGACCTAGTGTAATTTTTGTATATCTTCAACAGCTAGCGACATATTTGTTAATTCTCCTATTGACTTCACAAAGTGTTGGGCTGAAAGTGATATTTATTGTCTAGATGTATATTATTTTTACTCTTTACGAACAAAGACCATATTAATGTCTGTAATTGCTTATAATAAAAGTATCTTGTTGATACTTTGCTATCAGCAGCATGTGTATGTGTGATTGTCAACAACATCTTCAAGAAGTATTTCTTTTATGAGTCATCAGTCATATTAGCCATCTTTCATTAGCAATAATGAAAATCTTCACCTGCATGGAATAAATTTTTAATATTTTTATCATTATCAGTTTAAGTTCAACTTGCCTAACGTAGTTGGTTTTCATTTTCATTCTCATGCAAGCAAATTATTTTTTTTCGTTAATATTTGTTTGAAGTCTTTGTTGGCAGCGTTTCGTATTGGGTAAAAGTCACTAAGCAATTGTGGAAAGTTCTTTCAGGAAGACATACGATTCTAAACATTTATTTTAATACATGGTAAAATTGATTTTTAACTTTCAAAACATTTACATTATACTGTGTAGTTTGTTGCATGAAAATTTCTTTCATCTGTTTGAACCCATTTGTTCGACTAAGATACTAGATACTAATCGCTTTCAATGCACATCGCGTCTCTTACAGGTAACAAATTGATGTTGAACATGAGTACATTTGGAAAACTTTCCTCATTTTTCTTAGAGTTAGAGAGATAATAGAAGTTGCATGGCAAAAGAATGAGTTGAGTTGCATTCAAGAAAGTTAAAGAAGAAAATTATTGGTAATAATTACGAAATAATTGATACATCAAGCTTCTACAGTGTATTATGAATATAATAATTACGCAATCATCCAGAACTATTGACGCAAATAAAAAATTTACACTCATGTATTAAAGAAACCAATATCATTCTTTGTCAGGTATTACCCAATAAACTTGCCTGTCGGATGCAGGTGCAGCCACGAAATATGACCGCAATGGCAAGATGTCATTGGTCGAGGACGGAAATACGTTAATTATTGATTTGCTCATATGAAATTAATGTTAAATTCTTAAATTATTTCATCACAACATAGTATAACATTCGTACACAGCGAAGGCAAAATGAGGCTACGTTTTAATAATAAAAGACGTCGAAATGGGAATCAAGTGTGCACATATGAAGCTTTTAAACCAACGAGATTCAACCTTTATGCAAAATCTGACGAACCATTGTGGTGTACGATCAAAAAGAATGATTCATTAGAAAGTTCTTCACCGACTGTTAAGAAGAAAAGCGTGACAGTCAAACTCAATCCAGTCGTTGGAGCCCGTTTAGCACGCAATGAAAGTCCCGCTCGCTCTACAAACTATACAGTCACGCAAAAATATGACGATAAAATTCGCATGTTGCAACAACAACGACAGAAAGAACGGATCAAAAGACGAAATCATTCCGCTCGTGCTGCAGATAATTTTATATATTCTCGTGGTGAAAATGTTGATGGCATACATAATCGTGATGCTCATACATTATGTTATTCCGATTATCGTTTGAAACAAACAGCAAGTATGCCATCGCCTGCATTTTATGTTATTTCTGATGAAGATGATTCTGTCGCCATTCAATTGAGAGACGTCGATTTGGAATCATCTCAATTAAAAAATGATGAAAAGTTAAACAAGTATGGACCAACAATTGACAATGACTATGAAAAACTACCCAATAATAACGAAATTACAGCACAAAAGCAGAATGGTATTTTAGAGAGACTACAATCACACAAACGCGTTTTACAATCATATTCCATGTCATACGATAATGCTTCACAATCTCCCGTTAGCGAGGTGCTTGATGCACCCCCAGAAATTCACAATTACAACGAACTATCAAAAGACTGCGAAAGTGTTGAGAAGTTGAAAACTGCGGAGGGAAGTTACACAAAAGCGGTACATGTACGTTCTCAAAGTATTTCAAATTCAACCGATTCTAAGATGATTTCGTGTGAGAATCGAGCGATCTCTCCAGTTACAGTGACCTATGCTGGGCAAAGAGAAAATGGATTCTTCAACAGATCAAGAACAAGTGAACGGCAATATGCAAAAAAGTTGGAAGGAAAGGAAAATGTTCAGAATGTGTTCATAAAGAGCAAAGAAATAAGAAAACCACTAATAATAAAAAATGAAGCTAGAAGTAAAGTATCTTCGAAGGAACCACCACTCGTTCAATATGAAGGAGAAACTAGACAAGATCGAGGGCAAGATGGCAATACTTTGACCATTAAAAATATTCACGAACAATCGCTTGACAGCTGCGATGAAAGAAATTATTATGAAATCAAAATGTTAATCACTGATCTTGATGATGCCTATGCGACAACGCCTTTATCAAGAAATAGTAGATATGATGTTTGTCAAGGTGAGAATTTCAGGATATTTTTATTTTACAATAGCAGTTTACTGCCAATGTTATAATACACCGTTCTATTCATTTGGGAATGAAAATGTCAGCTTGGAAGCTTCCTTTCAAGTATCAGTTGAAATTTTACATATTGAGTTTCATAACACGAAAAAATTTTAGTTGTCGATTACATCATTTCTATCTTTTAAATGGAATTCTTATGTTAAATATGTTTATAGTGAATCACAATAGAAAAACTAACGTTGTTAATTAGGCCTACGCAGAAATTATTTTTATACCATAAACAATACGATAGAATTTTAGGTTTTTAATTTATTGAAACAGTTCTCGTGTTGGTCTGAGGCAAAGGAAAAGCCTGAAATCCTAAATTTTTCCATTCATAAATTTTACACATGAAAATTTATCGATCTTAAGACGACGCGATCATCTGCAATGTTGTGAATTCTATGTTGTGCTAAAATTATAATGACCGCCATAACTGACGTGTCAAAGACTGTAATTATTTTTAACAGCTGGAGATGTAGTTGCTACTAAGCGTGTACATAATGTCTAAATATGGAGTTAATTTTTATAATATATTTTTGATAAGTTTTCATTTTATATCAATTGGCTGTTTTTGTTCAACACACTTCCTTGTTTGAGTCATGTCTTTCGAAGTCCTTCCGAATTTTTTACCAAACAAAAACAACACAAATGTAAATGAAGTATTGCCATCATTTATATTGTAATTGCACATTGCCAAGGGTATGTTTCCGATCTGTCAATATCATTCAAGTGGCTCTTTTCTTTCCCACACGGGTAGCGTTTCGCTTTTTGTTGTTGCGTTTCTTGCATTTCATTACATTACATGTCGAAGGATTGCAAATATTTGTTTCATTAATTTAAATCGTTGATTATGGAGTTTTCTTTCTACAGATGACAGTGTTGATGGTCACTATAAAGTAGTAAGACTACCTTCAGGACGACAAACTCGCAAGGTAAAGGTTTTTTTGTCGCAAAACCCAGAAATTCCCTGTCACTGAAACACGTATTTGTACCAAATTGCTTAGGCCCAAGCTTTTTGATGTTTTTTTTCATCAATATGCTTTACAGTGTTTCATTTTTAATTTTAGTTTCAAGTCTGTGTCTATCGAAATCCTTCTCTTGGATTTACAATTGGTGGAGGAAAAAACAGCTCTTCGCACGACCCTGTATGTATATTCATTCATCACATGTGGTAATGTTCCAGATATAGTGTCTTTGTAGAGAAAATATGTAATGTGTTCATTTTCATTATAGTCTATCTACGTTGTGTCTGTAAATCCAGCTGGTCCGTCATTTCATTTACTTTGCCATGGCGATCGAATTCTTGAGGTATTTTTACTTATTTCGTTTATTTCAATACTGAAATCATTCTATATTACTTGAAGTATCGATCAGTTTACATTTTGTGCTGGGCACACATGTACGTTTTTATATCTTTTATAGTGAAAATATTGCCCTCTGAGATAACTAAATTTTCTTTGTATTTTAAGGTGAACGAAATTAATTTACGAAATGTTTGTCATGAACATGCAGTTTTGTTTCTCACTCATAACCAAGAATTGGAACTTCTTATAGAAAGAGTTGTATTATGATGTGTTTTTAGCAGAATTTATGACGTATTTAAATGAATTTAAATTATTGAAATAAAATGAATGGCATGCTGCATTTACGTATGATTCATTCTGGATATATCTAATGATGCCCATTATTAGTAATATTTACAATTGGCAATAGTTCTAGTTCTGTGAAATCTCTTCAATGACTACTGGCTCTTGTAAACGATGACTAAATAAAAGTCACCATACATTCTGGTTATCGTATATCTTATACACCGTAAACCATTTTCATTGGTGAATTGTGTGATCTGTGAGCAATACACGACTGAATGTTAAATATACATGAGGTGTGTGAAAAGAGTCGAGTGTCGCGATCGTGGTGCACTTATTTGTCGTACCTAACTACGTCACGCAAGTTAGGATGTTACGGTAATCTTTGTGGAACTTTACATAAAGTATTGGTTACCTTTTGAAAACGCGGGCACTGAGCACGTACGGCGGCTAAATTTGATTTCATTAAATTTTAGTGTTTTGTCATTAAAATATTTAAAAACTTGTTTTGCAAGATTTATTTGAACGAAAACGATCTGATGGTTTGTGTTGATTGAAGTGGAATAACTTTATTTAAAGATATGGATTTCCTTGCAAATCAAGAATGCAGTATCTTGCCTCCAACTCGTGGAGACTCGAATCGTGTTGAAAGAGTTAGACAGAGATCAAAAGCAGAAAAATTCACTTGGTTTGCTCAAAATGTAAAATGTGTTCTTATATTCAGACCAATTTAAATACACTGGCTCTTTTATTGAACATTCATTTCTTAAGCATGGAATTTTCCTTTTGGGTAATTGCTGAATATGATTTATTTATGATAGGAATATCTTTGGCGCAGTGTTGTTGCTTATTTATGGTTTATGTTCCTGCTACCGTTGATATCATTCATCTACAGAGCAGTTGTTTTGTTCAGCATAAGACATCCTTATTTATGGTTTACAGGTGATGGTTTAATATTTAATATTGAATAAATTGGTTGTTTGTTTATTGTGGTGAAGTCTTAATTGATGAAGAAGCAAACAAAATCATTAAAAAGGTTAATTTAAATTTCATCAATTTGCTGAATTACTAACTTTATCATTTATACTTTTATAGACGTCTTCTCAAAATTTTTATCATTTTGGGACGTATTTATGTTTATCATTGTGTTAGGAGTAACTTTATCTCCTGTTGTCTTGCTTAATGTGAAAATTTGTTCAGGTAAACAGAAGGTTACATAGATGGAACAATTTTCAAATGGATTTTTACATGAATAAGTAAATATATTGTTTTAGTTGATGTGAGATGCTCTGTTGAAAACTTTTCTGTGCCATTTTGTAACCTCCAAATGATCACTCATGCAACATTTTCAATACTTTCCACTTCTCTTGCTATTTGCTGTATGATGTCGTTCACACTCTTTGATGATGCTGTTTTAAAACAAAACTGCACAAAATTGTAAGTAGATATTTTAAATTGACTGCTGTGGAGTAAGACATGCGTACTTTCAATGACAGTTATTTTATTTTTAACTTTTATTTTGTTCATTTTATATCTTCTATAGTTCAAGTGATGATGAACCATATTTATGTATTAATGAAATTACTTTATTTCATTATGTTTTTGCATTTATTTTGGTAAGATACAATCTTTATGAATTCATATTTGCATCAATTTTATTCTAATAGAATTTTTTTTATTCTTTAATAAGATTTTACCTCAAACAAAGTATTTTAGGTTTATGACTGATATCATCCCATGAACCAGATGATAATTATATGAATTATTTTTCAGTGATTATATAGAGTACAGTACTTTGATCACATCAGATAAACAAATGTACATTTTAGTGAACTAGTTTTAGGGGCTAATTACATGAGCTTGGGTAGCCGGGATTCAGCAAAGCGATAAATGATTTTGGCAAATGCAAAAGATTAAACACTAATTATCAGATTAATCTTCTTGAGCATTTTCATAATATTCTGACTTAATAAAGACGCAAAGAATATGAAATGAAACCAACTAATAAGGCCAAATTTTAGAATTCAACAGGAATGACTTGTGATGCTAAATAACAGTTGTAATTTTTTCGCTTGAAGTTTTGACTCTTTTTAATGCTTCAAAATCCTTTCATCAAATCCTTGCTGAATTCCGGCTACTTGGGCTCATGTAATCAGCCCCTATTCTTTAATTTTTATTACCCAACTAACAGTTTTGTAATCTATCTTATGATTTTTCACTCCACTCTAATTATTTTCTAGTGTGTAATCTTTCATGCACCATAAGACTGACAGTTTTTAGTATTGATCAACTCTTTTTTAGAGTTTTATATGACAATGGTTAAATTATTCTTTTCAAGGGTGCCACATACTCATTTTTTATTTTAAAAACAAGGAGTACCAAATCAAATTTCCTGTTGTTCAAGTTAGTAATATTTTTATTACTTGCTGAGGTTTGAATGTCTAAATGACATCTCTTATCAATTCTGTTATATTTCAGAGAGAAAGAATTTTCCGTGTTAAAGCATGTCTTTTTCCATGTTTTCATCAAGCTACAAATATCTGTTTCAAAGTAAATATTTCAATTTTTAAACCCATGTAATTTTGAACATTTTTTGATATTTTTCATGACATACAATTGCAGACTCTCCTGTTTGTTTACACAGTTTATTTTTTCTTTGGTCAGTAAACTGAATTAAGATAACATTAAGTACTTTTTAAACTTTTTTTAATGGTTTTGCATTATTCCTGTCTTTACTATAGGAACTTACATAAAAGATTTTTGTTCTTCAATAACTGGCCTCCTACAAGATAGGTATGTGAGTTAAGTTGTCTCAACAATTAAATTTTATGAGGAAAATCCAAATTTAAAAATATGTTTACAAAACGGAATGCATATTTTAACAAAGTGTTCATCATTATCTTTATTTAGGCAGCGCCAACCATTAAATTCACTCATTGGTTTTATTGATTTTTATCTCTTTTGGTTCTGTTTAATAAGTGGAGCATTCATTTTATTTGCTTTGCAATTAGCAAACAAATTATTTATAATTGTTTATACAGAGGTAAAATATATCTTATTTCAGTGGTGAGAGATTGCCTCCATGAATAAACATGTTGGTTTGATTTTTCAGGTATTTCGGTTTCCTGTTCAGTCCACATTTTCTGAAGATTCTGATCAAACTCTTCCTGTGGCCTTAAAATGTAACACTTCTCCACTACTCAAGGTTCATTTTCTCTGAAATGTAACATTTCTCAATTTGTTTTCACTCTTTGTTTATATTTTAATAATAAATTCCCATATTTTGTACATCTCAATATGAATCATCATGTTGCAGCTAAGTGTCTTTGCTTTGAAGAAATTATGAAAATTTTCTCTTTCAGTATCTTGCATTTAATGATCTCAGTCAACTCTCACAATATTCAATGACAAGAAGAAAACAAATTTTTTCTTTAAGTATTCCAGGTTTGGTTTTATGGTAAATTCTCAAACAAATTGTTGCTTGCGAAAGTTGATTTTATTCTCAAATGTAATCCAAATCATCTATCCAATTGTATTTCCAGATTTTCATTGGTGTCATTTCTGGGATTTTTCTTTTTGTTTTTTTATCTAGGAGGTAGACCTTTGAATTGGTTATGGATTTCTGAGGAATGTCTGACATTGATGAACGATCTTCAACAACGACTTTATTTTTATGTCAATCATTACAACATGACGATAAGCAAAGACCAAAAAACAGTCTTAGAAACTCCATCGCGTCATTATCAAGGTATTTACATAATAAACTCTCGTTAGAAATTGAATCATTTTAATTTTTTTAAGTTGTTTGGAATTTTGGTTTTTGGAGAATGATAATGTTTTGATGAACATTTAGAGGTCACTCCTGCTTCAGTGGAAACATTTTTTTCCAATTCTGTAAAGTCACGCGTTAAAAACATCTCATCTTTACAAAGTGATTCTACACACAATTCTTCTACACAGAAGCATTTAGAAGATCTAAAACACAAGAAAAAGGTTCTCAAAAGTTCTATTAATAAAATTCGAATATTTATTATTGCAAAAATAAGTAATTGCAATGTTTAGTTTTAATTTATATGTAGAAAATTTATAATGGTGTTAGTTTTTTTTGATTTTGTAGGTAACTACAATGGAAAGAATAAAAAACATACCTTTCATGAAATACCTCATTAAACCGGTACAATTTTCAAAGTCAAACAAAATTTCCTTTTGAATGATTATTTCGTTTTGAATGATTATTTATCAATAATAATTACTTTATAGATGAATGAATATGAAATGGAAGAAATATTCTTTGATGTTCAACTACAAATTTGGACCGCAGAAGGTTAGTTTGGGATCAAACAAATAAATAAAGCATTTTTTCGAGATTCTTCTTCGCGCAATGTTGAAAGATAGTTCCACTGTAGATTTATTTATAATAATATTTTTTTCTATATTGTTTTTAGGTATTTCCAGACTTGTTGCCGCCTCGTATTCAGAAGATGTTTTTGGCGTTGTGCAGAGCGTACGTAGCATCTATCTTTTGAAGTTGATTGCTAATGATTTACTGTCTCTTGTAACGATAATTGTGTCGTTTTTATCTTTGATCAGACATTACCCTTCATATTAACATCGCTATTGGAGCTTCTACAGGTTAGCAACATACGCAAACAGAAACTTTACAAGAAACGCGTCTTGTGAAGCGCACATGTCATGGAATCTTATTTTTATGTGTAGATATGGAGAAAAAGTGTAAATGATGTGAAGGAAGCTAAATAAAAACCCACAATACCACTACTTTAATATGATTTTATCATTTTTAGATGGTAGAAATTTACTTAAAGAAGTTGACAAACGAAGAATTGCTGAGTCATCAACGACCACAGCCAAATGAAATGAGAAAAAGTGTCAATGTTTTAAGAGATAGTAAGGCTGAAATAGAAAATATTTTGTCCTTAACTTTGTTTTCGTATTTGGTGTTCGTGAACTTATTTTCGTTACTGAATAATCATATGAAGTTGTTCTTGGAATGGAAATAATTTTGACAGAATATTTGACACTTTTTCTTTGCCATTTGTAGCATTACGCTCTTCAATTTACAGAATAACGAAAACATTCCAAAACCATATAAGGTCTTTAGTAGAGGTCATTTAATGAACTTGGTGTTATTAACATACGCTAAGCCGCATTTTTCATTTAATCTTGTAGTGACGTGGAATTATCGACGAAAAACAGGGAGTTCTTGATCAATTTTCTTAAGTTTCTAGCATAAATACATTTACATGTGTATATGTAGTTTGAACTTCAAGCAGAAGCTGTTGAATATTTTGTGGAATACTTTTATAAAATACAACTAAATGTTTTGTTTGAATTTTATTGTTAATATTTGTTACCCAACTACCATATCCTCACCATCTTACCACGACCCCTCTCCTACCATCTTGACTATCATCTTCATAACTTTAGATGGTAGTATGAAAATGCGACAATCATCCTTGACCTTTATGATTTATGTATATTTCAATAAAGTGGAAGTTCTTAATATGATGCTGATTCAGCAATATTTTAAGGTTATGATCATGGTAATGCACAGAATAGATACATACAGAAGGGCCACTTCCATTGAGTTCTATAATAACTGGAGCTCATTTCTGAATTCTAAACCAAAATTCAGTCAAAATTTCAGAATAAATGATTAGATGGAGCAATCCGTCTAGCATGAAAATGACGATTCAACCCAAAGATCGATACAAAATGTATTTCTCTAATCTTTAAGAAAAGATCAAGTTTTAATATGTGATGGTTTAATGTCCCGATTATTTTTCTATTGTTACTTTTGTTGTTGTCGACGATATTTCTGTGGTTTCAGATTTACATTTTCCATTCAATCAGTTTTTCAGGGCAGGTATGTAACGAGAGCTCTTCGCACTTCCGTAAACTTTGATAGATTTGGATATTCAAAAGTCATGTTTGGGAATGGTAGTTGGGAGAAATTTCTCAACCCATAAACTGTAGAAGAGGGCCATTCCTCCACCTGACCCCCTCCCACCTGTTCATTATACACACATTTTCCCCATGCAAAATAATTATTTCCATCAAACATTGAAAATACCCCCAGTTCATATTTTGAAACAGGATTTGTGTCTCTGTAATCATTATTTCTTTTATTTAATAAATTACTCGATCAACCCTTTCTTCCTCAAATATTCACTTTTCATCTTTTTTTCAATGTGCCACCTTTAATTTTTTATCTTTTCCAAATTTTTTATTTTATAATTGAAATAAGACATTTAAAATACATGACAAATATTTTTCAAGTAAACATGATTCAGCATACTTTACACCATCTTAAGTATGCCAAAATGTGTTTGCTTTAAAAAAGTTTGTTGTGTATTTTAAATGTCTTATGAGTATTGTGCTACTGCGAAGTTATGGTAGTATTGAAATACTTGAAATTTGTTCTTCTAGCTGCAAATTTTAAGTATAAAACATTAAACTGTTAATTTAATGGAACTTTAAGCTGTTCACACTGTTATTTTGTAGGTTTTACAAAAGAAGAGAAAATAGCAAGCCATAAAAAATTACTCGTAGGTTAAAATTATTTGTTCTACATGAATGATAAATAATGAATACAATGTAAAACTTATTTTCAAAAATGTTTTAGACCCTTCTTGAGAATTTCCTAGCAGTATGCTCATCAAATAATGTTGCACCATTTCTTATTGATCATGTAATCCTGCAAAGTATTGAAGAAAATTCAACAAGACAAATCACATCAAAAGATACCTGTCGTCATCTTTGTCAAAAACCTTGGATATCATTAGCAGTATTTGAAAACAACTTATACCCACACGGACTCAATAATCATGTGAGTTTTTTACTTTGCATCCCCTAGACACTACTAGTGTCCATTATTAGCAAATTTGATCCTCATACCATGCCTCTTGCCTCCCCCAGTGGCTTTGTGGCTCAAACATTTTGTGAGGGGCCAGTTTGAAAATGAAAATGTTGCCTTTTAGAGATATTTTGTTTCTCCTCTTGTTAACAATCATTACTTTCAATGGAAAGAAAAAGTATAATAGTTTTGTGGAGTTTAATTAATGATGGAAATTCTCAGAAAAATTGTCACAAATAGCAATTAACTTTTCTAAAATGGTAGATTGCTTTGAAAAATGTGTTTTTATCAACAAACAAACCTTTGTCAACCCAAGCCATCAGAATCAGGACAGACTGGGTAGGCTACATCTTTCCTCTATTTTTTAATGAAATTGTTGACAAGCTTTAAAATGCCACAATTTCTCCCTAAAATCTCTTGAAACTTTGTTACATGTTTGGATCATCCCCCTCCCCCCAAATATTGACAGCTTTATAAACCATATTGCTTTTATGGCATATATTTGTTACATTTGTTTTTATGTCCAATGAGAAACGAATTTTAGGAAATTAAATTTTTTATCTAGATATTAAATTCTCTGAAAGAAGGAGGAATCAAGTGTATTGACTTCAGTGGCAAAGATACACGAAACATAAAATTAAATGGAACTTCAACTAAAACTGTCCCGTTTCATTATTTCTTTTCTCGTGATGACGTCACAATTCACGTGATCATATTGTATAACCGAGAAGGACTGGGACTTTGGTTCGGAGCATTATCAAGGAAGACTGTTGACATTTATAGATTTACATTGAATGAAAACGAAGGACTTCTTGCGAGGTGAATGTATTGTTTTAGAGAACGTCTTTTTCGAAAAAAATTCCATAAATGATCAAATTGAAAAAAAATTGCCATTTAGATGATTTTTTTCGGGTTAAAAATTTATTCCGACTTATTTCCCGCAGGTTTTCTCTCTCTACTGCGATTATTGATGGTTTTACGATGAGAATGCCTTTTCCTGTCAAGGAGTTCTTAAAGAACCTCGATAATTCTCGTTTTTTGCCTTGCAATCATACAAGAGCAAGATTATTTTATTCTAAATATGGCGATGATACAAGTTTTGAAGCAAGAAAATTTAGAAAAAGAGGCAGAGAAGTCTTAAAGATAGCCAAGCTTGCGTTAGACAGACTGGAAATAAGATTTTGGTTAAGCAGTGGAACATGTTTAGGTTCGTGTTCACCTGATAAAATTAAGTGGATTTTTCTCTGAACAAAATCATAAGTACGACACACAAAAGACTGTTTGTAATGTTATAAACATTTATCTGTGCTAAGTCTGCAAGTCTTTAAGTCGCATACAATCATAATATGTTAGTTTGTGTACAAATATTGTTTGATTTTTCTTGAAGGATGGTTTCGTCAGTGTAATGTAATCTCTCATGGAAAAGATATGGACATTGGAATATGGATTAAAGATTACGATAAGAGACTCATTGATGAATTTCAAGAAAACGGATTGTATTTGGAGCATTTGTTTGGCAGGGTTAAGTTTCTGAGATAACTTTTCTAAAATAGTCCTAGAAGCTCGTTCATGCAATGTCCAATTTCTCAGGAAATCTTGTAAAAAATGAAAGTTTTTCATTCTTGTTTATGATTTATTTGACGTTTTTACATCCCTGAAAGGGGGGGAGGTATTTTTTATACAAGCTTGTGCAGCATAAGATATTCTTGTTTATGATTTATTTGACGTTTTTACATCCCTGAAAGGGGAGGTATTTTTTATACAAGCTTGTGCAGCATAAGATATTCTTGTTTATGATTTATTTGACGTTTTTACATCCCTGAAAGGGGAGGTATTTTTTATACAAGCTTGTGCAGCATAAGATATTCTTGTTTATGATTTATTTGACGTTTTTACATCCCTGAAAGGGGAGGTATTTTTTATACAAGCTTGTGCAGCATAAGATATTCTTGTTTATGATTTATTTAACGTTTTTACATCCCTGAAAGGGGGGGAGGTATTTTTTATACAAGCTTGTGCAGCATAAGATATTCTTGTTTATGATTTATTTAACGTTTTTACATCCCTGAAAGGGGAGGTATTTTTTACACAAGCTTGTGCAGCATAAGATATTCTTGTTTATGATTTATTTGACGTTTTTACATCCTTGAAAGGGGGGGAGGTATTTTTTATACAAGCTTGTGCAGCATAAGATAAGAAATAATAATAAATATAACAAATGCTCTGTTTGAATTATCGTCATGGCCTAGAACATTTGAACTTTGTATAAAATATCTCACAATTGTTCATAAAATACCAGATCATAACAACTGATAGTGCTTTTCATCTTGATCTAGCATTTACTTACAGTTCTAAAAGATATTTAATGTCAACTTTGCAACATTTTCAATTGTCTAGATTGAAGACAGTTTTCAGTTGTCGTTCAGAACAATGGACGACATCAAACTTGATATTTTCTTCTTTTATGAAGAAAATGGCTACATGTGGAACGGTGGTACTCAGGCAAGGACTGCCAAAAAATTCAAGTAAGAATGACATTAATTTTTATTGCAGATCTTCATTATACCGTTGTTAGCTATGGACTCAAAGCAAACATTGGTGATTAAATCTCCCTGATTTACTGCGAGCAAAATCGATCTTAAAAATTTGTCAAGTAGCATCGAGTTAATCGTCTAATTTCTCATCGTTTTATTGTTTCAATTCTTTCAGATATATTTTTCCCAATTTTTCTCTTTGCTGGACGGAGTTTCTTGACTTGAAAGTAAGGGTTCCTTGTGAAACGTTATCTTATGTTGAAGCAAATTACGGAAAATCGTGGCCACAGCCAATCAAGCTATGGGACTGGAAGAAAAGTCCATCAAATGTTTTTGAAAATGGCAAATGGAACGAGAAGGAACTTCATGATGTCATTCAATTCTTCGAAATTGAATAAAAGAATTGCAACTTTCTGAATTAATACTTATTGAAGATTCGTTCAGTAAGAACAAGAGATAGCCGACCTCTTCAATGAATTTGTTGATTTCGTACATTTATTACACGAATACTTCATATTACAACTGGGACTGCGGGGCGTTTCTACGATCAGTTTGGCAAAATTATGAATGTCCGAAGGCAAGCACCACCCCGGAAAAGTTGAAATTTTAGCCTTAGATAAAGCGTTTAATGCTTTTAAATTTAAGGCTTATAGGGAGGGCAAATTTACTTTCATCACGAATAATTTATATCTGTGGAGAAATTTAGGATGGGTCTAGCGATTCGCGGTCTATGATAAAACTATTTGAAACCTTTGATGTACCTAGGCCACCCTGGTTATCAAGTAGGTTTTTTTTGAAATCATATGCCTTATTTCAGCCTAACCGAAATATTTTTTTTACCATCGAAATGTAAATGGAAAGGAAACCGTTTTCCTGATATTTTTCTTCTTCATTTTACAATTCTCTTAACATAACAAACTCTGTAATTGATTTGTTTTTATAGGCAACTCATTGTCAGTTAATGCTGTTATTTAAGTTAGTAAAATCCTATTTCATTCGTTATTAGATTAGAAATCAAAATATCTCCAAGCGATATGAGAGCGTGGTTTGTATAGATTCATCATTGTCATTATTTGTGAGGTTTGCTTGACAGAACAATCTTCGTTTTAACATTTGTCTAATATATGTTGTTATTTTGAAAAATAGCTACATTCTGTAAATACTTATTTGATATACATCTTTGAACAACAATTATACAATTATTTGAAATCTGATTCGATATTAAATCTAGCGATTATTTAATGGTTTTCTGTTAGGAAGTGCTTTCTTTAATGCGATGGCTATCACGAAGCGTCGATTTGTTCGATGAGTTTCATATCCAGTAAAGTTTCATTCTTTGTCGCAATGACTTTAAACCATCATTTGGCCTGATTATTCGCAGTAATAGACAGTACGGTAAGTTGTTATGTATACAGTTCGATACTCAGTCCTAAAAATGTAACATTTGTAAAGTAACATGAAACATTTCAATACTGAAAGATGTTCTAAGATTAAGCTTCATTTGCAGGTACCCACGTCCTTCAAGAAAAACAGACACCATGTAATCTTAATGGTATGGTATGCAATTCATCATTTTGATTTTCTTTTATTGTATATTACCATTTTGTTTGCCACTAAACGTTAATTTGAGTTAGTTCAAATTATTAAGGGACTATGCAAAAATAACGAAGTCGAAAAAGATGTTTGACATTTATTTTTTGTTAATATACGTTGTAACAGTGTTGTGTTTCAAAAAAAGACTTTGCAAGCCATTTTTAAAAGCTTATTGTCGTCAACTCACCTATCAAAACGCTAGCAAATACATTGACGAGTATATTTATAAAAAAATTGTCTGCAAACAAATTAGTACGATGGATGATGTTTTTGAGTTGCTAGATGCTGGTATAAGGATAGTGGATAGTTGCTGGTATAATATAATAGTATCTCAGTGAATACATGACATTGGAGTGTATATTGATCGTTGATGATGTATTATCACTTACTTTTTTTCCCTACACCGTCTCAATCCTGCTGGATGAAGGCACCATTTGTGTAAACTTCTTGTAATGGGAATATTTTGTATTCTCTTGTGAGGAACTACACGTGTTTTGTAGATACAGGACCTTTATTAATTGTGCAGATAGTGTTGTGAGGTTAGTTATCAAGGGAAAGTTGTTCAGGTCAAATGAACCAAACAAATACTATCAATGTAGCCACTAATACCTCATGTATTTCATGTACCTTCTATCACACGAGTTCCCATAGAATCCCGATGGACACACACATTGATTTGGGGCTACGCATGTGCCCCCATTTTTGCAAGTCGGTCGACATACCGCTGAAATATATAAAGCAGTTAATGCTGAAAAATCACACACTTTATATGACCGTAAATCATATATGACCGAATTCTGTAAATCGCTATTGCGGTGTTTCTTCGAAATAACGTTTTACGTAAAACGTTTTCATTTATTACTTACGTGTTGCACATCGCAGTCCAGAATATTTATGAGAACAGCGACAAACGTTTTGTTTTACACATCTTCCCTGATTCAGGCAAACGGGATCGCATTGAACTGAAAGAAATTGTCGATTACATTTAAAACAATGTTCATAGATTTTACTTGACTTCACTGTGAAACTGGTTTTCTAACTATTTTCTAATTATTAGTATATGTTAGTAACTAATATTTTCGATAAACTAAGGACATTTTTTAAATTTTTAATATGCTTCAGGGGCCGGTTACGCGAAGCATGGATAATGTTATCCATTGGATGGCAAAAGTCTTCAAGCTTGTAAAAAAAGGTGTTTATATTTTTCTTACGACAAAGAAATTTTGTAATCTTCGAAACAATATTTTATTTCAGTAATTGTTCAGTTCGAATCTTATACTTTTCGCTTTTTAAAAGGTTTTATTAAAGTTTTAAAAAAACTTGCTATCCAATGGACAGCGCTATCCAGGCTTCGTGCAACCGACCCCTGTTATGTAATGATCAATAATATTCTCTCATATTTAGCAATATATTTATAACTAGCCAGTAAAGTTTCCATGAAGCAACAAAGCTGGCTTTGCAATGTTTGATTTTTTGACCAAACAGACAATGACATCTTTGTAATACATAATTTTCTTCTAACAGCCATCTGACTCATCATTAACGCGATTAATTTTAAGTCCTGAAAGCCAAATTCCAAAATAGGCAAAATAAACATATTATAAGCTGAACTACTGAAAAAATAATGAAGCTTGTAAAGAAAAATAGAATTGTCGATGGTTTTTATCCCATAGTAAAAATGCTTGCAAAGTCTGACACATTCTATATTTCGGATACTTCTGGTAGTTTAGTACTTAATTTTGTTTGCAATTTAAACAACCTGTCGTCGTCAACAAATAAAAAAAACGTGACAACAGTTTGTAATGAAATGTTCCAGAAAGGATATTTAACTTGAAACATCGCAGAACACAATTCGAGAAATGTTAAGGCGATGCAACATTTATTCAGTCAAGGTCAAGTGTGGTGATTCAAATTACTTAAAAATTTTACATTTCCTGCTATGAATCATTTGCGTGTTTCTGTGTAAGGGGTTTACATTAATCCTTAATCAATTTGTAATATTTCCGGAATAATTTCAAGGACATGACTGCTTTGTTCGAAGCCTAATACTGACAGATTAAGGTCAACTATCATCAGTAAACATTTTTGAAAAGAATCAATAACAACCAGCCGTCTGAATGAAGACAACCTCAATATCTTCTATGAGAAATTATGAAGACAAAATCACTACCATTCATCAGAAATTATGAAGAGTGAAGACGACATCACTACCTTCCACCAGAAATTATGAAGACGACATCACCGTCCATCAGAGATAATGAAAACAAAATTACTGACTTCCATCAGAAATTATGAAGAATGGCATCACTACCTTCCATCAGAAATTATGAAAACAAAATCACCACCTTCCATGAAATATTATAAAAGAGCGTCGCTACCGTCCAACAGAAAGAAGAAAGAAAACACAGTTTTCATATATTAAAAGGTATGAAGGAAAAAATATTTTTCACTGAAAAATACAAATTTGTTGAGTTATGAAAAAACATATGTACGTCAACATAAACAAAGCATTTCTGAGGCTTTTGCCGTTTTTAGGAACATTTTTTGTTCTTTAGGCACGATTTGGTAGTAGCTTGTGAGTGTCAGGGAAATCTTAAAATTGCTTTAAGTATAAAATAATTTTAACCTATAAAACAAAACGTCGAACTTTTTATTCTTCATTCTAGGAGTGTTAGCTAACTTATTTCACGAATGTAAGCGAGGGAAGATATGAGATAAGAGAAATTTTAAACGAATATAATGACGAATGATAATAGTACTCAACGATAACTTCTTTAATGTCACTTTTTTATGCTTATAGCTACTATTTAAAATTGGATTAATAACCTTGTTGTTCAACATCTTTGGCGACTTATCAATACCGATTTATAGAGTACAGGAAATGTTAATATTATTAAAGGTTTTGCAGTAGAATAATTTTAATGCGATTAGTAAGTTCACTGCCAGCTTCTTTTGTTATCTTACAATATCCAGTGTGGAAGTCAACTTATTTATGATGAAATATATTAAATAACAAGGAAAAATTAAAGAAAATGTTCAGAAATTAGAAAGGTGACATTAAAATATAGCGATATGCAGTGTACACTGCAAAATAGGCTTAAATGTTCTGTTTTTGTGACTTTTATTGTCAGTTGATATTGTCTGTATATTTTTGATGAAAAATTGAATGCGTTAGAATATTTCAAACAACCGAAGGCCTTTGGAGGCTTGATGATAAATTATAGCTAATGATCATGAATATGGAAACAAAGAAATGAGTTTATCATGAAAATAAAATAGAAACTGTTTCATCAAACATTTAAGTCATCTTGGAAAAGTTTATTAATTGTTTTTCAATAAAAATTATGTATTATTTTCGTGTATACCAAAACTGTATCTAGTACAAAGTAAAAATTATTTAGACTTTTTGACTTCTACACACGTCAATAAGTAATGTAAAGTCTGATTCCTGGTAAACAATTTTCAAATTTTATAACTTGTCATCTGATGGTAACAAATGACACCGCTATTTACACTAAATATAGTTTCCATTTCTGTCACGCTCTGTAATAAGTAATGCCAAAAGATAGCTATCGTGTGAATTAAGACAATATCTAATAGCCATTATTGTAACAAATAAAAAAAAACGAGAAAGATAAATTGCCTCTATCGTAACAAAACTTTTGTCGTCAGCAAATTACCCTGGAAATATTAATTTTAGCTAATTTCTTACGCAAATTGTCTTCCCCAATTGAAGGATTACTGAATTATTTCTCTCTAAAGACTTTGTAGCTTCAATGATTGAAAACTTGTCCTTTCTATACTTCTGCAGCTAAGTTGCAAGATCATTGGTTCCACTATGCCAAGACGTAATTATGCTTTGTTGTTATCAAGACTTTTTCTCTTAACATGCATGGCTAAAATCTCTTGTTTAAATATCGCCTTTTATTTAATAAAACATAACATTATTCACATGCGCACATTTAGAATTCACTATTTTTTGTTCTGTTTTGAAATATCAAAAATTAAGAATTATGTTTTATCATAAAAGTCCTGCGTTAAAAAATGTTAGGAAAGCGCGTTGAAAACTTATATTTCGAATGCTTTCCCACGAAATAAGCAAAGTTCCTCTTTGATGTGATGACACAAACTGGACATATATAAATAATGAAGAGATCCTGTTTATTCAAGCCAGAAAAAGTTATTAATTTTATCATGCACACGTCACAATAAAAATATTCTGAAAATATGTAAAATTATAGTTTAAAAAAAGAGTACATTAAAATATTTGACGAAATAAGTTTGGTTGGATGCTATCCAATCCTTTCTGTTGAAGGTACTGTGGTAAACATACATTTGAATGCTATCCATAATTTACCCTAAAGTGGAAAGTATTGCGTGCAGAAATTTCAACAATCAGAAAAAATACGCCAAATGCAGAGATGATTAATGAAGACAAGACTGTTTATTTTTAGAAACATCATAGATAAAGAGAAAACTGTCTTTCCAACAGAAGAAATTGTTAATAAAGAGATGACTGTCCATTCAGTTAAGAAGAAGAAATTGCTTATGAAGAGAAAACTGTCTGTTCTCTACAGATGACTTCATTAATGAAGAGAATACTGCTTGTTTCCAAGCGAAGATATCAATGATTATCATTGATGACGACTGACTTCCAATGATAAATTATTTTGAAGATCTCAATTTTGAACATCATATTATCCCAAGTGAAGAAAATCAACTGAATCATGGACGCTGTATTTTATGTTTGTCATCGAAATCAATACAAAATTGTAAAAGTTAGACAAAGGTTTTAAGCACATCTAAAGCAAAACAACTAGTTGGAAGCTGTATATTACTTCTTGGTGTTGCTTTCTCATTGAAAAACGAGTTAAAAATAACGTCTGTGAACTTTACACACTACTTTTTTTAATATCGTCTCATTGTCAGAATATCAACAAGTATCTACATCATTTGCTGTGTTGACTGCAAATTTCTTAACCATTTCACTTACCATTTTGACAGAAAGTGCCACTCGTCTTGTTCGGACATGAACACCTGTTTGGAAGTCTGCATACTCCTCCATTTTGGCATTTTGGACGACAAATTGCTGAGAATTGTAAAAGTAATTGATGAAAACCAAAACAAGTTGTGCTCTGCTTTATATGATTCAAAGAATATCATAAAATGTTTCTTTTTGTTGTTATAATTTCACGTAACAATGTAAAAAACCTTACCAACATTACAAGTTGGTCCTGTCCATCCAGATTTACAATTACATTTGTTGCTACCGTAACATACTCCACCGTTTAAACATGCTGTTTTACACGCAGCTGTAAAAAACGACACTATATTAAAGTAGAAATCTCTACATTTTTTAATTTTCAAGCTGTTTTTAAGTTCAGACGTTTCTTTAATGCTATCATTCGCAGGCTTATGACAACATCGGATCTCGTAAATGGACTGGCTTTCAAGCTGAGTTTATGTAATAGTTATTTGGACAAAATGAAAATATGAATTTAAGAGAGTAAATCTGCCATTTATGATCACTTGGTCTGAGTAAATGATGCCTTTAAAAACATCAGTATTTTCGTCTAATTTACAGTTTTAAATATGTAATAATCTGGTTCATACGACTTTTTACGACTTCTGTGCGTTTGTTGTAAAATTTATGTTTCTTTATGTTAAGAAAATTTCCAGTATATAAATATTTGATAATAATTTGTGAATCGTTATGTAAAGTCCGTAAAAGAAGAGAAATTTCCTGGAAAATGTAACCATTACATGATTTCTTACATGACGCTCAACATTGAAGTTGAAAATGGTGGCTATTTGGATGAATTAAATCAATGCTAATGTTTACTGATGTATTTAAAGTTTTAATGATGAAAATATGCATTTAAAAGTGGACAAGACAACGCCTTTATGTAAAAAAAAGGTAAGTTTTGAATTTTTACAGAGTTTCAAAACAACAACTATTGACATGTGATGTGACTGACTTATCCATATAGAGCTTATCGCTTTGTGTCAATTTTAATCTGTTTTTATTCATTTAACTGTAAAGCGTTTGAACTATGATTGCTTTAGAGGAACCCCTAGCTCTAAACTTTAGTCGAACAATATTTATACTAAGACATGTTAAGTTTAATGTTTGCCATTGAATTTATGTGAAGATTTTACACGTAGCAAGAAAAATAAATAAATCTTGAAAACGTTGAAGTTCAATTTTTAAATGGTTAGGATCAAATTTTGTACAAATGATGACATAATAATAAATAATCTAGACTGCATTCGTAGGTAGAAAATTGTCATTTTAGTTACTACAAATGAGAAGAGATTTTTAAAAATAATTTTTATCACTGAAAAAATTTTGTTAATTTTTTTTGTTTGTTTGTTAGTGTGAAGCCAAATATTTTCTTATACTTTAAGTTTTCCTAAAGTAATCAAATAATAATAGTAATAATGTCAACTTTTATAATTTTTTTTTTCATCAGTAAACATGTGATGCATCTATAAGTAACAAATTTGCTGTAACAATTTATGACTATTGTTAAAACCCCAATTGATGTTTATTTACAAATAAGAACTTGCTGTTTGCTTCAAAGCTAAGGTTCTACATAGTAAGCCTGTTCTACTGTTACCAACACAGCTTTTTGTTGATACATATTACTATTCTTTTGTGGCTTTAATAGCAATGCCAGGGATCCATAATTGTTATTAAAACTCATGTAATTATCAGAAGTTGGCTTTGTGCTTTAACTTTTCATTTTTTTATAAGAATATAAAATTAATCACCATATTGACATCGATGTCCAAAAAATCCTTTCGCACAGAGGCATTTGCCAGGCAAAATGCATCTGCCTTTATTTAAACAACTTGGTCGACATATAGCTATAATATAAAAATAGAAATTTACAACATTTACTTGGTGAAAATTAAGATATCTGTGTTAAGTTCATAAATGATGAGTTACTTTGGCAATATGGCATTGGTTTACTTAGTACTTACGTTTACACAAGGGCAAATTATATCCTGCCTTGCACAGACATACATTTGGCTTTATGCAGATACCTCTGTTTAAACATGGTGGAAAACACAATGCTAAAAATAACATAAAGAAAATGGCTTCAAATACAGAAAACAAGGATAAAATGGTTGTAATTACTGTACATTGGTAGAAAATGTGCATAATTATAGTAAATGGGGATAAAATTGCAAAAGAATGGTGGTAGATCGGGATAAAATTGCAGAAAAATGGTGGTAGGTGGGGATACAATTCCATAAAAATGGTGGTAGAGGGGGATAAATATTAAATTGATAAGTGGAAACATGTAAATATTGAAATGATCCATAACTATGTATAAATATTTACTGTTTTTTTCTTTGTATTCCTCACCTTTTTCACAATTTTTTCCAGTATAACCTTTCAAGCACTGGCACGTTCTACTGTATCTTAAACATTTACCGCCATTTTTACATGGTTGTTTACAAAATGAAGCTGAAATATATGGAGAAAAAACGTCATAAAGTGAATTATCATGAATGTTCAATTTATATCATTTGTCAGTGACGAATTCAGCGTTTGGCAAAATAACAACGTTCCCTTTTGTTTTTTGAAGTATTTATAATGTTGGTGTAGCAGACGTTTTGTCAAAGGCAGAGTTGTAAACAAACCTCTCTTTTTTTGACAGTTCCCACCATAATAACCCTTTTTGCATTCACATCTATTTCTAGCAGCACAAACACCATTCAAACATCGCTGTCGACATTTGCCTGTCATTAAAAATATTGATTTAGTGACGAAAAAAATTATACATGTGATTTTTTCGCTATTTTTCGAAGAAAAAAGGCATTTTTCACTTTGCTTGTAAAGGTGACTGCCTCACAAACCTTTTTGCTATCAATTTTATCGTGATACTTAAACTTATGAAGAGAGGGCTGATCCGATATTATCTTAGTAAGTAATATTTATTTTCTACAAAGCTTTGCGTTAGCTAATGATTTGTTGAAATTTTTTATATGTGAGCAATTTCTACAGATATGCCGTTTTTAACAAACTGTGACAGATTGTCTCATAATTTCATTACACCCTCTGCACTATTTACCTCTAGTTTTTATTTGGTAAAAAATCGTTTTGATCATTGTCATCGATATTATCGATATATTCGTTCATTTTAATGATCAATAAATTTTACAAACCTGGACATGCTACGTTAGTACTACATGATTTTTCATCTGATTGTTGCAGTAAAGCTTGGCATTCTTGTTCTGATTTTAACCAAGAATCACTTGTACACATCTTAACCCGTCGTTTTATTCCCCCTGAACCGCAAGTTTTACTACAAGATGTCCATGTTGACCAAGTGTATTCGATTTCTAAACAAAAGAAGTTCCTATTCTCAAACGTATAAAAATCATTAATATTAATGTTATAATTTTTTATATATCTCATACTGCATTATTATTTTGTTCAACATCAATGTAAATCTACGTAATAATTTATATTTTTTTCATAGCTAGTTTAGCTATTCACCATAGTTATACAACATAGTTATAGACCATAGCTATACACCATAGCTATACACCATAGTTATACACCATGGTTATACACCATAGTTATACACCATAGCTATACACCATATTTATACACCATAGCTATACACCATAGCTATACACCATAGTTATACAACATGGCTGTACACCATAGTTTTACACCATAGTTATACACCATAGTTATACACCATAGCTATACACCATAGCTATTCACCATAGTTATACAACATGGCTGTACACCATAGCTATACACCATAGTTATACACCATAGCTATTCACCATTGTTATACACCATGCTTATACACCATAGCTATACACCATAGCCATACACCACAGCCATACACCATAGCCATACACTATAGCTACACACTATAGCTATACACCATAGGTATCTCAAAGTAAAGCGAAATTGAAATCAAAAAGCATAATTAAGTTGGGGACATTTCAACTGACTTGACATTTTTAAACAGGTTGTTATTTTGCGATTGCTTTTGTTGAGAATTGTTATTAATAACGACATCCACAATCATCTCTACCTTCTTCTCCTGAGCCAGTGATTGGTTCCTTTGTATCCTGAAATATGGCAATGAAAGTAGACGTTATTTCATACATTTCATTTTGTTTGAAGGAAGTCTTGTGTTTTTTTACTTTAAATGTTTTGTATTTGAGCAAACAATTATTAAATCCTTTTCTGTAAGGTAAAACATTCATTAATAAATATTTACGACACTCTAAAAAGTTGCGTCATGGACAAGAAGACAATATTTAGCAATACCCACAGCACTAAACCACTAAATATGTTTGTGCAATGATAATTTATATTGTTAAAGACGTGTCAATTATTGTCAAACCAGTTTGAAAGATTTTATCGAATAATTTTTTTGATATTTGTTTTCTCTTCATCAATATAGTATTCTTAATGACCGAATGATGTGGAATTTTTGTACTTGTTGAAACGTAAATATGAATACAAGAAGGTCACATAAACTATTGTTTGTTGTTGTCATTAGATTGTACATGTTATGATAACCGCAAACCCGACATTTATATATGGGAAGCTCTTATGGTGTAGGATCACAATCTGTATTTTGCATTCATGTACAATGTTTAGAATAATTTTTTTATTGAAGGAAATATAACGATGTATTGAACATACATATAGATTGTTTATCTTGCACTGTTTTTCTCCCGTCGTGAAGTCATAAGATATAGATAATTCTTCGATATAAAACTATTAAAAAATTGAAGCACATGTTATCTACGCTGACATTTTCAAACAAAACAAAATATTTTCAACAACACCGAAAGCACCACAAAATTAACAGTAGCAAGTATAGTTATACCAGCTAAAGAAACACTACCATCTGCAACAATAACTATACCATTAAAATATACAACAACACCATCTGCAACAATAACTATGACATTAAAATATACAACACCACCATCTGCAACAATAACTATGACATTAAAATATACAACAACACCATCTGCAACAATAACTATGACATTAAAATATACAACAACACCATCTGCAACAATAACTATGACATTAAAATATACAACAACACCATCTGCAACAATAACTATAACATTAAAATATACAACAACACCATCTGCAACAATAACTATAACATTAAAATATACAACAACACCATCTGCAACAATGGCTATAACATTAAAATATACAACAACACCATCTGCAACAATAACTATAACATTAAAATATACAACAACACCATCTGCAACAATAACTATGACATTAAAATATACAACAACACCATCTGCAGCAATAACTATGACATTAAAATATACAACAACACCATCTGCAGCAATAACTATGACATTAAAATATACAACAACACCATCTGCAACAATAACTATGACATTAAAATATACAACAACACCATCTGCAACAATATCCATGACATTAAAATATACAACAACACCATCTGCAACAATAACTATAACATTAAAATATCCAACAACACCATCTGCAACAATATCCATGACATTAAAATATACAACAACACCATCTGCAACAATAACTATAACATTAAAATATCCAACAACACCATCTGCAACAATATCCATGACATTAAAATATACAACAACACCATCTGCAACAATAACTATGACATTAAAATATACAACAACACCATCTGCAACAATAACTATGACATTAAAATATACAACAACACCATCTGCAACAACTATGACATTAAAATATACAACAACACCATCTGCAACAATATTCATGACTTTAAAATATACAACAACACCATCTGCAACAATATCCATGACTTTAAAATATACAACAACACCATCTGCAACAATAACTATAACATTAGAATATACAACAACACCATCTGCAACAATAACTATGACATTAAAATATACAACAACACTATCTGCAACAATAACTATAACATTAAGATATACAACAACACCATCTGCAACAATATCCATGACTTTAAAATATACAACAACACCATCTGCAACAATAACTATAACATTAAAATATACAACAACACCATCTGCAACAATAACTATAACATTAGAATATAAAATAATACCATCTGCAACAGTGACAATATTTGTGTAACACTACGGTATTACCAGTAGCAAGCAATAAAACTTGATCACAATTAAAACATTGTACCTCTTTTTTTTGACTAGGCGAGTATGCTCCCGTATTTAGATAAGTTGTACCATTAAGGTCAATGTTGTCGACATTATTTAGTGTGAAATTCTGCCTTCCTATTAGCTCGCAATCAATATAAAACGATACGAAACCGTCTCCAACACTGAATGCAAACCGATGCCACTTTCTATCAATAATGTTGACATCAAACATCCACCAATGATTGTATTTTCCTGCCTGCACATAGTGCAAAGCTATGGAAGACTGTGTGACTTTAATACCAAGCTGTAGGTTTTCATTTGTGTCGTAAAATCCCACCAAGTATCCTTCTGTGTAATGGATGTATTTTGTCACCACAAAAATGGTAAAGCTGGGTGGAAAACTTTGCCTGAATATTGTCTTTGTTGATGATGATTGATTTTTGTTGGTTTTAAACTCTAGAGCGTATTCGTGTGATGGTGAGAGGCCGAGACTATTTCTTTGTGGTTGAAAATAGGTAAGCAAATTTATTAAACCTGAGGAGAAATATAAAAAAATTATCGACATCATTCATGTTCATTGTTTCAGATTTTGAAATTGACATTAAAAAATCAACAACTACATTTCAAATTTATTTCTTCTGTGATCATTTTTACAAAAGTCGATTTTTTCAATTTTGCTTTGAAAGTGATGCTAATTATCTAAGTTGATTGGAGTTAAAGTGATTGTGTGTGAAAATATAAGCAACAGTAAGGTAGTATGCAAGATGATCAGAACTGTGTTTTTGTACTTTCAACAATATCTACTTTCTCACATTAAAATCATGCTAGGAACATTTGTAAGTGTATGGTTTGGAAAGAAAAATAAAAGTTAATCAGGAAATTGGAAGTTATTTTGGCTTAGAACTGAATAAAAACGCCAGGCAACTTGGTTTTCCTACTGTGATAGTTTAAGTCCCCATAACCAGTAAAGTATGCGAGTGATTTGTATTGTTTTTTGTAAACACTGGAATCGAATTTCCACAAATGTTTCCAATAAAATGAACGAAATTGGATGCATGCTCTGGCATACAGCCTGAAAGTTTGGTATATATTTTGGTCTTCATTTGCTGTAAAAAAATACATTTCTAACGAAGTATATCATAATAATGATCTGAAATTTACGTCACGTGGCAAAACTTGTGGTTTGGCAGCGCAACTGTATGCAAGACACCTTAAAATGAGATACGATTTTAATTAATGAATGAATGTGAAAATTGCGTATTAATAAAATATACTACAATCGGGTTAAAGATCGTTGCTTAGAAGGTTGTTGTTCCCAAGCGTAGAACGAATTAAAGGAACCTTTCGAGGATTAACTAATGCCATATATGTTATTATGTCGTTCTCTTCATAAAATGTATTAATATTTTGTGTTGAAACAAACTCAGTTTGACTTGGCCATATGGTTTTGAGAAATGCGATCAAATCAACTGTGCAGATACGTGGGGTCAAACTATCTTCCCTTCACTGCATGCAAGAAACTAAAAATAATCTTGTAATATATCGATTATAGACAATCACATGACATGCTGTATGCGATTTTACTTCATTTCTATTCATGTGGCGTCTGTTATTGTTAATTTTCTTTGTTATTAACCTAGTTTTATACAATTTTTTATTTATCTGCCCTATTGTTTCCTTATTTTGTTTTGTTATTGTCTTTAATATTGGGCGTTATATTCAGAAACGTTTCTTCAAAGAGACTTCTTCATTTCCGTACAGAACTGATTACTTACTTTTTAAAACAGGAAAAAACACTAAATTTTATATATTGCTGCATTTATGTAGATTTTTGATGCAGAATTTAGACGGCTGCGACACTGTTCAGCACCTATTTGTGTTAGTGACGAGACTGTGGATAGTTAAATTATGCTTCCCAATCCCTAGCTAACGTAGCAACACGTATTTTTCCTTTGTTGGAGATAAACTTTTCTCAATTCAAATGTGATGATGTATTTCAAAACACGTATTGATTTAATTAATAAAATCGTATCTTATGAGCATCGAAAAGTCGCTACCTTTTTTGAATGAAGCAACGGAAGTTTGATATGATTATGCATAAGATAAGATTTCACTTCAATCATTGGTCATTGTTTGATAATGTTAAATCATATCAAGCTAGGCAGCAATTTTATATCTGTCATAAGTCGACAAATTCACATCGATTATAAATTCACTTGATTGAATAATGATTTTTGGAATTTTTGAAGGTGTTTTTACCTTCCGTTTGTCGTGTGATTTATATTTTCACTACTGTACGTTTGTGCGACAATTATGAAATAGTTAACATGGAACCTCTCTAATATTCACCAACTTCGGAATAATATAAAAATAGTCTTGTTTTTTTACTCACCATTGCATTCATAAGTATTGCATTCTCGTTTTGATATTGTCTCCCCTTCACAATTTCCACTTGTACAAATTCTTGTTCTATTTTGTGATCCCCCTAAGCAGAAGACTGAACACGAGGACCATTCAGACCAAGGTTGCCAACCTGTAAGAATAAACATATGTATAAACCATTGTGTATAAACTCGTATAACTAGCTTTTGTTTGAAGTCTTACACATCTAGCTTTAAATTGCTTTCCATTTTTTAACAATTTTTTACATTTAACTTTGTATAAGTTAGACATTTTATGTTCACGGCGCTAGAAAATTATTGTTGGATTGTTGCCATGCAAAATTGATGTAAAATATCATGTATATTGTCTTTTATGAAAGGAAATAGTATATCTACTATTTCTTTCGCTTTTACTTGTCGTTGAATCTGGTTGAATCTCTGAAGCTCTATGTTTAATATGTGTGTGCGTGTAGTATAATAATACATTGAAAGAACTTGATTTGCTCAAAGGCTAGAACATCATCCTGATAAAATATGTCAAGTAAAGAGTCTCATAAAGTACCAAGCCTAATATATTATGACGTATTTTCTCGAATCTGAGCTTTGAGATAAAACATTTTTATGATTACTTTGTTGCCGAAATAAGATGTTGTAGGTTTTTATAGAATTGGATGAACTTGGCCTTGTTTGGTAAAGTACATCTTAAGTGTAGGAATCTATTTTTGTAAATTGGTTTTTTTATACCAAACGTTTCAAAATTTCAAACATTGTTCAACAGATTCATTCCTTTCATCTTTCCAACTCATGCATGGATGAAATAATTATTGTATCTGTGTTTAGTTTGTAAAAACTATTCTGACGATTCAGATTTAGTTCATCAGAAACACTTCTTAAAAATGCAGTAGCATAGTTTATATTAACGTGTCTTCTACACATGACTATCGTACATATCACCAATGAAATATCTAGAACTTGTCTTCTACTCATGGCTATCGTACATATCACCAATGAAATATCTAGAACGTGTCTTCTACTTGAACTTTATAAAAAAATATAACCTTATCATAAAATTGTGTTCTGGAACTCACTTATTTGTCACCAACCAATTTTTTTTGTAGAAATCCTGCGTAACATTTCGTAACATGTTCAACTTGCAGTTAAACATTACTGAAACAAATTTTCAATTTGCGATGAACTTATGCAACTTAAAAATGCTGTCAAAATTATAAATGACTACCACTGTGTAGTTACCACCTCGGCTATCAATTTGTAGCTCCACATGCTAAAATAAACTTTTAAATTTCTCTACTTGTCATCTACGGTATTTAATGTCATGCTCTGAATTTTTGCTCTTCAGGATAGGATCATTTCTTCGGTGTCCTTTTGTCTACATGTAACGTTTACATTTAATGCTATAACTTGTTTATTTTTTGTTAAGAAGCAGCTTAATAAACTGTTTGTGAACGTTTTAATTATACCTAGTGCATTGCTACAGAAGAATTGTTTTGCTAAAAACTTCTTTATCGTCACATTTTGTTTAATCTGATATGAAATCCAAGCTGGAGAAATTGGTTTCAATTCCCATCGTAATACATGTCCATATACAGCCAGGTAGTATTCACAAAAACAGATGTTTACAATCTATTGATAAACGAGCCGACAAGAAAAATGACCCTGTATAAAAACTATTATCTCAAACGGATCTAGATTTTAGAACCGTTTTGTTTTTCATGTTGGCAATGAAATTTGAAAGAATGTCGCCATAATGTCCCGTTGTAATAAAAATAATAAACACGTTATGCGCAGGTAATGATAAATATTTCTTTATGACACGCTGAATGAAGCTAAATTTGCTGCTACTTTTTACATAATTGATGTGAAAAGCGCTAATTTATTGCAAGGATATGTTTTCTTTGTATGGAATTGAGTTGACAGTGTTGACCTGGCTAAATAGCTTGAATCTATGAAACGTTATTTACTGGTACTTTGAAAGCCCTGTGAATAGTTACCAACTACGTTTCCTTCATCAACTCGATGTGAAACTAAGTCGGTTTTCCAAACTACATTCCATTTTGATTTCCTGCATGTAGGTCATAACCGTTTCATCGCCGTCATTTCTTTTTCCGTAAATGCGTGCTGGACACTAACGATTTTGCTATGTAGTGAATAGTGCGGTATTCTTAGTCCGATTAGCATAAAACGCGCCCAATTACCTATTCATGATAGTACTTATAGAAATATCCATAACTTCCGCTAGATGTTACTATGGATCTTGTGAAACGTATCCAACGCACGAATTTTACAAAATAATTATTTATTGAACAAATTTACTCACCTAAAGATGCCAGCACTTCTTCTTGATTCTTAATAGATGGTGAAGCTGTACCACCAGACTGGACGTTTAGTAAAACATGCAGTGCCATTTTTGCTCGTACAAACTTAGCAAATAACAAATAAGTTTCGTCTTTAATGACCTCTGTGTTACATAAAGACGGAGACCAAATCCGACAATGTAAAAGATTGATTGACTGCTATTGGCATAAATATCTTCAATAATCTTGTGCCCTTTTAGAATGATGGAGAATTTAAAACCTCCGGTTTTATAATCTCGTAAAATGGGATCAGTGTCTACTGTTATAGCTTTCCCAATTGCGACCACATGTGCTCGTCTTGTTCGCTCTGCCAATGAGAGCTGTTTCCATCCATCGAGCATTGACTCAGGACAAAAACCATAAATGCTACGAATTAATAAGATCAAGAGAAATCCAGATTTGACAACATGGAGTGAGATCATTGTTTATAAGATTTAAATAATGTTACGTCCGACTTGATATGTTAGCAGCTTGGCTGTGGAATATACGATAACCCACTCAACATGTCTTTATATTTGCCTTAGTTTGAATTCATTACTTACGCAAAAGGATTTGATGACACTTGAAGGATTAAGAGAAGGATTTGAGTGGTCTTGCTTGCTAATCGTGCAGCGAACATAAACTATTACAGTTGCAATATTATATCAATGTGTCAAATGCCGAAATAATACATTAATTATCTCACATAAACAAACCGTCTCGAATGGCGTTAATTGCACAGTAATTGACTGTGATTAGGTCTATTAATTGCTACCATTAATTACGACCATTGCAACAATGCATTTTAATCAGGTAATCCGTTTTTGAGAGCATTAATTAAAAAGCATTCGAGAACTTTTGCGACGTGATTGAAAAGACTGATAAGAAATGTTCTATGGAATGTCCAAGCTGTGGCTCTGTAAAAAGACAGTCTTATTAAGTATCTTATTGTCCGTGAGGAAATGTTTTATCTTGAACATTTGTTATGTATGTTCACCGTTAGATTTCTTCACTTGAGACTACCCACAAAGTCGCAAGACCGTTCTCCAAACATGTGTTTTAAAAATCCTCAAGTGCTAATCCTGATTAAGGAAAGCTATTTCTTACTTTGCCAAAGTATACACAGGTGTATATAGTTTGATCTACAGCAAGGTGGTAGAGACGTAAGTACTCTATATTCACCAAATATGATTATCGGATTATTTTTGTCTCCTTGGAGATCAAATATGTTCTAAACGAAGAAAAACATTGTCTCGGTCAGTCATTACAGAGAAGATAAAAGTACAGTGTTCAGACATATTGATAACTTTATTCTCGTCATCTTTTTTTTTCATTTATCATAAAGCCATGATTAAAAAATGTGTCCGCAAAAATACTTAGCCATCATACACTTCTGTTCTCTCTACTTAAAATTGAATATTCTTTAATTCCTAGAATTGCTGTATTGCAAATGATGTTGATATTTTTAACTATTGAAATGTTTCTCCATCAAAATAATTTGTTTGTATGTACCAAATACTTTTTTGAAGTATAATTGAATATATTCTTTATCTATTTAATATAGTTAGACACAGGATAGCATCGCGCTGCAGGAGTTGCAAGCCAATTTTTATTACGTCTGTCTCGTCGAAAATTTTTATATCGATACAATACCGGTCACGTAGGTGAAAATTGAAAATTGCCTTGTTTTATAAAAACGAACGAAGACAAAAAATATTGGATTTTTCTGTGACAGTGTTGCTTTTAATGGATTCTTTCAATTGTTTTCTGGTTACACTCTCTATTCCAAATCAATACATAACATGTAAAATAAAGCTAGAGGACTTTATTTTAGCCACTGTCCCCCTCCCGTCAATGATTTTGTAACAATATTGAATTTTTGAAATATGTTTCACAACCCTAAATAAGAAGATATGCTCGACAGTTGGTTAAATACCGAATAATGCAATGCTAAAAGAATATTTATACACATTTCATTGAATGTAGTAAAGTTTATTGTGTTAGATCCAAGCTTTTTTCACACTCTCTTCAATTAAAGCCAAGTTAAAGGCTACTGCTTGATCCCCATAGAAAAGACTAAAGCCATAATTAATAAGTCTTCTATAATGTGCATACGACGAATTTTCAATTGAGTCTGCTCTGACATGTGGCCAAATGTGGCCAGTCTTTAAAATACAAGCGACTAGTTTTGTGATTAGAACACGAGGACTTGTCAATAGAAAGGTCAACTTTCCGCTTATCTTGTTCAAGTAACAGCCAAACTCTTAGGAAACTAAATACTGAAATAATATTATGCAAATTACTCATTTCCTAAATGAAGGAGTGGTTTTTATCCGGATGACGACAAACATAAACATTTTATGAAATAAACAATATAGTGGTATGATTTTCAAGAACTGCACATTCTTTATAAGGTTTCTACGAACTATCTGAGACTTCTGAAAATGCTTATTTTGCAGCATAGCTCTTATACGTATATATAACGTTTCTAAAACATTCATACTCTACATTGTGATGACAGCGCTTTAAAATCATGAGTTCTTTTTCTTGATCATTTCCTGGACTGTCTTAATGATAGATGAACTCAAACAACAAGCTCAGTATAGACCGTTAAAAACTGGGTGAATCAACCTGTTAATAAGCATTTATCATCAACGATATGGGAAAATCATATTTTTTGGTATACTAACTGTTTCTACTCACTCTTTATACTTAGTTACCAATAAGTGTTTTTATAAATGTGAAAAATTGACACATTTACAGAAACACAACACCGAGCTTTACATATGTCGTTTATAATTTCAAAACAAAACTATGATATATAATTTGAAACTATATCCAACTGCTGCAGTGATTGGTATATTTTCTGCGTAAATATTCTTTCAATGCTCATTTTTCGTGCATTGTTTTTTTATCTATGCCGCAATGTATGCAATCAATTGGAATTTCTACTAATGTCTAAGATGTTGAGATTGATTTTTTACAAGATTTCCGTGACTTAAAGATTAAAAAAACGACGATTTGATTTTCGTTATTATCTAAAAAAATGTTGTGGTTTTTGATTGGCTAAGAGGAATGTGGGACTTGTCATGGTCAACAAGTAACATGGTGGGATACGCATATTTTTACATCTCGCGTGATCATAAATACTCGTCTTCTTCATATAATGTTCAACTTTATTGAACATAAATGGAAAATCATTTATTTGCTCAAAGTCTTTCAACTATGCCTGATGAAACATTTCTCATTTATTTAGTTATTGAAACTATTTTATTTCTGTGTTGTGTTGCGTTGCTTTTATCTATAGCATATATGATGTTTTTAAGAAGACGTTAATTAAAATTGATTGATGTACTTGACATTTTGGCCTTTTATCTAGTGACGTGTACTGCTGGCCAGTGGTACCATCATTTGGTCTTTTGCTCATTTCAACAATTGTTTAATGTTTATTCGGTATTTCTGTTTAATTGTGAAAAAACGTAGATCAAAATTGAGATTGTAAAATATCAACGATTGATTAGAAGATATGATGAATAAAGACATTTCTTTTATAATTATTTATACGATCTTAATTTAGTTGATTTTATCACTTTATGCTGGACTAAAGCTCATTCGTATTTCACGGATATCAAAAGCAGTAATCATTACAATCACTTCTTATTTTTTAGACGAATTCATTACATTAAACATGACCATAATACAATAGACAGTTAACTTTCACCTTGGCCTACTTATCTTCTCGTTGTGTGAAGTTTTTTTTGATTAACAATATATATCCAATGCTATAATCACTTTGAAATAAAAAATCCGCTATAAGTCCAAGACATTTATATCAACATTCCTTTTGCACGCAAAGTTGTTATTTTTAAGCTAACCTTCGTCTAAGGCAATTCAAAAAGCAACTATGAGCAGTATAACATCTTCATTCACAACTTAACTTTCTGGTTTTATAGTTTCAATCATTTTTATAGTTATGATTAAAATACGTTTGTTTGTTGTGTATCTGTCATCATCATTTTCGAAGTTCAAATTAAGACAAGCAGGCTTACTTCATTTAAATCTATAAGAAATAAAAAAATATGTTAAAAAAAGATTGTTCAATGAAGAGAGAATTTCTAAAAAATTTTTTTCGTAACTTCATGCACGCAAGATCTTCAGCAAACGGCTGTTTTTCCTTTCGAAAAGGATATTTTTAAAATTTAGTAATGTAGGACTTAATTCACATATGTTCTCTGTTTATTTGTTTCAGTTTTTTAGCGAAGTCATGATCTGAATTTGAGCAATTATAGATATATTTCATCACCCATGATTCGCCGCCACACAAGTTTTAACAAGTTCAATATTCTAAATTCTTATCACCTAAATATCAACGTCATGATACTTAAATATTTGCGTGACGATTTTAATGATGTGTGCTGAAAGATTTTAACGTGGTTTTGGTGTTAAAATGTACCTAAGTAAAGAAATTGGCTCATCGTATCTAAAAACTTACGATGTTATACACGTCAGCAGTGTTTTCTTAAAACTAGAATTTAAAGCATGTGTGTTTTTAACATATTGCACAATATTAAGGAGCAAAAGTAGTTTTAAAGTGGTTCTGGAATGGTCTACAAGCTGTGAGTGTTAAAAATTCTGCGTTTGGAGTAAAAAGTTAAAAATCTATGGCGCCATACATGATGGCGCCAACCCTTTGATGCGCTAACCAATTACCAAGGTGGCGTCGACTAGATGGCGCCAAGCTTGTGTGACGTCATTAATCGTCATTTTCTCACAAGCGAAACCATTGGGAGCAACAGAGTTTTATTTCTGTGCCATATAATTTAGAACAGGTTTTCAAAAACGTGTTTACACTTCAATTTAATACTTATTGTGATGATTTCTGTAGATAGGCAAACTATTATAAGTAATGGCAAAATGTCCATACCTTTGATCTTATATATAGCAAAAACAAAGCCTATTAATTAACACCTTGGCAGAGTTGAAAAATTAAACCATGTTGTACACTGTACATACAGAATTTTCATCATCCATTCATTATCTACAAAACAATCTTTGTTTTTAAAGATGGCGGATTATTAGGAATTAAATCACAAAATCCTGTCCGTATCACAGAACAAATTAAAACTTAAGTAAATGCATAAAGCACTCACTTTATAAATTAATATTTTACCTGTCACGTGGCTTTTTAAGCTTAAAACAATAAAAAAAATTCTGCTGTGTACGCAAAGTAAAGCAAAGTAAAGAAATTTGTTGATCAAAAATAATATGTTACGACAATATTTCATCTTGATGGCACAATTAGATAAGCATAATTGTGTTCGTTTTGATGGCAAAATTGCTGGAATAATTGAATCGATTATTTAAAATATTTTTCAGTTTTAATCCAAAGAGTTTTGACATTTTTGTATAATTAACTTGTCGACAGATGAGTAAGGATGGGTGTAGACGTTAAAGTATGACTGTAGACGAGTTTCCTCGACTTTTTAATCTCTTTTGATATGTTTATCTAACTTTGAAACCAGACATTACTAAACTGCTTAATACTTTATAACATTTTATTCTGTCGATCCTGGCGCTTTTTGCTATTAAATATAATCATCTACAAGTCACGGTAATGATAAGAAGTTGAAATTTCTGGGTTTTTTATCTATTCAATGGCTGGCTAGTAAACTCTTTATAAAAGTATTACTTGATATTTTTTCATAAAGTGAGTTTCAATTAACCCAATTTAAACATAACTCGTAATTTCAATAAGACGTTCTGTTCTATCTTTCATTTAGATTAACACATAATTAATATAAAGAAAGTAAACTTTATAGCATGTCTGTGTATGTGTTTGGTTGAGGAAGACGCCAAAGGAAATAGAGAATTTTATAGGGCCATACGACGGCTGTTGCCTGTGGGCATCAACGAGCTCCACAAATTGAATTGTACAATGTTTTTCGAGTTGTTATAATTATAATACAATAGTTCATATATACATATATATAAATCGTACATCCTTTGTCCCAAGTGCAGAAGTCACCATTTTACTATGGTGATAGCCGGGAGGGCACATTGTTATACACTTTGTATTTATATATGTATGTATTATAATTTCATTATGAAGAAATGGGAGGACTATGTTATTATTTAGCACTAAAATACAGTACTAACAGAAACACATTACGAGAGGGAGAGTGACGCAGTTGAAAATCTAAATATGTCACTGTCTCACCAAATGTTTTGGAGAGAATATTAGTTTCAGTGAATCATTGAAGGTCACTTAGCTTCTCAGTTCCCCCCACATCTTCCAACAAAGATGAACTATTTTCCAGTGATTTAACCAATAATAACGCTTACCCGTTCAAGTTGGATGACACAATATTCTTTTGTATTCGACCTCCAACATGGCTGATGCGAAAAACAAGAACGGTTAATATTTTTCAGAAGTCCCATTATCCCTCGATTTTGCCGTAGAAAATATGATGTAAGCTGAGCTCACTAAAATATCTCAATTTTTTACTACTTATAATGATATCTTGACTCTTAAGCATGTCCAATTAAATAACACTGTCTTTTTTTCACCTTTGGATTGCGTCCAGTAATCGAGTGTAGCGTTCAAGGGTTGATTCAAAAATAACCATCTTTTTTAATACGCCGCATTTGGATTCAGCTCCGCGGGATTGAAGCTGAACTGACGTTTGAACGACCTTAGCTGTATTCATCTTCTTAGCTGAAAATTTCTACCACTTGTCGAAACATCAGTCAACATCAATACCAACAGTCCTTCTCAGCACCCTACTTACCTGGACGATCTACATCTACAATTATGTAACGATATGTAAAGATAGCCTTCAAGAGCCCAAAGAACTCTCAAATTTGGCTTCTTTATTTCTTGCTTGGCCTCGAAAAATAAAAGAAATGATGAAATTATGAAAGAGTCTATTCTTTGCTAGTTCCAGACTCTTTGCTCCCGGTCCGGTGATAGCAAGGGTCGCCAATTTGGCGCAAAAAGGGCCAAATTTCTTGATTTCGTATTTTTTGGCTTCTTTTCAGTGATATACACATAAATTTTTAATAAAATAGTTGTACAATAGTATTTATCTACCAAATAACAAAATACTTGAAAATTGTAGCGTCATATTTCGTACTCTGTATTATATCGTGTGAAGAAGACTTCCACTGAAAGTCGTATTTCAAACCTGCAACCACCATATTTTTATCAGATTTAAAACGAAATAGCTCAATTATTAAATATTTTCATAAAAAATACAAAACAAAGATGACATCTGATGATTGAGCAATCGAAAATTAAACCGTGGATCAGAGAGTAAAAATGTCCTCAAAAAAACGATTTTCGCTGCACACCTCTCCCAACTAATAATTACTTTATAATTTTATGGGGAATAATGCAAAAGCAAGTAATCAATGTGACCCCAAGTGTTCACAATAAGCAGAAATTATTGTTTTATGCACGTGGCGAAGACGTCATCAATGCTTGTTAAAATCAAAAGTTTGCAAATTCCAAAATTTCTTCGTACCATTCTATAGACTAGTATGATACGAGTAAAAAAGTATATTACACCGTGTGACTCGAAGTATCAACGAATGTTTGTTTTACCATAATGCTGACTCAGCATTTTAAGGTCTTGTCTTATGCCCCAGACATACCTGCCAACTTGTCCGGTTTTATCTGCTGTGACCTAAATCTTAAAACGAATCTTCAGAACACCAGATTTTCAATCACTTTCACCCTTCTTTAATGACATATAGTTATTGAAAGAGTTTTGAAAGAATCAGGTCGGACTAAGCATTTAATGAATACAATAATTAAGCATTTTATATGTTATGCATTTAAATTTTCTATACGCTTTGTAATTATGAACTAGAAATACACTTGTTTTTTTGTGTTTGCTGTTTTTAAACAATTCTCTTCCACCAAAGTCTTCTGCTCGTCAATATGTTGGTGAATACAATTCTTTATTGACACTCACTTAGACTTGATTTGCTCAAAATTATTTTACTAAATACAAGTCATAACAAAAATTAAAAACGGGTGAAAGTGATGGAAAATCTAGTGTTCAGAAGATTTGTTTTAAGATTTAGGTGACAGCCCATAAAACCGGACGAGTTGGCAGGTCTGTCAGTGGTATAAGACAAGACCTTGAAATGCTGAGTCAGCATCATAGTATAAAAGATTCTCATTGGTTGATGCTTCATAAACGAGTGACTGAAAGTAAACAGTGTACTATAATTTGTTACTCGTTTCATACTAGTCGATCGAATGGTGATGAGAATTTTTCAACGTTGCAAATTTTTTAGTTTTGATAACTATTTATGACGTCATCGTGAAACGTAAATTTCTGCTTATTGTGCACGCTTATCGCTTCCCTATAACATTATGAAAAAAATTATTAGTTGTGAGAGTTGTGCAGCAAATGCTGTGTTTTTGAGCACATTGGTCCACGGCCTAAATAGTTCGATGCATGATAATCGTGGTATTGAATATCGATATACTTTCGCCAGTAGCCTGGTATCGAGCGGTACGACAACTCACAAATTACTCAGTAATTGTAGTTGTGCTGGGGGGTCTTAAACACAAAGTGCCCTGTGAAACGGGTGGACAATTTGTACGAAGGTGAGTTGTTTAAACGCATCGAAAAACGTTCGTATGTTTGTTTTAGACTGAACTTCTGAGAATAATTTACTTTATTGAAGTGTCGAGCGCTTAAATTATTGAATATGGATTTTTATGATCGTTCTTCCCAGTGTTTGCTTTTAGCTTGTCTTGCCTTTGTTTACTTTTAGGTCAGGTCATGGCTTTTTCGATATTCGATATTGTAGCATAACTGGCATTAATAATTACGGTGAGGCAACATTCATATATGCATTTTATAACATGTAGAAAGTCATTGAAATTATTAGAACCATTTTAGTAATCATTTTAACCATATTCTTGGTTTGCAAGCTACGCGATAGCCGCCATGTCGGATGATTTTAACAAATGATTTTCCTTATTTACTATGAAAATTTCATCCAACATGGCGAGCAGTCATTATTCCCTTTATCCCAAGGGAATGGTTGCCTCCCAGCAATTAGTACTCATCAGCATAATTAAGACATTTTGGAGATAGCCAAGCAGTTGTTTTATTGTTTATATATCTTCTATTTTCCTGAAAGCTGCCATTATCTATGAAATATCTTTACTCAAAATATGTGATGTCAAATGTTAATAAATATCAATAAATTGTATATAAATAATTAATAAGTTGTTGTCTTGTATGTTACAAAAACTTGGGCAAGTTATGATACAATGCTCGGTTTCATAATGTCATTGTTAAGAACTGGTATAGAACACATACTTTTTTTATAGGTATTACATTATTATTTCAAGCCATGCTCAAACAAAATAAAAATGGATTTAGTCTTATAAATTGACCTATACAAGTTGTATTAAATTTACAAAATATTAAGGTTTCATTTTGATATAATTGACACAAAAAAGTACTTAGTTTTGTTTCATCCTTTATGTTGCAGTACGACTAGAAAGCTGTCTTCCAGTTCAATAGTTTTGTGTGATACTACATGATAAGAAAAGTGTGTTCGTGTACAATGGTTTCCTTTCATGAATCATCAATGGTAAAATGATAAGAAAGAGAAAAATCTTGAAAGTTTCTTTTATAGTTTTTATAGCTCTTATACTGCTCTATCCATCATTGTTTCATTATGAATCAAATTATCACGAGTCTGTGATATCTAAGGTGAATACTTCAGAGACTTTAATCCAAAGAAGCAAAAAAAGTATATGTTATGATGGATGGAATACTTCATTTGCAAAAAGATTTCCGCATATTATGATTATTGGTTTTGGAAAAGCAGGAACTCGTGCTGTCTATCAAATGCTTCGTATGCATCCGAATGTTGTTGGTCCATCAAATGAACTTCGTTTTTTTTCCTCTGACTTAAAGTATAAAGGTGGCATTGATTCGTATATCAGACTTATGCCAAGAACAACGAATGAGCAAAAAACAATTGAAAAAAGTCCGGACTATATTATTAAAGCTGGAACTGCTGAAAGGATAAAAAAGGCCTTATTGTACTGTGAACGTCTTGACGAAGTCAAATTTATTGTTGTTTTAAGAAATCCAGTCGACAGAGCTGTATCAGAATATTTAGAGTGGAAAAAACATCTTAGGTTGACAAATTTAAATGATTTTCAAAAGCGTGCTCTAAAGAAATCTGGTGAAATCAAAAACCATAATATACAGGTAAGAAAATTTTGTTAATGCTTCTCAAAAAGCATTTACGATGACGAAAACTTCGCTAAGAACGACTGCTTTCTTCCTTCTTCCTTAGTTTTAAACTGTTTTCAATTTTCGCAACTGTGTTGCCAGTGTTGATTGTGAATATTTATGTTTATTTCTTGCTGTCACTTTGCATTAAGAGGATATACTGTACTGTTTAAATCATTACATACTTGATTCTCATTTCATTTCATGCTTTCTGAAGGTAAACTGCAGTATTTACTCCTATCATATTAAAAACTGGTTAAAGACGTTTGATATCAACAAGATATGCTTTGTGAATGGTGATTTGTTAGTTAAAGATCCTTTTATTGTCATAAAAAAGTTGGAAAGATGTTTGGAACTTCAAGATTTCATAACACCCCAGCACTTTTATTTTCTAAAGGAAAGAGGCTTTTATTGCCCAATGCCTTCATTTGGTCGAGTTAAGTGTCTTGGATCCAGTAAAGGGAGACCGCATCCTCCACTTGAGAAGAATTTTGAAATGAAACTGAGAAAATTTTATCAACCTTATAATATTGAACTCTATAATCTATCGGGAATTAATTTTGAATGGGTTGAAAAAAAAAGCTGAAACTTGACCACTTGCATAAAATTTTGAGAAAATTCGATCGAAAATTTTCAAGAATGAATGCAGTTTTCTTGAAAATATCGGGAAACACTTTTCCTGGGCTGCGATAAAATTTCCGTTTTTTGAAACTAGTTCCAGTTTTCAACTGGTTCCATGCTCAAAATTGGGACCAGTTGCCGGTTTGAAATGGTAGCAATTTTACAAAGTAATACTAAAAATTTGTAACTATTTACAAAGATATTTAACTTGTACAACATTGATTGTAACAAGTTTCAGTTAAAGTTACCGTAAAACCAATTATGCTTGTAAGTAAAAACTATAAGAATTAACGATTACTCTTAAGTTACAGCACTGTCTATTATGGTTGTTCAACACACAGTAAATGATAGAATATGGTCAAACGGTTACCTTTTTTATTCTGTCTAAATAAAATAAAACAGAACACAAACTGTGCTTTTTTTGCTGAAAAAGCCGCTGTCTAGAAAACTCTATATTATAGTGGTGTTACATGAATTTTGAACCGAAGCTTCATGGTTGTGCGGGCTCACCACGTTTCATATCTTATAAATTTATGTTTCAAACGTTTATAATGAGGTTTATAAATAATTCATTGCCATAATGCTGTTCACTGTTGTCGTAGTTTGTACATACGTAAATATATTCTTTGTAGAGGTGAAAAGATAACAATATGTACATTGAAAAACGTTCTGGCGTAAAGTCGTGCACATACTATTGCTCGAAAAATTCTCTTGCTGTGTTAAATGTCATTTACATTGTAAGTAATTCATTATTTTAATTTTTGTGAAACACTTTCTAAAGGCACTGTGGCTAAAGATATCATGAAATGTTTTGGACGTGTTTATTAATTGAATAAAAGCGCACGAAAAGTGCACACACAAATATTTACTTATTTAAAGATAAAGAAAAACAAAACTAAATTTTCATCGTCAAAAGTCTGTTTCTTTCTTGATTATTCATCCACCTAAATTCCCTAAAGATTTTTATGTGTTGAAGTGTTTTTTATATTTTCGTTCTCCTCATTCACAACGAGTAGGTTAAGTCGGAGAATCAAAACACAAATTCCCAATACTTATGTTCGTATTTGCCTTAACTTTACTGTGAAACTAAAATAGCAATTGAATTTTTGCAATCACCGAAAGTTGTATTTTTCAAAGACAGTCCGTCAAATTCTTCATAGTTGATTTCCTTTAATGACTCAAAATAAAAAAAGTTACGTTGAAAACACTGTATGATGTTGACCTGTCTTGAAAATGAATTTTTTTCCAGGTTAAAAATCTTTCATTTGTTTTAGCAAGTTTTTGTGGTCCATACCATCTATAAAACCATCCTGTCACCATACATTAATAAGTTTTGAAATTTTACATACACCCTGTACAATTTTGCTGAGACTTGTGTAAACAAACCAATAAGGAAAGATCTTATGAAGAAATAAATTAGACTTCTCTATTTAATTCTTCTAGTCCATATTCCAGTTAGTTAACAAGAGAATTTGCTTTGAATTGGCAAACTGCAGTTATAAAAAAACAATTCACACACCTGAAGTTCTTCAATTTTAGCTAGATAATACTGTTGTATTCCCTCATGACTTTTGTCAATTTCAATCTCCATCTACAGAAAGGAAATTGTTAATTTTAACTTGAGTAAAAAACTGATGACACAAAATCGTATTTTGGTACCTACAGCAAATTAGTATCATTTTGATAAATAATAAATTACAATGGCATCTTAAACAACTTAAGTCTCATCAAAAATTATTTGGGGCATCAACAATTCAATGGTCCCACATCATACAATCCAGTCACCGTGTCTTAACCACTCTATACAACCCAGTCACCATGTCTTTACCACTTTATACAACCCAGTCACCATGTCTTTACCACTTTATACAACCCAGTCACCATGTCTTTACCAGTTTATACAACCCAGTCACCATGTCTACCAGTTTATACAACCCAGTCACCATGTCTTTACCACTTTATACAACCCAGTCACCAGGTGCTAATCACCATGTTATAAAGCTAAATTTTGATGCTGATTTATATTTTTAACTTCCTACTTCTAGTTTCTTGCAATCTTGTTAATATCCATTGCTGTATATGCAAAGATCACAGCTGTGTTGACAAGTTTACCTATACTTGGAGCAGTTGTTGCATGTGGTGTATTTTTGTTGATTGTTTCAATATTTGGTTTGATTGCAGCTGTTCGACATCAACCAGTTATACTTTTCTTTGTATCCTTTTCTTCTATAACTATTTCATTATATATGTACAGTTATATACTACTATACATTGTGTTGACAAAAACATCAGTTTTTAATACTTTGTTCAACAGTTCTTTGTTACTGAGGCTATTACTGTGTGACTACCATATTATTCATTGCAATGTAAAATGTAACATTGGTCAAAACACTTTGAATTTTATAGCAAACAAAATTCTTAACATATAAAGTACATCATAACTATGGTGTTTTTGTTTATCTTCTTGCTATCAGTGTCTCTTGCTGCGCTAACTGTCTCCCCAGATAAACAAGAGAAAATATTGAAATCAAGCTGGCAAAAATTGGGAAATCAGACAAAGAATGAGCTCCAAGTTGCAGGAAATTGCTGTGGCTTTCATGTTTTAGCAGACCTTCAAAATACTACAATGTATCACCCTCCTTGCACTAAGGTACAAAAGAGATACAAATCTTTGAAATCTTGTTACTTGCTCCATATTTTGATCAGACCATTATGATCAGAGACTGTGGCAGGTCAGTAATTTTGTGGGGAAGGAGCTACCTAATATTCATATATGCATGCTCTATTTTATTAGTTCCTATTGAAATCAATTGTGATTACGTATTATGGAATATGAATATTAGAATATGACCCTTCACTATCAATCATCCGCCATCTTTATATGACTGGAAATGATTGATCAACTAACGGAAAGCGACACTGGGTTTTTGCAAAACGTCGTTTGTTTTGTATTGTAACCAATCTCCGAAAAATTTCATACATATATTTTGGGGTTTTTTGTATGCTTCATTTAATTTGATAGCTCAGGTATCGATTAATTAAACGTTTTTATGATTTAAGCTTCCATGTTGTAAGAAACGAACAAGAGACTTCTGTGATCAATGTCCGGCATGTTTTACATACTTTAAAGGTTCCATTGATCAAGCTCTTTCTGTGGCAGGAGCTATTGGATTGTTCTTCAGTTTCACATTGGTAAGATCAGCATTTGTACTGATGATTTTTATTAACAACAATCTCAACCGCTCTTGGTTTTTAACATTTTTTCCGTTTTTTTTTATGAACGTGTGTGGTAATGCATTTTTTGAAATTTTTAGATAATTGGCGTTTACGTGGCCTATAAATATCGCAATATAAAGGATCCAAAAAGTTCATCTGGGTCGTTTCTTTAATGATTTCAAATTCTAGATTGGAATATGCATAAATACTATTTAATGATAACTTTTTTCGTTTGAATGCTTAATTTTCTGTTGAAATTTTCTGTTTGAAATGTATTATTGACGAAAGATTTTTCTTTTCCTTCCAATCCAGTGGATTTGCTTAATCAACTTACTCTTGCAGAAGATATCTCTAATATGGGAATAGGAAAATTTTTGTGGAAGGTCTTTCTCATTTTCTCATTCACTTCTCTTTTTGTCTTTTTTTTTGAGCCAGTGAGCATGACAATTTAGGTTTTAACTATTATTGCATATGACAAAAAATCTCACCACACAACAATTTTTTGTGTCGTAGTTTTGTCGAAATTCCCTTCCTTTGCTTAATCTCTGTGACCAGACTTTCTCAATGGCAGGTTATGCTGAACTTTTATAAAACTTTTCTCTTTGCATCCGCACCAGCACCATCAATATCATTCTAACCTTATATACCAATTTTCAATATTCCTATTTCATTGGTCGAGAGTGCGTCACGTGAGAGTGATAAAATTGAACTGTTTCCTCGCTGGTGGCTCGACCGTTAGATAATGCATAAATTACCTTCGTCATCGTGAAACGTGATAAATGTGACCTTTGCCTTGACAAGTTGAACCATCGGACAATAAATGAATTAACGACAAACACGCTGTTTCCTTTGCCACTCAGTCAATAGGATAAATGTGGCCACTTTGCTCTGCAACTGGCTGCTTTATGATTGACAAGTTGAACCATCATGGTGGTAATGCTGCCAATATGGTAATCACATGCGTAATAAGATATGCGTGGCACGAAAAAATTGAATGGAGTAGCCCTACTGTATGTTCTCTATACTGTGTCTGTACTTAGCGTAGCAAGTGTATAAAAGGATTTCTAGAAAATTAACATGTTCAAATTACCATAATTTGCACAAAGATCAATGCTGATCTAGTTGATTCATTGAGATTATCTGAAGTGGAGAATTTTGATTTTGATCAGTGATTTGATATTAATTTTGATGCAAGTCATCGCAATGCACACTGGGATAGATGTAAGTTTTCTCAAAACATGGCGGCTGCTGGCCTTTCGGTAATTTCATCTTTCAACAACGACAAACGAAGTATCTTGAAAAATGATGAGTTATTTAAAGCCAAAAGCAACAAAGAAATCAAAGTATGTATTGCTCTATAACACATCTTTAAGTAAAATTGTACAGTGATCGGGAAAGTCTACATTATGTACACTAGTGTAGCGCTTCGCGTTTTTCTTATTTTTATATGTCAGGACATTTGACTCCAGTGTTTGGTTTTCGGAAGTTATTTTCTTTCCTCTGTATATTACTTAAAACTGATACCTTTCTCATAATCTGTAATTAATGGTTTGTAGTATATAAAGTATTTGTTAAAGTATCCTGGTTATATTTCCATGTGTTTTGGGATATTAATGATGTCAAAAATTTTCTGTTACGTCATTTAATGTGTTAAAGAGATTCTAAATTTTTGGGTTGTGCATACTATTTTATCAGTCAGCCAGATTCAGTAGAAGAGTTTTAGGTTCATATTAATTTTGGCAAAGAACTGAAACTAGCCAGCTTGAGAAAAATCAATTTGTTATTATGATAGCAAATACATTACAGCAACTTATACAATCTGTTAAAAATATAGTGTTATTTGGTAACTAACCAAAAATACATTGGTATCATATTACACCATGTTTGTTTGTTATGATATGAATAAGTTTGGGATTATTATTGTTTCTATTTACTCATCTTGTTGTTCTGTCCTCGTTGATCAACTAAGACTAAGAGTTGATAGTTGATACTTTTGGTACATTTGTTTGTATTGTGAGAGGTTGAGGTAAAACCTTAGCATTCTTTTCATGCATTATATAGCTATGAGACTAGTGTATTGCTATGTTGTAAGTACTTATTAACCATAGTTAATGCTTTACTGGTTTTAGCATGAGAAAATTTCAAAAGAAAAAAACAAATTAGTTTACACACTGGATTAATATGTTTACACTGAATTACTGTGCAGAACCATTGAATTGTTGATGCCCCAAATAATTTTTGATGAGACTTAAGTTGTTTAAGATGCCATTGTAATTTATTATTTATCCAAATGATACTAATTTGCTGTAGGTTCCAAAATACAATTTTGTCTCATCAGTTTTTTAATCAAGTTAAAATTAACAATTTCCTTTCTGTAGATGGAGATTGAAATTGACAAAAGTCATGAGGGAATACAACAGTATTACCTAGCTAAAATTGAGGAACTTCAGGTGTGAATTGTTTTTTTATAACTGCAGTTTGCCAATTCAAAGCAAATTCTCTTGTTAACTAACTGGAATATGGACTAGAAGAATTAAATAGAGAAGTCTAATTTATTTCTTCATAAGATCTTTCCTTATTGGTTTGTTTACACAAATCTCAGCAAAATTGTACAGGGTGTATGTAAAATTTCAAAACTTATTAATGTCTAGAAAACTATCATTCATCAAATTTCTGTAAAATGTGTTCACATCTAAGTATTTTGCCATCGTCTGGTTTATCTGAAAGAAAAACAATCAAAAAAATTCTTCTTGTAAAGAGGGAGAGTGGTTTGTTACATGCTCTATTTTAATTTCTTGGGCAAAAAAAATGAGAGTTGCAACAAGCTCATTCATGCAGTGAACTTAATGTTTATCAAATTTTCTATAATGATGATACAATGCACAACCAGCAGTGGATCCAGCATTATCCAAAATAAATTATAGCTGTTTAATTTTAAATTCAAAGTACTTTCAGAAAAACATTGGTTTTGAATTTCTAAAGAATATAATTTTACCAATGGATTTTCCTCTAAGGTACTTAAAAATGTAAGTACATGCCAAAATGTGCTTCAGAAATTTATTTTGACTTACCCTAGATCCAGAACTATGCAGAAACAAGTTCAAACTTTCTTCTCTCTAAATTAAATTATATTTTAAACCCATCATTTTCTTTGCACAAGTTGTTAAAATTGAGTCTTTGACAAACCACTCTCCCTGTTTTTGAGATTAATTTTTCTGATTGTTTTTATTTTTAGATAAACTGGAAAATACCAGAGTTACTTAGATGTGAACACATTTTTGAGAACATTTTGCTACTGCTACTCTTACTGTTACACAGTTTTATAATAATATGAATGCAAAACACAAATAAAGTTTCTTGGCTAAATATAAAGATTCTTGAGACATTTTTAAATTTATATGTATGCATATAGCTCACAGTTACAGAGAAAGTAAAAAATCTTCGAAGACTCGAGGCACAAAGAAATGAATTAAATGCAAAAGGTATTTGTGACAATAACCAGCTCAATTATATTAGCTGTTCTCACATTTGAATAGTTTAGTTTTTGTTTTCCATCCTTGATGGGAGTATTTATTTTTGATTTTAATTATTATATTTGAATGAGTGAATTGATCATTATTTCATGATGTTTATATTTCAAATGTTTTGTTATCAGTTCGAATGTTACGAGAGGAATTACAATTATTGCAAGAGCAAGGATCTTATGTTGGTGAAGTTGTCAAGCCAATGGACAAGAAGAAAGTTCTTGTTAAAGTATGTTATTGAACACCATTTTAATTCTTCTTTTATATGTGAACAAACATTATTGACAAAATACTCTGACTAATCCAACTGAGGCTGGCAATGAATATGGTGGTTGCAATAAAATCATATGTATTCTTTTGTTGTTTAGGTACATCCCGAGGGAAAGTTTGTTGTGGATCTTGACAAATCCATTGATATCAATGATGTATGTGAAATGATTATTTTGTTGTCTTGACAAATTCAATTTAAATGCATTTATATTTTTTCAGCTTGTTGTTTCATTTTCATCACTTTTTATGCTTAGAGTTTTCTTTATTTGATTTAGGTAACAGCAAACTCGCGGGTTGCTTTGAGAAATGACAGTTATACATTACATAAAATATTACCAAACAAAGTATGTGCGTTGAAGTATATGCTTTAATCAATTTCTATCTTACTCTTTTACAAAGATGTTTATTGTATTTATTATTCACCTTGTAGGTTGATCCTTTGGTAAGTTTAATGATGGTGGAAAAAGTGCCTGACTCAACATATGAAATGGTCGGTGGTTTAGATAAACAAATTAAAGAGATAAAGGAAGTATGTTCTTCAAGTTTTTTTTTCAGTTTTTGAATACTGCTTTTATTTTTGACATAATTTTTGCTTTTTCTGTAGGTGATTGAACTCCCTGTAAAACATCCAGAATTGTTTGAAGCTCTTGGTATTGATCAACCTAAGGTTTGTAAATCAATAGAAAACTAAAAATCATCATGTTAACTTTGTAAAAACAGATACATATAGTGATTCTCTAAATTAGAGCCAGTATGTTGAAGGTTCAAAACCACTTTTATAATAATTTGTCATAATATGTTAATCCATACATTACAAAACCTCCCTAAGTGGATAACCTTCAGACCAAGACCTGTACAGTTTAAATTTGAATTGCTTGTGATTTCATGTATGTTTCATTACTTTGCCATCTTAAAGTTTTCAAATTTTGGCTCTTGAGAACTTACAGACATAACAGCACTTTTGCATTTCTGAAAGAATATAGTGGACAGTGAAGGATAGCATATGTTTTTAGATAAAGTTGACCTCAGACACAATAAATATCCTATACTTTGTGGCATCTCATAGTGTGTAAATTAATGGTGTGCTTACTGTGCTATTTACCCATCATTTTGACCAAAATGAAAAAATAGCACACATCACTTTTCAACCCAGTCACCATGTTTTACCACTTTATACAACCCAGTCACCATGTCTTTACCAATTTATACAACCCAGTCACTATGTCTTTACCACTATATTCAACCCAGTCACCATGTCTTTACCATTTATACAACCCAGTCACCATGTTTTTACCACTTTATAAACCTAGTCACCATGTCTTTACCACTTTATACAACCCAGTCACCATGTCTTTACCACTTTATACAACCCAGTCACCATGTCTTTACCTTTATACAACCCAGTCACTATGTTTTTACCACTATATACAACCCAGTCACCATGTCTTTACCATTTATACAACCCAGTCACTATGTCTTTACCACTATATTCAACCCAGTCACCATGTCTTTACCATTTATACAACCCAGTCACCATGTCTTTACCACTTTATAAAAACCAGTCACCATGTCTTTACCACTTTATACAAACCAGTCACCATGTCTTTACCACTTTATACAACCCAGTCACCATGTCTTTACCACTTTATACAACCCAGTCACCATGTCTTTACCACTTTATACAACCCAGTCACCATGTCTTTACCACTTTATACAAACCAGTCACCATGTCTTTACCACTTTATACAACCCAGTCACCATGTCTTTACCACTTTATACAACCCAGTCACCATGTCTTTACCAATTTATACAACCCAGTCACCATGTCTTTACCAATTTATACAACCCAGTCACCATGTCTTTACCAATTTATACAACCCAGTGATGTTACTTTTGTATGTAGTTTATAACTTACCATGTATGTACATTATGCGCAAGTTTTGAAAATATCAACTGCTTCGTCATAATTAATGTAATATTGATTTAATTATGACACAGGAACATTTTTCTCAAAAAATAAATTTTACATGCATGTTTTTTCAAGTATATTCTCTGGAGAGCAAAAGCATGGAATAACAATGGAATTTAAGTGTGAATGTCTCACACATGACGGAAGAATTTCCCTATAGGTTTAATGATGCTTTCTGCTCTTAGGGTGTGTTGTTATATGGTCCACCTGGCACTGGTAAAACTCTTCTTGCTAGAGCCGTCGCTCATCACACAGCTTGTACTTTTATTCGAGTATCAGGTTCAGAACTTGTGCAAAAATTCATTGGTGAAGGTGCAAGAATGGTGAGAGAACTCTTTGTCATGGCAAGGTAACAAGTTAAATAAAATGTTATTGAACTTTCTCTAGCTTAATGAAAAAAATTACAGAGAGCGTGTCCTATGAATAATGTTACTTGACATTTCCTCTATTTACGGAGCATGCTGCTTCGCAATAATCTTACATGACATTTTTTCTATTATGTAGAGAGCATGCCCCATCAATAATATTCATGGATGAAATAGATTCAATTGGTTCATCACGAATAGAGTCTGGTGGATCAGGTATGTTAGTCGAAGTTAGATTATTATGGATCAAAGATTGTAAAAGGAGATAAAATAAAATGAAACAAACTCCGAATATAATATCCATCTATAACTCAATAAATGCAAAAATTATTGTATTGTTTCTTTTCTTTTACACCTCAAATATTGAGTTAAAAGATGGATGCTTTATTCAGAGTTTGTGTCATTTTATATTTTATCTAACAATCGGCTGGTAATAGATAAAAGCCTATATTATTATTTAGATATACAATAAACTAAGAATATTAAATGCAGATATGATCTTCGCACTTTGCTGGACAATTTAAGCAATTGTCTCATAAACCTGAAAAATTCAGGTGACTCAACGGGATCCCCTTTAATTTCAAACACCGCACTGCATAAAACATTCTTTCATAAAATGAAGAATATCTTTACTTAGGTTTACTGTTTAGAATTTACGTATAAGAAATTAATGTCTGCACGGCCGCTTATGGAGGATTTCTTTACTTTTAACTTGATCAATGACTTCCTTTACTGTGTTGTTCAGGGACAGCGAAGTACAGCGAACTATGTTGGAATTATTGAATCAACTTGATGGATTTGAAGCAACCAAAAATATCAAGGTTTTTTTTTATCTTCAAGCAAACAAATGACATCAATTATCGTGATTTGTTTTCGTCGTCTTACACTTTCACTGTTTTCAACATTCTCCATGAAATATTCTGTATTTTTTTCCTAATCTTTAGGTAATTATGGCAACAAATCGAATAGACATCTTAGACTCCGCCTTACTTCGACCTGGGCGTATTGATCGAAAAATTGAATTTCCTGCACCAAATGAAGAGGTATGAGTTATAACCTTGTAATGGAATTTGATGGAATTATGTGGATATATAAGGATAGCGAGATCTTCACATGGTCATGTTGGTAATATGTGAAGTAAAGGATCAAAAATAAATTTACAATTCAAGTTTCTGACTGATTGTTGTGTGTTTATCCCTCGTATTTTCTTCTGCAACGTAAAAGCTAAACTTTACCATATTATGAACGATGCGTTTTTCATCAATTTAGGCTCGTTTAGACATTTTAAAAATTCATTCGCGTAAAATGAATTTAACCAGAGGAATAAACCTTCGTAAGATTGCTGAATTAATGCCAGGTGCCTCTGGAGCTGAAGTGAAGGTAAAAATGTTGCTGTAACATAAAGATGTTTTATTTTGACTTAAAATTTTACATAAATTTCATTTATCAGGGTGTTTGTACCGAGGCTGGAATGTTTGCGTTACGGGAGAGAAGAGTGCATGTGACACAAGAGGATTTTGAAATGGCCGTATCAAAGGTGAGATTTTATGCTATAATTTCAATCTGGTTTAATTTCAATTTGAAAATGCTTCAATTTTAAGGATTACTTGCTTGAGTGTACTCTACTATAGAGCTGTAGTGAAATCCTACCTTAATACAATATAAATATCGTGCGCTTATTAAAACTTGATAATAATGTACCAAATGTAATCATTACCTCCTAAATCTTATCATTACCAAATATTGTCGAATATTAAGTTGTTTTTCCCTTTAGATCATGCAAAAGGATTCAGAAAGAAACATGTCGGTGAAGAAGCAATGGAAATAAATACATTATCTGTGAAATGGCTTTGTTATCGTTTTACAATGAACTAAATTTTCCTATAAACCGATGAAAAAGGCAGCATTAGTTGAAACATTGATTCGTGTGTTGCTGTGCTGGCTTTATGTCGAATATTTTGGTAGCGTTTTCGCATTTTAAAAACGCGTGTTAATGTTATGCATGTCACGTGCATATACCATAGTTCTTTGGGGAACTGTTGGTCACGTGGAACCAGAGAGGATTTAATGTGCATCTAAATCGTTTCTAGTTTAGCGAATAAACTTTTATGTGAGAAAGACCTTTTGCAGTGTAACATACCATTCGTTAAATTTTACGATAAGCTCTTCACATTACCATCGATGCGCATAATATGCCTTTATAATTCGGAGAAAATCTTTTTCTTTTTAAATGTCATAAATTTACCTTCTTTAAAACAATTTTAGTTGTAGTTTGTTTTTTGAGAGTTGTCAATTGAGATGAGTTCTATACTGCTTGTTGTTCAACGACCTTGTGCACGAACGTTCATAACGAAATCGAGAGACACGCTACAGAAACGGGTTCTTTATCACTCAAATTATATTTCGTTAGATTATTGTACATTTTGCGCTTCTATTACCGACTGTCTTAATTATATCTATGATTTTTTGTGGCTGTTTAGAAAGCGAATGTAACAATTGTATAATATAACATGTTGAGGTATACAGGTTGAACATTCATCAAAGAACTTCTCTCACATTTATCTTTGAACATTTAGCAAAGAACATACTGACATTTATCATAAAATATTCATCAAAGAAGGTTACGTGCATCTATTATTTGTTAAAGTCATCTTTTCCAAAAGTTTGACACCTAAACTATCATTGAATTTATGATTATTTTATGTACATTTCAATAATATTTGAAACAACTTATGCTGCTGAAACAAAACTTTCTTGCAACCAACTTTGACCACAACACCTACCATACACTATATGTTTTCACTGACAGAAATTTTCTATTTTTGTAGACAATTAAGGTAGGAAACAGGACTATTTTTTCATCATAGCTTGAACTAAGGTCCTACAGTTAGATTGGATACGTAATAAATTACTTCGATTGTATTCTGTATCATCTCGTGCTTTTTTTACGATGGCTTGAGAATCCTGCATAAAATCTTGATCCCAAGGTAATGCTGACAAACCTGATACTTCCAAACTTTTGTGCAACTGTTTAACGCATTTTTGCAATTCTTCCAGTTCATCTAATGAAAGTTTAAATGAAATTTTGAAGAGCATCTACAACATGATATGACACATCATAAAATTTAAATTTTTTACACTTAAAGAATACCAATAACTTTTTTAAAGATAATGCATCTTAACACAAATATACCTTGTAATTCATTCTCTGAGCAGGGGTAGCTTGATAATTCTTCACTGATAAAAAAGTTGACAAAAATTTAAAATGAAATAATGGTTTGTAAGTATATCATATATGTCTCTTATTTTGGCAATGGTTACACAACCAAGTGACAAATATGAATCTGTAAGGTGAAAGAAAATTATGTCAACATCCATTCCTAATATATCAATGTTAATCCCTAATTATCATCAAATCATATTTTAAAATAGTAATATGACTAATATCAACAAAATGCTATTATATGATAATGCCACTCAGATGTTAGAGCAAAAGTTAGAATTAGAGAATTTTTATTGATAGTTTTTTAATTAAAGTGAACTAAGATACAGTAGATAAAGGGAGAAGTGTTGACAAATTAGTAAATGTTGTAACAAAGGCCTCTGGACTCTCTCGTTCTCCAAAGTTTTCTATTTGTAACATTGAATCTATTTGTGACTTACAGTTTCTGAAAACACTTAAAAGATTTGTTTTGAAGAGTTTGAACAAAATTCATTGTACTTCCATCTCCTTGGACTGCCATGATTTGCTCTGAAGTGTCTGAAGCATTGAATTATAAACATACAATTAAATATATTATTGTATATATATAATTCAATGGTCTGAAGTCAAAACGTCAATGTAAATTTCAAATTGTAACATTTCCCAAATATTTCCTAGTAAATATAATCTACCACCACTGATCTCGAAAAAACTGGAATAATATTGAATGAGCCAAAATGGCGTTGGATTTTTAATTTTAACCATGGGAAACATTTATGGAAACATTACATCTCAAGCGGAGAGAAAGGGTGCGCGTGCGATGAATATGGTAAGTGCAGTGATGAAATTGCAATGCAATGGTTTGAGAGTGTATAAATGCAAGAGGTTTGCAAGCAGAATACAGTAGATGGATAGGAGTATCATAGGACATTATGACAAAGTTGTGCAACTTGTGCTAAGCTTTAAGTGCTACCCATTCAAGTTTACTTCTTCTAAATCCAACACAATCATTGAAGCACTTATGACTGTTCTCCTGTTTCCTTGAAAATTTATTTAATGTTGAGATGGTAAATGTAGAAATTTGTGTGATATCATGCCAAGAGTTTTAGCATGGACAAACAAAATAGGTGGAGAGGGCAGCAAAGAAGTCTGAATTTAAACAGCTAGAATGGAAAAACTGAAAGCATTTGTCGCGTCCAAGCCAATCTTCACCATCATTGTCTTTGCATATTTTTCAAACACCAGTATTTTGTCTACAGCAAAACAAAGAAATGAATTTAAAATGAATTTAAGTTTCTCATGCACTGTATAGTGCTTTAAAGACTGGTTAAAACATAAAACATACTCATGAATGTCATCATAGCAAGAGCCAAATATGAGTGGTATTAATTTCTCTCTATCTCTCTAATTCCATTTTAAATTTTCTGTTTAAGCTTGAATTTTCACAAATACCACAGGCAAACTGTGAAAAGGAAATTATAAAAATTAATATACATAAATAATCAGCAGTATATATATATATATATATGTTTATATACATTGTAATATGTGGGCATGATTTGCATTGTGTAGGAATCTAGTGCTTATAACTACAAGAAATGAGCAATGTATAAATTAATAGATTGAATTTTAGAATGTCTGTGAGAGTGCTCACTTAAAAGACAAATAATTACATCACAAGCTGTCCTGCTGTGCGAAATGTAACAGCTTGATACCTAGCCAAAATTGAGAATGCCAACCAGTTTTCCTTCCGGCAATTTCACTAAAAAATTTAACAGTACTTTAAGTATTGCTTTTTCGTCAAACTTGATACTTACTGTAACATATCTCTCTGCTCTGCATAATGTAAAAATTTCAAACTTACTTCCCTATTATATTCGACCAATGATATTCACTTGTCTTAGGTTACAATACTCATTTGTAGTTAATGCTACACAGGCAAGCAGGTAATTTGTCTCCTACCCCCTCAAAGAAAGACCTGTTATGCCTTGTAAACACATTAAAAATATTTTTTTAAATCTTTGTTTAAGTATTGTCCATGGCTCCATATGCCCAAAGATAATTGAGCGCTAGAGCGTTGCATGGTAATTAAGGGAACTAGATATCCGTGAGAACCGGCATTTTTGGTTTTCTTTTGTTACATTTTTCGGTGTTAAATATAAATAGTCAACTAATTTCAAGGAAAAAGAGTTTGGTCTTTGGATGAATTGAAAAGCTTGTTTTGGACTTGTAAGTCCCTTTTCATTAAATGGCAGTGTCATAAAGAAAGATATCCTTCTTGGAATATGTATTTGTCAATACAATGATAGCCATGCTTGAAAACTTCCTCTGAAAGCTTTCACTTGAATAAATGAAGATCATGAAGTAAAAGAAGCATTAAAGTGACGAAGATTTTAAAACTACTGTCTTTTAATGTCATATATTTTGTATAGATGTCTAACTTGGAGAACTGGAACCAATGCTTAGCACAGAAGATTCTTGGACATCCTTTATTCTCTCCAAATCTCATGTCGCACATCTTAAGCAGTAAAATCACTTCCGATAAACTTGACGCTGAAAAAGATCAAGGGAGAAATCAAAATGGCTGTGATGGTGGAGATGAGAATATAGTCTTTGCATTTTAACTCATTTTGATGCCAAAGACCATAGTCTTTGCATTTTCAAACATTGTCATACCTAACACTATAGTCTTTGCATTTTTATTTATTTTCATTCCAAAGACTATAGTCTTTGCATTTTTGCACATTTTCATGCCAAAGACTATAGTCTTTGCATTTTCACACTTTGTCATGCCAAAGACTATAGTCTTTGTATTTTCACACATTTTGATGCCAAAGACTATAGTCTTTGAATTTTCACACATTTTGATGCCAAAGACTATAGTCTTTTTTCACACATTTTGATGCCAAAGACTATAGTCTTCCATTTTCACACATTTTGATGCCAAAGACTATAGTCTTTGCATTTTCACATTTTGATGCCAAAGACTATAGTCTTTGCATTTTCACATTTTGATGCCAAAGACTATAGTCTTCCATTTTCACATTTTGATGCCAAAGACTATTCTTTGTATTTTCACATTTTGATGCCAAAGACTATAGTCTTTGCATTTTCACATTTTGATGCCAAAGACTATAGTCTTCCATTTTCACACATTTTGATGCCAAAGACTATAGTCTTCCATTTTCACATTTTGATGCCAAAGACTATAGTCTTTGCATTTTCATTTTCATGCAAAAGACTATAGTCTTTGCATTTTTACACTCTTTTACGCAAAAGACTATAGTCTTTGCATTTTTACACACTTTTATACAAAAGACTATAGTCTTTGCATTTTCACACATTTTAACGCAAAAGACAATAGTCTTTGCATTTTTCCACACTTTTTTGCCAAAGACTATAGTCTTTGCATTTTTACATTTTTATGCAAAAGACTATAGTCTTCCATTTTCACATTTTGATGCCAAAGACTATATTCTTTGTATTTTCACATTTTGATGCCAAAGACTATAGTCTTCCATTTTCACATTTTGATGCCAAAGACTATAGTCTTGCATTTTCACATTTTGATGCCAAAGACTATAGTCTTCCATTTTCACATTTTGATGCCAAAGACTATAGTCTTGCATTTTCACACATTTTGATGCCAAAGACTATAGTCTTTGCATTTTCACACATTTTGATGCCAAAGACTATAGTCTTTGCATTTTCACATTTTGATGCCAAAGACTATAGTCTTGCATTTTCACATTTTGATGCCAAAGACTATAGTCTTTGCATTTCACACATTTTGATGCCAAAGACTATAGTCTTCCATTTCACACATTTTGATGCCAAAGACTATAGTCTTCCATTTTCACACATTTTGAAGCCAAAGACTATAGTCTTCCATTTTCACACATTTTGATGCCAAAGACTATAGTCTTTGCATTTTCACACATTTTGATGCCAAAGACTATAGTCTTTGCATTTTCATTATTTGATGCCAAAGACTATAGTCTTTGCATTTTCACACATTTTGATGCCAAAGACTATAGTCTTTGCATTTTCACACATTTTGATGCCAAAGACTATAGTCTTTGCATTTTCACACATTTTGAAGCCAAAGACTATAGTCTTTGCATTTTCACACATTTTGATGCCAAAGACTATAGTCTTCCATTTTCACACATTTTGATGCCAAAGACTATATTCTTTGTATTTTCACACATTTTGATGCCAAAGACTATAGTCTTCCATTTTCACACATTTTGAAGCCAAAGACTATAGTCTTCCATTTTCACACATTTTGATGCCAAAGACTATAGTCTTTGTATTTTCACACATTTTGATGCCAAAGACTATAGTCTTTGCATTTTCACACATTTTGATGCCAAAGACTATAGTCTTCAATTTTCACACATTTTAATGCCAAATACTATAGTCTTTGCATTTTCACACATTTTGATGCCAAAGACTATAGTCATCCATTTTCACACATTTGGAAGCCAAAGACTATAGTCTTTGCATTTTCACACATTTTGATGCCAAAGACTATAGTCTTCCATTTTCACACATTTTGATGCCAAAGACTATATTCTTTGCATTTTCACACATTTTGAAGCCAAAGACTATAGTCTTTGCATTTTCACACATTTTGATGCCAAAGACTATAGTCTTCCATTTTCACACATTTGGAAGCCAAAGACTATAGTCTTTGCATTTTCACACATTTTGATGCCAAAGACTATAGTCTTCCATTTTCACATATTTTGATGCCAAAGACTATAGTCTTTGCATTTTCACATATTTTATGCCAAAGACTATAGTCTTTGAATTTTATTTTGATGCCAAAGACTATAGTCTTCCATTTTCACACATTTTGATGCCAAAGACTATAGTCTTCATTTTCACATTTTGTGCCAAAGACTATAGTCTTCATTATTTTGATGCCAAAGACTATAGTCTTTGCATTTTCACATTTTGATGCCAAAGACTATAGTCTTTGCATTTTCATTATTTTGATGCCAAAGACTATAGTCTTTGCATTTTCATTAACATTTTGATGCCAAAGACTATAGTCTTTGCATTTTCACATTTTGATGCCAAAGACTATAGTCTTTGCATTTTCACACATTTTTGATTCCAAAGACTATAGTCTTGCATTTTCACATTTTGATGCCAAAGACTATAGTCTTTGCATTTTCACATTTTGATGCCAAAGACTATAGTCTTGATTTCAACATTTTGATGCCAAAGACTATAGTCTTGATTTTCATTTTTGATGCCAAAGACTATAGTCTTTGCATTTTCATTTGATGCCAAAGACTATAGTCTTTGCATTTTCATTTTTTAGCCAAAGACTATAGTCTTTGCATTTTCACACATTTTGATGCCAAAGACTATAGTCTTCCATTTTCACACATTTGATGCCAAAGACTATAGTCTTTGCATTTTCACATTTTGATGCCAAAGACTATAGTCTTCCATTTTCACACATTTTGATGCCAAAGACTATAGTCTCCATTTTCACACATTTTGATGCCAAAGACTATAGTCTTTGCATTTTCACACATTTTGATGCCAAAGACTATAGTTTTGCATTTTTTATTTTGATGCCAAAGACTATAGTCTTTGCATTTTCTTTTCACATTTGATGCCAAAGACTATAGTCTTTGCATTTTCACATT